AAAAGGAAAAAATAAGAACGAATTGAATTGTTTAATTAATTTAAAAACACAATCTCTCAAAACTGGCCATAAAAATTTGGTAAGTCCTTCGAAATTAGAGTCTCGCAGCATATCCGTGAGCTTACACTCCAATGGCCGGCCAAACACCAACGACGTCCGATTTTCGCGGTAGAGCACCAAAGCGATCCTTACGACGTCCTCCTTGAGTCTCTTTTATGAATCCTCTCCATAACTTCTCTAATTCATCATCCAACCAATCCTCTGCAATGGCTCAATACCGCTCTGTGGCCTCCCTCCCCCAGGGCTTCTCAGTCTACCAGCCCCAACTCGGCGCTCAGCTTCAGTTCTTCCCTGCTCTCGGCTCGCAGGAACTCGATGACATGATCAACGCCTACATTCCCGGACCCGCTGCTCTCAAGGAAAAGCGGGCAACCATCTCGCTCGACTTTTTGGAGCACACACAGCTTACGGGCCAGACATTCAAGTTCTACCCCGTCTACTCCGCCAGCCCCGTCGCTACCTCTCCCGCCATTTCCACATCTTCCTTCAGCAACACATCTCCCGTCAACTCAACGTGGGATTGGAGTCAAGCATCCGCTTCTCCCGCAGTGTCTTCTCGATCTTCCAGTTCCAAGAGCCGCAAGGCCTCTCAGTACTCTACCCCTGATCTTTCACACCTCCCCGGCATGAAGATCATGACCAAGGACGGCCAGGATGTCACAGACTCTGCTTCTCGAGGATCAAAGACAAAGGAGCAGCGTGATCACGCACACCTGATGCGCATCATCAAGGCCTGCGACAGCTGCAGAAGAAAGAAGATTCGATGTGACCCCAGCCACAAGAAGCGAACGGCCGCTCAAACCCAGCCTCAGTCTAAGCAAGCAAAGAAGGCTCGAACGGCGGCGGCGGCGGTAGCGGCAGCAGTAGCAGCGGCACCGCCGCAGAAATCGGCTTCTGTAGTGGCTTTATCAAGAGGGCAAGACGACAATCCAGACATACCAATGTCCATGTTTGGCATCGATCCCACCTTTACATTTGCTGGCTTGGACAGCTTCGAGTCCAATGACCAGACATACGAGTCATGGGAAGAATTTATCCAGTATCCCGTTGACGTCGCCGATGAGCACTACGACTTCTTCCTCGATCCCGAAGGCTACCTTTCCTCCCAGTCTTCTGCTTCCTCTTCTTCTGCTTCGCCACCCAAGGCCTCTACGCCTGCGTCGCAGCAAGATCTGCAGGCCTCATTTGGCCTCGAGGAGCGCGAGGGAATGTTATCCGAATCGACATCACCAGAGCTACCGTTCCTGCAAGTCAATCACACTGGACTCAACAACTACACCGACTTTAGCCTGTTCTCGCCCTCATCGAGCTTCTCTGAGGATGACCGCATGCTTTCGATTTCGTCTTCGCGTACTCTAAGCCCGACCCAGCCGTCTGCGTCAGAGTCTGAGTCATTTGGAGACGGCTTTGATGCTGAAGGCCATGGCCTTGCGACTGGCGGTAGCGGCTCAAGCGCGCTGGTCTCTCCATTGGAAGAGGCTGGTTTAGTTGCGGCTGCCGACACGAGTCTGCCGTGGTATGATCCGGGTCCCAGTCCGGGAGACTCTCGAGCACAAGACTCGCGAGCCGGCATAAGTATAACACGGCCCGCAGGATGGGTAGGTGATGTTCGCATAGCCTACTCGCCGGGCGGCTCGGTACTTGTCACGGCATCATCCGTAAGCGGTGCAGAAATAATTGCGAACAATGCATTCGCGAATAGCGTACGTCTTTTGATACACACCCTTTACTTTCTTCTATTACTAGTTGGACGTCGACTAATTTCCTCGGAAGGGACCACTTGCTCAACTAGATACTTCTCGACCTGGATCAATTGCAATTGCAATTGCCGGAAGGGTACGTTGGCATAACTATCAGCTAGAATGTAGAGCCGCAACTGACTTTCGAAAAAAGGATACATCAGGCGAAATTACCACGAGCCAAGCGACAAGCACTGCACTGCAGTTCGGCGGCGTACGTTTTTTCTCCCTACCATCTCTGCTAGCTTGCGCAACTTTGCGACTAACTTTGAAAAAAAGGAAACTCAAGATGGACTCCAATCATATGGTCATTCGCCAACTGAACGTGGCAGACTCCGAAGTGTACGTCTACGCTGCACAAACAATCCCCCCATAGCTAGCTTGCAAGACCCGCGACTAACTTTTGAAAAAAGGAAACACCAGTTGGTGATTCAGCTAGATTGTTTGGCGAACAAGCCGTCTTCCGAACCGTATGTCCAGACGCAGCCACACTCTTCGCTGCTCTCTTGTCGACTGACATGAAGAAACAGGAAACCACGAGCGACCAAACCGCCTCGCCCTCTACGCTGGCGACCGCCGCGAACCATTCAGTCCAGTATTCGACGGGCTCGGTAGAGTCTTCCTCGATGGTACGCCGTGCTGCTGCATCTGTGAATTGCCTCCCATCCCAGCTAACACGATCACTCTTGAAGGCTCGCACCGAATATCTTGCAAACAGCGGCATAAACCCCGAGGTCTCGCCTGGCAACTTACAATTATCGTTTGGCGCTACGTCCGATGCTCTTCTGCTTGGCTCAGCCGCATTTGCAGCCGCCGGTGAGGATGCTACGACGGCCAGCCCACAAGCTTCGTCCGCCACCATTCTTGAATGGCCACACCTACCTGCTGCAGGAACCAATGGCAGCAGAAGCAGCCAAACTGCCCTGCAAAACGGCGAAACCCAGAGCCAGCAGCAAGCAGCAGCCCCTATGGCCGAGGACGGAATTCAACCAACCTCGCTGCTTCTTCTCCAGACGTCGTCGCCCAAGCGAGATGCTGCAAGCGACGATGGTGTCGAGTTCGGCATAAGGAGAAGCTTCAACAGGTGGATCGGCGTTCAAGGTCTTGCGCAGGTCACTTCGGTGATCCTGATTGGCATACTGACTGCAATGATGCTTGCCAGCCTCACGGGATCGTCAGCAGCGTTCTGCTTTGCCTCTCTGGCACCCGCTATGGGAGCTTGCTTCCAACGTTTTGCAGTAGCCGACAGCGGCTCAAAGCCTGTTGGGACGATGCCATCGACAACGTCAAGTTCAAGATCCCAACCTCCAGTACTACGACGCGAGATTCTCGCATCGCCTACAATTTCTTCTCTTCTTCTTTTCTCCCGAGCAAGGCTATGGCCTTCTCGCTGCGGCGTACAAAATGCAACGTCCGTTCGCATCCCTTTGATGGCATAGAAACGGATATTGCATCTTGCAGCGAATATCTCGAGAGAGATGCATGCTTCTAGATTTAGGTCCACGCATATTTTCTATAAGCCGGTTTGGCTAACGATACCCCTTTTGCGTGGAATGTTTGTGGCATGTGGCTTAATACAATATTGGAGCAGGATTTTGATTTTCTTTTACCGATATGGTGTTTTTATAGAATATAGCGTGCAAAGAAGGAGACGTGCCTTTTGGCAGAGTCGCGAAGAATACAATACCGGGTCAAATAAGACTTGGAATTTTTTTATAATCTTTTTCTTTCCCTCTTAATCTTGGTTTTTTGCCTCGTGATGATTCGAATGTTGTTGCATGCCACTTTATGTACATCTGTAATTCGTCTTGGCTCTGGTTCTTTGCCATCGTGACTCCTGCCAGGTGCAGTATCTAGCATTTTTTATCTAAAGTTCAGTATCCTGATTCACAGCACATTGTCTGTTCTTACAGGGCATTCGTAGTGCCGAGTTCCTGACTAGTGGCGTACTGCACAGCAGGGACAGATAGAGTTGACGCTTAGTCATCTCAGCCGATAGGCGCTAGCGCTTGATCAGTGACAGGGTGTGACAGAAATTCAAACGCCAAAAAAAGCTTGGCCCCAAAACTTCATCACCTCACTGCGAGCCAGCCGTTCCTTAAAACCACCTTTTCAACCCTGCTCCCTCGCAAGTTTCTCTTTCTTTTCAAATTCATTCGAGTTCGAAGCCAACCTGATTGTTTTTCGAGATATCTTTGCGGTTTTTTTTTCTCTAAAATTCTGCTAAAGGTATATCTTGCATCAGCAAGTCAGATTTCAAAGGCTCTTCGAACCTGCATCTTGAATTTCTCTGTGCAAGGATAAATCAACCACGGAGAAATACGAGAAGCGCTGAGTATCCTTTGACCTATCTGGAGCGTGTAGCAAGGTGGGAAACGAGTCCTTCCTATTGCCCTCTTTTCTCCCTTTCTCTCTCTCCTCCTCCTCCTCCTCTCTTAACTTTTGATAAAGGCATCTTGACTAACCAACACAATAGGTGTTTCCGCATTTTCCCATCTACCAGCAGGGTGATGAAGCTCGCCCAGACACCAAGCCTTCCAGTTATCGAAGAGGAGTCAGAAATCCTTCCTTTTGACCTTGAAGAGCCAGAACAGGGCGTTTTCGTCGCTCTCCTGCTCTTGTCTCTGCTTGAAATTTCAGGCCTGCACAAGAAGTCATCTTGAAGTCTTTTTCACTTTCTTTTACTCCATCTTCCGCCAACTCTTTCGAGCGATTAAGGAGAGACAGGCTACGACTACGACTGAAGCGAGCAAGTGTATTTACGGTAAGCTGAAGCATCCTCTCGCTATCTCTGATTCTGGCTAACTCGACTGGATTTGATTTATCCTCTTCCACAGTCCATCACCACTCTTTTCAAATACTCAAGAAGAAGTTGCCTAGGACTGGATTCTTTTTTCCCTTCAAGGCTATACTGGTGAGCAGAGCTGCCTGACCTCAAACTCTCGCTTACCCTGCGCAGAGAATTTGCAAAAATGCAGCCTTTCTAACCTTTTCACCCCTCCCAGATCTACCTCATTCCATCTTTGCACAATTTGCGGCTACACGGCAATTTTCTATCGTCATAGATACGCGCACTTTACGCCTTTTCCCGCGTAATCAGCTGCTCTTTCCTTTTTCTAGGCGAACAAGCGGTCTAGTTGTGGAGTGTTGTGAGAATCAAGGAAGGAGCCCTCCTTTAGCCTCCCCAAAGGAAAGCCACCACCCAGCTCCCCAGCTCCCCAGCTCCCCAGCAGAACATCCACAATTTGTCTTCTTTTCCCCCAAATATCTTCTTTTCCCCCAAATATCTCTTCTTCTTCTTTCTTTTTAAAAGAAAAGAAGGGATTCTTTGTTTTTGTTTCAAAGGGGTATAAAAACTCCCCTTTCGCTGCAGCAAGCACAGCTTTTTAACGGCCAATTCACCACTCACTCGCCATGCCTCGTGCCGCATCCGAGGGCGGCCAGTTACTGCGCTTGGCAGGTGCCAGACAGGCCCTCCGCCGGCTGTTTCCTTTCCGCCGCGCCAGGCAGCCTCGCATTGAGTCTGGACCTGAAGAGTCCTTCTCTGACGGTTCTGAAACTGACGGATTAAGCGTCCCCTCCGTGCCGCCAAACACGCCAAGCTCCGACTACGCCGCGTCGCTCGCTAACGTCGAAGCTCCAACGCTGCCCATCGATTCGGATAAGAGCCTCACCTACAGCCACTTTGGCGACGACGACGACTTTGAGACTGACGAGTTCAACGACTCCTCCACCCTCAGCGACGGAAACGGCACCATGGCCTCGCGTTCTGGCGCTGCCGCTGGCGAGAAGCGCGCCGCCAAGCAGAAGCGCGGCGGCAAAGAGAAGCGTGCTGCTGATGAGCACAATGCTGGCGACCAGATGGATGTTGGCCAGGACCAGCCCAAGGCGGCTCAGCAAGTCGACGCTGTCGGCGAGAAGGTTGGCGCCGTCTCTGTCGCGGTCGCTGACAAGGACAAGCAAAAGGAGAACCAGCAACCTCGTGCCAACCAGGCCGACGCTGCCACTGCTGTCGATGGCGATGCTGAAAAGGTGGCCGGTACCACGGCCGCTGCTCCTGCTGCCGACAAGGACAAGCAAAAGGAGAACCAGAAGCCTCGTGGCAATCAGATCGACGAGCTCTCTCGCAAGCTGGCCGGCATCGCCGTCGCCCAAGCTGCCCCTGCCGCTGTCGACAAGAAGCTTGAAACCCCATCTGAGGAGATTGACGCCGAAGTTGTCATCGACCTGAGTGCCGTCGACCCGGCCGTGCTCGCTGAACGCGCTGAGCACCAAAAGTTTATGCAAGAAGCTCTGGATATGGTGAGTCCTGTCGTTGCCTTCTTCCCCTACTCCCCCCTCTCACGCGGCTGCTAACCAAGACTGCCATCGCTCACAGGCTCGACTTGCGCTTGTGACCAACGAGACTCCTGTCGGCTGCGTCATTGTCCACGAAGGCGAGATCATCGCCAGAGGCATGAACGCAACCAACGTCACCCGCAATGGAACCCGTCACGCCGAGTTCATGGCCATTTCGGCCCTGTTCTCCGCCCCGCCCAAGGATGGACCACGCACCACCTGCCTCAAGCCCAAGGTGCCCCCCAAGGTGCCAGAGGGCAAGGAAAACGATCCGGCTTACTCGCAGGAATGGCGCTGCCCTGACAAGGGCAACGAGGATGGCAGCAAGGGCCACCTCTATCCTTATGGCCAAAAGACGATCTCTCTCGAGCGCGTTCCTACCGACATCCTCGAAAAGAGCATTCTCTATGTCACCGTGGAGCCGTGCGTCATGTGTGCTTCGCTCCTTCGTCAGCTTCGCATCAAGAAGGTCTATTTCGGCGCCGTCAACGACAAATTCGGCGGCTGCGGTGGAGTCTTCAATATCCACGCCAATGGCCTTCCACCTGGCAGCACGACTCGCATCCAGCCTGAGCCTAAGCGCTACCTATTCCCTGACGGAGGTGGCAGTCTTGGCGTCTCTTATCCTCGTGGCGGTGGTCACGGCAGCAATGTCGAGCCGGGCTTCGAGATTGAGGGTGGCTGGAGCCGTGATGAGGCTGTTGGACTTCTCCGCCGTTTTTACGTGCAGGAGAATGGCAGAGGTATGTATTCTCTTTCCTTCTTCTCTTCTCTCTCACATATCGCTCCCTCTAGATAGTTCCTTCGTCATATAGACAACAGTTCACTGACATGATTCTCACAGCCCCTGTCCCGCGAAAGAAGGAAGGCCGAGCTGCACGCTTGGCTGCCATGATGGAGCAAGAGGCTACTGGCACGTCCTCCTCTGGCGGCGAGGCTGAAGCTGAAAACGCCACTGATCCTGCTGAAAACGGCTCTGCCGATGCCATGGATATGGATGGTGCCCAACCCTCTCCCAAGGACGAGGAAGCCGCTTGAGTGTTCAGTTGAGCCGGCCTGGCACGCATTTTTCTTTTTTGGCACCTTCATCGAAGCATTCCGACGCCCATGTCTGCCTTTTATTGGCAATGGTTTTAATCTGCTGTTTTTAATCTGCAATTCATTTGCATTTGCTTTCACGCGCGAAACAGAAAGGGGCTCGGACTCATTGGCGTTTTATGATACATTGACGGCAGGAAAAAGCCGCATAGGGACACGGTTGGGATCGATACCACGGCCAGCCACCAAGATGGCTATGGCATATAGTGCGATTATTTTCACAGTTCATCTGTTGTTTCTTTTGGTCGTCTTCGGTCGAACTTTTGCGCAGATTGCGTCCTTTGCGGAGGACATGGATTCATGGGCGGCATTGCACACTTTATCTAACCTCGCATTCTACGTAGAAATAAAAGAGACAATTTAGATGAACTGATTTGAGTGTCACGTTAGACTGTAAAGTAGAAGGAAGACGTAAAGAAGATGGCCATCCATCATCATGAGGCTTTTGACATGGAGGCTGTGGAAGTCATGGCGCTCAAAAGTGCAAAAAGAAAACTCAATGCGTAATCTGGGAATCGAACCCAGGGCTCCCCGACGTTGCGGATGGCAACGGAGAATTTTACCACTAAACCAATTACGCTTTTGATTGGTGTTTGCTGGCGATGTTGGGATGAAGAACCTTTGACACTGAGAGAAATAGAGGGATGGACATTGCAGCTATGAAATTGCATTCTACATTTTCGACATGACCTATTTCTTCCTCGCCGGCTCTTTGACCCGAAACTCAGTATGATGCTTTTAGCCCGTGCGATATAAAATAGGTTGATTTTTTTTTTGTTCAGCCGCAATGCGCTATTGACAGCGCCAGGCTTGGTCGAGTCTCCATGGCGCCTCAGCCAAGAGACTCTTGAATCGTTAGTTGGCCGTCTTAGCTTCAGCCAAAGCGGCACGGTACGAATGGGCGGACAGGTAAGGCGGACTTTTGACGGTTGGAGGGGAGAAAGGGGGCAGATTCAAGGGATGCATGGAAATATCTGATTGTGTTTCATTTCTCGCCAGTATTTGTGTGAAGATTGATGTTTTCTTGATATATATACGTCTGTGTGTGTTTTTGGATATTGAACAAACATCATGGCCCGTCTGCCTCCTGTAGCAAAGTTCTCGCTTGCAGTTCGCAAGAATAGTACGTGAATGCCATCTTTCTTTCGCCCTGCCTTTTTTTGCTAAATGTAGTTCTTGTCTTAGTTCGCGATGAATGGGAAAACAGAAAATCAGACTATGAAGACAGGATTTCCACCGTGCTGGGTGCGCCGTGGACAATCGAGATTGATCTGCATCAAGTCTGCGCGTATGCCACGGACGGATACGCGGCAGAATCTCCTGGCTCTATGATTTCAACGTTTGTCCATCATCACCTCCACTTGAAAGAAAGAAAAGGCGGAATAAAGTGATTGTAATGTAGAATTCTAATCTTCTCCCTCGCTTTAGATACGTTGACGGCGTCTTGTATCAGCTGGATCGCTTCATTGGCAAACATGGCGAACAAGGCAAAGAGGAGCTCAACACCATTGCTTCGGCGCGAACCATTACCATGGACCTGGATGAAGATAAAAAATTCTCTTATTGCGGCTGCGCAATCTCTGCTACCGGATCTCTCGTCATTCTGTTCAGCGAAGGATATCTCGGCACCAACACTAACGACGCTTGCTCACTCGACAACCTGGAGAATGCTCTCAACGAATCCCCCAGCACTGCTTCGGCCAGCCACAAACCCATGAGCTTCATTGCGCGCGCGGCTATCAGAAGCGACTGGGACACGCAGATGGAAGAAATCGAGCGACAACTCGGCGAGATTCTCTGCAGGGATAGTATTACCTTGGAGCCGCGGTTCGAGCAGGCCTTTGACAGGCTCAGCAGCACCGCCGGAGACGCATCGTGGCAGCGAAACCTGGGCTCGTATCACAAGATGTACTACGAAGGTCTGGTGTTCTTCCTCAGGTACCAGAAATTCGGCGAGGACGACATGCTGCGCGAGGCATTCAACGAGGGCATCGACAGGGCGACGGTGGCATTTCGCATTGTCGACAAGGATGAGCTCAAGAGTTCCACTTACAACGAGTGCGTCATCGAGGATGGCACGTTGATTCTGCAGGTACGTGCTATCTAAATCTGCATCTCTTGGAATTTGAACAAACGCCCTGCTGATTAATGCCCCATTATTAGACCACGGCCGAGTATTATGGCACAAATACCGCTGAAATTGCCAACAAGCTGATGGAGCTATTGTAAAAAAACCCCCCAAGAAGTGAGTCACGCTTCATTGTTTTCCGGTGTGCTGGCTCTACACCCCTGGCAATCAAACAAACCCATCCGCTGGCAATGACACTCCCTAGACCGAAGTGAGTGGAGGCCGGTTCCGTTCACCTACAGACTGGCTACACGTGTTGATGCAGGGCGAGGCGAGAGGGCCCTGATGATCGTGGTTGGCTGGCCTCTGGGCGGTTGTACGGAGTGCATGGCGGCCCACCGCCTTTGAGGCATGAGATTGATGCGTGACCAATTGCAGGGGAGCAGCAGTAATACATAATGGCCGTGATTAGGAGTAGGTATAAGACACACTAGAAAGCTGCAGTAGGCAATTGCATGTACTTTTCATTCGCATATGCACAGGGGCCGTCTCCAGCTGCAAGCTTTTGATTGATTGATTGATCGACCTTGAGCATCTGCTGCAAGGCATACATAGTGGCCCAACGCGAGTTGCTCGGCCTCTTGTTTTCGTGTTTGGGTAGAACAGCTCAGGCTCAGAATACAACATAGGCCAACCCCGCGACTCAGCGGTGACTCTACTCAGCTTTGCCAGCTTTGCCGTTGGAAGCCCCATTGTCTTCTTTGGACTCTTTGATATTCTTTTTTTTCTCTTCTCACTCAAAAATACTCTCTTCCTTTATTCTTTCTCGTCTCTCATTTTTGCAATCACTAGTGCAGAGGTATGCGAAGCACTGCTAGTTGATGTCTGATATAGTCTACTATAAACAGCCCACTAACAACCACCTCTCACCGACAGTACTTGAGCGAGCCTACTAGCCGTCTATTCCTGAGCTATGCCTGCACCCAGCTCAAAGCCCCTCGCAGACCATAGGACCGCTGCAAAGCGTCGGGCCGTCACCACCGTATCGGCCATTGCGCTCGTTTTCATTCTCTGGCCAGAGCGCTTCATCATCTGGAGGAATCTCTGCTTTGTCCCGGTTGCGGCATGGCTGACTGCGCTGGTCTTTGACCTGAAACATGGCGCACTCGACGCATGGGATGGAGTCCCGGCCTGGATGAAGAGGATCATTGGCGCAGATGATGGTAGCAGCAATAACAATAGAAGCAGTGGAGCATCTTCACGGATGGGAGCTGGAACCCGAAATGGGTCAAATCGAGCCAAACCCGTGGCAGTATCGGACTATGTGCTCATGCATCTTGGCGATACAGTTTCTCTCGTCAAGAGCGAAGTAGCACGGCTGTGGGAGATTGTCAGGCCAATTCTAGCCGAATGGATTCGTCAAGCCATCCATTTTCTCAGCTCTCAAAGTCCGTACACATCCATTCTTCCAGACCTTCTACTGCCTAGCCTCTAACTGTTTTGATCCCTGAAGGATCAGCAAACCGGATTTCACCACCGTCATCATCCTTACCTCGCAAGCCAACCCCAGAGTTCACCCAGTACTACGGCATCTTGGTCAAGATTCCTCGCGGCCCCAACGTTACCGCTCCTTTCGCGCCTCCATATCGGATGCGAGAAGCCTCTGACAGGGCCATTCCGCGGGAAAGCAAGGATGTGTCGGCTGTTCCTTCAGTGCTCAGCTCTTGGGACGTCGATTCTCGCATCTCGTTCCTTCTCGTCGAAAAGGCAACCTGGGATGATCGAGATCAAACGCTGAGAAGCAAACTGGCGGCTGGCACATACTGGAATATGTCGGCCCAGGGACGTGGCAACCTTTGCAAGGAGATGGACAGAGCAGAAGTTGCACAGATTAGCGGCATCGAAGTGATTGGCCTTGGTGACGGGGAATACGATGCGTTGAAGAAATGTCGTCAGTGTAAGTGCAGTACTTTTTTTTTTTTTTTTTTTTTTTTTTGGATCAAGACCCATGTTTTTTTTCATCGACACTGGCTAAACAGTTGGCAAATAGGTTTTCGGGTCTTGTGTCAGGACTGGAAGTACATGAGGATGCTCTGGGACGACATCGACTTCGCTGCCATCCTGGCCTTCTTAGTGATGGGACCAGCCGCAGCCACAAAATCAGCCCAGATTTATCGGGCACTTTGCATACTCAGAGCAGAACAGGCTGAAGCCCCAAAACGAGGCGGCCCAAACATTGATTCGTTTCTGATAGCAGCAGCCACGGGAGGGCTTGCAGCACCCTTTGTGCTACCGCTAATGGTAGGCGGCCTAGCTGCTGCCGCCATGAAGAATCGCAATGGTGCACTGCCAGAGCAGAGAAGAAAGGCATACAAAAGCCTGATGCTGCAATTCCCAGAGCTGAAGGCGTTGTTTGACGCAGAAGAGAGGGAATACCAAGAAGAGAGCACTATGCAAAACTGCAATGATGATGATAATGATGATGCCGAGTGGAAGGATGAGGGTGAGGACTATTATAACGATGCTTTGAATCCATTTGACTGGTGATGGGCAGAGAACATGAATTTGCGCGAAAGAGTCTGAAGACCCGCGCTTGCGAGCATATAGATTGCAATTTTCTTCTTCTTCTTCTTTTCGAAAATTTGTCTTAGATGTGAATACATGTCAAAGTACAGATTGTTGAGTCATTGCCTTCCACGTGTACATCTTACGCGACTTATAGAGGGTACATACATGACTATGACTATGACGTTTGGAGCTCCATTAATAGTTGAACGGGTTAAACATCCATCCAGAATGTTTCCCGCATAATAGCGCCTCCCAGCCTAAAAGGCGAAGCTCCATCGAGACGGACTGATTTTTCCTTGGCTAGAATCTGGGCTGTGGCGCCTCCCCCCACGCAGCCAAAAGTTCAAAAGCCGCGCTCTCATTAAGCCAGCCGGGAGCTTGGCCTGCGGAATGCCGCCGACGACAACCTATTCGGGAAGCGAGATCGGGGGGAGCTTTTGAATTCGAACAAGGGGATGCGACGTTGAGGGGGGCGGTTGCATGTGCTGTTAATTATTAAACGGGCGGAAGAATTGGTTTGCTCTTTACGTCTTTTGGAGCAGGCAGCGGAATTATTCTCTCACATACAAAAGTCTTTTGACACAAAAGAACTTGCGTGATCTGATTTGGAACTCGACGTGATCTTTAAGAGTAGAATACAAGACTGTCACAATGGTTACGACTTCATTTAAACTCAACAATGGCCTGCAGATGCCAGCTCTTGGCCTCGGTATGTCTCTCACACATTTCTTCCATTGAAATATGAATTTGAAGAGGGGCCAAAACGGCTCTCCCATGGCGGGGGAGGGGCAACTTTGGCCAGCGCGACAACCCCCCAAAAAAGGAAGAAAAGAAAAAGAACAAGAACAAGAACAAGAAAAAGAAAAAAAAGGGGGGGCAAAAAAGAAGGGAGAGAAAAAAAGCTAATAAGAAATTTCAACATCCTGTAGGAACATGGCAATCTCAAGCTGGCGAGGTCAAAACCGCGGTTTCTTACGCCCTCCAGAACGGCTACAAGCTCATCGACGGCGCCTACTGCTACGGCAACGAGGACGAGGTGGGCGAGGGCCTCAAGGAGGCTTTCGCAGCGGGCGTAAAGCGCGAGGATGTCTTTGTCGTGACAAAAGTGTGGGCGACGTACAACACTCGTGTTGCGGAGGCGCTGGATAAGAGCTTGAAGAGCCTGGGGCTGGACTATGTTGATTTGCTGCTGGTGGTGAGTGCAGACTTCCGTTTGGTCTAATGACAAGAGGTTCCACTGTTGAGCGTTTGCTAACGAATTTCATCAGCACTGGCCTCTTCTGCTGAATCCCAATGGTGAGAGCGAAAATATGGATTTGAAGCAAGAGACGTTGAGATGGTCTAATTAGTTCAATTCAGGCAACCACGATAAGTTCCCTACTCTGCCCAACGGCAAGCGAGATGTCATCCACGACTACAACCACGTCGATGGGTGGAAACAAATGGAGGCCGCTCTTGCGTCCGGCAAGACCAAGTCTATTGGTGTCAGCAACGTACGTTTTTCTTCTTCTCTTCGTTTCACCCTTATTCAACAGTTCATTTGTAACCATTAAAAAAAAAAACAGTACAGCAAGCGGTATCTCGAGCAGCTCCTCCCTAACGCCACTGTGATCCCCGCCGTCAACCAGATTGAGAACCACCCCAGCCTTCCCCAGCAGGAGATTGTCGACTTTTGCAAGGAAAATGGCATCCACGTCATGGCTTACAGCCCTCTGGGCAGCACGGGCAGCCCTCTCATGACCGCAGAGCCGGTGGTCAAGATTTCCGAGAAGAAGGGCGTTTCCGCAGGAACAGTATTGCTAAGCTACCACGGTATGTTTACTACTTCGTTTATTCTCACATGTCCCTACTTTGCTGACCCATGAGACAGTCAACCGTGGCAGCACAGTTCTTGCAAAGTCTGTCACGCCATCGCGCATCAAGTCCAATCTGGAAATTGTTGCTCTCGATGACGAGGACATGAAGCTGTTGAACGACTACTCAGACGACCTGACCAAGAAGGGCGAGCTGAAACGCTACGTCTACCCACCATTTGGCATTGACTTTGGCTTTCCTGATAAATCATAAAACATAGTGCATAGTAATAGACAAGAATGGTATATACATTTACAGTATTATAATTAACCATCCATCCAATCGCCTTGATACATTCTTAGCTCCAGCTCCAGCTCCAGCTCCCGCTTTCTACTCTCTTCTTCTTTCCAGTGCTTTTCTTTTGGTCGTAATGTCATCTCATATTATTATCTGGGGCTTCAAAATATCTATCCAATCATTGCTTTGTGTCAATAACAACCTTGAGTACTAGCTTGCCCTCACCATCCTTGACTTTTCCCGCCAAACTAAACGCCTCTTGGACTGCATCAAGGCCCTTGACTCGATGTGTGATGAGCTTCTCCAGGTCGGGGAAAACGGGGTCCTTTTTGTGCAGCATTTCAATGGCATCGGCATATGTGTTGGCATATCTAAAAACACCGACAATGTCGACCTCGCGAAGGGCAGCCGCAGATAAGGGCAGGGTGAGAATAGGGGTGCCCATGCCAATGATCATGACTTTTCCGCCTGGTCTTGTAGCCTAATGCATTTTACTATCAGTCAGAGCGAAGAATAGACAGATAGAGGGAGAAGAGTCAACTTACGTAGATGGCACTCTGAACGCAAGTCTCCACGCCAGTGCACTCAAACACAGCCCCAACCTGGCCGACCGGCACACCTCCTATCTCAACATCGCCGGCTAAATCCGCGACTTGCTGCGCATACGCCAGCTTCTCATCAACCGTCTGCGGCCTTGCCATTGGCACAACAAAGCCCGCATCAGCAAAGCCGTTGTTGACAGCGAAATCCACGCGGTCTTTCTGGATGTCGGCGATAATGACTGCTGGTGAGCCCATGGCCTTGCTGACGGCTGCAGACAGAAGGCCGACGGCTCCTGCGCCAAAGACGAGGACTGGAGCTGAGGCGGGGAGGGCGGCGCGGCGATAGGCGTGTAAAGCGACGGAGAGGGGCTCAATCAGGGCGCCGAGATCACTTGAGACGCCGTCGGGGAGCCTGTTTATTCGTTTGATTTCTCATTGTCAGCTCACTGCACCGAGATGGTTTCATACACATGTACATGTACATGTGCATGGGCGCATATAAAAGAGCTGATGACTGAGAGGCACATACTTGTGAACCCATCGGGCAGGGTGATTAATCTTCTGTTGCAGCGTTCCCTGCATATGTGGAAACGCCTTGGCCGAGCTGCGAAACTTCATGCCTTTGCAGATGTTGTATCTGCCGCTCTTGCAGTAGTCGCACGACTCACATGGCAGACCAACCTCGAGCGCGACACGATCGCCTGGCTGGATGTTTGTGACGGCGGATCCCACAGCGACGACTGTGCCACTGGATTCGTGGCCCAGCGTCAGCGGCTCGCGGACGAGGATGTCGCCATTGCGGTAGTGGTTGTAATAGTGAAGATCTGAGCCGCAGAGGCCAGTTGAGTCGATGGAGACCTGGACTTCGTCTGTGGCGGGAGATTCTAGAGAGCGTTCAATCTGTGATGTTGAAGCCGTTAGCTGAGGGGACGCTTGTCTTCTGTCTTTTTTTTTTTCCCAACTCAAGGTTCTCTCTTCTCAAGACTGTTTTTCATACAAACTGAAGGTCCTTCTCGCCGAATAAGACGGAAGCTTTGACTGATTCGACAGACATGATGGAGAAATGAGAAGGAAAAGGAATAGCAGAGTGGTATCTAGCAGCTGAGAAGAGGCACAATCAACAAGATGCTGCGATAAGACGATGATCCGACTGCCTGCCTTGATTTCTCTACAGGTGGCTACTATGCATCACTCGACGACAATTGTCTGAGAAGCAAGATAAAAGAGAAGATGCCCAAATATTTTAATGACATAACAAATTGGTTCCCAAGCTCCGATATCGAACCCCCAGTAAGCAACACAAATTCTCCGTCTTCACTGCCATGATGCAGCTGTACCCCAGTTGTCTCGCTCCGCCGGCAAGCCTAGAGCAAGCCAAATCCACAAGTCTAAGCCGCAATGACCCGAGCCGAAACCAAACTAGAGGGCTGGAGGGACGAAACACAGGCCGGAGAACACGCCATGAACGTGGAGATGGTATGGCTTAGGCGCCCAAATGGCTCGAACAGCAGCTAATAGTGGCCTGTAGCACATCGGCACCAATTGCCGGAATAGGTGGTGCGCTTATTCAACTTCTCCAAATCGCGGGGCAATAGCCGATGCCCCTCCAAATGCCCATCCAGCTCCCACTTTAGACCTGTCTGTGGCGGAGACGTGATCTGGACGGATTTATTCCGTTGCCTTCTCTCGGGAATTGACCTTCTTCCTTTATTCAAATACTAACCGTTCTGCTTTTGGCATATTTTGGATATACAATTTTTTTTTCCAACCCCATCTGATTGTCAGAATACACAAAGAACGAAACAATGGCATCCATGTTCTCACTCGAGGGCTCTACAGCAGTTGTCACCGGTGCCACGAGGGGCATTGGACAGGCCGTTGCTATTGGGCTTGCCGAAGCCGGCGCAGACATTATTCTAATCCAGGTAGGTTTCAATTGCCGACTTGCTTACTTGCTTGCTTGCTTGTGTGCTTGGATCACTGGGCTGACATGGAGTGTTTTCTGGGACTCAGAGAGATACCACTTCAACGGCGACCAAAGAGGCCGTTGAAAAGGCAGGCCGCAAAGCATGGATCTTCACGGCTGATCTCGCTGTTCAAGAGCAAGTCGCAAACATCGCCAAGGACGTCACCGCCGCCGGCCACAAGGTGGACATTCTAGTCAATTGCGCCGGCATCCAGAGGAGGCACCCTTGCGAAGAGTTTCCTGATAATGACTGGAACGATGTGCGTATATATACATTTGGCTGGCTACTAGATACGTGTAAATCATTGTGGCTAACAAAGGGCAAACCATTATCCATAGGTCATCCAAGTCAACCTCAACACCGTCTTCACCCTCTGCCGCGACTTTGGCCGCGAGATGCTCTCCCTCCCCGTCTCTCCCGTCACCGGCCGTCGCGGCAGCATCATAAACTTTGCCTCGCTGCTCACCTTCCAGGGTGGCTTTACAGTCCCCGCCTACGCCGCGTCCAAGGGCGCCGTGGGCCAAGTCACAAAATCGTTTGCCAACGAGTGGACGGCCAAGGGCATCACAGTCAATGCCATTGCGCCTGGATACATTGAGACGGAGATGAACACTGCGCTGCTGAACAACCCGGAGAGGTTGGCGAGCATCAGTGCCAGAATTCCCGCGGGCAGATGGGGGTCACCCGAGGACTTTAAGGGGACTTCGGTGTACCTGGCGAGCAAAGCGAGTGGATATGTGAGTGGACATACTCTGGTGGTGGACGGTGGATGGATGGGCCGGTAGAGAAACCCGTCTTTTGAAAGTTGGAAACTGGGGCTGTATATAGACATGAATGATACCTGAGATGATTGAGATATTTGCTCCTCAATACAAAAAAAAAAAAAAATAATAATAATGTGCTCTTGGCTAAACTAGCACTTAGATGGACTGCGGCGCGAGATTTAACAAAGGGGTCAATAGGTTAGGCAAGATAGTCGTGCTTTTAAAATTAAAGGATTTCTATTACATGTCCAGCTAATTCATCCCACCCATCTCCTTAATCGTATCGGTGACGTCTAATATGTAGTAATCTAGAACCTTTCTAGATTTTACCTGCGCCGGAGGAAAAGCAACAAAAAAACAATCAGCTGCTATGCAACGTAAAATAAAACAGAGAAAAATGCCATCAAGTCTCTACCCCAGAGAAAAAGGGGCGTCATTATTACAAATATTTCTTTCTTCTTTCTCCTCTCTCTTCCTCGAATCGCGATTGGGGGAAAAAGGAGGGGGAAAAAAAGGAAGGGCTCTTAGTGTTTACTTTTGCCTCCCTCGTAGTAGTGGGCCATCTGAAGGCCAGCTCGTCGGAATCCACACTTGACGTAGAAGCCTTCGTTGGCGTCGCTGCAGTCGAGGATGCTCTTGTAGCAGCCAATCTTCTCGGCGACGTGGTCGAGGGCCTGGATCAGGCGGAGGCCGAGCTTCTTGCCCTGCTGATCCTTTGCGACGGCGATGTCTTCGATGTGGCCGACCTTGCCCAAGCTGTGGATGCTGTAGAAGAATCAAAGTTAGCTGCTGGTGTCTTCCGTCTTGGATCTAGAAGCCTCAGGGGGGGAAGCTCCATCAGGATCAGGGGTTGTCGGGTACGCGCAGTTCCCCGAGGATTCTTCTGCTTTCCAACTTACAATTTGTGCTCGACAATTAGGGCGCCGGTAGCCACGACAGAGTTCTTCTCTCGGGAAGTATCCTCGATGACGATGATAAAGTAGCTGTCCGAAGCCAGCATGTTGTCAAACTGCTTCTGGAACTTTTCCTCGCTGATTTCGCCGACCGTGGTCAGCACGCGGAGGCAGTCGAGGAAGCCAGAGTTGTAATCAGTGCGGCGAAGGGCTCGCAATTGGTAGCCCTGCGGTAGGGTGGCGGAGACGGCCTCCGAGATGAGGTCTTTGGAGAAGAGACCATCCTGGTCGGCGTCGGTGATGGTGATGGGAGGGATCGTGGCGGCGGGCGACATTGTGTTGGATTTTTGGATATTAACGAGTGAGAAAACGAGCGAGCGAGCGAGAGAGCTTCAGAGAAGAAGAGTAGAGAAGAGGAGAAGGGGCGAAGCTTGTTGTCGATCTTGGAGAGTTGGCCCTGTGGCTTTGTGCTAGCGTCGGACAAGGAGAGAGGTGGTTTCAGTTGAAAATCAATCAATCAAAAAAATCAATGACGCGCGCGGAGAGAGAGAGGGAGAGACGCGTAAGAACGAGTGAGGCGAGGATATAACAGAGAGTTGACAAGAGAGGAAGGAGATGGGAGAAGAGAGAAAGGAGAACCGAAAACAATGAGAGGGATTTGGAGACGATTTTGGCTTTGGAATTTAAAACAAGTTAGAGACCAGAGTGGCAGAGGCCCCAAAAAGTCAAACTGTGGACAGGGCGAGGCTGACTGACGCCGCTTTCGGGGTGTGCGAATAAGATCCCCAAGATGAGATACGAATGGCATAAAAATAGCAAGCGCTAGGCCTTTTAGAGAATTTCTCTTACTCGTGGTAGTTGATGATTTACATCTGGTGGTTTTTCTGACTTTGCACCTTCCAAGCTGTGTATTTGTTTCTTCTATGCTACAATCTAGGCATTTGAAAATCAAACACTTACTATTAAGAAATCAAAACGCGCTTCCCCTCCAAAACATTAATACGTTGTATAATAAACAAGTTAACAACTACGTAGAGCCATGCAGGTTTCCATCATATTCATTGACTGATCCTATTAGAAGCAGCATTAGTGAGTGAGTAGCTCAGCCCAATCCCAGCCAATGCCCTGGAACTGCGTGCCCTGATGGCCCGCTTCTAGTGGCTGTCGCGGGACCTGGTCGCTAAGGCGGAGGCGCAGCACCAGCACAAGCCAAGACGCTGAGAGAAATATCAACCATACAAATTTTAAGAATATTTAATAAAAGCAAATAAATCAGAAAATAATGCTCCGTAGAACACGGTAATGAATGCCTGCATTGCGTATCATATATTCTCACTCGATTAGATGATGTTTATGCCATCCCAACCCGGTCGTGAGCATAACCCTGAGCCCATGGCCCGTATCCCCTATTCTTGGGTTGCCAGTTCCCAATGCCCATCCGTCGCTACAGGGGCTGCAGGAGCTGAGTGGTACGTGCATACCCGGGTGGTAGTAGAACCCCACTGCGCTGGCAGCACTAAATACAGTGGTTGAGCGCCACAAGCACAGCGCTCTTAGCAGCTCGGCTCAGGGGCATCCAGCCCGAAGCCCTCTCTTCACATACTTGTACACACTGCATTTGTCCCCACCCCCCATGCCGCTGTTAGTGCTGCTGCATCCAGAGCAAGATGGAATATGTGCGACATTATCATATGAAGATGGCTGAGAGCGTATGGCAACAAAGTACGTACAAGAAGTTCCAGGTCGACAGTGATATGGCAGCAACAGAAAATCAAAGAAACAACGTCAAAGATAAAGATAAAGATAAAGATAAAGATAAACATTTCCCAGTGCCAACAACGCCATCCTTTATTCGTTGCCGCATCTCCCTTGATTAATGCCTCTGCTGCCTCTAATTTTACAACACCCAGTTCAATTGGAAGAACAAAAAAATATGACAGGAGGACCGTCCTGAATGATATCCGTACAGCCGCGTCTATAAAATCAATCATGTTTGCTATTCTTCTTAGCCCGAAACTAGAACCCATAGCCTGTCTCGAAGTTAGTGGGTGTAAAGAAGAAAAGGGAGGCATGATAGATAAATGGAAGCCTTAGCCCAACTTACAAGAAGAAAATCATCAAAACTCCAAACATCTTGGCAATCAGCCATCGGTTGCTCGACACTCGCGACCAGTACTTCATCAGCTCGCGCTGCGCTCCCTCCACATTGTCCACGATATCTTCAGTGTTGGCGTCGATTCTCTCAATCATCTCGCTCTGCTCGGAAACCATCGTGGCCAGCTGGCTGAAGATGCCGCCCAGCTCGTTGATTGTCCTCTCGATGGCCTCGATGGCCTCGCCTCGCTGCTGGATATACGAGTTGGTTGGGTTCGCCTCTTCCATCATCATCAGCTGCTGATCGCCCATGGGGCCCGGGTTTAGCGATAGAGTGTCGCTGCCAGGCGCAGGCGATGCCCGGTTCGGCGTCCCGTACAGCGGCGATGCCGATTGCTGCAGAGACGGCTGAGAGTGCTGCGCATGCTGAGACACTGAAGATATGAAATTCTCGGTACGCGATCGCGAGGCCTGGATGTTCTTTGTTCGAGCCTCCAGCACGTCCTTGAAATTCACAGAGACATCCGTCAACTTGCCCTGCAGCAGATAGACCACGTTCTTGTTGTGTTCGCCTTCTTGGTCTGCTTTCGGGTGCTGCTGCTTCGACATTGTCTGCAGGGCACCAATCTGCTGGTTCAGGGAGGACAGATCTTGCTTGATGACGAATGTGAGCTCGTTGATTTCCACAGGCCGGTCGTCAAAGAGGGTGCGGCGCTTTGCGACTGCTCAAAATGTCAGCTTTGCATCTTTGAAATTCAAGGCCTCGCAAATCCAATTCCGTCCAATGATTCAAGCCCCGACCAAAGAGCCATTGTCGTTTGATTTACTTACGCTGCGCCAGCTTTTCCAACTTGCCCATAGTGGCTGAGATGCCTCTTCCAATCTCCGCCGCCTTCCTGGCAAAGTCTGATCTCCTCACACGACCGTCTCCATTCGCGGCTGACTTTTGCGCGTCGTTGAGCAGTGATTTCCTCTGCGCGCTCGCCTTGTTGGCATTTTGGCGGCGTTGCGCCTGGGCGAGGACCGACTTGAACTCGGCGGTTCGGTCCTGGATCGAAGCGACGGCCATCTTGCAATGCTTTACTGTACAGAATCTGTATCCCGGACTGCGACCCGCGCGTCTGGTGTGTGGTGGCGACAGAGGAGAGTCGAGGTCCTGTCTTTTTTCCCTTTCGTCGGGTAGCCTCGTCGCCCAAATATCAAAGCGGCTAGCCGGGGTAAGCTGCTGGAGCAACCTCTCGTCGATTATTCGTTGTAGAGTGTCGAGAATAGAGTATGATATTAAAAACGGAGTTTAGCTCTCTGCCGGCAACCGAGGGCCCAGGAGTCGAGGCTGAACTGGAGTAATGTGGAAATATAGTCGTGGTCGCTTCGGAAATGGCAGATTCAGGCGGGCTGGTGGCGCGGCAAGGATAGGTTAATTAAAAACAAAAGTAAGTAAGACGTAAACTCGAAAAAGGTATAAGGAGCGAAGTCCCTGCTGAGGGTCGAAATGATGGGGTTGAAGAGAGTCGATGGTGTCGTTCGTAACGGCTGCTCTAGCGCACAGGGAGATTTGATGAATCCACGTTGTTCGAATTGCAAGGTCGCCACACGTGCGTCCTCATTGGACCAGAGGCCGGCAAAGTACCGCCATAGAGTCTGCATTACGAGAAGATACTTTGAATCGCCTGTCTGGCTAAGGCTTGGAGTGGATAGCGGGCGCCGGGGTAGGCATAGCCACCAGAGAACTCGTCAGGAGGATCCCGCTAGTTCACGGCCGTGTCTGAGTAGTCTCTACTTTGGCTCGATTGTGCAGAATGGGGACAGTTCTCGATGGGCTCTGGTACCCGGTACCTGGCTTGGGGCCGTTCTAGCCCGTCTCTCCCTTGGAGTCTGACTGTAGAGCCTGTGCCGTGCCATCATCGATCACCAGCCACAGGCGCTGCGACGCGCCAGCCTTTCGCTTTCCCCAAGTATTTTGTACCGCATAATGCTTGGCAGGTGCTAAATGCACAAAGCACTACTAAGTAGGTAGGTATCTCCTGCCTCAAGAGTGCCACCATCGGATTCGCGCCTTCCTCCTCTCCTCATCCTCGCCAGATCGTGACGAATCTGATCGCGGCGCTCTTGTTCGCTTTTTGTATCAACCATTCATCTTATTTGTCGGCGTGTTATATTTTTTTTTCTGGGCTGTTTTCTCCTGTGTAGCCCTTGCCGACGACGACTTACTCCGCTCGAAGTGATAATTTTCGCAAAACCGCAAATAAATCAATTTATTCGTCGTCTTGTTTTCTGTATCTGCGGTTTTCAAAGGGACAGCAAGCAGCTGGCCACAAAACCACTCCTACCAGCTATACGCCTGGAGGAGGGAGCCATTCCTATCTGGCAGGCCTCTGCAGCTCTTTATTTCAGTTTGAGGAAGCATGCTTAGAGCTTAGATCTAGACAGTAGGAACGCTTTCGCATCCTGTCCAAAGACACAATGGAGGGCTCGCACAACCAGCAAGTGAGGCGAGCTCAGACTTCTCTGTACGAGCTGCTCCCCATTTTCTCACATCGCAGCTTTTAGACTAACCATTGGCCCTCGCCTTACAGAAACCCAGAGACCCCGTCTACAAGCTACCAGGTCAATGTTAAGCGCAATAAGACCAGGAAATGGGTTGAGGCTAAGGTCCAAAACTATGACGGCGACGACTGGGGAGCTGACGAATACGACGAAGAATCTGATCCTGATCATGACTCCTCGGCAACTCCTCCTCCCCCCATCAACCCCTCGCTGCGCACCTTTTCCGGCACCGATCTGCTACATTCTCGCCACAACACGCCCAGTCCAGCCTCGAGCTTGAGTGCGTTGCCGTCGTTGCGATCACAAGTTCCGCAGCCTCCCGCTGTGCCACCAGCCAGCGAGTCTCCGCGCATTGCAGTTGCATCGCCTGATGTGTCGGACCTATCGGTTCGCAGCAACTCGGACTCGATTGCCAGCCCTCATGTAGTATCACCCCAGTCTGTGCAGGGCCGTGACGGCGATGGTAGCAATCTGCCGTTGGCCGGCATTGCTCAGCTGCCTTCGCAGGTCCAACAACAGCAACAACAAGGGCCCGGCGGCTTCAACGTGTCGCGCACCCCCAGCTTTGAACAGGCCGTCAAGCCCACGTCTACACCTCCGGTTGCTGGTGATCGCTTCGCGACACCTCCTCAGAATCCCGCCGCATCCCCGCCACCCGCAGACCAACCGCCTCCCGTCATTTACTCTCCCAATAACTACAGTCGCCTTCCGGACGAGAATGAAGATCACGCGGCTTTAGCGCTCGCTCCAACTACCACCGCTGGAAGCGATCAAGGTGCATTCGCGCCAAAACCTTTGGTCAGGGAAGATACACGCGATACCTGGGAAAGGGACGAGGAGCCTTCCTCTCATGCTGACCAGCCTGGTGTCCCGGAAATCTCTCCAGACGTTGCTGAGTCTCAAATCGACCGTGGGCGAATGTCTGTTAGTCCAAAGCTGCCAGACCTTTCACGCATGTCTGCCTTTGGAGCAGACCTCTTCTCATCGTCTACGAGTAACAATTTTCCAAAGGAGCGTGTCATTGATGAAAATCAAGCGGACAGAGGTGAAGAGCCGGCTGCCAGTCCAGCAGCTGCCCCTCCAGCCATTGACTATAGTCAAACCGCTCCACCGACTGAAGGCCAAGATCACTCAGAGGTACCGGGCGGTGCGCCTCTTTCTCAATCTTCTGATCTGTTTCCTGGCAGAAACATTCCTTCTATCCCTCCTTTGCGAACCCCTAGCCCCCACGAACCCCGAACTGCCGTTCCCATGTTTGAGTCACAAGGCACGAAGATTACTCCAACAGAACCTCTTCAGCCGGGCAGAGAAGAGTCTTTGGCAGATGTTGAAAATCCTCAGCTGTTCCAAAGAATGCAGACTTACAGCACCAGCACATCATCTCCCGTTAAAGATAGTCCTCTGAAAGAGAATGACGTGCTCAGCGACGAGATTATGCGGACCCTCAGCCCTTCAGGTGCGGTCGCTGCTGAAGTCAAGCCTTTCAGCGACGGCCCTCAGCTGCATCCAGCGGGAGATCGGAGTGCCGTTAGAGAGAGTAGCTACACACTTGGTGACTACGATAGCTACTGGGCAGATGCTGCAGCAAGCTTGGACGATGCTTCGGCACCGCCACATGAGACTCTCGCCACTCCACAGCCGCCTCAGCAATCGGTACAGGGACAGCAGCAAGGAGAAGGAAAAGAGGAGCCTCAGGAGCTTCAGGAGCCTCAGTCTTCACTCAGACGAAGATTCTCTTGGGAGGACGAGCAGCGCACCCCCACGGGTCAGCCTCAGACTCCTACTCCTCTGCCAGCCCCGCCAGCAGATGATGGCTCCTCTGCTCCTGCGCTTCATCTTACTGCGCCGTCTGGCCAGCCGCTTGAGCCATCCGTGACGAACTTGACTAACGAATCTCGTAGCCATAGCCCTGTATCCCAGCTGTCGCAAGCACCACCAGCGGGATCTGGCGTGGGTGCACCACTGGCGCTTCAGACGTCTGTCCTGGGGCATGATTCGTCATTCCCAGAGCCTCCTTCTCCAGTGTCTGTGTCTGTCCTCAGTGATAAGCCTTCTACCACTGCCCGTGAACAGTCATGCCTGTCTATTGCGGATGAGAAGGTACTGGTTGACCAGGGATCCGTCAGTCTGGAGACGGGAACTCCACCTCCTGCAGAATCTCACCCGGCCATATCTTCACCGACTTCTGCAGCATCTGTACCCGCTCCACAGACCCCTGTTCACAACGCGGCACTCCCACAGGCCAAAGCAATGAACTTTAAGGACATTATGGCTTTGTCAACGCCGTCAGAGAGGATAGACAAGTATGGCGAGGCGCGCCAGATCTTGGCTGCCAGAGACTCTGGCCTGGACACTTGGCTTGTGCACATGTCCACAGAGCACCCTGAGCTCCCGGCGTCCAAGTCTGTTCCCGGCCAGACGTCTCAATCAACTAACAATGCTGCTCTGCCGGCGGGAGCTCAGCCCTCCGGTCAACAGCCCTATCACCAGCACTCGCCCAGCACAGCCGGGCCACAAAGCGGCGGAGGTGGCGGCGCTCGCTCCAGGTTGGGTGGATTGTCGATGCCATCTCAGATGTCCGGCAGCGCGCTCAGTCACTCGGGCAAAGAGATTGGCAACAAGAGCAAGGAATTCATGCATTCAGCTGGGAAGATGGGCAAGGGACTGTTGAGCAAGGGCAAAAGCAAACTGCGCGGAAGCGGGGACAAGGTATTTCATTGATTGATTTTTCTCTCTTTAAGACCCTACTCGCAGTGAGTGGGCCCAATCTTCTTTCCTCTTCATTTTCTTCCCTTGACAGGAATAATATTCTTCTCTCGCTCTCACTCACTCTGCCACTCTCTCTTACTACTTTCTGGATACAATGTCGGCTCTCTTGAATGATGCTCTGAGATTAGAATACTCTGTATCCGCCCTTCCCTTTATATGGGGCTAAAAAAGAAAAGAAAAAGACCAACAATTGGGCATCATGATGTGTGAACCGCGGGCATATGGCATATGAGATAGGAATTACACGGCAATATTTATTTGCCTTTTTTTTTTCCGAAAGCTTCTTCTTCACACCAACATTCCCCATATAATTCTCCCTCCGTCACACCCTCCTCCGCCACTGCCCATGAAACGAACTGCCTTTTCTTGACTGGTCATAATGTGGTGAATGAATATTAATCTCTTCTCTTCTTCTCACTAGGTCGATACCATTCCGCCGGACCATCCAGTCCCCCACAAACCGCACCGACGCTCGACATGGCGCTTCAGTCTCGAGCCAAGACCTCAGGACGATCCTGCCCCACATACCAGCAGCGTCGAGATTATTGAGACGACTCCGCCACAGCTGCCCGACCCGTCCCCGATCTCACCCTTGAACGCCGCATCGGGGGCTGGATCGGCCTTTCCATGGACCGTCGAGAACGACATTCCACACCAGGACGTGTCGCCGGTAAAAGAATCCATCGACGACGACGAGCGCGTCAGATTGGACGAATTAGTAATCGCCAATTCCTTCCTGCCTGGTGCTTATGCGTCAGCAGAGCACGGCGAGGGCTTCTTCCCCGCTGGCCAGCCGGGGGCGTCGGACGTGAACTTGGACATGGTGACACCGGACGACTGGGTGGTGGTGCAACACCAAGGCGAGCAGAGCCAGGCCCAACGAATGTCCCTGTCGCACAGAGCCATGGCCACGCAGGACATCGCGGGTCCCGGAGCTGCGATCGGCTCTGCAGTCGGAGCTGCAGCCGAAGCTAATGCGCCCCAACATCAAGCCTGGCAGCCACCAACCCAATCCCAAACTCAAAACCAGCCCCAGAGCGGCCCGGATACGCCCCAACGCAACTCGTCCTTCATCGGCCTGCCGCCTATCAGGAGAGGCTCAACGTTTGGTCCCAAGCCCAAGGCTCGACGGGCCACCGAGCGTTTCTCCCTGGACGATGAGGATGACAATGCCGATAGTGCCAATGGCTGGGCTGTTGCCGGCGCCGATGGCTATGATGGCGTTCATCCTGCTCAGCGTCCAGGCGGCGGCTTCGATAGGCCAGCTGCAGCTCCCGCAGAGGCGTTGATGAATACGAGTAAAACCCTTCCCCCTCAGCCAATGCAAGGGGTACCGCTGCCGACGGCAGTCAACTTTAGTCAGGGGCAGCCCCCTAATGCGGGTCGCCAGTACCAGCAACCACAGCAACAACAGCAACAGTCGCAGCTGCAGCAATATCCTGGGGGACCTAATCCTCAATTCGCCCAGATCGGCCCTCACAACGTGCCTCCGGGAATGCCAGCGCCAATACTGAGTAGCTTAGTTCAGAAACCTCCGCCTACAGGCTCGTGGAAGCTAGAAGAAAGCCATTTGACTGCGCCACTTCAAGTCACCAAGAAGCGTTCCGGCACAGATATTGCACAGCAGTTTGCCTATAGCGCATACGACAAAGAGCTTGGTTTAGAATATCCAGCTGCTCCAATGCCTCCCGCCCAAGGCCCTCCAGGGCGATTCAGGAGCGACGTGCCTCCATCATCTGCTCGGCGCTATCCAGACTTATTTTCTCTATCCCCTGCGCAAGACCCGCGGCAGCAGCACATTCGAGGCCAAGGATTTCCTCCTCCCCAGATGCAACAAGGCCGCCCGCCTAGAGAAGGGGCGGCTGGTCCACGACAGCAGCAGCAGCAGCAGCAGCAGGGCGGGCCAGAAAGCCCTGCGAGTGGCATGACAGCTGAGGATCGTGGCCGTAGGAGAAATTCTGGCATCTTCAGAGACATTGGAACGCGACTTGCGAGGGCAACCTCTAGAGAACGCCGGAGCTCTGTTTCTGACGTTAAGCCGCGAGGAGATGAAATGTCTGAAGGCAGCGTGGTAACGGAGGATGCCTCGGATCGAAAGAGAAAACGAGCCAGCTTCTTCGGGCTCAGTGGCCGCCCTATATCGGCGGATCAGGCTCCCCGAAATCAAGCTGGAGGTGAGGTGCCCACTGATTTTCACGAGGAGCGGAAGCGGTCTTTATTCGGTGGCGCACCCCTCAAGATAGGTCCTGGTAACTTTTCTCGCTCGTCTACCGCAAACTCCGCGTTTGAGCAAGCTGCTGGTCCTGGTAGCGAAACAAATCCGCACAAGAGGAGGATATCCGACATCGCCAAGGTATCTGGCATTGCAGGCCTGTTTGGTCGCTCCCGTCAAGATCGGTCTTCATTAGGCGCAATTCCCACATCCCAGCAGAGCGATGAACAAAGACAGACCTCTCAAGCGTCGATTCAGATACCACCTATGCAATTGCCATCTTTGGATTTTGCATCCGACCCGCTGGAATCCATGTCCAGCTTGGGATTCGAAGAGTCATTCCAGGATTACCGTCGTGAAGAACAACCTACTCAAAAGCATCTTGTCAATTCTCAACTTCACTCTGCTCCTCCTGACAACTTTATCAACACTCAAGCTAGAGCAGTCTCTCCACTGTCCAATATTGTGAGCGCCCAGGAGGGGGCAGTTCCTGCAGTGGTGGCACCGCCTACGATTAATCAATCAGCACAGGGAATGCCCCAGGACAATCCACAAATTGACCAAGATGTTGCCGGCGGAGAGGATTTGGAAGCGCCGCCGGGGCTCCAGGCGGACTCGATGGACGAAAAGACTCCCAAGCTTCAGGATTTCATCTTCCAGGAAAAGATGGCAGCTCTCCAACTCAGCGGATTGGACGATAATGTTAGCGAAGAAGAGATCTCGAGATCACAAACAGTGTCTCCGGACATATCTATCTCGTCTAATACCAAGGCGGAGGAGCACATTCCTGAGCGAAATGAGATTTTGATTACGCCGCCTCCTGAGACGTCTCTTCCTGCACCTGCGGATTCTGACGCCATCAACCATTCTGCTGTTGCCAGGGATCTACCACCATCGATCCATTCTTTCCCATCCGTCTCTTCACTTCGTGAAAAATCGGACGCCAAGTCTGTTGAGCAAGAAGAAGGCTCTGTGCATCAAACCAAAGAAGAAGAGGCGGCAATTTCTCGTGAACCTTCGCCACAGATTGCAAAGTCGGAGGTATCCAGCAAAGTTGCAACCCCGACATCTGAGCACCAGCAGCTGCACTCGCCGGCTTTGGCCGCTGTGAAGGTGTCAGAGACCCAAAGCCCTGAGCCGCCGGCCACTCCCCAGTCTCAGGTTCGGCCTGAACCCCAGCAAAGGCCTGAGTTTCAAGCTCTACCCGAGCCTCAGCAGCTACCTATATCTCAACAGAGACCTATATCTCAGGAGCGACTTGAATCTGAGCCGCGACCTATATCTCAACAGCGACCCATATCTCAGCAGCGACCCGAACCTCAACAGGAACCCGAACTTCAGCAGGGGCCTGGGCCTCAACAGCGGCCTATATCTCAGCAGCGACTGGAATCTGAGCAACAATCCGAATCTCAACGACCTGAATTTCAGCAGCGGCCTACCTCTCAGCAGCGGCCCATGTCCCAGCAGCGGCCTCCACTAGCACCAGACCAGAGACAGCAGTTTCAGCAATTTCATGCCCAGGGATCAGTTGTTCCTGTCGGTGGTAACCAACCAGTACTGCAGCAGCGGCCTCAATACCCGCCCTCAGTAAGCATCTCTAACGCCTCCATCGCTTCAGAGGCATCGACTCCAATCTACAGTACCCAACAATCTAGATCACATAATCTCTTCCCAGGACTTCCCGTCTCACCGGGACGAGCATTGACACAACCTCCAGATGGCTCAGCTCAACAGAAAGAAAACCAAGGATCACGATGGAAGGGGTTTAGGAATCGAGTGACAGAGCAAATCTCCCAAAAGACACAGCCGCAGCAGCAGCCGCCGCCGCAATTACAGCAGCAGCAGAGTCAGAGCAAGACTCTTGTGGGAGAGAAGATCAAGGGCAACAAGCTGCTGGGGGCTCTCAGGCGAACGTCAAAGCAGCCGGAGCTTGTCCAAAGTCAGAGCCTTGAGCCGTCTCCCAGCTCCAGGCAGCTTCAACACCCGAACCCACAGCCTCATCCGCAAGGATATCAGCCGCAGCCTGGACAAGTGCAAGGGCCACGACCTCCTGCTAACCAGTACCTGCAACCATCTATGCAACAGCCCCCTAATCTTCCCAGGGCGAAGACCATGCCCGCTGGACATTTACAGCAACAAGGCGCGCCGCCGCAAGGTCAAACACGCTCATCAGAACCACGGTATGAAAGCGTTCCAATTCCCAGAGGGTATGCCGCAGTGCATGGCGAGGGTAGAATAGTGCCATCACCGTATCAACCAAGTCTTCGACAACACTTGCCGCATGGTCAGTTTGCTCCTCCACAGCCGCATATGCAACAACAGCAGCATCCGCATCTTCACCCTCAACAACATGTGCAACGGCAATGGCAGGGAGCCCACCCTCCACCCATGAGTTATCAGCATCATCATCAGCCTCAGCCTCAGCCAGCTCAATATCACGGTGGCCAGCAGTCACCTCCAATGGTTCAGGGCCCAGTTTCGGCACCTTTGCCTCATGAGAGACCTCTTCATATGAGATTTCCATCCGACCCTCGGTCCGACTACTTTCATTCTCAGAGTTCTAGCTCGCTAAATACCCAGCATAATAGACATAATTCCCAGGGTAGCCAGAACAGCAGAGTTGGACTACCACGACCTCCCAGTGATTTAGGCAGCAATCTGGGGAAATCGCATTCGGCCAGTCCACAGCCATCTGAGAGAGAAAATCTTCCTGTTGTAGATGGTGTTCGATCTGCCTCACGAAGTCCAGCTGTGTCGGTTGGAGCCGATCAGAAGCCGGATTTGAAGCCTGAAACAAAGTCAGATAAGACTGCTGAGTCGACTCGACCTTCAAGCCTTGGCATAGATATAGAAAAGGCTCAGCAGCTAGAAGAGGATGACCTTTATTCTGCCACACCTAGGAAGATAGAAAACGGCGTGCAACCTACTATATCTCGAACCATGTCGAACGAACAGGCAGAAAGCTCAGCGGGTGCAGCTACGCAGGCAAACGTGAAGCGATCTAATACCGTGTTAGCAGAATTGGAGGACACCGAAGAAGCACGCAAGCGAGCCATTAGGCTGGCGTCGCAAGAGGAGAAGATATTCTACGAGCCTGAGGACGAGATGCCCAAAATGAGTGCGACTAGTTATCCCGGCCAAGAATGGAACCCGTTTGGCGAACAAGAGTTTGCAGACTGGAGGGAAGATTGAACTATTTAGTTCACCGGTACATATGACAAATTGCCATTTATTTATTTTCTTTCACATTTTTCTTTCCTTCCCCCCCCCCCCCCCCTTATATATTTAATCCAGCTCTGTAATTTCTCCCTAGAGAAGACATACGTGTCGTTTCAGATACCCAATTCATTTTCATTTGTACAAATGGCATGGATGAGAAGGATGGAAGAGAAGAGCAATGTTGGCCAGAGAGAAATTGAACGCTACAACGAGAAATTGATTGCAACCATGTAATTATACAGAGATACAACATGTACTAGAAGTGCTCACCCGTTAATTCCATCAACTTGTTCTAAACATGGATGATATTTGCTACAAGCCTATATTATATACCCAATAGTATTATTATATTCGCCCGAGTTTGAAGAAAAGATATACATATGCCTATGTTCAGTAAATCCGTTGTCATTTATGCTGTGGACAGTTGCTGCTGATCCAATACTAGAACCTCGGAAGTTATAAGAGAAAAAGCTATGAGTGTTTGTTTAATTATCAGAAAGTGTAAGGAATTTCATGAATGATGGGTAGTGATGCAGATATCTATCTGCATTCAATTGGCTGCACAAGCCATCACTATGTTGAGTTGAAATCACAATTTTGCTTGTTACATCTTTGAAGCATTTTTTCCTTTCTCATTCTTTTTACTCAGATTTTTTGCCCTCTCCCTTCTTCTTCTTCTCATTATTAAACAAGTATATTGATTGCATTCACATGGCTCGTGGTGGTGGCTAGGTAGTAATCCCGCCTTAGGTAATGTAATGTGGCGGCACTTCCGGCGACAGAGACGAAATGATGACGGAATCGGTTGGTTTAGCAGGTTACGAAAAGAGAAATGTATCATCAAGCGTACTCCGTATGGGGTACGGAAATGGCAACATGATTTAGGACTAGACTGATTTGTGCTCATCTTTATTTGACGGCCGCAGTATGAAAGTATAATGCCTTTTTTTCTTCTCTCTGAGCGCTTAGGAGGCAGAGAGGCCAGATGGCGAGGGTGACGCGTTTACATTGCGCAGCGTCAGTTTGGTATGTACTGTACGAAACATCCCCCTTTCGGTACTTTTCAAGTAGATCTGGGGAATATCGCTTTTTGGCTGTGGTGCGTGTCCCTTCGAAGTGTGCTTGAAAGCGGCTAGGTCGCACGCAAGGTATCTTTTTGCATCTGTAGGGGGGTATTACGGAGTACAGAGTCGTGTTGTTTGACACTAGTTCCGACAAACTGGTAGTATTTGCAGTACTTTGTGTATCTGTGGCGGCTCCATATATCTCGATGCAGAGGACTTATGGAATTTTGGTTACGAGCGCGCTCTCGTATGCACTGGATTGGGAAGTGTGATACGAGGCCGCCGAGATGGGGCGCGCGCAAATTGTGCCTGATGATCCTCGTCAGTTTCAGGTAGTGGATTTGCAATGGCGCAGAGAGAGAGAGAGAGGGGGAGAGAGAGAGAGAGAGAGAATCGCTCTAAACAAGGCACTCGCTTGGCTGCTTTTTCCCTTGGGAATACGAGCGAGGAGGCCGTAATACCACCTGCTTCTAGCGGATGAACAAACGGCATACGGGTACCTGTGGGCGAGCGGGAGGATTCTGCGGAGTAGCAGTGGCTTTATCGATGCATTGCTTCAGTAGATGCGTTGGACTTTTGTTTTTGTTTTTTTTGGAGGGGGCCGATAGTTGGGCCTGTGGCGAGCGCGCGGGGGCCAGCTATTGATTGATGCTTGTGATATTCATTGATGTGACGAAAGGTAAATCAATTAATTGGCTGGGCCAGTGATGTGAAGTGATGTGATGGACTTGTTGGCAAACAAGACGTGTTGTATGTTGTTTCATGCGTTGTTCTTGTCTTTGCTGTGGCCCCCTGATTCAAAGCAAGGAGCAGGTCCTCAAGCACGCCTCGGAAGCAAGTCAAAGGCTCAATTGGCTCTTTTATCAAAGGCGAGGATGCACGCAAAAGAGGCCCAGATGCTGACTGGTATGGAGGCGAGAGGCTACATGCACAAGTAAGCTAACGGCACACGCCATGGGTCGCTCTAGGCGCCCCAAGCAGCGACCCCTGCATCTGAGAACACCTGACGCGCCTTTGCAGGGCCTGGATGCGCTGTAGGCGCTGTAGGGGAGCAAGGCAGCCGGCCGTTTTCTGCACAGGCGTCATGTACCAGTATGTAGGGCGATGGAGCCGCGTCCCTGGCGCGAAGCCCGGAGTTTGGACATGTATCGAGCAGCTGCATGCGAGACGCTCCTGGTTAATGGCTGCAGGTGAGGAACCTTCTTGTGCAGTAGCACAGCGTAGTGTCGGAAGAAGTCACAGAAATGTCACCCGGGCGGTAGCTGCCGCTGCTTTTTGGCCAATATATTTCAAATCAAAAACGACGACGAATGCGTAAGTAGATTTCGAGGCACGATGCCGGCAATTGGGAGCTCAGGCCTCTTTAGCCGCCAAAGTAATAATAATAATAATAATAAATAAATAATAATAAATAAACAATAATCAACCGTCATGGTGACATGCTAAGAGGAAATAAAAAGGAAAAAAGGGAAAAAAGGAAATAAAGGATCGAGACCAGCTCCAAGACCGTGCGCACTGGCCAGGTACAGGATACATGCGCATATACGGATCGCTGCCCGCCCTGACAGGATACTGCCCCAAGTACCCAGTACGGGCCCTTGCGTGTTGATGGTAGCGCCGCAGCGTCAGGTCTCCGTCATTGGCTGTTTTGTGTACAGTGCTGCGTGTTGGACAGTTTTGGACAAGAGGAGACCCGAGAGACTGCAAGAGAGCACAAGATCGAGCTGAGAGACACGAGTTGAGCGAGGAAAAGGTCCCAGCCGCTGTACGCTGCAATTCCATAAAAAAGAAAATACTACCCAATCAGGGTTAGGGTTATCGGACGGGGCTGCTCAGCAAAGGCGCTAGCGGCTGCAGGTACCTTTGCATGTCACTCCTCTCTTGCCTCCTCAGGTATCAAATCAGCCATCACCAACTGCCCTTTCTTCTTTTCGCTGGCGATGGCTTCATGCTGTACTTCCATCCACTCTGCAACATACCGCATCCATACTGTACTGTACTGCACATACCACACAACATAAATACGTACGTACATACAGCCATACAGCCTCCAACGCCGCAGCTGTCACGTCACAGGCCACAGCAGCTGGGGCCCTTGCTCCAACCTTGACTCGCCTTTTTGTTCCACCTGCCCCGGCTATCTATGTACGACGCCCATCCATGTGCCTCGTGGAGCTGTGCTGCTGCATCAAGTTCCCCACCGGCTAGGCCAAAAGTGCCCTTGGCGATAAAAGAACCGCGCAGGGCAACGAGCAGAAGAGAGGCCAACCAAGTTTTAGTGACGAGGGAACCTCCAGATCGGCTGGGCCGCCTGATTCCATTTGACGTAGTACGTATGCACTGGGCATTGCATCAACCAACCTATTCGATTCATACCTAGTCTAGTCGGCCATCAGCATCATCATGGCAATACCTATTCCACGGCGCTACTAGCACCCGGATAACACGAACTGCTTCATGCTTTCCTCCAGCTAACCAGTCGACTTACTCGGTACCAGACCTTATTCTATCAATCAATTTTCCCCCTCTCCATCTCACATCATCAGCAACCCCTGTTCTCTCGTCGTCTTTCTCCTCATTTTCGGCACGGCATCAACAGATGCGCAACGAGAGTCGAGCCGGGGCATCGAATTCTGCCGAGTGACGCTCCGCCACCAGGCCTGGTCCAAAACCCGCTCCATTGGGGGAAAACGAGGCTTGAGCGTGGCGCTGCCGGCTCTCCTTGCTTCTCGACTGGCACCATCGCAGGAGCTAGCACCCAACTTCTCCAGACTAGGTACGACTAGTACCTGCAAAGTAGCCCAGTGCGGCTTGCGCGAGAAGCCAAGCTTGGGGCCATCTTTTTGCCTGCCGCGCAAAGAAAAAGACGCCATTTGACAACGGGCTGAGCGAAAGAGAGGCTATTCGTCGCCCGCTTCCCTCCCTCATGGGCCAAGCACAGCACCCCTCACAAGAAGGCTTTGTACGCTTCCCATCCATCGATCAGTCTTACTCCTCCCATCTACTACCACTACTACTACTACTGTACAACACCACGATTCGCGTGCGGCTCAACAAATTCAATATCGACCTCTTGCGATCCAACAAAGAAAGACGCACCATCCACCGAATATCAAAGACCAAGCGAGAAAGACGAGAAGCGTTGCAGCAGCAGCAGCAGCAGCACGGCGGCGTCGTACTCGTATACACGCCCTAGACCCTTTTTCGGCACCCTTTCCCTCGCCCGTTTTTATTGCACATCCTTGGCTTGTGCGCTGCCAAATCTTCTCGACCGTGTGCCGCGCTTCCTTTTTCCGACCGACCTCCTTTATTACCAGCTCCGTAGTCCGGCATCCGACAACGCCGTCTTAGCTCTCTTTGTTCCTTGATTTTTTCTTTCTTTCTGGTCTTGCCAGTCTCAGAATCCCTCCCTCACTCTGCTCGACGCTCTGTCAGGTCTCTCCATCAGATCAGCCTCTCGCTTTTTAGTATTCCCCATTCGGGTATCCGCAAAATCGTTCTGCGCGCGTTCAGCGCCACATACGCTTGGCGCCTTTTTCCCTGCGAACTCTCTTTGTTCCCTTTCAGCACTCCTTTTGACTTCTTTTTCTTTTCGATACCTGCATAGTACATCCTTTACCTCCAGGACTACTAGTACTACACCTATTCGCTTATACCATACTTTGCATCCTTTACAGCCTTTTATTAATCCGATTGCGGCCAGCGGCAGGCTAGTGCTGGACTCTTTGCTTGCTGCTTTCTCAGCCGTATTCTACTCTATTTTTTACTCGTCAATTTCCCAACTCCTCATCCTCATCCTCCAACATCTATCCTCTCTTGCGCCATCCTCTACCAGAGGGCCTTTGGGGTTTCTTCTTTATCCTCTTCTGCGATCAGCGACAGCGACGAAACGAACTCGAAATACGGAAAACACCGACAGTGATTGATACCAGTGACGGCATCGCTCGCGAAATAGCGGCGATTGAGTGAGGAAGGAAAGACCCGGCTCACTCAGCCTTTGCTTCGAGGAAGCTGCAACTATGGATTCGTACGTCATACCTGCATGCATGCTCCCTCTTTCCCGCACCTCCACTCTTGTTCCCGCCTGCATCGCTTGATTCCGACGTCCCGACCGGTATCTGAATTTAATTTTTTGATATTCTTGTTTTGAGTTTGATTTCACTTTATTTAATTTTATGCTTCCACATTCCAACCGCGTCCTGAATCTTGAGCTTATCTTGCGGCACAAATGACTCGTTCTTAAGACGATGCGAAGAAACCATGGAATCGCCCACTAACTTATCCTTCAGCTTTATCCACGTCGCCGGCTGGTCTCAGCATTTCCCCTCCTCAGCACGATCTCTTAGCCATCTGCGGTCAATATCAACAACTCCCGCATCTGTCGACGACACATCATCATATGGGCCTCGACCACCGCCCAAATCACCATCGGTTTCGCAACTGCCCATCATTTCACTGGCGTCAAAGGCCTCATCCTACTTCTCCAGCAGTGAGATGAGCACCCTCCCCGATCCCCGAATGCGAACCGCCAGCTCGTCTATCAACGGCGCCAGGCCCTCGACCTCCCACTTGGGCATCGGCCACGACGACGACGACGGCTTCTCGACTACTTCCCAACATCCCGACCTCAGCGATGAAGTTGCTACGCTCAGCACGAAGCTCATTCACGCCATCAACCATCAAACTGCGCTTGATGATACATTGTCAGCAACCCGCCATGAGCTAGACGCTGCCCACGGGCGCATTCGCGAGCTGGAGGCTCAGGTGGCCTCTCAGCGCGAAATGATGGCCGGTGATGTCTGGATTCGCAAAACTACGCTAGAGAGTGAGCGTAGAGACTGGCTGGCCGAGAAGAAAGTCATCCAACAGAAGCTTTCTGAAGAGACCAAGGGCCGGTTAGAAACAGAAAAAGAGAAGCGAAAGATTGAGCAAGAGCTGGAAAATCTCACGACGGCCCTGTTTGAGGAGGCAAATAAAATGGTCATTGCGGCCAAGGAAGACGCTCAGTTCCAGCATGACATGTTACAGAAGAAAAACGACCAGCTCAAATCTCAGCTCGCCGATTCCGAGAGCCTTCTCAAGTCGCAACAGGAGCAGCTATCTGAACTGAAACTGGTCATGGAGACCATGATGATGGAGCGTGACGACCAGACTAACAACACAACACCCTCAACTCCTGGCTTCGATTCCAAGGACGAAGACCACATGCTCGCCGAGAAGCCGGCACCCTCTCCTTCCGGACACTCTACCGAAACCCAACACACCCCGGCTCCTCCCACCAGCTACACCCATCTTATCCAGCCAGTCTTGCGAACCGACCTTGCCGCATATGAAGACTTCATCGCGCTTGCTCACCTGTCTCATCAGCGCTCGGGAAGCCGCGTTTCTGGTGGCTCTGTTGGCGGGTTCATTGGACTTGGCGGCTCAACTTCTAGTGTACATGTTTCTAACGGGTCTACTTCATCATTGGGTGGCTTTTCAAGCAACAATAATAGCACACCACAGTCTCCTAATGCCAATGGCTCAACAGCTACAACGATCCCTCATCTCAAGGAGACTCGCTTCTACAAGCGCACCTTGACTGAAGATATCGAGCCAACACTGCGCCTTGATGCCGCGCCTGGACTGTCATGGCTAGCTCGTCGTACTGTCCTGGCCGCCGTGGCCGACGGTTCGCTAGTAGTAGAGCCTATCCCAGTGCCGACGACGTCATCCGGCTTCCTTCCTGTCCCGAAGCCGCAGTTTTACCCTTGCGCTCTGTGCGGTGAATCTCGCAAGGATGTAGAGCACCTGCGCAACTACCGTTTCCGCGTGAGCGAGGCTGACTCTGCCCAACGGTATCCTCTTTGCAGCTATTGCACCGTCCGTGTACGATCCACTTGCCAGTTTATCGGATTCCTTCGAATGATTAAAGATGGATACTGGCGCGCCGATGACGACGAAAATGAGAAGGCAGCGTGGGAAGAAAGCGTGCGTCTGAGAGAGCAAATGTTCTGGTCACGCCTTGGAGGCGGCGTTGTTCCGGTCCCCCACGGAGAGGCACAGGTGGAGGCATCTCATAGCCGTCACCCAAGCATGGCTCAGGTAATCGAAGCTCCCGTCATTGTTCCAACGGGGATTGATACTCCCAAGGAGGTTGACACTCCTATGGCGGTTGATTCTCCCAAAGAGGTTGATGCTCCCGAGGAAATTGATGCTCCCATGGCGGTTGATGCTCCCAAGGAGGTTGATGCTCCCAAGGAGGTTGATGAACCAATGGAGATTGATGCGTCCACCGAAAAGGATGTATCGACAAACAAAGATGCACCTGCAGAAAAGGAAGAGGAGGCATCCGTTGCTGATACGAGCTTCGATACAGCTCCCCCTTCCGAGGTCGATGACGATGGCAGCGAATTCGAGCCGGGACACCGTGAGTCTACCGATGAGCCTCACACGCCCCATGACCAGGAGGATGGAACCAAGCCCCTCCGCTATTCGGTGCAATCCTTGGCCCTGGATACCATGAGCAGCTCAGGATCCGAGGCTACCAAGCGTCTCTCTACGACTACCATCATCGAGAACTAGAAAAAAAAAAACACAGACGAAAACGAAACAACGATACGCAAAGCGGCTTATGAGAGATTCATCCCCCAATTTTTTTTTTAAACTTACAATTTTAATGCTTTCGTGGCCTCTTTTGGCTATTAATGTATATTGTGTATAATAATCGACGGCCAGGTGACATCACGGCCCTGCACCAACAAGTCCGAAGATTTGAACGGGACAGGCGGGGAGACGCGAGGGACGAGGGGAACAGCTAGATTGGCGAGCATATTTCGGTTAACGGCTGGAAGCGAAGGACTTCAATGCTGAGAAGGGAACAAAAAAACCATAGTTCAAAGGTTGACGGCGTTTTTGGTTTGGACACGATGGATACAGGGCATTTGGAAGAACCAGCAGAAATGGGCTGTAAAAGCATCATTAAGGCGGAACTTGATTCTTCGTTGTTCTACTTTTATCTTCTTTTTCTTCTTCTTTCAAACACTTTTTTGTCTGATTCTGGATTGGCCCTTTTCTCGGTTTTGCAGTTTTTCTTTTCTTTTTTCTCTCTGTTTTGACTTTATTATTGCTTTTAACTGAAATCATTTTCGAGCGGGGCGCACCACGGAAAGCATTTTTGGGAATGCGCACGCTTGGGCAGCTTGCCCAATTCTTTTTGCAAATTACTAGAAGGAGGGCCAAGAAGGATTTGCTTTTTTTGATTCTCAGACGAAGAGGGGGGATTTGCCGTTGAAAGCGGCGTTTTTGCGATAACAATATACCTAATGAGATAGATGTATTAGAATTAAACATGGTATCTTGATGCTTCTTGCTCATCTTCATTCTTCCTTATATGCCGTGAAAATTCAACTGCGACGGGGATAACGACATATCATATATCCTCTCTTCATTTTCCTGCTGTTACTTCAAAAACGCGAGAATGTTAGAGACAACAATATCCGGAACCTGTTCCGGAATGTAGTGACCAGCTTCAACATGCTCGACTTCGACTGGTACACCATCTGCCGTAACTTTTCTCCATTCCTTCTCCACGTCGAACAGCCGACTGACAACGCCTTTCTTGCCCACCAGCACTCTGATCGGCGACTGAATTAGCCTTCCCTTATCGAGATCCTCTCTCGCTTCATCAAGGTCATGCGTAGCACTCGCACGGTAGTCCTGACATGTGGAGTGGACATAATCCTTATCCTCCATGCTCTTGATGTACTCTTCCAGAACGTCCTTGTGGAAGAGCAGATGCTTCCCAACTCCCAGGAACATCTCGGTGAGCTGGCGCGGAGCACCGCTGATAAGCGTCTCAGGAAGAGGATATGGCTGGATGAGGAAGTACCAGTGAAAGTAGGCTTTGGGAAATTCGGGATTTGGAGAATTATACATGGCCAGGGTAGGACATATGTCGAGGAGAATGGCTTTGCGCACGCGGGTAGGATGATCCACGAGGAGCTTGTGGGCGACACGGGCTCCACGATCATGGGCGCATACATAAAAGGGCTGGTTGGCAAATCCGAGACTGTCCATGACAGAAATGCAGTCCTGGGCCATATGGCTCTTGGCGTAGAGCTCGGTGTTATTGGCAGGCTTGGATGAAGCACCATAGCCGCGGAGGTCCATTAGCACAAGGGAGTAGTGGGAGGTGAGATGAGGAGCGACAAGATGCCACATAAGGTGAGATTCTGGATATCCATGGAGGAGGAGGAGGGGCGGGAGCGAAGAAGACGAGTCGACCGATCGGATTCCGTAGATGGAGATGGGAGGAGAGGACTGTGTTTGAACCGTGAAGGGAGTAAACGAGGAGGGGAAGAGGGAGCTGGGAACAGTCATTTTGACGGTAGGTGATGGATGGCAATTATGGAAGTGTTGGACTCAAAAAACAAAATGCTGATTGCAAGGAATATCACACATATCTTGGCATTCAGGAAGGGTAGCACAGCTTGATATAGGAGGTGATGGCACGAGTATGCAGCACATGGAGGGCGCCACACCCCTTACAAATGAATGGAGCTGTATGCTCTAAATCCGCTGGATCCAGGTGCCGAGCTTTGACGAGGGGGGATCAGTAGCTCAGAATAGCGCATGGAAATAGCGTATCGACATAGCCGTTCCACCCGTTCTTCTGCACCACTTACACTTTACGGAAAGCTTGGCTCTTTTTTGACGTCGTAGGCGACGATGCCGAGCCTATAAGAGAAGGGGCCATCAGTTAGTAGCAGTACTTGGTACGTAGGCATAACATGCATGGTGTATGCATGCACTTTACCTAGAATTTCCATATGTCTGGATAGAGAGTAGGAATTGGAGAGACGTGATGTGTTAAAGACAAGAGAGACCCGCCGCGGGGTGTTTGCTGCAGGCATAAGAGCCTTGCTTCTCTGCCGAGAAGAAGAAAAGGAATAAAAGAAAAAGAATGAAGGATGAAGGATGAAAGATGAAAGATGACAAGTCTGATCTTTTCCTTCTTCTTCTTCTTCTTCTTCTTCCTTCTTTTCGCCAGGAGCAGGTGCTCTTGCTCATCGGATCATAGTATCGCCCCTTCCAACTATACACCGGCAGCCAAAAAGCAAAGCCGCTGTCACGGTGATGTAACTTTTTCGGTGCCGGCTCAGGCCATCGGCACATCTTTTAGCCGCTGCCACGGATCCCCTTGTGCCGAGTTGCTGCCAATCCAATCGACTGCTTCTCAATCTCAATCTCAATCTCAATCTCACACATCATTGCAACGGTCTTATACTTCTTCAGGAAATCAAGACAAAAAGGATCCATCTCTGCTCCGTATACCGCCCCCGCGCCGCCCCTCCTTTACGGCTGGAGACCACCAAAGACGAACGAATCCGCCGCGCGGGATCATGAGTTGAAGCAAAGAGCCATCGTCAACTTTCGGCCCCACCTACGGCAAAGACTCACATATGGCTCCGGTCCGTGGCCGCGCAGCCTGCGATGGGTGCAGATCTCGAAAGCAGAAGGTGAGAGATTGGTTGAAGGGGGTGAAGTGACAGAGCCGTTATCTTGAACCTCAGATTTGCTAATCTATAATCAAACTAAACCACTGCAGTGCGATGAAAAAAGGTATGAATGAGAATCGAGCCTCTTTGCGTACTATGGAGACGGCTTCTCTCTAATTTGACCTGTGGCAATTTGACTGACTGAGTCCTTCTGCAGGCCAACCTGTTCGCGATGTCGTGACATGAAACGGGAATGCGTGTGGCCGAAGCTATACAAGCGGTAAGATGCAGGATTCTCTCTAGCCACAAGTCAGCCTCGGCAACGACCACCAAAGCTGATCTTGAATTGATTCTCAGCGGCCCTGCAAAGGGTTACATTGAGGCGCTCGAGCAGCGCCTCGCAGTTACCGAGACTGTACTTCTGCAGCTGCTTCAAGTATCAAACGACAACGTTCTGCAAGATGCGTTCAAGCGTGAGCCGAGCAGGAGGACGGATGTTGTAAACATGGCAGCCACCACAACCACAACTACCGACGCCGCAGGGCGAATAGAGGCCAAGAAGACGGGCACAATTGCCCACTGGGACAACTTCCCCCTAAATACGGCAGACGATGTGAAGCGCTGGGCAGGCGAAGTCCTCGGGCACAACACTATTAATCACGCTGGTAGCCTCATCGATAACCACACTGGCAGCATCGCCATCAACGGGACGGGCCATGAAGAAGCGGATGTGACGCCGTTTGAAACATTTCCTGTCCCACCAGATCCGCTGCCAAAGAGCCTAGCCGAGGCGAGCTCGAGAGCCAGCACCGAAGCATTTCCGCCACGGTCAATGGAGCCCATACCGACTGCTCTTCCAACTGCTGCGGAGCCAATATTGGGCTCTGGCACGATGTTTGCGAGGGACATGGCGCCATCAGGCGAGGTTTTTGATTTGTCTCAGGATTTTAGACGGCAGTTTGTATGGTAAGGTATGTTATTATTTTTTAAAAGACAACAGAAACAAAGATATGTACAACTATTAAACCTTGTACTACGTAGCCATTGGTTATATATTACGCGTGCTTTTCAGATGTATATAATATTGCTGATTTCGAAATCGCTCCCATGCCATTAACGAAATACATACCTATGCTTGGATGAAGTTCATGTAGAAATACTGGTCAATCTCATCCCTGATCCATATTCACAGCGTAATCCATGTACGGTAAAGATGGTATGAAATAAGAATAATAACAAGAATAATAATAAGTAATACAGGTAAAATTTAAAAAGAAGAACACGGCATCACTTACATCCTTACATATCCTTACATATTTAACCTGTCTTCTAAATTTTGAACATAGTTGTCCCACCCGATGTTGTTGAACAGCAGCCCCGATGATTCCGGGTTCATATTCTCGCTCAGGAACCGCTCCCACTCTCCTTGTTGGGAGAATTGGTCTGCGTCGAATCCGAAATCCGGTCCTGTGTACTCCAAAACGGGCTGGAAGCTCGGGTAGTCCCACAGATTATCGCCGCCCATGAACGCCGTGTCTGGACCTATGAAGTGGCTGGCGGGATATCCGTTCAAGGAACTTCCCATAAAATTATTGTTGCTATTGTTATTCATGTTGACACCGTTGTTGTTGTTAATGTTATTGTTGTTGTTGTTGTTATTATTATTCTGATCCATGCGCCGTCGCTTGCTGCGACTGCTCTCGAGGAGATTCTGGTATGTTGAAAACACAGGTTGGCTCCAGTCAGTCAAGATGCTGAGTGATGGATCAGCTGCAAGTGCTGGATTGATTTTTTCCATGAATGGCTTCGACGTTAACCTGTCGAGTAGCATCTTTAGCGTCACACGGCAGTGGTGAGCACTGCTCCAGTTTCGGCTCATCATGCCAAGGAGTCGTATTGCACAGTTGAGATCCCTATGATACACAAAGTTAGCTAGATAGTTGGCTAATCGAGTAGCCACAGTCATATTGTAAATGAGTATTTCAACGGCAAAAGTATCAAACATACAGCACCGTCTTCTCCATTGGATAGAGCTTCAATAGCCCGGCGTACGCGATGACCAAGCCAGCCATCCACGCCGCCGACAGCATTCCCGGCCAAGCCACCAGAGGCGAATCCCCTTGCCGCAGCTTAAGCTTCTTAACGATAGCTCGGCTGGCATTCACCGCAGTCTGCAGGCTAAACTGGAAATCTGTTCTATTCGTCGGGAGAGACAAGAATGGTCGGTTCATGATGAGAATGAGCTGATGGTATAAAATCGCAAAGGGAGGGCCGTGGTGAGACTGCGGCTCTACAAAGATGGATGTAAGTCCCTCTCCCTGGAACGAGGGTGGAAGCGTGTTCCACCAAGCGTGGATCTTCGAAGTCATCTCCAGCACCTTGTCCCATGTTATAGATCGGCTGTGTATAGACTTGTGGAAGAGGTCGAGTGCCTGCCCGAGCAGTCGCGAATAGGTCACTAGGAAGCCAAGTATGGATTCGCCCAAGTTTTGTGGCCGATACACAAGCTGGTCTGTATTTATGTTGCCTTCCTGCGTCCCAACGGTGCTGCCGTCAGTAAGGTCCCCAGCAGAAGACATAGATGCAAAGGTTGGATGATCAACCGGATAAGCTTGAATATCTTCCTCTGTTGCCGAGGGGCGCGATGCCGGGATGTTCTGGAAAGGCTTGGCTGGATTATGCACCTCTGGCGCTCCAGGCAAGCAGACATCTATCTCTTCATCGTTGAGAGCCAAGGGGTGTCCAAGTACTTGGCTCAAGTGTCGATCAATCACATACGCTGACCAAAAGATTCGCTTTCTCATGTCGCAGATATCCCGTGGCAGCTGGACATATCGAAAGGGGCATCTGTGCAGACCGCAGTGGTATAGAATGCGCGTCATCGCTCCGTGAACTGTTGAAGCCGCTCGTAAAGACATCTGTGTCATCAGATACAGTTCCACTGCCAGGAGAGCCTGCAAGGAGGGTATATCATGGCCGCTAGAGAGGACGCCAAGCAAGCTCGTAAGCGCAACGGCAGACTTGATGCGAGATTCTTCAGGCAGTTCTCGTTCTTCCTTTTGATTGTGATTGGAGTCTGCAATGTTGAACACGCATTGGAAAATGATGGCCTGGTACACCTTGTTGCGTCGGCTCATCGGCTCTGCTGGAGAACCCCCTGGCTCGTAGAACTGGTTCACCTTTTCAAAGAACGTAGGCCCGTGAAGAAAGGGAAGAAAGGGATGCCATCGTCTAAAGTATTCCACCAAGAGCCGTTTAGCAACGGCTGGAGGAGGGGGGATTCCTAATCCAGGAGCCGCAATACCATAGGATCGTGCCCCTGGGCTCTTGTTGGCATCTTCTGCACCCACAGCACCGACTCCCAGGCCATCGTCTCCAGCGGCTTCCTCCTGGGCCTTCTCCTCTGCCATGACATATTCATGGGCAGACCCAGGATCCGGGGTCGCTGTGGCTCCGAGGCCATCGACATCCCCCTGAGAGCGCTTGGTGGCAGAACCGCCGGAGCCCGTCGTTGCTGTTGCAAAGGCCCTGAAGACAGTGTTGGCAAAGAAGACACCGCTGGCACTGCCGATAAACTCGCTCTTATCGGGCCGTAGGGCAATAAATGAGCCGATCTCGATTGGCGGGATCTGCTGCGAGTCTGTGTCCGATGTCTGACACATTGTTGGCAGTTGTTGCGTAGATTGTTTGCCGGCAGGGGCTGCGCAGATGATATCAATCGACTAAATCAATCAATCAATCAATCAGCCAGTCAGCCAGTCAGCAGCCAATCAGCCAATCGCCCATCAACTCATTCAAACTGATCCAATACAAGATATGGCTTTACGGCGTGACTGACTGAGAGATCACATTCTACAGAGTTTGAGTAGCCTAGACAAAAGATGAGAGGTCAGGTGCGATGCGGCTATACTTTCTGCCGACCAATCGGAGCATTAGCCCTCAACTCATGTAAGAAGGTCTAGAGCCAGCATCACTAAAATCAGAGCAAGGAAGTGTATAAGATTTCATGATAGGATTTGTTTCTTCTCATGAGAAAATGTATATTAATTATTAATGTTTTGCGTGTATGTGTGTTTAATGTTTAATTATCTCGTACGTCCCCTACGCTGACAGCGGCACTCAATAGTAAAATGTTGCTTGTCATGACAAAAGACGTTACGTATTTTTGAAACAAGGAGACTATTCTGCAGAAGAATTGGTGTACATCAGACGCTACATGATAGATGGTATCGTATCACCGCCTGCAACTTCTCTCTCTCTCTCTCTCTCTCTCTCTCTCTCTCTTTCTCTCTCTCTCTTTCTCTGCGTCCTTCTCCCTCATACTCGCTGCCTCTTTTTTTTTCCCTTCTCCACTTTCTTCTATTACTTTTTAAAGTGCTTTTCTTTTCATATAAACCCAGATGAGCAAAGATCTCTCCTTTCGCCACCCAAAAAAACCTCCCCGTAGCGCCTCATCATCCCTGGAAGCTGTGTTTCATACCTTACCAAAAGGCTGGAGTATTTGAAGGTAGCACCTGTAAACAGACGCCTAACCCCCCAAAATAGTTGACCTCGTCAGGATAAATAACAATGCGACGCATAATTAGAAAATATTGGCTGAGACACTGTCTCTGAATTTTAACATGATTTTTTTTTTCCGCTCGTGAAATTTCAAATAGGCAATGACCCATAGTCAAACGACAGCAACACTTGCTCATCCTCATAGCTCCTCCTTATCAGTGGCCTCTTGTCCTTCGCTGGCAGGCTTAGCCTTGAGTTGTTCGGCTTCCTTCTCGCCATCGCGACTGGCAGCAGCGTCCTTGGGGGGCTCGACGGCCTCAACCTTGGGTGTCTCCTTGTCGACACCCTCTACATCAGGGTGAGGTGGGGCGACAGCTCCGGCGATCTCACTGGGCCAGCCGCCTTCGGGCATGGCAATCTCGTTACCATGCTCGTCAACGACGCGCGTCTTGGTGGCATACTTGGTTTCGAACTCAACTTTGCCTTCCAGGGCCTTGACTTGCTCTTCATTCAGCAGGTTTCCGTCCTGGTCCCGATATTCGATCTTTTCCTCCTTGGAGAGGATCTTCACCTCTGGCTGGACGACGGCTGCCTGAGAAATAACAGGCTCCGCCAGAGGTTTTTGGGCCTGGTTGACACCGGGATCGACAACCGGCACTGAAGGAGCAGCGCTTGAAGGCGGAAGTGAGGTCAGGGTGTAGCCCTGGTACTAAAAATTAAAGTTAGTCAAGACTACTCATATAATGCATTAAACGTTGATTTTATCAATCCTTCTATAGATCGAGAAAGACTTACGTCATCAAGGAAAGAGTTGCAGTCAAAATCCCACTTGTCGAAGAGCTTGACGCGAACGCACTCAGCCTTTGTCCAAGGCGTACCATAAGCCAGAGGGGCATAGAGAGTGAACACGGCAGCCGTAAGGACGAGGAAGGAGACGGTGGCAACGCGGTTGATGAGAGTTCCGCGATAACCAAGAGCAGCCGGAATTCTTGCCGTCACGAAGTCAAACATTTGGGCAAGGGCAATGATGGCAAAGTACAGAGCAGGGAAATAGTGGTGCAGGAAGAGCTGGCGCTCCATCAGGTAGAAGGGGAAGTAGTGCAGAGCCCAGCCCAGGACTGAGGTACCAATCTCATAATCGAAACGCTTGTAAGTGCTGCTCTCGTAGTCGTCGCATCCGCGCTGCCATCGGAGAATCGCTACGCCCTTGAAAATGGCCCAAATCGCCACGACGGCCGTGCTAGACCACCAGATAATGGGATTGCCAAGAAGATAGACCTGCATGTGGTGCTTGCCCCAGAAGTTGATGCCGCGGCGAAGAATAGGCCAAGATTCGGGGCGGGAGTCCCAGGCATGAGAGTCGGTCAGGCCGGCATTTGTCCTCCACATGACTTTGTGGAGCTCCCAGAATTTGCCAAAGAAGCCAGGGTTGGCGTAGTTGACCTTTTCGACGTCGTCGCCAAGCAGGGGGTGCTCGTTGTGTTCGACGTACCAAATGCTGTTGGGCATGCTGCCACCGCGGGCGCAAGTAACCTCTTGCTGCTCCGAGGCCCACTCGGGCAGCTTGACCTTGTGAGAGAAGAGAGCGCATCCAGTCATGACGTGAATCAGTCGGAACTTGGTCTCGATTGTGCGGAGGCGCTCCTTGGCCAGGGCTCCCTTGGACTGCTTCTTGACAATCTCAACGCGGAAGTAGTCGTTGGCATCGCCCTCGAAGCCCTCATAGCCGTAAGCGGACACTTCGTTTTGCCATTCGGCTTCGGAGACCGGGGGGCGCACATCGTGTGAGTGAAGGCGTCGGAAAGTAGGCTGGTGGAAGAGGCGGAGGACGGTGCCATCGACGATGTGGTGTACCTCTGGCAGCTTGTCCCATGCGTCAGTTCCGTTGATTGGCTGGCCGTCAACACCAAGGGGCTGGGTCTGGTTCTCCATGACCCATACGTTGTTGTCGTCCTTGTGGGGATACAGGGTGATCTGCTGCTGCAAGCTTCCAGTGGGGTACATGAGGGGGTGAGAGTGAAGGTAGCCACCCTGGGTGTTGACATGGCGGATGGTGACTCGGCTTCCCATGATGACATCGGCAGGGACATCCCTCATGCCCTTGCTGTTCAGAGTGGCCTGGAATTCGGAGCTCATGAATCCGTCACCCTCACCAGGGTTGGTCAGGCAGAGGAAGTGAATGGCGAACATGGCGAGATAGAAGGTGGCTGGGATGATGATGAGGCAGAATACTCTGGCCATGAAGTGCTTGAACCAAAGGCGCTGTGGGTAAGAGTTGGGTTAGTCAAATGTTCCGGTGCCGACATCAATGCTAATCCAAGAGTACAGGGAAATGCCAAGAGTACTACTATACGTACAACAGAGACGTTCTTGCTGTCGCCGAGGAGAACCCACAGCTGCACAAGAGTCAAAGATCCGACCCAAGCAATGGTGAACAGGCCAACCCATTTGATACTCGCGGTGATACCCAGGCCGAGGCCAGACATGGCAAGCCAGAACCACCAGCTCAGCTGGAATGCCTTTTCGGGTCCTTGTTCGTGTTGGTTGGTGAAGCAAGAGAACGACATGGCAGTGAATGCAGTAGCGAAAACCAGGGGGGAATCCAGAAGAATCAAGCGGGCCTGAGTCAGAAGACCGTTTTCTAGACACGAGACTTGGTTAGAATTGGTTCTTGTTGTTTGGTTTAGCTGCCTAGCAAAACAATGCAGCAGCAAGAGAGTTGGGGTTCTTTTTGTGCTCACCAAAAATGATGAAACCAGCACCAAGTACGGCAGTCGTCGTCCGGCAGCCAACAGCTTTCAAGGTCATGAACATGATGGGTGCGAGCAGAATGCCGCAGATGGCAGGGAACAGACGCATGGCGACATAGGGGACGCCAGGCTCGAGGTAATCTTTGCCAATATCCTTAAAATCGAAGTCGCCGTCGAAGCCCGCGAGCCAGCCAGTGAGAGCAATGAGCATCTTGGCCAGGGGCGGGTGCACGTCCATGAAGAACTTGCCCTTGATGTACTTGGAAGCGAAGCCGCCAAAGCTAGAGAGAGAAGCCTGTGTTAGCCCGGCACCAACACCACGGCCAATTGAGCCGGTTATACGGAGGAGAAGGAGAGAAACTCACTGGACTTCGTCAAAGACAACGCTGGTGGGCATGTAGATCTTGTACAGACGCACAATGGTGGCCAACACGGTCACTCCCAGGGCCGCCACATAGTCGGGCCCGGGCAGCAGGAAGACGTCGTTGTCCTCGACGCCGTCAGACCTGTACGAGGCATTCTTCTTGGCCTTGCTCGACCTGTTGGATGCAGATGCGACTGGCGCCACCAAGGGCTGCTTCTCGGCGACAAGCGGAGGTTGAGGGCTGCGGCCCCGCGCACTCGCTTTCGCCATGGCGAGGGATGAGGTCGGCGGGGGAGACTGGCGATTCTGCGGCGACTGGAGGAGCGAGGAGAGCAGAGTCGAGGACCAGGCACTGCGGCAGGCTGGAGAAAATGTCCGCTTCGGACCGGTAAATGAGCGTATCGAACGAAGGAGCGGAGGCGGGATGGGAGTCGAAAATTAATAAAGATGCCTCATGGGAAGAAGCTGACAAAGGGAACCAAGGAAGGAGAAGACGCAAAAACCAATTCGGCCGATCAAAGCAGCAGCCGCCGGTCAAGTCGCAGCGCGCAGAAGAAATAAAAGGGAGAAGACACGAGGCCGAAAAAAAGGTCGTCGTGATGGACGAAACCAAGAGTCAGGGGTGGGAGGAGGAGCTGCGCAACCAGAGCGTGGTCCAGCTTCGCGTGCCGCTCCCAGCATTGGCTTCAATTGTAGCTACAGTGGCCTTAACCCGCGCTCGTTCAGCCTTGGCGCCACTGCTGCACAGCCATACTACCAGCCCGCAAGTAGCTGGTACCCGCGACAACGGCTCCGGCGCCATACAACGGCGAGTACCTGCTAAGGCATACCTGCAGCTGGTAAAATTGGCTCTCAGTGGCAGAAACGGCCCCGTTGCGGGCTATAGCCTCGTGTTTTTTTTCTGGCCCCTTGCCTCTAGGATGGTACTATTGGCTACTAGCACTGAAACATGCGAATCCCATCCATCGTAATTTAGTGCGAGGCCATTGCCGTGGGTATCTAATACATAAGTACCTATTCAATTCAATTCCCATGAGGCTCAAGACTTAAACATGTGCAACGAACATGGCATGTTTCTACTATTATAAGCGAACCCTTTACGCCTCTATACCAACTACTATACTAGTACTACCTAATAAGTAGCCCGTGTGTCATTTCCGCTGCTTGTAATCGAACGTTCTTGACGAACCCTTTTCAGCCGCACTAAGATGGAACGGGAGCTCTGAATTCGGCTCGCGGGCAAAGGCCCTGGCGCTCTCCCTTTGTACTGCCAAGGTACAATTTCAATCGTTTTCAGGCTCCTGGCTACCTGTTGGATACTACCTAGGTACTCCGCCGTACTCTTACCATGGGCTGCTAAAGTTGTACTCGGTACTACCTGGCCTGGGCCAAATTGACATGTGCTCTGCTCTCCAAGATTGCCAGCATCGAAGTGGCGACAAATGCAGAATGCAGCCAAGGCAAGGCACATGATGCGAGATTGATGATGTCGCACAATCTACAGCGGTAGCTTCTATGTGCAGCATATGAGTCTCGTTAAATTAAGCATCCAGGCGCCCTTGATGACAACCTTCTAGGCCAGGGTATATTCAGGGTCCAGGGCCTCTGCACAGCACCCGCTACAGGTACTTTGTACTACCCCATACTGGGCGCCACAGACAGATGGGACCTGAAAGACCTGAAGCAGCCGAGCATGTGGCGCAACATCGACAGGGCCACGGACTAACGTGGCTCCGGCTTCCGTCCCAATTCGCAGTCAGTCTGCATGGCGCCTAGGAAATTTCCAGCAGAGTTGGAGCTGCATCACCGCCGCCAACATTCTCAAGTTTCGCATCATCACTCCAACGGCTTGCTTGTCTCCTTCACAGTCTTTGGTAGGAGAAATAGCAGCAGCAGCAGCAGCAGCATCGAATCCGAATCGTCACCGGGGCTTGTTCATTCAATCATCGGAAAATGGCTGCGGAAGCGGCGAATGGAGGTGCGACAAACGCGCTCGACGACATCAAAGCTCCTGCTGGCGTCGTGCTGCCGCCACGCGAGATTCGAAACATCCTCGAAAAGACGGCCGGATATGTCGCGCGCAACGGTTCCGTCTTTGAAGACCGCATCAGAGAAAAGGAACGCCAGAATCCCAAGTTCAGTTTCCTGAGTCCCGACGATGCCTATCACGCCTACTACCAGTGGCGGCTGAGCGAGATCAGAGCTGGTCGCGGCACCGATATTGCGGCCGGCCGAGTTGGCGAAAGCATTACGCCGGTTCCCGAGAAGCCCAAGGGCCCGCCAAAGCCCCCCGATTTCCAATTCTGCGCTCGAATGCCTCACATCAACCAGAAGGACTTGGATGTCATAAGACTGACGGCCCTTTTTGTTGCCAAGAATGGACGGCAGTTCATGACGCAGCTGGCGCAGCGCGAAACCGGCAACCCCCAGTTCCAATTCTTAATCCCCAACCACACGTTCCACAACTTCTTCCAACACATAGTCGATCAGTACACACTGCTTTTGCGGGCGAGCGGACTCGACGGCGAGGGCGGCAAGCTACAAGAGGAGCAAACCGCGGAGCTAGAGCTGAACATCAAGGACAAGTTTCACGTGCTGAAACGAGCAAGGGAAAGGGCCGAGTATCTCAAATTTCAGGAGACTGAGAGAAAGAACAAGGAAGCTGAGGAAGAGATGGAAAAGGCCGAGTTTGCCCGCATCGATTGGGGAGACTTTGTCATTGTCGAGACCATTACGTTTTCGGACGAAGACGACAACACCAATCTCCCTCCACCCACCACTCTGGGTGAGCTGCAGTACGCTTCGTTGGAAGACAGGAATAAGGCATCCATCAGCGCCAACTTGCGGATCGAGGAAGCCATGCCGGGCGAAGAGGATCTTGTGCAGAACGGAGCTGCTGAAGCAACTCGGCCATCCTCCTTTCCCCTTCCCGTGCACACCGGTTACGCACCGCAGCAGCAGCAAGCACAAACACCACAGCATGTGCCTTCACCAGTACCGGTTTACGGTGCCGCAGCACAGCAACCACAGCCGTCTGCCCAGGAAGAGGAAGAGCTGCGGAGAATCCAAGAGAGGTCTGCAGCACAAGCTCGTATGCAGCAGGCACAATCAGAGGCCAGGGGCGGTCTTGGCCCAATGAAGATTCGGGAAAACTACGTGCCTCGAGCAGCACAAAAGGCGGCAAGCAAGCAAGGCACGCAGATGGCGCTGTGTCCCAACTGCAAGCAGCAGATTCCCCTAAACGAGCTTGAAGCGCACATGAGAAGTAAGTTGCAAAATATAATTCTTTGATGATATGTTTGTAACATTGGCTAACCCATATTTTTCTTTCCTTTTCTTTTAGTCGAGCTTCTGGATCCTAGCTGGAAGGAGCAAAAAGCCAAAGCCGAATCGCGCTATGCAACATCCAACATGTCTCATGTCGACGTTGCCAACAACTTGAAGCGACTTGCCAGCCAGCGAAGCGACGTCTTTGACCCCGCAACAGGAAACGCCCTCTCAGAAGACGAACAAGCCAGGCGGAAGAAGGCGGCTGTTCAAACTTTTGACGGTCATCTGGAGGGCAAGAGCCAGGCTCATCTTAACCATCTTCAGAATGTCAATGTCGATGAGCAGATCCGCGCAATCCATCAAAAATTTGCAACCAAGAAGTAAACATCAGCAGATGGTTCCATAACTTTAGCTAGCAGCTATCCTTGAAAAGAGAGGATAGCCTCAGCCAACACATTCGTTTTGAAGGCACAGCGCCACCAACGATCCCGTACATACATCAATAGGTATCGCGGATGATTCGATTTTTCAAATGAAATATTGTGCTTTATACAAAGAGATGGATGCGGATGGAAATTTTATTATTAGTCATGGAGTTTGGGAGCTCAAGGTGAGGCGACTTTTATTGTCATTTTTATGGTTTTCAGGGGCTCATTTACCAATAGCTGCTTTGAAAAGGCATAATGCTGTACACAAGTTCCACAGCATAAAGATTGATGAAGACAGTATCAAAAGCTGTATCAGGTAATACAACGGCCGTTTGCAGCAAATGGCCTTTACTACAGATGCTCCTTTTGGCTATATACTCGTGATTTTGCGTACCATCCTGTCTAATAGGGCGCCAGTCAAGGGGCAGATGGCATGAAGATAATAACAACTTTTTTTTAAAGAAAAGGAAGACTATCAGAAACTATAAGAGAGCGTCTATGCTCTATATATTTAGCATGATATTCCAGCTGGAATAATATAAGAGAGCAGACAATTAGCTTTTAACGCAGTTAAGCACTTTTACAATACTACTATAAGGCAGCATTGGCTACGTGATATATCCTTCCCACCAACACGTGGACAAGGTAAGCATCTAGTGTCTTTTCGCCTACTAAGATTCATGGAATTACCCACACAACAGGTAATATTTAAAGTTGAAAGTTAAACCAAAGTATGCTATGTATCACTGGCGTTGATAAAGCTGATTGCTGGCAAGTGCGCGCTGAAAGCTGAAGGTGCTCCCTTAGAACTGGTGGGGAAGGCAGCTCCCCCCACGTGAACAGCAGCAACTGCAAATACCCCACCTCCAGTCAGCTTGCTTGTGCCGCGACTGTGCAACAAGGAAGGCAATTATTTATCTCGTCACTCTCCACCTTTGGACCCCAAGGCTGGTGATCAGACGAGCGAGCGCGTTTTCTCAGCAGATCCAACAGGCTTTCAAGGCAAAACCAAAACAAACCTCGTTGCCTTGTCCTTTTCAACCCCATACACGTCATACTCTTTTTCTCACGAGCTCCCCCGCCTCGGCCCAAGGCTGATCCCTCGCAAAGCATCCCTTCGAATCTTATAGCCCGTCGACTTCGATACCACCGCCAAACTGTCGGACTCTCAGGACGCCGGGCAGGCGGCCCGCAAATCGCCGGATCTGCATCGGCCCATTATGCAGTCCATGCCAGACACGCGGCAGCAGAGCTTTGACGAGATTTATGGGCCACCAGAGAACTTTCTCGAGATAGAGGTAAGGCAGCGCTCGAAGATAGGGATGTCATGTAATTTAGGCTATCGGGGATTACAAGCGTGAGGAGAATGCCACAGATGGAAAGATTCAAAAGAGGAAATATAACGAGGGGAAGGACGAAAAAGAAAAAGACACAAATACTCTGCGAGCATGGCTAATACTGTTTGGTACTTTTTGACAAATAGGTACGGAATCCTCGAACACACGGCATGGGACGCTCCATGTACACCGACTACGAGATCCTCTGCCGCACCAACATTCCCGCCTTCAAGCTCCGCCAGAGCAGCGTGCGCAGGCGATATTCCGACTTTGAGTACTTTCGTGACATCCTCGAGCGCGAAAGTGCCCGCGTGACGATCCCCCCTCTGCCCGGCAAGGTCTTCACCAACCGCTTCAGCGACGATGTCATTGAGAACCGACGGGCTGGGCTGGAGAAGTTTCTGAAGATTGTCGTCGGGCACCCGCTGCTGCAGACTGGGAGCAAGGTGTTGGCGGCGTTTGTTCAGGGTATGTCGACTTTATTTCCTCTCTCTAATTTCAAGAGTAAACCTTTTTTTTTTTTTTTCAAACACATAAGAGGAGCTAACTGGTGATGGAATATTCACAGACCCCAACTGGGATCGTAATGCGTGGTGAGGCAAGTTCTTTGGCTGAGATGGCTTAAATACTTCAGGGGGGGAGTAGAAGAAAACCGAAGCTACCCGTTTATATATATCCCTGGCCAAAAAGGAGGGTAGCATGTCGAATTAAGCGAACTTTCTATTGTGCTATATCAGCCACTCGAGACCATGGGAACATGTGATGTTTGGCAAATATAAAGTATGGTATAGCACTTCTAAGATGGAAGAGGTCAATCACGTTTGGGACGGGTCTACATTACCTTGTTGTCTTCTCATCCTGAGCTAGTCTCGCCCTTTTCTTCTTTTCTCTTTTTTTTTTTTTCCTTTTTTCTTTTCTCTTCTCCAGCTCAATTCGTATCTGTCCTTTAATTCACTATTAGTATTTTTAGTCGCTTATAAAGATGCGATTTTTCTCTTCTTTATCAATTGGCAACTCGGATGCAGTTCATCGTGGCTCGAGCAAGCTGGAAATAGGACAATCCACGTGTTCTAGCAGGAGTACAGTAAGAGCAATACGGGCGTCTTGTGGCCAGTAGTATCCGTTGTACATATTATCGAAACAGGACCAAAAAAAAAAAGATTTTTTTCATTTCATCTCGCTGATGTCAATTTGTCTTGCTTTTTATCAAGGTGCCTGTTTTAATTGTGCCAAATAAAATGTTACATTGTACAGGGTAGGAGCGACGCCAGCTGTATGCAGCGCTATCTCAACGATAGGCAAACTGCAGATACCTCAACAACTCTCGCACCGTTCGAGATACCGATATCCATAGCCAATCAGAGCATGATTTTCTTCTTTCAGTAAAAGATTGTCGGCCCCGAAATTCGGTCCCGGAGTATTTGTGGATTAAGGCATAGCTCGAGACAGCGATTCCTGCTAGGGAGGCCACTTGGCGTAGATCCACAACGATGTCATAACCTTGGCGCTATGCTACTAAACCTTACAATTTTTCTCCCGCTGTCGAGCAGAAGAGGCACAATTCGGCCAATGACAGTTGATTCTCTTAAACGATGAGCGGCAAAAGGAGAGGCTATCATTAAAAACTTTTTCTTCTTCATCCTTTTTGAAAAAACCCTGGCGGTGAGTTGGCATAAGTGGCGTGAGTAGGGTGGATAAGCGTTACATATGTTGCCGGTTTAGATAACTGCCAAGAAATTGAGGCTCAGGAACCTGCATATGAAAATAAAATAAAATAAATAAATTCCCTATTCTGAAATACGAAAACGATAGTAAAGTAATGTAGAATAATCAACCCGCCCAAAAAGTCTCGAATTTCGAGGCGTCATTGGCGGTGACATAGTTGACATATGCATGGAGGAGGGCCAGAGGGTCTCTTCTCCGCCTCGGTCAACCCCATGGGCACAATACAGACTACTACTACCACTTAACTACCATCTCCAGAAAAACTCAAAACTCTCCTTTGCAAACAACCACGTGCTTCAAGGCCCTTAAAAACGCCTTCAACAGCTCGGCGGGGACACAGTAGAAAGAATCCGCAGCCTCACCTGTCCTTCCAATCTCGGGGTTTGCAGCCCCGACTTGCATGTGCTGATCGACATCGAAACCTCCTCTCCTAGGCAGTCGCACGAATCAAACCGGCGGGGGGAAGACATTTCTAGTATGCATATTCGGGGTCCATCGCGAATGACTCGGTCTTCAGAACGGGCCACAAGCGCTGACCCGAGGAACATGAAAACTGGAACCTCTTTGGGTTATCTCTTTCTTTCGTAATGGTGCGGTGTGCTGCCCGGCCGGGAGTTGAGATCTTGTCCGCGAGCAATCTAGATGGATACGTGTATATCGTCGCCACGCCGGGGGATTTTGAAGCCGCTCGACGCATCTAGCATCAAACCAGTTGCAAATCGTAGCAAGGACCAGGTAGTTTAAAAGATTTTCGGATCAGAATTTTATGTATCAAATCTATCAAATCAATGAACAGCTAATCGGAAGCTTTTGAATGCAAAGAACCTTGGCGACTGTGCATAGATGTGCATTCCGCATCCAACCGACAGCGTCTCCATCAGAAGAAACACGGGCTGAAAACCACTCAATTGGGCTTGACAATCTCCATCTGCGCGCAAAGCGTGAAACAGTTTATGAAGATCGTTGATCAAAAGGAAAAAGCTGCTTTTCGCTGGCCGCTGCCCTCTCAGGCAATCTCCCCTCTGCGGCTCCATTTCGATCGTCGTGGCGACCCACCCTCGTGGATTTCTCAGTCTCTCTCCTCTCGTAAATCTGGTTCAATACGACGATCAGCTCGCTCCTGTGCAAGGAAAATGATGTCATGTGGATAAGACGTTGTACACTGTACAACAAATCAAGGATCATGTCCGAGTTGCGATGGAGATTTTTGTCACAGTTCGCCGCGAGCAAACGTTTTCCTAGCAATTGTATAGTAGTATGAGCGTATCTGCAACCGAGGGCCATATGAATATTTAAATCGATGCTCGACCCCATGTTTCCTCCGGATTTTCTCTTTGAATCCTCTTAATTTTTATGCCTCTTTTTCTCTTCTTCTTATGTGCCATAGGACATACCTTTTGTTTGGTTTGTCTTGAGATAATCCATCATGGCGCCTCCTAAATTTGCTGGCCTTTCAGGCCGGCCACTGTCTCTAACTGTCTCGACTGTTGCTACCATGGCTTTCCTTCTCTTTGGATATGATCAGGGAGTCATGAGTGGTATCATTTCATCTCCCGTATTCAACGACTATTTCCCCGAGACAAGGGACTCAACCATGCAGGGTCTGGTAACAGCCATCTATGAGATTGGATGTCTGATAGGTGCCATGTTTATCCTTGCCGTCGGAGATCTGCTCGGCCGTCGAAAAGCCATCATCATCGGTGGAATCATCATGATCTTTGGAACCGTTATTCAAGTCACCTGCATGCGTGGCCATGCCCAGCTTGCGCAGCTAATCATTGGCCGTATCATCACTGGTGTTGGAAACGGCATCAACACCTCAACCGTCCCAACGTACCAGGCCGAGTGCAGTAAGACATCCAACCGTGGTCTGCTCATCTGTATCGAAGGTGGCATCATTGCCTTTGGATCGCTCATTGCCTACTGGATCGATTATGGCGCATCATATGGACCCGACGACCTGGTCTGGCGATTCCCCATTGCTTTCCAGATTGTCTTTGCTCTCTTCTTCTGCACAGCCATGATCTGGCTGCCTGACAGCCCCAGATGGCTCCTCACGCACGAGCGTTATGAGGAGGCCGAAATCACCATTGCCGCCCTCCGTGGATATGAAGTCGACAGCGAGGAGACCAAGATCGAGCGAGACATCATTCTCGACTCCATCAGAGCTTCGGGTTTCGCCGGCCAAAAGAGCACACCCATCAAGGCCCTCTTCACCAACGGAAAGACTCAGCACTTCCGACGCATGTTGCTCGGTGCCTCATCCCAGTTTATGCAGCAGGTTGGTGGCTGCAACGCCGTCATCTACTACTTCCCGATTCTGTTCCAAAACTCCATTGGCGAGTCTCACAACATGGCCATGTTGTTGGGCGGTGTCAACATGATTGTTTATTCTGCCTTTGCCACTGTGTCATGGTTCATCATTGAGCGAGTTGGCCGTCGAAAGCTCTTCCTCTATGGTACTGCCGGCCAGATGCTTTCCATGATCCTGACTTTTGCCTGTCTGATTCCGGGAAATCCCTCCGCCGCCAGAGGAGCGGCTGTTGGTCTCTTCACCTATATCGCGTCGTTTGGAGCTACTTGGCTTCCACTGCCATGGCTCTACCCCGCTGAGATCAGCCCTATCAAGACCCGTGCGAAGGCAAACGCTGTTTCGACATGCACAAACTGGCTCTGGAACTTCTTCATTGTCATGATCACTCCCATTATGATTGCCAACATCGGCTGGGGAACTTACCTGTTCTTCGCCGTTGTCAACGCCTGCTTCTTCCCCATCCTGTATTTCTTCTACCCGGAGGTATGTAGCTCTCTGTCTGCCAGAAATAGTATTGCAATCTCGCTAACAGTCACTCATAGACCGCAAACCGATCTCTGGAAGAGATTGACATCATCTTCGCCAAGGGCTACTCTGAGAATATTTCATATGTCAAGGCCGCCAAGGAGCTGCCTTACCTGTCCCATGACGAAGTCGAAGAATACGCTCTTCGATATGGCCTGGTCGACACCGCAAGCCAAGGTGTTGCAGGCAAGGAGGAGGACAAATCTAGTGAGAAGGGGACTTCCAGCGAGAAGGGAAGTTCAAACGAAAAGGAAATTGGCACAGGAACCGAATCCGAGAAATGATTTATGAGATGATACCATAAAAACAAAAGAGAGAGAGATGAACATACCGGATAGAAAGCTAGAAGATAGAAAGCCAACATTTTGGCTCGTCTCGGCAAAATAGATAATCGGCTGCCAGGCCGTAAAGTAAATTATCCTTACGACGTACTGAAACCAATGCCGTGTAAAATTATAATGCAGCCAATTTTGTGAAAAATGATAGAAGGATAGGCTATTGCTGGTAGAGGAAGACGTGCAATATCTTGAAGCCCGCAGGCTGCTGCTTTGGACTCTTTAGCGCATCTCAACGCTTACATGTACCTGCTTATATACAACTGCTTGCATCAAAAGGATGAGGCAATCTAAAGGATGAACTTCTCTAAGAAAATCATCACCATTGTATTAAAATCACCAACTACAATACTCGGGGAAAAGAAAAAAAAAAAAAAAAAAAAAAAAAAAGAAAATAAGACCAAAAATAAAACAGGTTCTGGAGGGAGTCGAACCCTCGCTGCTGGAATTGATTCATTCATCAAAATCCAAAGTCCTAACCGTTAGACCACAGAACCCTTGCAAGCCACGCTAGTTAAAACAGATTATATAACAAAGATGCCAGCGCTCAGCTCTACCTTGACACAATTCGTTTCAAGAACATGCCAGACAATTGCATCTTTGCATCTTTTCTTTGAAGCAGCCTATTTGGCCGAATTGTGTAGCTTCTAATTGGTAAACCTAGTAGGTAGTTTTGTTTTTGAATTTTTTTATTGCTTTGTAGGTACCAACCTATCGAATATTAGCTGCACATCACCCATACAGTATGAGTCTCTCTTATCTATTTCTCCACATCATAATCTCAAATACCAAAATCCGTCAAGATACTCCGCATAATAATAGGAATAATAATAATAATAATCATAATAGTACAGTTGGACTCATAAGTAAACAGAAAAAAAAACGCCAGTCAGCCTCCTATTACAAAAACTCCATCCGCAATCCAGGATTCTCCCGACGGAGCACCGACTCGACCACGTTTGACAGCAGTGTTACGAAATTGGGCACATCAGCAGCCTCTGTTTTCATCTCGTGCGCGGCCAGTCGGTGCTTGGCCATGTTCTCGGACGCACAGCGTTGTGAACAGAATAGCGTCAGGCATCCCGAATTGACGCACTGCTTGCACACAAACACTTCTAGGGCAAATGCATCATCCATGATGACATCTTCCTCTTTGCTAGTGCTGCGCTTTTGGACACAGCTGTCTCCACCGTCACATTTGTGTGCATCGTCAACATGTTTGCCCTACAAAATCAGAGAGTTAGCTAAATTGTAAACACAGCACAATAAGAGCACCCTGTTGATACAATTTTCTTTGGGGGATAAAAACATACGTGTCCAGCGTCAAAGCACTCTTCAGAGCAGTAGACCGTGAGCTTCTGGCTGCCGCCCATCTGTGTGACTGTCTGGCATACGGTGCAAGAGAAGACATCGTTTGCCGCCACGACTTTGCCACACGTCGAGCAAGGGGGCAGATCGTAGAGCTCATCGCCTGCTGTTTGGTCCTGAGCCGTTTGAGCTTGGTTCTTAGCCTGCTGCTTCTTGTTTAGCTCATCAGCCATCCTGGCCCTCCGGAGGTCGTCGAGCCGTGCTTGGAAGAATTCTCGCTGTGGCCGCATAGTCTTGTTCTCCTGCGCATCCTTGACCATCTTGCCGATGATCTCTTCTATGCTCATATCCTCGTTGGAAGAAAACTCATCCAGGTACGGCCGTGAGTCGTCCACCGGCTCGCCCGTCTCTCGATTCATGAAGAACTCGTCGATATAGAGCTTGCGGAGGGCGGCTGCATTTCCCTCGGCAGCCTCAACACTTGCCACAAACGCATCTACTCGTTCGGCCCAGTCGGGCGGCTTGCCGATCCCTCGCCAAATCATGCTCACCACTTCGTCGCGTGACCGATCCGGGTCGTCCAGCATGCCCCTCAGCTCGTCCTGGATGAAGGGATCGTCGCAGATGACGAGGAACTCGGGGTGTTTCCTCAGGATCCATCGGTACCACGCCTCCTTCTCCGACTCTATCCGCGCCTCGATCTTCTTGAGGCCGATCTTGCCGTCTTTCGCGTCTGCAAAGAGTCCTTCCAGCTCCTGGTGGAACGCTTTCCTATACGTGAACCATTCGCGATCTTGACTCCCGCTGTACCTCTGGCGCATCCTCTCCAGCACCCGGATATAGCATCCTGTGCAGTCTGAAACGTGTTTTTTGCCACATCCGCTGGCGCAGGAGGGCCTGAATTCCTCTATTTGTTCCGAACAGAGCCGCCGTTGTCTCCTGGCCGCGATGAGCTCCGTCCAGTGTTCCGGAGCGGTTGCTGGCTGAGCCATGGCTGTGAATTCTGCTCTCAAAGACGTAGAAGAGGATTCCCGCTCCTCCTCTGATTACATCTAACAGCGGTTAAAAGGGAATACGCAGTATATATATATATATATATAAGAATGAAAATAGATGTGAAGAATATAAAAGTTGTATTTCGAAAATGCTGCTTCTCCCTCTCTCCCGGTTGACGCGCCCAGACTCACTCTCGGCACTGAGAATCAAGCGCAGCAGCGATGACTGAGTAAGCTGAAAAAGAGAAACACAGCTAACCCAGTTAAGAGACGCCAGAGAAATCCCGACAACGAAGCCGTCCAGCGTTGGAAGAAGAAAATATGGGGTATAAGAACACGGTGATACGCCGGGAAAAGAAGTGAAATAATGGGAAAATTGGCCTGGTATAGAGATTGGTAGGGTTTTCTTTACTCTGTAGCAGGAGCGGTACTAGCAAGTCCCTGCACAATAACATTGAGTGCGGCAACACAACTGCGCTGACCTCATCATGCAGGAAAAGACAACTGCCGACATTTTGCCTGGCTTTAGACGGAGATGCCCCAGCTTAATCTCGTCTAAACTCAGCTGCGGCTGACGGTGCCAGTTCGATACGCCTCTTCCAGTAAGCCTTGGATACTATTCGCTTCATCGCTGTCGAGATAAGATAGTACTATTCAATTTGATTTTATTTGATTTTATTTTGTTTGATTTTCAACCCACACCATCTTGTCTGATAACGCAACGAGCATTGACAATGGTAAGAAGTCCTATTCACAATCTTGCTCGCGAAATCCTCACCCGCGTAACGCAAACCCCTGCTAATTCTGCGCTCTCCAACATCAGGCCGATAAGCTTCGCAACCAACAAGAGCTCGAACGCCTCCAGGCCAAATACATCGGAACTGGCCATCCCGACACGTCCAGCTGGGAGTGGCGGACAAACATCCAGCGAGACACGTACGCCTCGATTGTCGGCCATCGACCTCTTCTCTCCTACATCTCGCTGGCAGAAAACGAGCCATTGACCAAGACGCGGGCTCAAATGATACGGGTGTGTAGTTGATGCGTCAATGTACAGCCAAAATCTCGTTATTTCCTAACATCTAATGTCTCATGAACAGAAAATGGTTCAGCCATGCGGACCCCCACCCCCACGGGAAGATTGATTTCAAACACGACTCCTACTAAAGCGCACGACGATTTACAAACAAAGATGCAGCCATAGATGGCGAGATTCATGCCATGTTGTATCATTCGAAAGACACATGTCAGATGCATCTCGTGTGTGATTTTCGGATGAGAATGGCGGTGCAGAACGGCAGATTCGCACGACAAGATACCCCTTTTATAATTAAGCAGCAACTAGAGTATTTCAGCAGGATTAATAGAAAATATTATATTGACCGAATCCAACAGAAGAGGAATCTTTTTTTTTTTTTTTTTTTTTTTTTTTTTTTTAAAAAAAAAAAAAAAAAAAAAAAAAAAAAAGACCACAAGAAGAAGAATACGAAGAATATACAGAAACAAGACAAAAGACTGGGTATTATATGGGTTCTAAGAATCACAAGCACCAAAATAGTGCTTCTCTCATGGCGTGTGCTATACGCCGTTTGCCATGCCAACATCATTATTCTCTTCTTCGCCATCGACGAGCTGTCTGCTTTTCAGCCCCAGGCTCGAGCGCAGCTTCTTGTCAAAGGCCACGTCTTCGGGATGGCCATACACCTCGCGCACCAAGCCCATGACGCCGTCCAGGCCGATTTCTTCCTTTGCTCGAGGCCCGACATGCCATGTGATGGTCTGGTCACCCTCGTAGCCGACTGGCGGCCGGTCTACCTTTTTGATGACGTATCCCTGTCTTTCCAGCCTCTTCAGAACCACCTCGGTCCGCTCGCTCGCCAGCATTCGATCGGCGTTGAGGCGCATGAGGGACCGCTGCAGCTTCTGCTCACTGAGTTCTCCACCGTTGAGCCATATCAGCGAAACGAGCAGCGTATAGAATCCCGAATATGTTGCTTCTTGTTCTGCGCTTGGGGTCTTTGATGGTCTGATGATTGATGCGTTTCGGTATTCTTCTGGTATCGCGGAGGAGAGGACATAGGCGCCAGAGCCGGATCTTGACTGCGTGCTTGATTTCATAGCTGTCGATTATTCAAGGATTAGCCTCAATCGTTCTCAAAAAAATAAGATGTCGTTTTACCTTGTCTCTTCTCATGCAGCGTCATCTTCTCTCGGATAGGCAGCTCGCGCAGTTCCATCCCCCAAACTGCTCTCAGCTGAGTTTGCGCCAGCTCAAATATCCTCCTGAATGAGCGGCTTTGCTTTCCGAGTACTATCATCACGGCTCGGTTAGTTGATGATCCTCTCTCTCTCTCTTTCCCCCCTCTCACTTCTCTTCTTCCAGTTCTCTGCGCATCCTCACCTCGCTCCTTTATGCCATCTCTCCGTATCGGCGTTCTCGAGTATTCGCAGGCGATGGCATATCGAATCAGCTTCTTGGCCAGCTGCTCGTCGACTCTGGACGCTGCGCCGTTCATCTCTGTATCTTCGTCTGACGCTTCTTCTTCCTGGTCCGTCTCTGAGCTCTCGATGTGCGGGCGCTGCCGGGGACGAGCATCTTGGTCTGATTCACCGTCGTCTTCCACCTAATCATATGCGCTTGTCAAAAACGAGGAACATGGAAACGTCGAAATCTCGCTGTCGAGTGCGGACCCACCGGACGGCGTCTCCTCTGCGAAGGCGGCATGACTGAGCGTTGAATTGACGGCGGTTTGGCCTCTTAGTCCAGATAATTGCAGAAGGCAGCGTCTGCTGATGTGAATCGCACCGGGATCATTGGAATATATAATATATGCGAGTGAACGTGGGGCTTTAGTGCAGCGAACGCGCTACTCAAGGTTGCGGCGCGTCTGATGAGTTGGGCGGGTAAAGTGGCCGCAGGGAAAGCTTTATCGGCTATCGATAACGGCTTATCGCGCAAAATTCCATGTACCTGCTACTAGATATACATACACATGTGCCGTATCGTCTCTCTCTCTCTCTATAAACGCTGTGAGCTCGTTGAGAGTCACCAGTCAGTCTCGTCGCATTCCATGTAGCCAGTTTTACGCTGAGAATTAGCATCTGCTTTGCTACATCAATGCTTTCCCGAGCGGCAAACGTTCCGCGCGTCCATTGGGCCAATCGACTGGCCTCGTCCATCTTGCGCGAGAGAACAACGCTAAGCCATTTCTACGGTCGTGAAGATTGGATCCGGCGGCGATGCTATAGCTCCGATCCCATCATCCACAGCAAAGAGAGCGTGGAGGCGCTGATATCGGGCAGAATCAGCACGAGAGAATTCAACAAGTCGCTTAAAAAGGGCTCCAAGAAGCCGTCTCGAAGAGACTCGTTTCGCCGCGGCAAGGGCGCAAGTAACAGACGCCGCAACAAGGACGAAGAGATACCCGACTGGGGACTTGCGACGGCCCCGAACGATGCGAATGTCACAATAGAGGCAGAAGTGGAAGTTGCGCAAGAGCTCTTAAAGGGGGAACAGACTGCAGAAACGCTTCCGGAAGCTCGGCAAGAGGTTCAACAAGAAGCTCAACAAGAAGCTCGAGATGCGCTTGCAGAGGCACTTGCAGAGGAAGCGGATCGACTAGAGCAGGCCGAAGCTGAAGCACAAGATGAATCAGGTTCTCTTCCTGTGGAACTTGACCAAGCCAAGCCAGAGGGAGGGGCCAGGCCCAGAAGACCGTTCCAGGATGAACGCATACACTCCAGGACCGTCTCTGTTGCGGCCCTTGGGAAGCAGATTGAAGCAATCATGTTGAAGAACCCCAACGAAATGAAAAAACCCAAGCGGCCCTCACGGAGGATTCAAGACAAGGCGCCAGACGTCAAAGTGGAACTCGATGCTGAAAGAGACCTCATGATGGAGGAAGTTGAAGAGAGCAACGAGGAGGTCCTGGAGGCGGCCTTGAAGCACATTGATGACCTACGGCCTGTCGATCGAACGGTTCTACCAATCAAAGAGTTCGATTCTCTGGCAAATACTCTGGTAGATGGCTTCAAGACCAGTCAGCTCACCAGATACTATAACCGAGAACGCCTGACAGCACACAACCAAAGCCTACAGAAACCGCCCTCTTACTCCTGGATTGATAACCTAAGCCCCTGGGAGCCCGCCAAACCCGACCACTGGGGGCCTCTTAGGCCGAAGCAGCGCCAAGTGATTTTGATTATGCAAACCATCTGGAATCTGGAGGTGAAAGAGCAAGTCGAGGGCCTCGGTAGGACTCTTGTCTGGCTAGAGCCCCGCATCTTTCAGCTGATTGCCCGTAAGTCTATATGAATTGAAAGATTTAATCCTTAACCGTGAGTTGGATGAATCAGACTTGCTTACATCTCCGTGTCTATAGCTCCCAATAGCTCCATCTTAGAGCAAGTCTCGAAAGATTTCTTGTACGAATCTAACAAGGAGAAGATTACTGCAAGCTTCGACGATTGCCGGATCAACATTTACGCCCAAAAATCGACCGTTCCCGTCATACTCGCCCATCTTGATGAGATTGTCAAGTCGATTCGTCACCAGAAGATCCCCTCCACTCATATCGAAGAAGATGATTTGGACGAGCAATTGCTCCAAGAACTAGAACGAATTACAAAGACACATATCAAGTATAACAAGGGCAGTAAGGTATGCTCGGAATTTGCTACCCTCAACCCTCCCTGTCCAGGGCTAATGACAGAATAGGAGCTTGAAATCTCGTGGCTTGAAAGTCAAATCCCATCGCCATCGACAGAAGGCACTAAGAACATAGAAACGCCCGCTGATATCGCTCTGCGACTATTGCTGGAGCAGCCAAGCAAAGACGATCAAAGCAGCGTGCACATCATAACAGCATCCGAAGTTGACAGGGCCAAGGATGGATCTTTTATCAGCCATCAGAGAGAACGCAGGAGTATGCGGTGGAGGGATAAGCTAAAGCCGTGGTCCAGATACGTCCTCCCCGTTGGCCAAGCCACCACAGCGGGAGACGATGTTTTAGAGCACCTGCTTGAGGCAATCTCTTTACCCGACACATCAAACTCCAAAGCAAACAAGAAAGCCGAATTGGTGGTTACGACGGCATCCTTTGGACATGTGCTCCACGGCAAGGGCTCCCGTACCGTGGCCACCATGGCAAAACATCGCAGACTTCTCTCTCCAGCCCTCCCTCACCCCGCATCCTTTACCTCGATTATGGACGAAGACAAACCCTTGACACAGCGCACGACCATTACCCTTAACTTTTCTCCCGACCCCACGCATCATTCCAAAGACACAAGCTCAACGCTCCCCAGCGTCCAACTCCAGCTACCTGTTGATCCTGTCACCGACATTGCCGACTCTTCTCTCCCCTCTGGCTCGACTCTCTTTGGCGTTGCAGCACATTCCATTAGCGATATCCTGCTGCCCGGCGAAAGTGTAGACATTCGCCTGACGCAGCAGCGTCTTCTGCCGCTTGACGCGAGTCAAGAACCCATCAAGGAATTTTTATCTCACTGCGAGTTTGACCTCCCAAAGGGCATTCTAAGAACACCTAGCAAAATCACATTCTCAATCCCCAAAGCCTGGGCAGCCGACCCAAAAGCAAAACGCAAGCCTTCCAAAGCGGCCGCCGCCATCAGTGCTCCGTACATCTTCATGGGGCTGGAGACGCATCAGGTCGCCGAATTCGAGTTCCATGGCCATACCTTACGCTACGATAGCATCGATGCTGGCCGCCATGGAGGTCATAGACAGGGGCTTTCTCTCCAGGCCGGTCCCGTGCAAGGAAGCGAAGACCAAGACAAGACACCGTTCAAGCTCAACGATGAAGAAGCGTCTGCATTCCTATCTCTAGCTGGGGAGATTGCCACAGGAAAGTATTTCTCGTGGCACAACGGCTCCGAATTGGTGCAAGAGTCTTCAGACGAGTCACTTGGTTTTGATGAACTAGAAGTGCTTGATGATGAATCGATCGATGAAGAGTTTTCCTCGTCGTCGTTGGAAGTTGAAGATTCCGAAGATGCCCAGAGTTCAGAATCCGAACTTTTGTCACCCCCTGAGCAGGGCGAAAGCACCTTTCCGATTACTGAGCCAGCATCCGAAGATCCATCCCCCGCCTCCCAGAGCAGCACCACGAATGAATCAGCGGATGCCTCTGAAGCTCTCCACGACCCTGCCAACACCAAAGATTCAAAACTCCAATAAGCATAATCTCCATCACGATATTTAGCAGCATATTTCATTATAACAATTATTCGCTTCACCGTAGTTGCAAGGCGGAAAGCATTTTGTATCGTCAACAGAAATCAAGGCATATATATAAGATAGCAGTGGCTGTTCATTTCCAAGGCGTTTTGGATATAGGAGCGATTCCCCTCTTACGATGTACGTATAAACATATAAACATAGGTATTCAGATGATGAAATTTGGAATCATTTCAAGGGCTTTGTACGAATAGGATAAGAAAAAAAAAAGATATTTTATGAATCATCAACAATCTTGCCAAGTAAATGAAGATGACTTCTACTTTCCTCAGCCTCGTCATCACTAAGTATCAGCCGCGCGAGGCTTATAGCGCGTCCAGCGGACGCAGGGCACCTATCAGTAGCGCTATTAGGCCTTGAGGCCGCTAAAACTACAGGGGACACCAAGAATTTTCAGGAGGATACAGAGGTAGGTACTGCGTTATAGCATAGCGCACGCCAGATAGTAGTATCTACACATATTCGTTGGAATCACGCACGCTACCATCACAATTTATCAGAGTGGCACAAACAAGTTTGGTTGTCGAAGTCAGTCAATTTAACTTCTATCTAATTTTTTTTTCCCTTTTTCCCTTTGTTTTGCATTCCCGGAGAAGTTTTGATGGAACCCTTATTCCCAGCCTCTCAATTAACGTGCCTCGATTCATAGTCGAGAACTCATATGCATAGCAACATTGATCGTTTCGTCGTAGAAGTGAGCGCGTGGTGCCCCACTGGGAGAAACCTCACGAGGGACCCCAGAACATCAGGTGTTGATGATGATGGGTATCGCTTATTTCTTGGCGGCCTTGGCGGCGGACTTGGTGACCTTGCCGGCAGCACCAGTGGACTTCTCGACGGACTTGATGACACCGACGGCGACGGTCTGACGCATGTCACGGACGGCGAAACGACCCAGGGGAGGGTAGTCGGTGAAAGCCTCAACGCACATGGGCTTGGAGGGAACCATCTTGACGATGGCGGAGTCACCAGACTTGATGAACTTGGGGGAGGCCTCAGTAGCCTTACCGGTACGGCGGTCGATCTTCTCGAGGAGCTCAGAGAACTTGCAGGCAATGTGGGCAGTGTGGCAATCGAGGACGGGAGCGTAACCGGCACCGACCTGGCCAGGGTGGTTCATGACAATGACCTGGGCGTTGAAAGAAGCGGCACCCATGGGAGGGTCGTTCTTGGAGTCACCGGCAACGTTACCACGGCGGATATCCTTGACAGAGACGTTCTTGACGTTGAATCCAACGTTGTCACCGGGGACACCCTCAGCGAGCTGCTCGTGGTGCATCTCGACGGACTTGACTTCAGTGGTGACGTTGGAGGGAGCGAAGGTGACGACCATACCGGGCTTGAGGACACCAGTCTCGATACGGCCGACAGGGACTGTTCCGATACCACCGATCTTGTAGACGTCCTGGAGGGGCAGACGGAGGGGCTTGTCTGTGGGACGCTTGGGGGGCTCAATGGCGTCGATGGCCTCGAGGAGGGTCTTACCGGTGGACTTGCCAGCCTTGGTCTCCTTCTCCCAGCCCTTGTACCAGGGGCAGTTGGTGGAGGGGGACAGCATGTTGTCACCGTTGAAACCGGAGATGGGGACGAAGGCAACGGTCTTGGGGTTGAAGCCGACCTTCTTGATGAAGTTGGAGGTCTCCTTGATGATCTCAAGGTAACGAGCCTCAGCCCAGTTGGCAGTGTCCATCTTGTTGATGGCAACGATGAGCTGCTTGACACCCAGGGTGTAGGCGAGCAGAGCGTGCTCACGGGTCTGGCCATCCTTGGAGATACCAGCCTCGAACTCACCAGTACCGGCAGCGATAATCAGGATAGCGCAGTCAGCCTGGGAGGTACCAGTGATCATGTTCTTGATGAAATCACGGTGACCGGGAGCGTCTGTGGGAAGAGCATGTTAGAATGGCGGACTTGGAATGTCGATAGCTAGAGAGAAGAGTCCAAAACATACCAATGACGGTGACATAGTACTTGGGAGTCTCGAACTTCCAGAGGGCAATGTCGATGGTGATACCACGCTCACGCTCGGCCTTGAGCTTGTCAAGAACCCACGCATACTTGAAGGAACCCTTGCCGAGTTCGGCGGCTTCCTATTGATTGAAGCATGATCAGCATAATGAACAAAAAAAGACGACGCGATTGAGCAAATAGCATGTGGTGGGTGATGGAAGAGGTGCAGTGGCGATAGCGGGGTTGCTGCCAAAAAATTTGACACCCCACTAAAAGCCAAACAAGGCAGCCAGAAAATTTTTGCTGTGCCAAAGGAGGGGTAGGTAGACTGGCAAAGCGGGGTGACGCTGGAAAAAAAAGACAAAAACTGAGAGCAGAATTGTCGGGCATATGATTGTGCCAAAAATTGATGGGAAAAGCAGTGAAATGAGCTTACCTTCTCGAACTTCTCGATGGTACGCTTGTCAATACCACCGCACTGGTAGATCAAGTGACCAGTCTATTGGGAAAAACGTTAGCTGGATGTTGCTACAATCAAGTTGCCCCGCGCTGCCCGACAGAGTCGATAGCAGAGGGTGCTCGAGGAATTGGATATTACTCACGGTGGTAGACTTGCCGGAGTCGACGTGGCTGTTGTAGCAAGTCAGTATTAGAGTCGATCGAAAGCAGATTGCCGGAGAAATACGAACCCCTAGAGACGATGATGGTCAGCACAATGTCATTCGCAGGCAACGGCAGAGAGAATGCCGCTGGTGGGAAGAAAGGGATTGCAACTTACGATGACGACGACGTTGATGTGAGTCTTCTCCTCCTTACCCATTTTGGCGGTTTGTGAAGTTTTGTGTGGGAGTAGTTGTAAAGTTCTTGACTAGAACGTCTAGAGACGAGAGAAAGAGTCAGCGGGTGCTGTTGCACGGATGATGAAGACGATGAAGACGATGATGATGAAGCTTCCCGACGATGCAAGACCGAATCACCATCAGCAGAGGGTAGAGCAGAGGCAGCACGTACAAATTCGCAGATCGGATGCTTGAACCGGGTATGCGAGACGAAGAGCAGAAGAAGAGAAAAATTCGAAAGCAGATGGTGGGAGGAGGAGATTTAAAAGGTGGTGGGCGGAGGGGTGCAGGCGCTAAGGCTGCTGCTCTTTTTTTTTTTCTGCCACGCGGGGCAGCCAGCGAGAAAAAAAAAAAGCCTTTGGGAGGGGCAAAAAAAGCGGCGCCCGCTTCATGGCCTAGCCCTAACGAGCGAGCCCGAGCCAATCACGATGCTGCTCACTTTTTCCTCTGCTGCACACCCGCTAGTTTTTTTTTTCCTTGGCCTAAGCGCCTCCTGTGGCTTTGGATCCGCCGGCCAATGGGGTGCTGCGACGAAGAGCTCTAGGCCTGCGATCTGGTATGATCACGGTGGGAACATGTACCGTTGGTTTTTAGCGTTTGTTGACTCGAGGCTGAAGAATTTTTTTTTTTTTTTTTTCTACGGTAAAGATTCTTTGTTTTGGCTGCTAGCAAAAAAAGTTGATCGAAGTGGTACTATCTGATAGGTGGCTAAATGCGTACGGCAAAAGGACGATAGATGCATGTGGCCTCAACACGGTCGTATCACATTCAGTGGACGTGCTGCTGTGGCTACAGCGCATACATCAGTACAGCACTGCCGTGAAGCAAGCACATGTACCCGGTACATCATCACACCCACCATCATCGATACTCATCCCGGAGAGGTACCGCTACTTGCGTTGCTTGCCTCAGTTATCGTAGAGTCATCGGTATCTTTCGATCCTTTGCTTCGTATCGCTCTCTGTCGCGTTTGAGCACGTACTCGGCATGACGCAGAGCAGGCAGAGAGCAGCGCAGAAAAAATAAAAAATATAAAAACTAAAAAACAATCCCTGGCTTTCGGTCCTAAAAAAGTCGCAGCAGCAAAAAGCTGATACAGACTCGGCGTCCCTGTTTTCCCTTGCGGCTGACCTCTCCCTGCCCAATCCACCCACACTCAGGCTGCTGGTGCGCGCCTGTTTTTGCCCAACTCGCCGCTGTTACTTTTTAGGTTTCCTCCCTGTCGAGGTACCGGTACTTGCTATCTCTCTCGCTCTCTCTTTCCTGCTGTCTCTCTCTCTCTTTCTCGCCTGTTTGTTACACCAAAGGAAGCGAGTCAACGGCGGTGAGAAGTTGTGAGAGGCGAGAAACTGCAGCAAATGTGCATCACAACTGAGAATAGAGAACAAGACACCAAAGGTGTCAAAGGAACAGCCATCCCCTTGCTGGTACATACTACCACTTACTGTACATACATTACTAGGTAGGCACTACCTATTATCACAACTCGTATCATCGTCTCGCATAATGGGCATCCATTTTCTCCTCCATCTTGGCTCCGCTATGCAGCAACTCCTAATATTGCTCCCCCTGTCAACCGCTCCAGGGCCATTTGTCTCAACTTTTTTTTTTCTTCCCTCTCTCTTTAGCCACTCTTCCCGCCATTACCCCTCCATATCGTCAGCCCCTCCATTCATCCTCACCCAAGCCCACTATATGAAACGTCAACACCCCCACTTCATGCAGTTCCATCCATCACCTGCGCGTCGCCACCGCAACAAATTTTCGTTTCCTTTTTATCAAGGTGTCATCGCCATGTCCATCTTCCTCTTGTTGTGTAAACTCCGAGCCGGATATGCAGCCAAAATGGAGCTCGTATATCAATAGCCGCAGCAGAGGCGATACCAGATGTGGGCACGGCTGTCCCAGGCAGCTGTCTCATGGCGTTATCTCCATATCGATAGCCTCCCTCCCTCTCACTCAACACATGCATTCAACCATGTATGAAAATCAAAATCAGATTCACAATGCATTAGCTGCATTGAACCGCAGAGGCATCCTCGGCCAGCAGTACCGGTACATTGGCGAATCCTTTGGAGGTCAATTCAACGCCACAGTCACAGTAGCTCGTAGCGGTTTAGCACCGGTCTCTTTAGCTGAGGTGGAGCCATCCGTCCCGTTGTTGTTGGCATAGCTGAAGCTTAAGTTAAGCTACCAAGAGAGCAGCTCGGCGTGACTCTTAAAACATCATGTCAAATAGCAGAAAGCTGGCTGAGGCTGAGCATCTCCAGGGGCATCGCTGCGCCTGCGGTAGATGCCTGTTCAAGTGTGTTGGTAGAGGCAACTCCCATACGTATACTGTACATATATGCGGGATCAAGTGGCAACCAGACGAGTGAAAAAGAGGGACACTAGAACTGAAACCCACTCAACAGGACAAATCCCTGTATATCAAAATAGTTTTTGCTGTATATTTCTTGTCACGGAGCGCTTATTTTGACCTTCTCATACGTTATGGAAAGTGTTGCATCATCCCCTCGTGGAAAGCTTGCTTCGAGAAGCTCTTCTTTTCTCTCTCCTCTTGCTCATCGATTGAGAGAATACATTTATCTACCATCAATCACGCTGAATTCATACCACTTATACGAAGCTATCAAGAACCCCCAAAGCAAAATTCGAGATATGCTTTTTACTCATGTCTTTCAAGTATCCCCCAAAAGCTCATCAGCTGATGTCTGGCAAGGCTGAGCTGCCCGGGTTCCTCGTCACGAACACATGCATCTACCGAGCGGAAACTGTTATATGTGTCGAAAGACGATGAAACGAGTCTTGTAGATATGACTATCGAATAGTCTATGGCTGTCTGGAGCATGAGCAGCCATCAAAATCCTATTGTCTACTAATCTATGGCAACTAGTTTGATGAAACATACAATGCCACGCAGCAATCAAGGCTCTTCAGGGAGATGAATCATTCGTCTTTCATATATGCCTACCTAGGAGTAGCGGCTAGGTTGAAATCTGTCAATAGACATGTTCCCAGCCATGATGGCTTCCTGAAAACGGCGTTGGCAGCGCTGAAAAGCACTCGTTGGGTCACAGCCAACCCCCAAAAAGCGCAGTTGGTGTCACCTTCACCTCCAGACCGCTGCCAGCTGCCGTCTTTTTCGCCCCGTCCTTTATAAATTCAAATACAAGACTTTCATCCCAACCAGGGAACTGCTATTCCGCCATGGTCTAGTGGTTCCAGCCATCGCCCGTATAGAGTAAGAGCAACTCGTTGGACTCCTATTCTCTCAGCGTAGGTGACAGCCAAGGATCCTGGTGCAAATCCGGGTGCGGGCATGCGGCTGTTCGACTTTCCGTCGAGCCCTTCTTTTTTTTCCTTATTCTCTCTGTCTTCTCTCCCTTTTCTTTGCGTCCATGTGTGAGTAATGCCTTGAGCATGCTGTATTTTTGCTCTGCTTGATATTTACGTCTAGATCTATGTATTTGCATTATCATGACAACGGGCATCTACAATGCCTGTATCAAGTACTACTAAATCTACTCGTAGTACATGTACCTTTCTCGTACTACCGTACTGATGCACTCAGATTGCGTACCTGAGGCATCAGGCTTTCACGATCCAGGGCCCGAATGCTCTGCCTTGATGATGCAAAGTGACTCTGCCTTGCAGCTAATTGTGTATCGAGAAGCTATTTGATTGTCCTCTCCTTGCCTCTTCATTAATCATTTCTATCCATCCATCTATTTATTTGAATCTCTCGCAGCATTAATTATCTGCCCTGCCTCTCGTCCTGTCGCCACCTTTACTGAATGTTGGAAAGAGAGGAGCAGAGAGAGAGAGAGAGAGAAGAGAATAAAGGAAAAAAGAAAAGAAAATTGGGCTTTATTGGCTCTTCTTCTCGCTTGGCTTCGCTCGAACCATACCCTTGGGTGTCTTTAACCCCACAAAGGCGACAGTGACAACCACAAGAGCGCCCATTGCACCCATGGTATACGCATATTCTCTACCAGCCCACCAGTATACGCTGGTGCAAAGAATTGGCCCCAGTCCGCGCCCCAGCTGGCCCCAGCTTCGCATAATGCCCAGCTTGACGCCGTGTTCGTGCTCGCGAGCCTCGAAGCTGCTGAGAGCGTTGAGGCCCGTTACCACTGTCGCCGACGTGACGGCAAGGCATGTCGCTGCCGCATATAAACCGCCGAAGGTGGACAGGCGACCGAGCAGGACAAAGGCAACGAGACAGGCGACCGTGCCAATACGAACGGACAAGAGGGGAGAGAGCCTGCGAGTGACGCCTCCCTGGAGGATCGAGGCCACCAGACCAATATAGCCAAGGAGCCGGCCGTTCTTCCCAGAGGTGAACTGGAACAGGTCGTACGTCATAAACGACAGCGAAGTCTCCATTCCAGAGAAGAACAGGAGGAACACAAAGTGCGTGGCGTAGAGCAAGACGCGCGAGTTTGTCCGCTCCACCTCCTTGGACGGTCCCGCCTTCTCCCCACTGTTCTCGCTGGGCTGCATCTCCTGAGTCTTCTCCTTGCCGGCCAAAGATGGAAGAGTTTCCGGCAGACAAAAGTACAGGTATACCGTCTCAGTAGTAATCAGGACCAAGCTGAATCCTGCTGCCACAGCAAATGGATTTGCCCTGGTCGTCGCAATCGTGCTCAGCCACGCCCCCAGGCCGGGCCCAAAAGTAAAGGCCACCGAGAAGCACGCGCCAATGATTGCCATTGTTGACCCTCGTGTCTGTTCGTCCGATATGTCGCTGGCCATGGCGGTGGCAATCTGTACATTGCCCTCGGAAAGACCACCCACGACTCGGCTGGCTAAAAAGGTGCGGAAATCGACTGCCATGACCCAGAGGAGCACGGAGACAACATTGCCGCACATGGATGCCAAAAGAGCATAGCGGCGGCCGTAGCGATCAGAGAAACGGCCAATAATGGGAGAGGCGACGGCTTGCAGGATGCTGTAACGGCATTCTATTGTCAGTGGCCCCTCCAAACACATGCAATGAGATGTGACAATGATATGCGACCATGAGCACTCACGAGAACAGGGACCCCAGCGCTCCACCAAGAAGAACAATGTCATATCGGGAATCGATGGGTCGCGAAAAGGACGCCTTGTACGCATTCAGCCCTCCGAGCACCTGCTGAAGGAGAGTGTTCGGTTTGCCATGGAGGATCAGGTCGGGTGCTTCGCGATCTCGGTAGAACTCTAGAAGTTTCGGGAACAGGGGCAGAATGAATGTGAAGGATATCTGGTTTGCTCATACATTAGCAATCTATTTTTCAGGTATGACTGCCAGCCGTGATGCGGCCTCTTTCTCGCTGTTGCGACTTACCAGATCTAGAAGAAGAGAAACAATGATAACCCGGAGCACACGCTTCCGCGTGGCAGGGTCGACGGCTACCATTGCGTCGTTGCGGAATGGGCAGCCAACAAGTTGCGAGTCTGTACGACAACGGAGACGAGAAGCGAGGGGATAAGTGTGGACAGCAAAGCACAAGAAACAAAGAGTGCCTGCTACTGCTATTAGTAGTAGTAGTAGCAGTAGTAGTAGTAAGTGGTAGTAAGTGGTAGTGGTCGTAAGTTGTCTGCGTTGTGGACAGGAAGCTCACAACATGAGGTTATGGACCCACCACCCTGGAAAGGTCGATCCGCCAAGCGGAAACCAAAAGAGCCAGAAATAACCACGGCCAGGTTTAGCGCAGCTCTCGCGAGTTTCGTCCCGGCAGTCCAGCAAGTGCTACTCCATTCTTCCCGCGTTTCCCGTACGTGCGTGCGCAGGAGGAAGAGGCCAGAAGTCCAGTCTGGTCTCCCCACACTGAATCCGACTCTGCTGGCGAGCGTGTTGGTCGAGCGACTCGGGACCCTGGAGTGGATACGCTCTTGCGGGCAGGTCGAGGCGCAACGCCGCAAAGCAGATGATTAGTTGACGGCCGCTCTAAGCTTACTGTAATACCAAGGGAAGCTTGCCGTAGAGGTGCGACCCCCTGCTCGGCAGCGTCGCAGCAGTACCTCGCGCTAAGCAAGTAACGGCAGCTTTGATCGCGCCGCTTGGTATGAATTGCTCCGGATCACTGGAATCATTGCGGTAGATAGTAGATGCTCCTCCGGCCGAGGGCCCGCCTTGGACGGGAAACTGGGGACATGGTTCCCAGCTAGGTCTACTATACCTGCCGCTTACGACAGCATATCTACTAACTTGCATCGGTAGCCATGTTAATCTATGTACTGGGAAATACGCAATGCAACGAATACGCCTCTACGAACGGCCTGTGGAGTTTGTGGGAGAGACTTTTTCCTTGTGGCGCTTTGACACATGCGGCTGATCTCAAGTGACCACATCCGACAAGCTGGCCCACCATCTTTGTGTTCCTTAGCTTGGATATACATACGACTAGTTACTAGGTAGCTGCTTTGTGCGAGGCTGTCTCTCAGACGCTCGGGAGCTCAGGCTGCGGGAGCTTGCGTCTCACCACTCATCCATTCACCCTCTACGGCTTTCCTCTGCCCCTCAGTTTTGCCAATCAATTCGAGCCCGCGACATTCTGGTGTACCCAACGCCGTGAACGGGACCCAGGCCTGCTATTGTATGCCCTCAAGATGCGGGTAGCTGCCGCCAGCAATCTCCCAGCTTCGGCCTGCAAGATCTCGCCCCGAAGAAGAGACCACAGCCAGCCCGCCGTCCACGGATGAATGAGAGGACAAAAAAACGCACAGAGGCGTGCTTATGCAATATGCCGCTCTGAATTATACAGACTTTGATCACACAGAACAGGTGATTGTCCCCCCGCCGCTCGGTATTCTTCCATCCACTGCTGTCCTATATTGGAGGCAAGGCATCTAGAACAGCAAGGAGCACAAAACTTCAGCCCCCTTCAATGGAACAGAACAATGCCAGTATGAATTCGACCGTCCTCGAGTTGGTCCTAGAGAGGCCCACCAAACGATCTCGGTCGAGCTGGCTGTAGTTACGGCCGGCGAGGATGTTTGAAATTCTACGTCCAGATGAAGAAGAAAAAGTAGCTCGACAGCAAGACGCACTATGTATTACCGCAATGCCATGGCTTTTCGGACACTTTCACAGGAAGTCTGCACTGGCTCGGAGACTTTGACAGTGTATCATTTCACTCACAAGCCTCATGCAATGCCTCCGTCGCATTCTGAGACCTGCATTGATCCACACCACATTTGAGGGACGAATAGAACCCATGTCTCTCTCACTACTCTTGATAGAGTCGACATTGAATTTTCAGCTTGACATGCCCCCCGCCCCCCCGGCAAGCCATAATGGTATCATACCTGTGCTTTGTGAATACTGCCACAGAACTGAGAGTGACGTCTGCCTCTTTGATTCATTGACGAGGCTAAGGAAATGATTGCACGATTAAAGTCAACGGAGAGGACACACTGGGGCGATGCAAGCAACAGCCACGAGCTCAGCGGCCGGCATATGGCAGGATATAACAACCACACCGGGGAAATCACCCTTAAAGAAACAACCTTGTCTCTTCGTCTAATTCAAAGATTTGCGAAATGTAGCAAGTACTCTTAGACTCGCGTCGTCAAGTGCTTATTGCAACCATGGCATTGGTAAACATCTCTGTTGCCTTGACCCAGGGCGGTACCTGAAATCCTCCATGGTTCCTAGCAACGGCCGTTTCGTGCGACTATCCCTAGCTAAAAAGCTCGTGTGTGGAGGGCATTCGGAGGTGGAGGCGGCATAATCCGCATTACAGTACACAAAAGCTTCAACTTACCAACATCAGGTCCTAGGCCAGATGACATGCTGGTGCCCTCGCATCCAGCAACAACTCCAGCAACCAAGCGAAGCGTTCCACTCCACGGGCCCTTGCCAGCCACCCAATATACCGTGCCGCCTGCAAACATTGTCCCACGACAACTAATAGCGGACAGCGCCACTGCGGCTACCGTGTTCGCTATGCTACTCCTAGCAATCTAAAAAGCTGCAAATAGGCCTCGGTATGCAGCCATCCTAGCTGTATTTGACCGATACAAGAATCAATTCAGCTTGGACAAAGGATTATAGCATCCGATTCAGATTGGCCACTCCTCCTCCACGCGATATGTGATGGTATCAGCACAAGGAAAAACGCCTCAAATCTTGACCGCGCTCCCCTGAAGAGCAAGTAGCTTGGAAGAGAAGCGGCCGGGGTTCGCCGGGCATAATCAAGGCACCATTGCGAGAGCTTTCGGGTACCACATGATTGCCAGTTTCCGATCTCCGAACATGGACAGCTCCCAATGGATCATATCCGGCTGTGGGAGCTTTATTTCTGTGGTTTGAACCGCGTGCTAGCTTTCAAGGCTTGATGCAGGGGTAAATTTTGACACAATAAGAAACTGTCCAGATGTTTTCTACATCATACTTGGCTGACAAGGAGGACAGCATTTTGTGGAAATTCTGCCTCAGACAAAAGCAAGAGCTCATTGCTGTGCCCCGAGAGGTACCCTCTCTTCTGCAAGGCAAAGATGGCGTACGGGCTGCCCGAAAGCTGTTCGCACAGACGCAGAGGCAACCACAAGGGCCCATGCCCGACGGTTGATTTATTGGATAGCAGCGGGTCGCGGACAGCTTCAGCCGAGATTCGCAAACCATACAATATTAGTCCATTGCTCTGTGTGGCCAGTAATAGCAGAGCCGCCTGGTGGCTTCTTAGCTAATACCCCTGTTCGATGGCCAAAACGCCTGGCATTCACTGAGATCGGGAGTCTGCTCTCAAAAATACAGGGGACTACGGAGTAGAATGTTTGCTTAATCCTTGTTTTGAAAGATAGCCAGAAGGATACTAGTGCGTACCAACGGGTATCAGATCGCAGCGGAGGATTTCTCACCCTCCGTATGCTATTATGTATCGAAACGGTAGCCAGAACCCCACAAAGCTGAGCAGGACGATAGAGATGATTGCCACTGCCGCTTCTGAATATGCCGTTGAAGCTGAAGCTATGAAGCTTGATTTTGGCTACTATCTATTACGCATGAAACAAACTGAGGCTGAGAAATGAGCAAGGGAATATGAGACATACCAACCTTCCACTAAGATAGCTCAAGGAAAGCAACCGGCGCGTGGGGTGCAGGATCGGAGTGGCGCGAGACAATACTACTAGGTACTACTACTTGCTTTGGGGTGGACAAGCCTGAGTTACATCTCTAAACCCCCACAAGCTGTATCTCTAAGCTCACATATCATAAAAGAGCGCGTTTAGAGCAGAGGCCGAAGAATTTGTGTGGCGTTCATCCACCCCCTTTGATGGAGTCTCCAGGTTCTGAACATGGGCAGCGATGTACTGGCAAAGGATACAAGCGTGGGGCATGGATTCAGAATAGGCCATCTTCCTCTTCGTGCCCGTCGGCCATGCCACAGTCACCTTCCAGGCATGTGAATGGCATTGGGGTGAAAATTCTCCTTGCCATTCAATACGTTGGCTGACATCCCAGCAAACCGGTGCGGGCCTGGGGTGGCCGCCTTACAGGCCCTACCGCTAGCGATTCATGCATCATTCATGCGAGGATAGGCACCTGTTGCTGTCCCACGAATACCCTTTCCTCGCGGAGAAGTACATCCTAGTTACAGGCATGCGAGCAGCCCCTGTTCAGGCTCGTTCTGTGCTTGAACCATCTATAGATTAACTCAACTGAATCACATGGGGAGAGAGGGACCTCGAGGAGGTGGGCAGCCCCTCCAGGGGTGGTTCGCCCCCAAGCAGGGCTTATGGCCAGTGAGAGTGCTCAATAGCCTCACCCATTCAGGTGGCTCGCATTGGATAGTCACTGCTTATAAGTTTCCTTCGAAAGCTCGCCCACGCCACCGTACTTGGTGATTTGCCCCTCTCTGAAGACTGCTTCCACCTCTAGCCTCTCAGTTGAGGTGTAGTATATGGCATGTAGATGAAGTTATCTGTTATGTCGGTCGTATTAGCCATGGTGCCTACCTTTACATGGCCTCCGTTCATTGCAGAGATGACAAGTCTGTGCTAATGATCTTGTCTCTGTCTTCTTGTAAGCCGCACTGCTAACTGGAAGCGCTGGACCTTTTCGTTCTCCACTAATCCTCTTGTCATGTATATGGCGCTTCCCATCACACCGGTCGGATGATGATGGTGGGAAGAGTGCCGCAGTCAGAAGCTTTTACCGAGCTGGGGCACGCTGCATTGCATGTTCTAGGGCAGGGGTTCCAAACCAAATGAGAGCGCGTATATCTGATGTCTTAGAGGCCATCATGCGCTGCTTGTACGACAGCGGCAGATGGATGGAAGTAAAGCAAAGATAACATTCTGCTTTCTCCTCAGCCACTGGCGTAATCTAGGTCCTCTGCGGTGGGCCTTTGCCTGGACTTTTGCGAGAGTCACCGTTGCTTTGGATTGCACTGCATAAGTCTGGTGGAGTATGTAACTGATTTCTCAGCTCAACGTGTCATGCCAGCCTCTCTGCCAGCTTTCAGATTTGTTTGCTCACTGAAACATTGTGTGTGTGGATCGATATAGTATGTAGTAGTGGTGAAGTGCTAGCCGGCTATTGTAAGTATCGATTACTGAAAATAAATCTTTTGGCAATGACGAATATGCTTGCAGCGTATTCCAGAGTATCATCAAGAGCTTTGAGTGACCTCATTGTATCTTTCACTTGACAGTAACTGGCTACTTGGCGGCACGTAGATCGCAATCTACCCTGCATAGAGTCAGATACTTCTGAATATGAGCGACATCTACGCACGATGTTCCATGGCGGTTGCATTGCTGGCCTGCCTAGACTGGGAAGGCCTTCTCACCGGTAGGGTTTAGGCGGCGGAGGCGCTGTGGTAACACAAACAGTATACGAGTTGTATGTGTATTATGGTCGCACAGCATAGGTAATATAATGAGACGGCAAGCCACCCATGGTGCACACCCCATGTCCTTGATGAACGGTGAAGTGGCCTTGGCCATACCCAGTGAGTACATCGGATGTTGACTTGCAAGTATAGCTGGAAGGGTGGAAAAGAAAAGAGGAAGAAAAAAAGAAACGAAATGAGCAGCTCCTCAAGTTGCCTGTGGTCCAGTTTTGGAACATAAATACTGGTCAACCATCTTCACACTCCACCTCCTTTCCTTCACCAGTTCACTCAAGTTCTTTTTTTCTCTTCTCCAGACTTTTGATCCATTCCTTGCAGTGCCGAAGGGGACTATCCTTCTATCTCAACAAGATCGCCTTGCTATCTCCAATAAGCCTCGCTCGCGTACCATTTCCAACAAGAAGACTTGCCTGCCGCGTCTTACCGCTTTAGCAAAAAGGAAAGAAAGGAAGAAATAATAATGAGCGCTCCAATATATTCAAACCCTGTCGTTCCAGCGGGCGTCAAGCCCGTCATCTTCGTACTCACTCTTTCTGACGAAGCAACTCAGAACAACTTCCAGAGTTCTCACGCACGACTCCTGAACGAACTTTTTGAAAGGGCGACAGTTAGGCACGCCAATACGGCTGAGAAGGCATTTGGCCTCTTCACCCAGTGTGCAGAGCCACACGCGGTGTTTATAGCCGACGGCGGCATCGCTCGCCCCAATTGCGAGATAATCAACCAGAGGCTGGCGCTTTATGCTGCTTGCGGCGGCATCGTCATCTTTGGCGGCCTGTTTGCGGCCTCCAGAGGAGATGATTTGAAGAAGGTCTTTAAGCAAACCTGGGACCTCCCGTGGGAGCCTGGCTCCTTTCACCGTACCACTTTGAGTCTGAACGAAGGAGCAATTACTTCGACCCTCAAGACTAGACTACAGGCCTCGTACAGCCAAAAGGCTCTCCATCTTTACGGGGTGCAAAAGAATGAGTCGTGGTATCTGCCCACACAGAATTCGGTTATCGAGGAGTGGGTGCCTCGTGCAGGGCCAATCACCGACTTCAGCGAATCGCCCATTATTTATGCTTGTTACGGAAGTGGCCATGTTGGGTTCATCGGCGATACTGAGGCTGAGGAGGGCACTGTGATTTGCATTCTTGCTATGCTGGGTATCTTGATCCGATAAATTGCTGGGAGCTCATGAGAGGCTGTGTGTGTGTGTGTGTGTGTGTGTGTGTGTGTTCTGTCTAGAGGAATATTGCATCTGTTTGGCGGGATAGTATGTAGATGCTTAGCATCTTTCAACATCCGGAAAGAGAATGGAAAGAAAGAAGATTTGGCCAGGAAAAAGAAGAAGAAGAAAAAGCGTGTCTGTTTGCATGGACGTCTGTATCGCCTTGCAACGTTGTTGTGCTACAGCCTCAGCGAGTGACTTGTTGATAGCAATTCAAGCAGAACCTGTGATTTCCCAATGTGACTCCCGATTGCCGATGTGAAATGTCATGTAGCATGGATATCAAGCAGTTTGTTTCTTGTCCATCGGCCCTTCAACGAGGGTTTGTCTTCTGGTGTTGAGAAATGACAAGAGCGAGACGAGAGCGCCGGTCTGTCGAAAGGCTGGCCAGAAACGTATCAGGCACACTGCCGTGTATCCCAAGGGCCGCGTTCGAGGACAGGATTTCCAACGGCCGAAGCAGGGCCAAGTCACCACGGCAGATCATTGGTGTGACAGACAGCGGCAAGCCTCCGAGTTGTGTGCGGATTCTATTCGCTGGCGCAGCGGAGCACCGCCATCTGGCAGGCAGCGTTATTGCAAAAGCGGCATGTTCACCACCCCTATTGGGAACGGGCTGCGTTAAAGGCCAGGCAGGGGGTTTGCGGCGGCCGTCGGGCTGTTGAGAACGCGAGCAGCAGAAGCAAGGATGCGGAGAGTGGCCGGGAAGCAGATGCAGAGAGCAGCATGAACAGCTGCCATGTATGTACCTGCTAAGAGGCTGCTGAGATCTGCGGTATGTGTATATCTCAGCCACGGAGTAGATTCGAGAGACAGGCCAATCACGAAGCCATCGCACAGCCGGTGGCACCTCCTGATGCGCCACAGCAGCAGCACTTGGATACACACCATGCCTCTTGTCTTGTCACTTTTTTTTTCTGCAGCAGAACCACCAGCTAAGGCGACGGGCAAATCAGCTGATAGTTGCTGGCCGAGGAGTCGTGGCCATGCGCAAAGTGACGTGGGAGGCATTTTGGACCGCAATGCAGGTACCGGGGATTGTCTGCAGAGAATGGCAGCAGGGATCAGGAGGATTGGAGTGCATTCGATCGTCGCTCGAGAAAGAAGGCAAGGTTCAAAAAAAATATAAAATATCAAAATATCAAAATATAAAAAATCAAAAAATCAAAAAATCAAAAAAAATACAAATTCCCCATTATTATAGTCCCAGCCCCTCCAGCCAAGGTTGTATCGCAGCTCGCCGCGCCTCGTAACTTGGGAAGGTCTAGAAGCCTAGAACTCGAAAAACGCCGGACGTGACGGCAAATATCTCGCGAGCCAAGAGGATCAGGAGGAAAGGATTGTTGATAAGGAAATGACGACATGGAGATTTCCCCTCTGTTATGCTTTGCTTTGCTTTGCTTTGCTTTGCTTTCTCTGTTGGTCTTTCCTCCAGAGGAATCGAAATCGGTAGGTGAGGGCAAGATGAGGGGCTTATAAGCGAGGGAAGGTGCAGATGAGAGGCCGACGCCTGCCTTAGTGACTTGCCCAGGATGCATTGCATGAAGATGGGCTTCTTCTTTTCCTTCTTTTACTTTTTCTTCTTCTTCTGCAGCTCCCTTTTCTTTATCCTCTTTTCTGCGTGCCAAATCACAACCCCGCCCCCACCACCTCTTCGCATGGCGATTTCCCAATGGATTTCCAATGGATACTACCGATCTGGATTGGAGGGATGGCCCGAAAACCCCACCATCAGATGCCATCTGCTCACAGCCAACAAGAGCGTTTTGGTGCCCGGGACGAACATCACGGAACGGGAAAAGTCACCTCAGCAGTGGCCCAAAGTCATGCCGCAGTTTTGCGAGCCATCACAATTGCAGCCCAAGAAGAGCAACAGAGAAAGGGGGAGGGGGGAACAGGTCTTTTACGGTATAAAAGGACGCATCATCCGCTGAGCCCAGAGCCCAGAGCCCGTCTGCCAGTCTCCTCTGATCTGCCTCCTCCTCCTCCCTCCTCCTTGTCTGTTCTCGCCCTTTTCCTCTCAGTTTTCGACGGTAGGGATCCAAACGGTGCGGCAAAGCCAGGATAGACTAGGTAAGCATCCTGTCTGTCCGTCTTCACCACCCACCAAACAGAAGTGCCGCTGCTACCTTGCCTCATGTTGCAAGACATACATACAGATACACACGCAACTGACAGCCATGCAGCAGGGGAGTAGGCACAAGATGCACGCGGATGGACACATAGCAATGGGCGTACACAGATGGGCGCACGCCAGACCAAATCTAAAGCTTCGTTCCGGCTTCTAGTGCGCGTGTCAAAGATCTAGACGTGCGCCGTCCCGCATTCCGCACTTACAGCATTGGTGCAGACAAGTCCACAACATCCACCAACATCCACACTGCCCATGCCACCGTTGCAGTAGTAGGTCCGGGCCACCGAGATGGGCAAATCCGGCCAGCCAAGCCGCAGCCAGATCCAGAAGTGATGGGTGCAAAGGGACGGATGGCCTGCGCTTGCAGCCCCCCAGTTTCTCCAGCCTCTGCCCATGTAACACCATGTGGCAGTCCATGCGCCCCCCATACCTGCCCATCTCACGGACCGATGGGCAGCAATCACCACGATCCAAGGGCCTAACCCGTCACGCACCGGTGCCCTACTGGAGGACGCCCCGATGCCGACCCGGCAGCATCAAGTCCCACTTCGCCGGCAGCCATGTTTCCCCACTCACGGCCGCTGACGACGTCCCCGTTTCCACTTAGTACAGCTCGGCTCTCTCCCTCTCCTCGTTTCTTCTCTTCTTCTCTCCCCGTTTGTGTTCCTCTACACTCTGTACGATGCACTCGATACATTGTGCACGATGCTTTTGTGTTGCCCAATGAGGGATGGGCCAACTGGAGGTTCTCAATGCTGTCTGGGACCAACCATGGCCACACCAACACCCGACACCAACACCACCAAAGCCGACTGAGCGAGGTACGTGCACAAGACAAGCCACACAGCCCTAGCCTTTTGGGTCTAATCCCACAGGTAAGACTCAAAGTTATCGTCCCCCTTCTCCTCTGCTGCTATTCGTCACATCACATCACACAAGGTTCCTGACACGAGAATATTCAACAGATAGACATTAACATTGCATGTGGCGACGGTGACGCCCGTTATTTAACAAAAAGAATTATTACCCAGATCATGGGGGGGCTCATGTGGATGAGTATATCTCTAATATCACGGCGTTGCCTTTTCGTCCGCAGGGTGAATAACGGACAGCTCCCGACCCTTTTTTTCCCAGTCTATTTTCCCTCTCTTGTCCTCAAAAAAAAAACCCAATTCATTATCCGAGAAACCCAAAATTATATCAACAGTCGAAAAGAGATTGCCGCAGTTGCCAAGAAGCGCCGGGTTCTTCAAGCTCGATGAGTATCGAAAGCTTGGCCCGATCGACGTATTACTATTAAAGACCGACACCTAGACAGAGACGCCGTCAGCAAATATTCAGGATCAACGCCGTACAGGGAGAGGAGTTATTACCTGACTGGTACAGCGTGTCGCGAAGTAAAACATAGGGAAAGCAATTAAAAAAGAACGTGGCCGGCCCAAGAACAAAAGCCATTATTTGGGCTTTGGTGGCTGAGGAGAGTTGGGCTTGACGATGCCAGTGGTGTCATATGGTCCACGCATTTTGATTTGTGAAGAGAAGAAGAAGAAGAGAAGAGAAGAGAAGAAGACGGTGTTGTTGCTGGTAGCAGCGAGGCGAGAGAAAAGAAAGACTGAATAGAGACGGCCGGAAGCTCGGAAAACGGAAGGAGAGGTCAGATTATGAACGATTGCTGGATAGCACCGTTTTTGTTTTGTTGGATGAAGGAAGGGAAAAGTGGACGGAGTTGCGGGAACGGTCTGTTATTTTAAACAGTTTCCACACCGAACCGGTGAGAGCCCTTTTCCACAGCCCGCCGCCTGTTTGCAGGGATCTCGCGTGGCTTTTTAGCTGTCTGGGCTTGATTTTTGCTGTATCTGCTGGGGCGATTTTGCGGTCTATCCAAGGCGGTCAGTCTACCCCCTGAAGCACTCTGTTGGCCCCTGCAGGAATTTTCTCTCTCTTTACCCTGGTGTGAGATCGACAGGGGTGGCTGTCTCTTTTCTTTTGTTTCCCTCCTAGTGTTTGCCTTGCTTGTATCGGCGAGGATGCGGCTGGCGGAATGGGTGTGAGACTGAGAGGCTTCTCGGGGACGCTAGCAAGCGGTACGCGGGACGAGAAACGAGATAACGGAAGCCTTTCGAGAAGGGTCGAGCGAAGGTTGCAAGGTTTATCGGAAAAGGGCAAAGTCTCTGCTTTCCGAGCCGAAGAAGATGCGACTACAATATACTAATGAGAAAAGTACGGCGAGAGAGGCGTGGTTGCTTGGTGTTGAGAGCGAACCTAATGGTTTTTTAGGGTTGGCCCAACGTGCAACAACTTGGGCGTCGTCGTCGTGGGCTAAGGCGGTGGGGACCAAGGGACGGGGTCCTGTGCAAGTGCAAGGGTAGGGGATGAGCTGGAGACATAGCCATGCAGGACAGCCCATCGTCTTTCTAGAAGGCCACACGTTGGGTTGCGGAAAGATGCGTTGGGCTGGGACTGCCAGCAAAGACCATACAGACTGTGGAGCAAGGCCAAATAGCAAACTGGAGGGCAGCGGCGTTGCTTGCAAACACATCATACTGCTGCTCGGCACGGCATTCCAGAAGCGATACACTGGCTTCCGAACGACACTCTGCAGCTTCTCAAAGAAGGAATCTGACAGTTCACACGCGCATATCACACAGGCACACGCCCATAAACCCACCACATAATGGAGTGCGGTACGGGATCATGTACTCGCACACATTCGCACGCACTCGCCCACACTCTCTCTCGCTCATAGCGCGCATTGAACCCGTGGCTAGCTTCAGTTTTCCCTGCTTTGTTTGAAACCGTTTTGAGCAGCGAGATAGAGAGAGACAAGAAGAGGCGAATTGATGACGTGCACGGCCCGTGTCCCGAGAAGAGCCTCAACCCCTGTTGTCCGCTCTCCCCCGCCCCCTATTCGGTTGTTAGCCGGAGTACTATCGAGAGAGAGCGACAAGAGGCGACGTTTCATCACCTCTTGGAACCATCGCTGTGCCAGTGAGCGGGCAATGACTCTGACAGCGCGAGTGGAGGGGGGGCGTGGGCAGACTTTGAATCCTACGCTGGACGAAGTGGTCCTTTCTAGCTCAGGAACGGGCGGCCCCGAGAAATGGGGGGCGTCTCCTCAGAACGACGTTCCAGGACTTGTTCGATGCGGGTTCCCACGTTCGATTGAGCTTCGTGCAGCACAATGCTCGCCCTAACCTTACTTCGTACTCTTACTCGTACAGGTAAGTATGAAGACTGTGCTACTAGGTACCAACAAGTTCTACTCGCATGCAGCGGGCAGCAATGTTTCATCATTGCTCTGTATGGAGTAGCACTCTATACGGAGAAGAGGACCCTCCCATCCATCTTCTTTGTCTTCTCCCTCCCCCCTCCCCCTTGGCTGTCATTGTGGGCCAGTCTTTAGCTATCACCAAAAAGAAAGAAAAAATGACACTAACGATTACCGCACTGGCGCGAGTCGGGAGAAAGAACGAAAATTTCCCGAATTGAGCGCCTATTACTACGTTCTATCTGTGACAAGTGGCTGCATTTTTTTTTTTTTTTTTTTTGTAGTCGCTCTTCTTTTCTTTTTTTCCCTCCTCATCTATTTTGCTAACACGGCTTCCTTTTAACGCTCAACAAGTTAAGAAGGGGCGACAGGCATTCGGTGAGTTGAGACTTGGCCACACACAGACAAGGGAGATGTAAACGGAGACAAGGGTGGGCGGTGCGAAAGGGAGCCGCCGATAAGCTAACACTAGTCGTGCTCCGTAGCTGGAGAAGACATCGCCGGCCCATCATTCTGGTGGCGAGAGGAGCGGGCCTGGACGGGGAGAAAGTCGTTGCTTACACGTTGAACAACGCACTCTTGTCTAGCAAGTGGTTCGTCTGGAATGGGGGCAGAAGCAAGACAATGACATTAAAGCGAATCTCCGGAACCCACCCTTGGATGAGCGTACGGCGTTCTGGTTCGACACTTGGCCAGAGATCTTGGCACAGACACAGGAACAGCGCAACGCAGCATGGCTGGGCAGGGCAGGGCATGGCATGGCATGGCATGGCAGATGCAAGCTGTAAAAGCATTCATGCCTAGATGGCTCCTTTTTGCCTTGTCTGTACATCGAAATGGGGCCGGGGACGACGACTCAGCTGCTGGCACGTTTTCTTGATACCACTTTTGGGTATCCTGTGGTCCTCCTGGAGAGACGCGAGATCACGAGGGAGCTTACGGAGCCTTCGTACATACACGTACATGTAAGAAAAGCCACATGGAGCGCCGCCGTCGTTCCGCTTCATGGCCTGCAGTGGGGCCGGGGTCCGATCCGCCGGGACGATGGAGTCCGTGATAGGCTCGATTCGCGTCTCAGCCGCTCAGGCAGGCTTGTTTTTCCTCTCCTTCTGGAACCTACCGTTGGGTTCTACCGTTTCTGGGCTGTGATGGGGATGGAGAGAAACTCGGCAAGCGTTGTTTGGCCTGACCACATGAGACGTGGGACAACTCATCAGGGACTGCATGATTTGCTTCGTTCTCACCGCAACCGGATGAAACTATTGGCCCCGGAGTGTGCCTCGACGTGTTGGTGTGAGCGAGTGCGCTGCGCTGTCGTGGCGCTGCATCCATCCATGTCCGTTTATCTCTTCTCTTTGGGCCAGCGATCCTTCCAGATGACGAAAAGCTTTAAGCGTTCAAGCAGAGCGGCTGATCCAGACTGGACGAGACCGTGGCTTGTTACAGGAAGCGATGGAGGTAGTGATAGAGGTGGTGTTGGTGGTGTTGGTATTATTGTCATTATGGAGGTGGACGACGACGATGCGATTGGACACTGGGCTGGATCCCAAGGACCAGGCACGCAGGCAACCGGGGCCGAAAAAGAAAACAAGCAGCAAAAAAAACAAGCAAGGCGGGTAAGGCGAGGCAGCAGGGGCAGGCAGGCAGGCAGGCAGGCAGGCAGGCAGGCAGACAGGGCAAGCAAGCATTGCATGGACAACGTCTTCTGACCGCCTTGACATGAGAGTTGACGCCATGCGCCATAAACAGCTCATGCATGGGCGATTTTTTGCTGCGGAGCCCATTCGTTGACCGCCAAAAGACAAGGCGGTGCAGATGATTAATGGAAACGGTGGAATCCGGGAGGGTAGGGAATACGTGGCAAGACTTGGGTTCAGGCTTTGCTCTATTTTTGTTCCGGGGGGACGCCGATGTGAGCGCACGTCTGTCTCTCAGTTGGTGTCGTGACGCGACATGACCTTCAGAGAGACGTCTCGGGATTTGGGGTGAAAAAAAAAAAAAAAAAAGAGGAATAAAGAGAAAAGAGAAAGAGAGACAGCCTCACTCAGCATGCATACCAAGAGCCAGCCTTGGGAGTGGACGATGCCATCATAAGGGGATCAACCAAGATAACGGGATTCTTCTCTTGGGAAGAAAAAAAAAGTATCTGATGTGACAGCACATACATACATACAGCATACATACATACATACATACGGGTTACAGCCGTGTATGCAAGGCAAGGTACCAGATGTGTGGATGAAAGTGCGATATTGAGAGGTTGGCCAAGCTACGTCAAGGTGGCATCATTTTCTGGACTTTTCTTTTTGTTGTCCTTCTCCCCAATCATGCTTCAAAGGTTAAAGGGCTATTTAGGAGGGGGAAAGCGTGAGGAGATTAGAAAACATCAAAAAGAGAGAGAGAGTCGAAGGACGGGGAGGGTTGAGGGCGGCAAACATATTCACTTCGAGAGGCGGTGTCGAGGGGAAGGCTCTTTTTCCCTTTTTTTTTCTTTTTTTTTTTTTTTTTTCTTCCCGTTTCCCCTAGTTTGTGTCACCGACAACTTGAGAGCAGCTCTAACCTCTGCGGAAGCAAGGGAGGGAGAGTCTGCAGGGCAGCTTGTTGGACTTTGCTCTCCTTTCGCACTGTACGTGCAACGCCATCACAGCAGACTTCACGGGACTTGCAATGATTGCTCGAGCTCCAACAAGTCTCGCGTGCAACTGGGCACAGTGCCCCCGGCAACGAGTCGTACGGTAGGATTCGTACACCACTACCGCCCTATTGTGTCGTAGTCCAGGGCCGAAAAGCTATTGGCACTGGACTAGCGAGTGACTAATGAGGCAGGGGGGCAGAGCATGGGCGGCGGCTGAATCGAACGGATGCTAGCACGGAATAGTGCTACCTAGTTTGAAAAAAAAAAAAAAAAAAGCTCCAAGCAGCGGCAGAGAGAATTCGCGGCCCGCCGAGATACATCCAAAGCCAGCGGACAAGATCGAGCCGATCGAAGCACAGCGTCATAGCCCTTGCTTGCTTGTTGCCGAACGGTCTGAAACCCACTTACTCGCTCAAGCCTCGTACTGAGAGATAGGAAGAGAGAAGAAGAAGAGCGAGAGGAGAGCAAAGGAATATACGTAACTACCACCGCCAAGGTACGACGTGCCTTTTCACGGAGAAAACAAACAAAAGTGCTCTCTACCCACCTGCCGTACCCAATATCGTACTCTTTCTTTTGTTTCCCGTAGGCTGATGTATGTGGTGTTTCTCTAAAGCAAAAGGATGCACTTTCGCCCGGTCGAACAATCGATGGATGACGAGTATCTCGGACAGGGAGGCGGAGGCGGATCTGGCGATGCGACGGCGCCAGAAGCTGGCTCTGGCTCTGGCGGCATGTATTCTTCTCTGGACGATGTTTTTGGCCCCGAATCCGAATCAGTACCGACGACTGGTAGTGGCACTGCCGCTACTGTCGTCACCTCTCTAGACAGGCCTGAAAGCCCTCTTCATCCATCTGATATGCGGCGGCTGGAGGCAGAACACGCAACTGCGGGGTACCGGGAGGGCATCTCGGCGGCAAAGGAACAGACCGTCCAGGCTGGCTTCGACGAGGGCTTCAGTCTCGGGGCTACGATTGGCCTGGCTGCAGGCCAGTTGCTCGGCATGCTGGAAGGCATCAATGACGCTCTGAAAAACAGACTGGGCGACCAAGCCAGCGGCGAGGATGGAGAAAGCACAGCAGCTGCAACGGCAACCTCCCAGTTACTGACAGAGGCGAGAGAAGAGCTGAGCGTGCCCAAGATATTCAGTCCGGACTACTGGGCCCCTGATGGAAATTGGAGTTACGACGTCGAGCCGGATGGCGACGGTGACCAAGTCCTGTTCCCTGATGTGGCAAAAGCCCACCCTTTGATAAGGAAGTGGACCACCATCGTCAACGAGCAGGTCAGGCTGTGGAAGATTGACCGGTCTATGCTCGATGGCGATGATGGCGATGCGAGGATGGAGGCAGCGGCAGACGACACAGTCACTGCTGGCACTAGCACTATCCCGCTCCCTCCGCCTGCATCGAAGCAGCCTCTAGATTGGTGAGAAGGTCAAGATAAGGCATGCGCAAAGCGCTTTTCGCCTTTACCGAGCAAAAGTTCCCAGGGCCGTCGTCCCGCCACGTCATTGTCACGCCTTGCCTCGGCCTACCTTGGCTTTTCGGTTACTCCAGCATACGGCTTCTGGCTTGCAACTTGCCCCATTTGCTTCTTTACTTCCTCACCCTGGGAGGTTACCCGATCGCTGGGGAAGAATAGATTTTTTTTTTGAAGAGACGACGGTAATACGTCTCAACCTTGCTGGAATGAGGCAGCCATGGTACATGCATACACACGAGAAGGAGAAAGGCAAGTCATAAATAATAATAATAATAATAATAACTATGCCATTTATGCCATGGCTGAAGAAGGGTTACCGAGATTCCGATCGTCGGGGTGGAGATTCGACCTTTATTCAGATAGGCATACAGGCATATGAGCATACAAGCATACGGGCAGACAATGAAATCCTAACCGACCTTGATTCGTCTTCTCCATTAGGATTGAAAGGAGAATTTTTCCTCCAAAAGAGAAGCTTATTGTGTACTCTATAGTGAGGATTGAAGTGACACCTCACATCAAGGTTATGCCTTGAGGTGAGTTTCGGATTGTCGATGTTGCCAATCAGACGAACATTGCCGAAGTTTGAGATGATCAAAGCATTATCGCTGCTCAGCAGTGCTCTATCTACTTTGGATTTGATATCCTGCATCCAACTTCCATATTCACAAGGTTTTCTACAAAGCATAACAAATAACTATACTAATTCCCAAGTTATTTGGCACACTATTGGCATCTGTGTCCTCGTGTATAATACGAGGCCTAGTATTCAACTCTTTTCGATTCTGTCAACCTTCCCGCTCATCTTGCCTGCCCGGAAAAAATTCAAAAAACGATCAACAATGGCCGATTTGGGAAGCTCAGTGTGGGCACACTAGCAAACTAGGCATGAATTGAGCCGGCACAGACCAACCTTCGCCCACAATGGGTGGAGATGTTCGGGAGGTCCTTGGATGTCGATGCCTCTTTCGCTTCTTCTTCGCGGTCTGGCCCCTTCACCTTAAACGCCTTTGTTCTTTTCCCCGGACTAGTACGAAGTATCCTCTGTTGCCATTTATAGCCTGGTCAAACAAGTGATAGCCGCCTTGCATTAGAAGCCGGCTCCGCATAGGCCAGTCGATCGAAGTGCGGAAATTAACTGGCTTCTTGGGCGTGTGGGGGCCCTACGTGTTGTTCGATTGACAGTTGCCACAGCGTTTCGTGGATGGGCGGCAGCAAGGGTCAAAAAATAAGAAGAAATAGACAGAGGAAGAGCGAAAGCCAGCAAACTCGGGACACAACGTGCTCAGATCCAAGACCGCCACGAGTACAGGGTTTTTCTGTCTCAACCTTGTGCAACAAACCAGCAGACGACACACCACGCCACGATGTGACAGCCCTGTTTACACAAGCTTAACGAGGTTCGTGCTTCCAAACCGGGCCCAGCCCACCCCGCGTGGAACCACAATTCATACTAAGAGCCCAGCGAGGAGGGGCTTCATTGACTACACAGACACAATTTGAGAAAAGACAATGCTTGGAGTAGTACGGAGATATCTTGTCTCTGCTACTTATGATGCCGTATCCAGAGAATATCAAAGTGAGAACCCGCTTACAATGTCGTTTTCGGCGTCTCTCAAACCCAGAAAAGGGGGCAGAGAAAAGCAGGGAGGAGACGCTTGACATCCGCTAGGACTCGTGCTAGAGAGTGATGTGCAGTGCTTCTCAAGCGAGGCTCTTTTTCTCCTTCCACTAGTGCAGGTACTGCATAAAGCGTCCGATCTACACGACCACGGGGCATACGTCTCTCATGGGCGTGGTTTATGCAAGGGCTTCAGTAGCCGACCGTTCTCTAATATCCCGAGTCCAAATCTTCGTCTCTCTGCTTTGAGACCCCGTGGCCGAACATTGAGGCTGGTGATGCGAATAACAACATGGGAGATGGACAAAACCAGTGTTGGCTTTGATACTGCAGGTGCTTCAACACTCTTTCAAACCGGACACAGCCTCATGTTATCACCGCCGCCATGTCATGCTCCGCTCATTCACGGTGTACTGCGTCAGGATCGGCCACTGCTGTTATTGCCGTGTATCTGATCTTCACTCGCTAGGACCTATGGAGGAGGATGCAACGCTGCTCGCTCCCTGCGGTGTTACTGCCACTGTCTCTGTTTCCAATTTCCTGATAGCCGGGCTACTCCACGCGCCTGCTCGGAATAATGGGGGCGTCGATTCGTAAGGCCAGGGGGAAGTGGCTAGCTACTGAGGACGAAAGACTGTTTGTGTACGGTGGATGAAGACAAACGAGCGGCGGAAGCGATCATGCTGACAGACCCGGACTGGGTTGGGTTGGATATTTAAGACCAGCGATTCATCTCCCAGATGTCGGATTCTATTCCTACCCTTTTCTTTCTCCAGCAAGCCTCGGTTGCAACAGTTTCTCACCCATACATTCTTTCTCAGTTTGACATTTTGGGCTCTTTTGACCCGTCCATTCACTCCAAGCCAAGTTCATTTCTATCATTATTCACAATGAAGTCTTTCATTCTCGCTGCCTCGGCTGCCACCGCCGTTGCTGGTCACAGCCTGCTTGACCTGGGCATCGATGTCCATGTTGGCGATCTCATCAACATCGGTGTTGGCCTCGACCTTCACCTGCCCGAGGGCCTTGCTCTCCCCGAAGCCGATGCGGATAAGCCCTCGTCTGGCCCTCCGGCCGGCTACGTTAACGTCTGGCACCCATCGCACAGCGGCGTCATGATTGATTCTTGCGATGACGAAACCTCCGGTGCCTGGCACTGGGTTCACCCTTGCGGCGACAACTGCAAGACCGACCAGGCTTCACAGGTCTGGACCACGAGCACCGTCAGCGTCACCTCCATCCACACCGTCATCAGCTGTGCTCCCACCGTCACCAACTGCCCCGCCAACGGCCACCACAGCACCGTCACCACGGTCGTCATCCCCGAGACCACTACCATCTGCCCGGTTGAGGCTTCCAAGACCAAGACTGCTGGCTACACGGCTGCCCCCTCCACGGCGGCCTATCCTCCCCCGGCAGCCTCCTCCCCGGCCTACTCTGCTCCTGTGCCGACCAACACCGCCGTCGTCACCCTGAGCACCCAGACTGCTCCGGCTTACAGTGCTCCGGCATCTACCGGCCCTGCTGGCGGCGTTCCCACTGGCTCTGCCGGCTACCCGGCTCCCTCCGGCTCGGCCCCCGCCTCCAGCGCTCCTCCGGCTGAGTCGTCTCCTGCTGGCACCACTGCTCCCGCTTCTGCTCCCGCTTCTGCTCCCTACTCTCCTCCTGCTGCCTCTTCCGTCCCGGCTTACCCTGTGCCTGGCAACAGCTCTGCTCCCGCCTACACCCCTCCCTCCACCTCGGTCTACACTCCTCCCGTCCAGTCTCCCCCTGCTCCCGTCTACTCTGCCCCCGCTGCTTCTCCCTCCAGCCCTGCTGGTGGCTGCACCGAGGCCTACTGTGTTCCCCCTGCTGGAACTGCTCCTGGTGCTCCTCCCCCAGCTCCTACTGGCAACACCACCGTTCCCCCGGTCAGCGGTGCTGTCAGCCGCACTGAGGGCGTCAGCGTGGCCCTGTTCGCTGGTGTCATTGCTGCTTTCTTCTTGTAAAGCTTCAAAAACAGCAGGGTCGTCATATAGGATGATGCGGGCGGTCGTAAATCGCAGTTGTATTTTAAAGGTCCAGGGACTGCACATATCTTGATGAGTTTATGGCACGCCTGGCGGAGGAAGAGCAAGCCCACCGCCTGTGAATTTTTTTTTTTTTCCGTTTTTCATTATTGAGCATATACTTAATTTCGATTCTTATCAAGTGGTTATGGCGGCGGAGTAGAAGTAAGGAGTTGTAGGCTAGAGCGCGGGAGGTATATTAGACGGGCTTCAATAGTAGAGGATAGTGATTGAATTGATTCTTGTCCGTATTATTGATCGATACACGATGAGCCTTAAATAGCCTTAAAGTATTACCTAGTACTTTCACTCTTGACGATGGTTGAATAAAATCTAATCTTAGAACAATGAGGTATAAATATATATGCTGTACCCTCTGAACCTGAGCGCCCTGCTAAACGTTTGACTTGCTCTCCCTTCCAAAAACGCCCCTGTCCCCCAATTCGATATCGTGCACAATGGTCTTACATTTACAACGTTTACACTCGCAGCATTCTCTCATGATGCTCCCGACGCATACTCTTGTAGCATCTTGGCAATATCCTCGACCCTCCCCTGACTGTCCCCGAGTTGTCTCGTCGTTTCCCAGTCCCTGCCCTCGGCGGCGCCAAAGACCACAAATTTGACCACTTTGCCGTCGTCGTCCATGACTAGGCGACCGTTGCGCTCGTCGGCCCACGTCAGACGGATCTGCTTCGCCTCCGTGTCGGCGATGCTGACGTCGATGATGGCATTTGGCGGTGTCGCCGTCTCGTTGTCGCCGTGTGCGCCTAGGCTACGCCGCAGGTCTGCCGATACGCCTAGTCTGTTGTGGTAGCGCATGATTTCTCGCCTAAGAGACTTGACGAATCTTTCGAGGTCTTGCTTGAGGTGTTGCGGTGAGGCCAATGAAGGTGATGGAGAGCTGCCTTGTCCTTCGGCTTGTTGTTCCTGCCGCTGCTGATGTTTTGGCGCGGGCAAATACCTCGCTGCTAGGCCTGATAGAGGGATTGCCGGCGGCACCGTGTGTCGGTGAACACGCAGAAACTTGCGGTTATCCGGATACGGCCGGTTCAGCATCACGTAGTACGGCTGCAGGAATTGGCCGCGCGTCATGGCTTCGAAGCGCAATCCCAGCACGTGCCCCCCGTCGACGGCGTTGGGGTCCGGATCGCGGACTTTAAAGGCTGTGACCGAGGCGGCGATGCGGTAGAGGCATTGCTGGTCGTAGGCCGCTTGCTGCTTGGAGCGGGTGAGGAGGCGCTGCTCGTCGCGGTCGACGGACGCCCTTCGGGGCTTTCGGGGTCGCAGGGCGGCGGACTTGGGGGTCGGTTGCGGGTTTAGGGAGGAGAGGAGGGCATCGCGGATGGAAGGGTTGGATAGGATGGTGGAGCATTCGATTTTGAGGGTTTTGCGGAGGCTGGCGACTGTTGTTGGAGCTGATTAGCCGTTGTTTATGTTGCCTGTTTGCCACTGTAGGCGGCGCGCATATGAAATTTTACCTTGTTTCTTGAGAGATGTGATTTCTTTGTCCAGAGGACGGACTTGCGCTTCACCCTCTGCGCCCTCCATTTTTCCTTTGCGTGGAGGGAACTGGGTGGTTGTGGTGGCGCGTCAAAAATGCACCGAATGTTGTTTTGATGAGACGATGATGCTTGGCACAGCGACGATGACAGCCTCGCCTGATAAGATAAGATGGGCCAGCGATGTGCCGAAGTCAAGCCTCCGGTACGCACATACTACTATGTACATGCGCATACAGCAGCGGTACAGCAGCAAATCAGCAGCCCCTCCCCGCAAATTGGCGCTGAAAGGGGCACCCTGGCAGGCCAAAGCAGGCACCCGAGGATCTCATTCGCTCCGCCCGCTGCATCCCCCCACGGCGCTGAACCACAGCGGTCCAATACGAAAGCTATGGGGTCGGCGTGCAGCCTAAATGCGACTTTCCTTGCTGTCAGCCACTGACGGCAGTGCGCTAAAACGGACTCCATGCATCGGTTTCTGGGGCGGCACCGCCAAAAACTCTGTTTGACGGACGCCTTTGGCTATTTTCAGGCCTGGGCCAGTGGCGACGCTTTACGTGTGTAAGCCGCGCCGGTCCAAAAAAAGACCCTTGAGGCCACGGTAAGCTGCAAATTCACCGGCCAAGCCAGCAACTTCATCCATTCACTGGCTCCCGATCACGCCGATTCTTCCTCGCATCGCTGCCACAAGCACGATATTTTCTGATGCTTCGTTAGAAACGGTCGTTTGTGTGCTTTTTGGCTGGTCCGCTTCTACTCTCCTTCTCTCGCTGCAAAGGGCCCTTTTTTTTCTGCGTCGCTTTTTCGTCGGCCAACGCGCTTCACCTTCATCGCAACTTTTTTTCTTTGTTCCGTTTCGGCAGCCATTCGTTTGGTCACGAGAGCCTCGACCGCCTCCACCATCTATCTGCGACTTCAAACAAAGCTGCTTTGAATTGCGCAACACCGAACCAGCAAGCCTCTGCCTCCAGCAACAGCCAGCCCCTTGCTCGTTCCTCACGCTCGTTACCGTGCGCTGCAGCAGTGCCGACGACCCGAGACGCGCAGATTGCACAAGCAAGACTCTCCCTTGGCCAGCCCCCGGTGCCTCCGACCCGACACGAGCGAGCTCGACCGTCTCCTATATGGGTGCCCGCTCAAGACGACCTCAGTCGCCCACGACCTCAAAGCGGCCTCCCTCCCTCTCGCTCAAGCGGGAGGCGAACGGCTACGGCGACGGCAAGATGAGCAACGGCGTGGAGATGCGGCGCAAGACCGCGACGCACCAGGATTCGGACAGCATCACGGCAAACCACATGTCGCGCGAGTCCTTTACGCTGGACGATCCCGTCCCCCGGACCCCGACGGCCAACGACGTCGGCTTCTTCGAACTTCCCGCGCAGGACCAGAGGAGCTTCTTGCTGCTCGTCTTGCTCTACTTTTTGCAGGGCATCCCCATGGGCCTTGCCATGGGATCCGTGCCGTTTCTGCTCAAAAACCACATGTCGTATGGCGAAATAGGCACCTTTAGCCTGGCGTCGTACCCTTACTCTCTCAAGTTGTTCTGGAGTCCCTTTGTCGACGCCGTCTGGAGCTCCAAGATTGGGCGGCGGAAGACATGGATCGTGCCCATCCAGTTCCTGTCCGGCTTCGGCATGCTGTGGCTGGGATCCAACGTGGAGGACATGATGGAGAAGATTGGCAAGCCTGATGGCCCCACCGTCTGGACCTTTATGCTCTGGTGGTTCTTCCTGGTGCTCATGTGCGCCACGCAGGACATTGCCGTTGACGGCTGGGCTCTCACGCTGCTGACGCCTGGCAACGTGTCGTATGCGTCGACGGCGCAGACCGTGGGACTGACGGCGGGACACTTCATGTCCTACACCGTCTTCCTCGCCCTCAACGCCTCCGACTTTGCCAACAAGTATTTCCGCTCGACTCCTTCTGACGACGGGCTCGTGTCTCTCGGGGGCTACCTGACCTTTTGGGGATGGACCTACATCATCGTCACCATTGGCCTGGGCTTGCTGAAGCGCGAGGAGAAGTCGCAGAACGAGGACGGCGTTTGGGACGTCTACCGCATCATGTGGGGCATTCTCAAGCTGCGCAACGTGCAGACCATCATCATCGTGCACCTGATTGCCAAGATTGGATTCCAGGCCAACGACGGCGTCACGAACCTCAAGCTGCTCGACCTGGGCTTCGGCAAGGAGAACATGGCCCTGACCGTCCTCATCGACTTCCCCTTTGAGATTGGCGTTGGATACTACGCCGGCATCTGGTCTCAGAAGTACTCGCCCATGCGCCTGTGGTGCTGGGGATTCGCCGGCCGCTTGCTGGCCGCGCTGATTGCGCAGGTGACGGTGGCCATCTTCCCTGCCGAGGGCGTGACGACGTGGTATCTCCTGGTCGTCATTGGCGAGCATGTGTTTTCGACGTTTACAAACACCATCATGTTTGTGGCCGTCTCGGCATTCCATGCCAAGGTTTCGGATCCGGTTATTGGAGGCACTTATATGACACTCCTTGCAACGTGAGTTTTTTTTTTTTTTTTTTTTTTTTTTTTTTTNGGCTGAATTTGCCCTTTACCTGTTGCTTGCTTCACCCCTTGCTAACGAATTCTCTTTGCTTTTTCAGCGTTTCCAACCTAGGCGGCACGTTCCCTCGATACTTTGTCCTGAAACTTGTAGACGCCTTTACCGTTGCAACTTGCCACCCCGGCTCCAAGACATCAAAGAACCTCAAGGGTCCGCTTGTTACGGAGGCGTTCTCATGCGCCATCCAGGGCGAAAAGGAGCGATGCATCAACGGCGGCGGAACCTGCGAGATGATTCGCGATGGATATTACACCGTCAACATCCTCTGCGTTCTGTTTGGCGTCGCCACCTTTGTGTGGTATATCAAGCCAAAGGTGCTGCACTTGCAGAGCCTGCCACTGAGGGCGTGGAGATTGGCTGAAGGTAGAAACGACAAATGATATAGACAAGGAGGAGGAGGGCACATGAGGACATATGGACAAACGGGTAATGCTTTTTGATGACTCGATGTATATAGGTAGATTAGCACTTAGACGTGACTACTATAGTTTTTTTTTTTTTCTTTCTCTCCCATCTTTGTTTTCTATTTCATGCATCAAGTGCAAATTGTAGCGGGATTGAAGAATTGAAAGATTCATCCAGGAGTGCGTTCATACAGCGGTAGCGAGCTCGGAGGTCTCGGTGATTGTGTCACTCATCTCGGACTCTGCAACAAATTGGCGCGTACGAAATAGAACAGTTGGTGTTGGAATAAATCCTTCTTACAGCGTGAGATTCAAGCATTCAAGCAGTTGTGGACGGCGATGCAGAAACAGGCAATGAGTCGCCATATTTTGTGTCATGGTGACTTTGTTTACATGTTTCGTATGACAGACCACCCAACCAGACTCTTCATCTTCCATTGCCCCGAAATCCCTTTGGCGTTTGTTGTGCTGCGTGTAATACGATTGGCCCGTCTGTTGTAACCTGACGGGCGGGATGGGAGCTGCTTCGTAGTTGTGAGCACAGGTTCAGCATGTTTAAAAGAAGCAATCTGACTGACGAGCTTGTTGATTCATTCCATTTAATCTACATTCTTCTTCTTCTTCTTTTTTTAACCCTCTATATCTACCTACTTATAGTAGGTACTGACTTACCTATTCGCTTAAACTACAGTACACAACACAACACCCTCATCTACGCAGCGTAACTGCCGCCCGTGGCACTAAACCCAGCCTCTCTTGCCCTCTAAATTACAGCACCTGCCAGCACCTGCCAGCACCTACAGCACCTACAGCACCTACAGCGGAGCTTCTGCAGGCTTGCTTTCCTTATCAGATAAACCCCGCCATCTGCTGTCCCATCCCACCTACCAACCTAGGAAGGCATTGAACGAACCTCCAATCTTCAACCTCATTCCCAAGACATCTGCTTTGCATTTCCTCTTCCCAAATCACCGCCAACGCCAATACACAGCCAAATCATGTCTGCGGCAGAATTCCTCCAGGCTGAGGATGCTTACTTCTCCACCAATGCCCCCCCAAAGCAATTGGCTGCTCATACTGCTCTGGCCGAGGCCTTCATAACGCAGCATGCAGCAGCGAATCGACGGGTTGTGCTCGTAACCTCGGGAGGAACGACGGTTCCGCTGGAGAAGAACACTGTGAGGTTCATTGACGTATGTTTTCTTTCTCTCTCTCTCTCTCTCTCTCTCTCTCTCTCTCTTTTTTTTTTTTTTTTTTTTTTTTTTTCCTCTTTCGTTTTGTTTCCATTTCTTCTTATTCCCCGCTCTTCCACCAGTTAATCAGCAAATCTTCTCCATCAATTAATCGTATGATTCCCAACTAACCAGACCAAAACTAGAACTTTTCTGCTGGCACTCGTGGTGCTACCAGTGCCGAGTACTTCCTCTCTGCTGGATATGCCGTCATCTTCCTCCATCGCCAGTTCAGTCTGCTGCCCTATTCGCGCCACTATTCCCACTCAACCGACTGTCTGCTTGATCTCCTCAGTGAGGATGCCGATGGCCGCGTTGCCGTCCGGCCCGGCGACTCTGATAGGATCCTTGAAGTCCTACGCAAGTATCAGAGTGCTCGTCGCGACAACACTCTTCTACTGCTGCCCTTTGTTACCATTGGAGATTACCTGCACGAGCTCCGCGCTGTGGCCCGGCTTATGGCGCCGCTTGGCTCATCCGGACTGCTTTATCTCGCTGCGGCAGTGTCTGACTTCTTTGTCCCGCCGGAGCGCCTCTCTGAGCACAAGATCCAGTCCACCAACATTATTGAAAAGCTCTATCCCAAGGACAAGGGCTCAATAACACCTTCACCGCCGATAGAAGATGAGGAAATCTTTGACAATTTCGATGCCTCACCTCGTGTGCCGCGGTCCAAGCGTCTCATTATTGATCTTGATCCCGTCCCTAAATTCCTCAAGAGTCTTGTTGAAGGCTGGGCTCCCCTGGGCATGATTGTCAGCTTTAAGCTTGAGACCGATCCTCGCATTCTTGTTCACAAGGCACGCTTCAGCCTTGAGCGATACCAGCATCACCTCGTTGTCGGCAACCTCCTCTCAACGCGCAAATGGGAAGTCGTCTTTGTTGCTCCGGGCCGAGAGGATCAATGGCTTCGCGTGCCTCGGCACGGCGGCTGGGGCGATGCCGAGGGAAGGCCGCTGCGACCCGACGAGGCACCAGAGGGAGACCCAGAAGAAGAGATTGAGGCTCTGATTATTCCGGCTGTAGCAAAACTTCATGACGCGCACATTGCAAAGTCGAACAGCATCGAAAAACAATAAAAATCGACGTGACCTAGCATTTGAAGAGAAGAAAGAAGAAGAAGAAAAGGAGAAGAAAAACTTTACTCGGCAATTAGATCAACTTGGGAAAAACAGACTGGATTCAAAGCAACACAGAAATACTGACAAAAACACCCAAAAAAAATATATCGAAAATTGCATAGTATATAACAAGAGCCTATGAAGGAGCCATAGGCACCATGATACCACCGCAAAACTGCGAAGCAATGCAACCATCGACCATCATATATTAAGTATTTTCATTTATTTACTCGCTCCTCTCTTCCCATTTCGTTTCAAAATTTCCTATAACATTTCTATATGCGACTTAGATGATGACCTTGATTACTTTTTTTTTCCCCGTTACAAAAGCCAATATGCGATGCAAGTGAAGCAGTAGCTTATTATGTCAAACGCTCCTTTTCTCTCCGTCTTTTCTTTCATCAACTTGTCATCAACTTGAAAAAAATCAACGCCAAACCATTTGGATATCTATCAATGTACTGAGCCATAACAATTGTTGCCAAATAAAACGGATTTCAGGGAAGGAGGGTGGTGGGAAAGGATGTTGTGCCCGATATATGCGCTTGCAATAAAAATTTCGACCATACGACGGCATCGCAAAAGATGAATTGCACTTTTCTCTCTCTCTCTCTCTCTCTCTCTCTCTCTCTCTCTCTCTCTCTCTCTCTCTCTCTCTTTGTTTCTTTTCTCAATAGGCAGCGAGCCAGTTCTTCCACCCAAGCTTCCATGTTTTGGCAAATATGAGTATGATTGCTGCACCAATGTAGATGCAGCTGGTGAAGATGATGAGCCCTGTATAAGAACCGTTATCGGCTTGCACGACGCTTCCAGCAATTGGAATGCCTATCAAGCATGCAAAAGATACGACGGTGTATGTTGTGGCATAGTAACGGCCGTACTCTTGTGTCTTGCACATCCGCCCAATACATACGGGTGCAATGGCAATGCTGTTACCACTTCCGAAGCCGAACAAGAAAGAAAAGATGATGATGCCCGGCTTGGTATGACCCAGCGGTAGCCACACACACAGACATGATATGAAGGAGAATACCACGGAGAAGATACACACGTTGAAGGCTCCGACGACGTCAGCATAGTATCCCGGGAGTGCTCGGCCTATCACAGAGCCAGCATTCATGATAGGCAAGAGGTGGTAGGCAAACGTGCTATCAAAGCCCTCATACTGTGCATAAGTTGTGATGTACGTCAGAGGAATAAAGAGCGAGAACTCCAAGAGGAAGACACCAATGGTGGTTAGCAGGAACGGAATCTGTCGGAAGATGCGAAAGTCGGGATGAGCCGTTGCATTCTTGGCTGGTGGCAGACGAGATCGGACGAGAGTGATTCCCACAAGCCCGCACACCAGGCATATGAGAGCAAGGACTCGTGTGGCCCAGCCAAAGCTGATGCGCTCGAACAAGGCAGTGAGCATGAGGGGGAAGATAATGCCTCCGATACCACCCGCCGTCGATGCAAGCCCAGTGGCGAAGCCACGCCTTGCTTTGAACCAATGGCCAACCGCTGCGATGCAGGGAGTGAAGGTGAGCGACGTGCCCAGGCCGCCGAGGATGCCAAACGACAGGATGAATTGGTACAACTCTGGGGGCCGTTGGTTAGTATGTGTCGCACACGAACACATGCACACATGATAAGGATAAGTGATGGTGTATACACGCCAGGATGGGATAGGACGGGATTCTGGACCAGAGTTTCGAAGTGTAACCAAGAACAACTACCATCAAACTACTTACCGGTGCAGAAGCTCATGCCAACCAAGGCACCGACGGTACAGGCACATCCAGCAACGACCAGCCACTTTGGGCCGTACTTGTCGAAGACGGGGCCGATATAGACGCCACCGAAAAAGGCCAGCCAAGTGTAGATGGAGAAGATCCAACCGACGGTGCTCTCGCTCGTGCCCTTGAGTTGATGGCTGAGCGTATAGGCCTGGAACACGGCAATGCTGTTCATCAACCCCATGGAAGCGATCATGGCGAACCAAGAGCCTGCCACCACGAGCCATGCCTGGAGTCCACCTTCAGGGTATGTTTCTTGATAAGATGCTGCGGATCTCGTTGTTTGCTGCCGCTCTAAATCACCATTGACTTGCGGCTGCGACTGGTGCTTTTCATCTTGGGCCTCTGAGCCCCCCTTTTCTCCACGGTCTCTTGTGTCATTTTCATCGCTCGATGTTTCAGAGTGGTCGAATTCGAGGTCGACCTCGTCATGAATTGCCCTTGAGTTGACCTGCTGGACATCCATGATTCCTGGGCTTTTCTGACTCTTTAGAACGCAAGCGCCGTTCAAGAAGCGGAACGATTGGCAGTTGCCAATCGACAACTAGATTAGACTTGAACAATGCGGAAGTGAAAAAATTTATGTTGTTTCGACTTGAAAANAAAAAAAAAAAAAAAGAGAGGAGGAGGAGGAGAGTGAGAAAAGGAGGTCGAAAACAAAATGGGGGAAAAGGTTAATATTTGATGCTGGTCACGCAACATGTCAAACCGGCGCCCTATCCTATATAATGACTGCTTTTTTTTTTTCTCCAAGTCTTTTTAATACCCCGTACTCGGCGTGGGGCGGCAAAGCACCGTCGAAGTGGAAACCTCGCGCCCCGGAGATTCATGGCAAATGGAGCCGAGCCAGTGGACTGTGTAGGTAATGGAAACTTGCCATTTGCTGGCCACCAAGTTCCACAACGGCTCACGCAATCAAAGTGCCCTAGTTTGCCCTCGTTGTTTTCCACTTGCCGGTCCCTTTGCCATGCGTGGCTTCAATGGGCTTATTCACAGATGAAGGTCCTACATGACATCCATTAATAGGATGGGAATCGAATCGCCACTGGACTTCAGCTTCTTTGGGACAAAATGGACATTGATAGCTTTCCTCCCAAAGGCAAACTGCCAAACTCTTGGGATTGTTTGCGACTTTCAAAATCGAAACTCATCCTCCTTTGCGCACTTCCTGTCACGACTCACACAGTCCATGACTCTGCAAATAAGCATCTGTTCTCCATTCCCCATTTCGAAATAAAGATTTGACTAATTGGAGCTGAAGAGATCCGCCCGCCTAGCCGAGAGAACTGGTTAGTGGCTTATTGGGGATGATGTTCGACGGGTGACGGAGGACTCCGGGCTGCTCCACCTATCGGAAGTCTCCATTGCGGAGACGAAGAGGGAAAAAATAATAAAAAAGTTATACTGGGAAACCTTGGCTTGGTAAAGGCTATGACCAAGAAATATTACATGGAAACGAGAAGTTTACGAGAAAAAAAAATTTTTGCTCTGTGTAAGATTTTTTTTTTTCAGGGGTCAAGATGATGGCGTGGGAAGATGCGCTTTCAGACCTTCATTGAAATCGGGATACTACCCAATTCCGGCTGCTTCATCCAATCATGTGCCGAATCTCGCTTTATGATTACAGAAGCACCTCATCACGATGCTATCTTTATGCTATGACTGAGGACCTTGGTCTGGGGGCATGCCTACCGAGACGATGACAGATACTACCATTGCTTATTACGGCCCTCGACCATTGCAGTCCATCTAAATTTGGGCTAAAGCTGCATATGCTGCTATTCATTCCCTCGTGATGCTCAACTCGTGAGCTCACAGCTAACTAACTACCCCGATCATCCCAAGAAACTCCATTTGATATGCCGTCATCGTTACCCAGAGAACGCCAAAACCATGCAAAGAAAGAAAGGATTGCAAAACTATCCCGATCCTCACGCTTCTTCATCTTCCACCTCCTCCATCATGACATTCCGAGAAGATGAAGCCACGCGCTCTGCATCGGCTTGTTCGTCTTCTTCAGCCCCATCCTGCCCGCTGCCCGAGGCCAGCTTCAGGTATCCCTCTTTCTCCAGCCGATCTGCTTCCTCTGGTTCCAACAGTCCGCCTTGACCCTTGCCCTTGTTCATCTTCATCTGCACCGAGGTGGGAACAAACGCAGACACGGCTTCCCGGCGCAGATCCCTCACCACCGGCTTCGCTTCATATACCGTCTTGGATTCCACCACCGGCTTCTGTGCTTCTCTGTCTCTGCCCTTGCCCTTGAAGTCCTTGTCTTGACCATCTCTAGCTCCATCGTCGCGCGCGTCATCATCACGTCGTCGAGCTGCGTTCTCAGCCTCCCTCTTTGCTCTTCGCTTTGCGTACCACTTGTCCATCTCGGCCTTTGGTATAGGCGGCGGCGTGTCTCTGGGCATGGGAATAGCCTTTACATCGTCGGGGATATCTTCATCGCTGCTCGAGCCATCGTCTCCGCGCCTCCGCTTACCAAGCGCTACCGACCTCGAGCCATCGCCATCTCTTCTCCAGCGGCCGAATTCAGGCGCCTTGTCGCCCAGTGTATCTCTGGCTTTCCGTACTGCTTTGAGTTCTTTTTCCAGGCCATCGAGGACCTGCTCTTCGTGACGCGTCAGCTTTCCTCCCCCCGCTGTCACGGCCTTGAGGTCGTCGATCTGTTTCTGGATACGGTCTGGGTTCTTGCGCGCCAGCTTTTCATCCCGACGGCTTTGTGCTTCGGCCTTTCCTGCAGTAAGACAACTGTTACAGATATATTCTGGCAAGGATAATATTTTGGCTCTGGAAATTTACCTTTTCTGATTTCGCGAGCCTTGTCGGCCTTGCGCTGCGCCTGTACGGGATTGTAGTTTTTCTCTTTTGGCATTGTGTCGGCTTTTCAAGCTGCGCAGGTGCAATTAATTGCTTTGGCTGATTTCGCGATTGTTGTTTTGTTGCTGCAATTGGCCTGGTTCTCGTCGATTTATTGGGCAGGTCGAGATGAGAATTGTTCGAAATATCACTCTTCTCGGATCGCTTATACCGCCGACGAATGGGCGACAGGTTTGTTTGCTTTTGGCGTTGAAATTATTTTGAAGTTGGAGTTTTTGGAGCTTTCCAAGTTAGGGGAGGCTAAAGATGCCAGTAGAGGTCATAGCGGGGCTTTTGGGGAGCCCTGGCTGATGACTAACGCGCCACTATCGCGACTTGTACAATCCGTTTGCCATGAATAAGGTGGTCGAGCAATTCGGAGCAAGCGACTCCGTTCTCCTATTTCTGTTCTGGGGACTTCGATAGAGCCAAAAGCTCCAAATCTTTGATTGTTTCGCAGCTTACCTTCTGTAGCCTCCGTCGCCCAAGAAAAGCATGCAGGATGCAACTTGTACGAGTTCAACCTTTTACGCCCAAATATCCAAACCTTCTATATGTTTTGTCTATGTTCAGCTATTCAAAAAACAGGTGCATCAACACAAACAATAAACCCAGCAACGCCAGCAACGGCAAATTCGTGCTTAGATGCATAGCCAAATTATCCTTCCTCTTGGGGTCATCCCCAATAGGCTCTGTTATCCAGTCATGTGGAATCTGCGTGATAAAGTCATACCAATAATCTCCAAGCAGCTGATATCCTTGATTCGTCGGATGAATGCAGTCCCTCAAATTGCTCAGGGCAAAGGTCGAAAAGTCCACTGCCAAGACGTGCTTCCCAGCCTGGAATCTCGACATCACCACGTCGGGCACCAGCGACTGAAACATTCCTGTCTGCGGAGCTTGGTCGGCGTTGCAGGTCCCTATAATCATGGCGACGAGGATGACTGCGTCCGGGCATGAATTGATCATCTTGTCAATCAAATATCCGAGCCGCTGAGATGCGGCCACAGGATCATGACCCTCTGTGGAAATGGCACTGTTTGGGTTCATGTCGTTGGTCCCGGCGTGGAGCAGGATGATATTTGGGCGCTGCTCAAGCGATGGACCGACGTTGTTTTCCATATACTGGATTGTCTTGCCGTTCCAAGCGGCCTGATGGAATGATGCGACGACACTTCAGTTAGCTGACGACTCAAAGAAAGGCCCCTTCTTTCCTTACAAAATAGCCGTCGGTCATGTTGCCCACTGGAGAAGTCATTGTGCCTGCGAATACAACGGTGTCGCCTAAACTCATCTTTGTTAGCGAGAGAGAGCAGATACAAAAAGTAATGTACTCTGTTGATCCCGGCTTCAGAGGTTTTGTTTCGTCTTACTCGAAAGGTCTTCTCGAAGCCGCAATCGGTATCCGTTTCCATCGCCGCCATCCATATCACTCAGGAATCCATATGTGATGGAGTCTCCGACTGGAAGAATTCGGAGCTCTGTCCCAGGTTTGATGGCTTTCCCTACCGGTGTGTTTTTGAAAGTCAACGGAAAAGGAATGGCCAATATTGCTTGGGCATGGGCGTTCATTACGAGCTGGTTTCTGAGTTGCTGTGGTACGTCTGCTCGTATCACCGACGCATCAACCGCCAGTAGGTGTAACGTCGCTATCGCAATCGAACAGAATTTTTTCATGGAGATGAGCCTCCCAGTTTGATGAGAATAACTGGCTTGAGGGGAAGATGCCGTGCCGCTCCATTCCTTTACATGCATATCATGAATTTCTTCTTTCCTTTCATCTCATAACAACCAACTCTTTCTTTTCAATGAGCTACAGATTTCTCTCTGCGGCGTTGGACGAGATGTTACTGAGTTGACTGCAAGAGAACTAGAAGGAGAGACAAAAAAAAAAAAAAGGTCACTCTAGTTGTTTGTTTCATCGGCATCAGCAAAAGCGAATCTCATCTCCACTGACAGAATGAGCAAGGATCGACTTCGGCTAGGCGACCACCGTCCAATATTGACTAGACATATCGATTCCTGTTATAGGTCAAGCCGAAGAAGTAGCAATTAGCATGTGCAACAGCAACCCGTGTCGACTAGAGCTTAGTCAAAGCGGCATAGACGGAATATTTGTTGATGAAATTAGATGCCGACGTTAGTATGCATCACAAAAGCACTGCCAAATGGAGTGATTTGCTCGTGGGAGACGAAATATACATATGGCCTACGATCCTCCTACTGCCGGATATTGAGGTAGCGCGAACCAATAACCAATACCTACGAGGGTTCTGTTTTATGCGTCCAATTTTTGAGTACTGTACATATGGAGTATAGTGGCCAGAATTACTCCGTGCACTACTGCTGCTGGTTCCACATGCAAATCATAGCTGGTCATCAATTTGGCCATCAATTTGGCGCTGGGTCAACCGAGGCGGACATTCCATTTCCCACTGCTCGCTGAACATGGTTTCATGTCTCTTACAACCCGACCATCCGATCTGACGGATTACTCGATCTAACAGTGGCCGTGTTACTCTAGCTCGGGGAGATGGGGCATTTCAAGCAATATGGCAGCCGGCGGCTAAAGGTAATTGGGCAGATAACGCTACGTCGGCAGTCCAAACCGAGTGTTACAGCAGATTCGAACCCAATCAAGCAACTCGAGGTTGTTTCGTCGGAGCTTATGCGTTCATGAGCAGGCCGGCAACTGGATCGACTAGCAGCTGGTGGCGCTTGACTATGGCCGGGCTGTCAGGTTATTTGACTTAGTCTAGTTCTTGTTGGCTGAGCTATTAACCCAAATGGCCACATAATGGGTTCTTCTTTCTCCTTGAGACGCCAAATGGTCAGCCCCCAACTCAATCCGGAAGCCCTGGCTAACGGCCAGTTGGCTGCGGAATCTCTATAATGCCAACCAGCAAGTACTTTGTGCTTTTGAGCAGATGGAGGCTGAGACATCCAACGTTGGCAGTTTTCATCATGGTGCGTGCTGGATGGAAGAGAAGAGATGAGACATCTTTAATCGCCTGATGCCGATATGCATGCAGGGCCGTGACGGCCATTTAGAGGATGAGACAACGGCGAGAGGGACAAACCGCCACGGCAGCGTGCTATTTTCCACCACTGCTGATTAAAAGGACTAGCCAGGATATATCGGGCCTAATAATAACGGATCGATGCGCGGTTTGCCAGTTCCTGAGCTTTGAAAGGACACACTCACTGGCAGAGAGAGCAAGAGAAGACGAGTCGCCCAAAGTAGGTACGTCAATCATTACCAAGCCAGCTGAAAAGAAAAAAAAAAGGCCGAATTTCGGGTCATGGTGTGATCCAAGCAGCATCCAGCAATGGGATCTCGCCGCCTCGGCCCGTAAAAGGGCTTGCCTCCCTCTCTTTCTCATGCGTTGCACAGAATAAAGCGCGCTGAGTGATATTGATGCAGCGTCCCGGATCGTACCTGTCTTTCGGTGGCCGGGGCATTTTGCAACGAGCTGGGTCTGGTGATGCCCATTGGCCGTGGGCTATGACAAGTAGAGTAGCAGCAATATCACGCTGCATCATGCAACTGAGCACGGCCAATCTATTGAAATGCAGGCAGCCTTCTTTTGCATCCATGGCCCGGGCGGGGAGTTTCCCGGTGGGAACGCCACTGACAGGGCCTGGACACACCCGCTCAAAGAGCCTAAATGGCAGTTTTGCAGCACCAGCAAGTAAAAATAAAAGACGAGGCACAAAGGGATGGCGGAATGGCGAACCGGGCGACGAAGAGGGTGCTGGGTCTTCAGGGTTAAGACTCCGAGGCCAAGGTGCGATGCACGCAATATAGCCTGTAGCAGCAGCAGAGGAGTATTGGAGTAGTACTCCTCCAGGCACTTGCAGACTCGGTGGCAATACTGCTACCTACCACCCACCGTGGTGCTGCTGCCCATCGTCATGGGGCACTTGGCTGAGCGTTATGGAACCCGTCCTAGGAACATGATGCCTTGCCTGGCTGATTGGCCAAGAAGCTGTTACTGCCGCCCGCCCGTCCGAGACCCTGCCAATAGCCGTAGCACTACGGACTGCTCACCCTTGCTAGCTTGCCGGTCGGAAACGTGGAAAGAGGCAGGGGAACACTGCTGTCTGAATACCTACAGCACTCGTCGTCGTCATAGCTAATACCTGCTTTGCCAACAACCGATGAGCAGGCGAGGTACCGACGGCTTGCCTCTCTCAGCTAGCATCGGCCGTGTTCCACCAATTGCAGCGCCGAAATGCCTGGAGGGGCGGCCGGGCAGCCTTTTTGCCGGGCTTGGGTGCTGGGCTGCCAGGATTTCGGCAGGGGTCCTCGAGCTGGCCACCGTCCGTCGATGCAGAAAAGGGCTGGGTGGTTCCGATGCACGAGAACGAACCGGCTCAGGCGCGTGGCCCGCTGCCAGCTAGAGAGTGGGGGGGGGGGGGGAGGGGAGGCAGAGGCAGAGAGGACTCGGGAGCGAGGCTTGTTGAATAGCGAGCGCGGCAAATGGACGGGAGCTGTGTCTGCTGCAGAAGAGCTGTTTTGGGGAGCAGAGGCGAGAAGGGACAAAGAGGGAGTGGTGGAGATGGGGGTCCACAAGCACATGTCAGAGGTTTTGGTCAGGCCAACTCGATAAACCTTTGCCGCTAGCAAGGAGCGGTTGCTGCGATAAGAAACGGGTACGCACGAGATGAGATGTCGTCTGTCTGCCCAGTACCAAGTATTACACACACACATGCATGTGCTCCAGCAGGTTGGCTCTGCTCGGCTTCGCGAGAAAGAACACCACAGGCCGTCTGCTCAAATCAAGTGCCTATTCTGGTCTCCGGCATTTAAACGCTCGATTGGGGGGGCACACGATGAACTACACCTACTACATACAACAGCGGTACTTGCCGTATGCAAAAGGCGTTGCGGTAGCCCAAAGAGTAGCGCCACTCCTAATAGCCATGACTGATGCAGTGGCTAATACCCGATGCTATTGTGATGTTGGCTGCTGCATCCGATGAATATTGCCATTTGTCTTGTTTTACGGCTGAGATACACCTCTACGGCGCAGATACGCTTTTACGGAGCCGACACGGAGTAATGCCTCTCTGGATGGAGTTTGAATATGGAGCCGGCTCTGTCGATATTGTTGGACGGCGTGCTATTCCCGCTGATACGAAGCAAATGGATGGATATTTCATTCAATGGTCCCGCGAGCTAACAGGCACCAGGGCCCAGGTATTACTCCGCTGGCTGTATGTACGGTACAGTACACTACTGCTTGTGCAAAGGCTCTATATAATACAACAAAGCATGTGTATGCCTTTTGTCGTCTACGAGCAGGTAGGTGCGTGTATTCTTTCGTCAATATGCAGGCCAAATATGGTCGACTTGTTTGTAGTACTAATAGCAGCAAGTAATTAACAGCCATTTCATCTCATAATGGCATGTTTTTGCCTCCCCCCACGCGCAGCATGGTCCCCCACAAGGCAGCGCATGAGGAGACTAGGGTCTGGTCCCTTGGACATTGGCAGCATTACCCACCTCCAATCCAACCCGAGACCTTGTTTGGGTATGTTTTCATCAATGTTACAGGCAGCAGCATGTAGGTATCACTTCGTGCCCTGCCCATATGGAATACTACCTGTATACTACCTGTATACTACCTGTATACTACCTGTATACTACCTGTATACTACCTGTATACATACATACTCCGTACATGCCACGGACCACGGAAGCCGGCGCTCTGTGCATATCGCGGGGCCGAAGCGCAACAAAGTGCCAGGTTGTAGCACTACATTCTGTCACCTTCTTCCCACTGCCAAGTACAGGATGATGTTAAATCCGGCTTGCTGCAAGGCAGAAGCACATGCTAGCGCTGCTCTTATTTTCAACCATGGCTCTGCCACGGTAAGAGGACGCAGTAGTGCGTGCCTGAGCCTTTGACGGCGGGCTCGTCTAAAGACTAGCACCGGTTCCCAGCTCGGGGCCACTGCAGAGCTGAAACTGGGCTGTATGTACGGAGTTCTCATCAGGTCGGTGCCGTCCCAGTGATGTACCACCGAATACGGAGTACCTACTCCATACATGCGCTTCAACTCGACGACGCCCGCCAACCACCATCACAGGAGCCAGCACTGCGAGGCAAAGCAAGCAGAAAACATGGAAAAAGGGCAGGGAAAGGGCCCCTCGTCCTTCCCCGCTCTGCAGCAACACCTTTTGTGATTTGTGATTTGCTGTGCGCTCATGATCGTCCTGAACCGGCTGTTTTCCTGTCTGTCCGCTCTCCACCCGAGCCGAGCGTCACGTTTGCATCTTACATGGCATACATGGCAGATCGCCCTTTGGGTGCTTCAACCTGCTGTGCGTACCCGAACGCCCTGATCGTTGCTCCGGCAGGATACATGAAAACACAGTGCCACGCACGCAGAGTACAGAGTACTACTATACCTACCTAGTATGTGTGAGATGACGAGATGACTAACCCGACATTCAATAGCCACTCTGCGGGAAAGTCTGTCTGTTCGTTCGGTCTGTCTGCTTCTTGGTTGGTGGGGCCCAATCTATCTATGGCGGCGCGCGACTCCGTTCTCGGTACAGCAAGAACGATTCCAGTATTAGTGCTTGGACCCTGGAGGGGTCTTGCCCGGCAGGCCTGTCTGGCATTCAAATTTTCTCTCTCGCCGAGCTGCGCTTCACGGTAGCATCTGGTCCTTGGCGCCGTGCCTCGTTCTGCCGCAGCTCGAGAGTCCTGGAAAATATGACAAGTGATGATACCCATGAATCAGTACGACTACCTAGGTTAGTAGTAGTAGTCGTTCTGTAGCCACTGCGCGTTGTAGTAGTAGGACTGTAGCGGTTCTGGCCACCTGCTCAGCGGCTTACAGTACGAGCGCTTAGCCGCAGGCCCTGCCCTGTATCGCTGGCTCCGTCGTAGGCGCGCATGTACCCTCCCGTACCCCCCCAGTGGGCCCCGACGGCGCTGGGCCACGAGGGTCCCTTCCAAGTCAATACCCAGTACTCCGTCGCAAAGTAGCGCAGTACATTGCCGCGGCTGCGGGATCACGGCGAAACAGGCACTGGGCGCTCGCGGCCGCCTCGGTAGCGAGTACCGCCCGCGCAGGTACTGGGCCCAGCGATCGAGGCGAGAAAGAGCGGCCGTCGCAGGCATCTTGTAAGCGTGAGAAACGCGGCAGGTACGGGCCCGGAAGTATTGTCGGTCAGTCTCCATCAAGATGCTCTGGCCTAGTCTCCATTTTTGCTTCTAACCATCCTGCTGCTAATTAATTCACCTGCTATCGGAGCATCTCTTGTCTTGCGACGCTCGCTCTGCCTCTGACTCCGACTCTCAACCTTACAAGTATTTCGCGCAAGGCCACAGTCAGTCTCGACGGTGGAATCGAACCAGCAACTGCTCGCCGCTTTCGCCAGGACGCTTCGGCCCTCAGACAAGGGCAGACAAGACAAGACAAGACAAGACAAGACGAACGCGCCTGAATCCCAGCCCACACCGAGCGTCTCCTCTTTTCGGCGCTCGTCCAAATCCTCCCACGGGACTAACGCTGCTGACGGTGAAGCTTAAAGCATTACCAGCTGCGTTGCTTGCTTGTGTCTGTCTGTGTGATTGACGAAAGAGAGAGACCCGCCCGGCCAGAGTGCGGCGATTTTCCCAATCTACCTACTCATACAAGCATCGCTGCGGCGCCAGCATTTTTTTGCTCTTCTCTTCCCTCTTACTCTACTTTTTCGCTTGTCACAAGCCTCTACGTCAAGCCAGACAAGAAAAAAAAATACCGTTACAGGGGTGGTTGGCCTTGTTTTTTATTTCCCTTTCTAATCCTCTCTCGTCACCCCTCCACTAGGATTCACATCATATTATTGCCTGCACGCAATCCGGCCAGAGTACAACGACGGACATCGTAGGTATCTGTCTGATCCGCCCCTCAGCTCAGCCAGCAGTCGCTCGCTCTCAGCTCCCGGCAGTCCATGGCAGCTGTCAGCCCGATTGCAATGCACCCAACTGTCACAGAACACGACTACCGCTTCCCGCGAAGACCCGACCATCCAAGCACCGACCGTAGCTTCGCTCGCATGGATACGCGACAAGACCATGTCGCACTCACCAACGGCGCTGCTGCCGAGCAAGCCGCCTCGCCGTCAAAACACCATGTGCTCGACGCCGCCCTGTTCCCGGCCCTCGAGACCGGCGCCGGGCCGTCTGGCAGCGTCGAGCAGATGCAGAGCGAGGATCCCTTGGCCGCCCAGATCTGGAAGTTCTTCAGCAAGACCAAGGAGCAGCTGCCGAACCAACAGCGCATGGAGAACCTGACCTGGCGCATGATGGCCCTCAACCTGCGCAAGCGCCAGCAGCAGCAGCAGCAGGAGGAGCGGCGCAAGAGGTAAGTTATTATATAATTTTTTGCTCTCCCCCCCGGCTAGATCGCCCATCTCATGCTTCGCCATTCCAATGTGATTGGTCTGCCCTTTTTTTTTTTTTTTTACTACACGGCTAGACATGGCTTGGCTTTACCTTTAATGAGTGGAGGGGAGGCGGGCTCTGGCCATCACATCATCCCGGCGGAGGCTGACATATTTTCTCTTCTCTTCTTCGCTCCACGGATAGGTCCCTCTTGCACTCTACGCAACCACAAAACGCCCCCAGCGGCATTGCTCAGCAGCTTCGACGCACCTCCGACATCCATGATCAGAGCGTGGATGCCATGAACATCGACGACTTCATCTTTGCCGACGAGGGCGCCGTTTCCGTCAACGACAGCTCACCGCAGCCTCCCGCAGCGTCGTCGCTCTCCGGGCCGCAGACCGCTGCCATCAGGAAGAACAGATCGTCCAAGGCGTTGGCCGCCGCCGCCATCCCCATCAAGGGCCGCAAGGGTTCTACCAATCAGTTCGTGGCCCAGTCGGTCCCCGTTCCGCCACATCACCAGCGGGGACAGCACGATGAATTCCATTACGTCCCGCGACACGACAGGAAGACCAGTATAGATGACCGACGGGTGAGTAGACTCCATCCATCAGATCAATCCTGTTCCCCTTTTTCCTTCTTCGTTACTGCCCCCCTTTTTTTTTTTTTTTTTTTTTGGCACGTCTCATTGCTCTGGCGTGCATTTTTCATTTTCCCCCTCAGTCATTTTCTTCTTTCATGGCTGTGGTTTTTTTTTGTTTCCCTTCTAACTGCTCCCTATTGCCGTCCATTCCCTTCTCCAATCACAGTTTCCTAGACTTCCTCCCCCTTTTTTTTCCCTTGACCTTCTTTTCGTCTTAATACTGCGTTGTCATAATTTGGGTTTTACGGTTTTACTTCTTCTGTATTGTTTGGCTTACAATGGTTGATGTCAAGACACGAAAACGACCTGCCAACTTTTCTCCTCATGTGAGCGCCATCAACCCCAGTTCATCCGCCGTCAACCTCGATTTGGAAGCCGACCCAGAGCTCAATGGATACTCTCTCGACAACTCCAACGCATTGTCGTCCATGCATCAGCAAATGGCCAACAACCAAGGCTCTGCATTCAATCTTGATACCTTCATGGACAATGACGGCGTCATGGGCTCCGCTGCCCACTTTCAATCCAACTTCTCATTCTCTCCCTCCACGTCTCCCATGATGCACAGCGGGCCATTTTCCTCCATGTACAACAACGCCTCACTACATTCCTCTCTCAACAACCCCGACTTTTACTCCCCAACCGGCTCGGGTTTTCCGTCTGCTACATCTACGCCTCACCCAATCAACGACAACGATGGTGTCTACTTTGGCTCCTCGCAGGATCTGCAGCACCACCATCAACAGTCGCAGCAGCAGCAGCACCATCACCGGGCGCAGGGCTTCCGACATAGCTCTTCTAGCATCAACCACCACATGAACCAGCAGTTCATGTATGGCGATTCCAACGGCGGCGCACATGGGAGCAGTAACGGCAGCGGCGCCAACTTCCCCTCCACGGGTACAGGCTCAGAAGCGGTGTCAGCGTATAGCACCGCCCCGAGCTCATTTGGCCACATCGATCCCAGCCAAGTCTTTCAGACAGATTCCCAGGTCGCATCTCCTGTCTTGCCAATGCAGCAAGGCAACATGCTTGGCTTTGGGGGCGAGGATGACGATGACGATGCCAATGCTTTTCTGGACCGTGGCGGCGTTGGCCTCCACGGCGACTTTACGTCTGCTGTCGATGAGGCTGGATCATTTGGCTGGGATGCCTCGCTTCCTGGACAGTTTAGCACGCAAGCCGCCCGCTTTCCCGGCGGCCCGACTCGCAAGCATGTTCAGATCGGAGGCGTCACGACGACTGATTACGTCGACAACAGCGGCGATTGGGACGGCCAGGGTCTGAGCATGAGCCGGTCGCACTCGCAGACGCAGGCGCTTGGCATGGGCACCGACAAGCGACAAAACAGACTTCCTCGGAATTCGTCCACACCCTCCCACATGACAAACAAGCACAGTGGATTCGAGCAAATCGCTCAGTCCCTTCCTAATTCTCCGGGTGGCCACGCCGCCGGCAACGCTTCGGGCTTCTCGTCGGTTGCGCCAAGCAGGCCGTCTTCACCGCCCCCAAGCTCCAAGCATGGCTCCACGACCAATCTGGCGGCGACTGGTGGAAACTCTGGGGAGAACGGCAATCCCACCACTTGCACCAATTGCTTCACCCAGACGACTCCGCTGTGGAGACGAAACCCCGAGGGCCAGCCTCTCTGCAATGCCTGCGGTCTCTTCCTAAAACTTCACGGTGTCGTGCGACCACTCAGCTTGAAGACGGATGTCATCAAGAAGAGAAACCGGGGTTCGGGCAACAACCTACCTGTTGGAGGGACGAGGAAGAAGGCGGGCACGGGCTCAAATGCCGCTTCGAGGAAAAATTCAACGCTATCCATGTCTGCAGCTGCTGCCGCCGCCGCTGCGGTAGCTGTGCCTATGACGAACAACCAGGTAGCAGTATCACCACCATCATTCAACCGCCCCAGCAGCAACAAAGATGCCGATAGTCCCACTAGCAGTGGAAATTTCACCGCGGGAAGCACGCCCGGCAGCCAATATGGCGGAGCTGCCATTGTAGGTGGCAAAGGCGTCGTACCAATCGCTGCTGCACCGCTGAAGACGGCTCCCGGGCCCGGTGCTTCATCCATGTCTCGGCCGGCCACAGCGCCATCAAAGAGACAACGCAGACATAGCAAGAGTGAAGGCACAGCAAGCTCGTCGGCCATGGAGCTTGATGGTCCTTCAGAATCTGCTGCGCGACCGCTTGGCACGACTCCCAGCATGCCTTCCATCTCAAGTACCATGATGTCACACAACAACTTCTCCATGGGCCAGCGCTCCATGATGGGATCGAGCATAGGATCAAACATGGTATCCATGGGCGGGACTCAGTCCAGCCTAGTCAACGGTGCCGGCGGCTCGTCAGGCCCCCAAGAATGGGAGTGGCTCACTATGAGTCTTTGAAAGACTTGTCTTGATGAGCAAAAACTTGGATGAAAATTCTAGATTTCACGAGCACAAGGCTTGCGTATGCTTGCCGTACGACGTATGGCGAACAGTATTTTTTATCTTTCTATTTTTATTTCCTTGTCTTTTTAGTCCAGTAAAGGATCTCACAGAAGATGGTGCCGGGCTCAGAAGAAAAGAGTGGATATACTTAAAAGAGACGCGGCTTGTTTATGTCGCTGGTAATGCAGGCAGCCTGATTGCATTATTTACGAAAGAGGCTATCACTACGTCAAAGGGAATAAGGGCGTATATGAATGGGCATCTCCATGGCGTGTTGGTTCAAGCAATGATACCTGGGTCTGATTTTTTTAAAAATGTTTTTTTCTTTGCAAGCACGAGTTGCCACAGTTTGATAATAGTTTTATCTGGGTTGAATAACATGGGCGGGAAACATTCCGGAAAGCGTTTTTATGGTATATTTTTTTTCTATCAGCACTTGGTGGCAGACAAGAAAGGAGCACGCGCAACCAGGACACCAACGGGCAACTCTTGAACCGCGAGAACTCAACAGACGACTGTCCAAGAGCATGGAACGGACTTTTCGGACTCTTTGAGCCAAAATATAAAGAAGGCTGGTCGATGATAACGCTTTGGAAGTTTTGCCTCTCGCCGCATGAGACTTTTTTTTATTATTATTATTATTTTCCCATAGACTTTAGTTTTTGGATTATGGCGGCGCTGTCCAGTTTATTTCCTCAATCTATGCCCCGAAAGCAGGCTTATCCTAACATTTTACTTGCCTGTGTGCCCTATTTTGCTATATTGTGTGCGGCTTTCTGCTTCTCTTTTCTCTCTCTCTCTCTCTGCTTATTGCTATCCCTTTTGGATGACGATGAAATGAGTCTTGTTCTAAATTTTCGGATTGGAAAGAACGTTCGAAACTTTTTTTTTTTTTTTTTTTTTTTTTTTTTTTTTCACACCTTGTTATTATTGTTTGGCTAGAGATTTGTGCCAGGGAGAAAGATGTGCTTCTACGACGACTCGATCGGAAAATAATAAAGACAAGTATTTGGAAAGCCACGGCCTAGGCTGCGAGAAAGAATCGTGATTGTGATGGCGACTGTTGGTTTTCCCCCTCCCTTGATCCCTCCCCCCTTTATGATACGATGGACGTCACGCAAAACCCGTCTACAGAGCCATACATTCCATTCGTCTACCTGTGTACCATATACTCTTACTCGTTACTCCTACATGAACGGATTCAAAAAAAAAGTTACATCCCCTTTTTCGGGGAGGAACTTTTATACCCAATTCGCCGCACATGCACACTATAAAAACAAAAGAAAAAAGAAAGCCTCCTCCCCTGGCAGATTCCGCCCACTCCGGCCATGTTTCCCATCCAATTTTTTAATGCCATCAAGAAGAAGAATGAAAAGCCTACCCAAGGGTCCTCACTTTGCGGCTTCCTCTTGGTCTTTAGTATCAGTGTCCATCTCTGCAACTCCAAGCCAGAAAAACAAAAACGAATGAATTGTAAGAAGAAAACAAACCAAAGGGGTAAAAAAAAAAAAAAGAACGACAGCGGAAAGGGACTAGAAAAAGAGGGTACAGAGACGAGGCTAGCAGTACATTATAATGAATTAATTTGGTATCCCAACCGGCAACAGATGAAATGTAGAAGCAAGATGCCTGGTAGCAAAACAGAAAGGAGAAAAGTTTCTCGCAGTGGTATGTCAAAGATAAACAATGGGGGGGCAAAGAAAACACTAAAAGGCCAAACAAGCAAAAAGAGAAAGAAGAAAAAAAAAAAAGAAAAAAGAAAAAAGAAAAAAGAAAAAAGAAAAAAGAAGCCCAGAGTGCTTCTTGTGAGAGACGTAGGAGACGTAAGAGAGAGAGAGAGAGAGAAAACAATTCAAAACAGCCTCGGCTGACGTATCGCAGGAGGCCTACGATATCCCCAATTGTACCACAATGGCTTGCCCTAAAACATGGTGCCAAACGAGTCGTCGGTCGGGATGCGCTTCCGCGGACTGTTGCTGCCACCATTGCCGTCGCCATCATCTGTGGCGGGCTTGCGATGCCGGAAGGTGAAGCCGACAAAGAGACTCTTGCTCATCTCTTCCTCACGCTCGGCCATGTTCTCCAAGGCTTGCTGCTTGTCGTGGACTTCTTTGTACTTGGCCATGTCGGCATCGTTGCCAAAGTCGTCGAAATAGCCGGCATCCGTCTCAGAGTCCAGCTCTGGCACGAACGGCGCCCTGGTCTGGCGCAGCGTATCCCAGTCGACCTCGGCGAAATAGTGGTGGGCGTAGATATCCTTAATTTCACTGAAGCGCTTGGTGCGAGAGTTGATGCATCTGAAAAGAGGGCTATGCGTTAGCTTTCATTGGTAACGAAAAGGGGAGACGCAAAATAAACTCACGTTGTGATGAAATTCCACGTCCTGTTGCTCAAAAAGTAGTTGGGGTCTTCCCAGACGGGCCGCTTGAGAACCTCTTTCCAATGCTTCAAATTGCGCCACGTCTCGTCGGGAGTCGAACCAGCAAAGGGCGGGAAGCCGGTCAGGGCCTCGAACAGCATGCAGCCCAAGCTCCAGTAATCCACTGTGTAATCGTACTCCTCTCCTCTGAGAACCTCTGGCGCCATGTAGTCGGGCGAACCCACAATGGACTTTGCGTAATTGACATCGTTCTCTCGCATGGTTCGGTAACTCTCGCGTCGCTCGGCTACGGTTCGCTGACCAATTGGTTTGCCAAACGGCACTGGCGTCTCGGAAGCTTGTTCCAGCTTGAGACGCATGGACTCGATCTTTGACGGGGCCAAAACACCGGCAGCGAGGCCAAAGTCGGTCAGCTTGACGTGGCCTGTGGAGTCGACGAGGAAGTTTTCAGGCTTCAGGTCGCGGTGGATGTAGCCGAGCTTGTGGAGAGCGTCAACTGAACAGAACATCTCGGCGATGTAGAAGCGCGCATGTCGGTTGGAGAGCACCCCCGTATTGTTAAGGAGAGTACGGAAGTCGCCGCCAGGCACGTATTCCATGGCAAGATAGATATTCTTGTCGTCTTGGAATGAGTACAGAAGCCGAACCAGCCAGTCGCTTTGCGCCGTTGTTAGGATATCTCGCTCCGTCAGAACATGGCGGACCTCGTCCAGCTTAAAGAGCAACTTTTTGCTCATCACCTTGAGCGCACACACCTCCCGCGTGTCCTTTTTCTGCGCAAGAAAGACTTGGCCATAGCCGCCCTGGCCAACCTGGGTGAGGATTTGAAAGTCGCCCTGTTTTAATCGAATTCGACGCTTTCGAAGGTTGGCGCGCTCTCGGCCGGTATACTTTGACCACATGACTCTGTGGGTTTCCGTTTCAGTGTCGGGGGGTGCTGGGAATTCGGTCTTGAAGGCAGCGAGGCGCTTCTGCCGCGCACCGACATAGGTGAGCAGGTCAAAGTAGTAGTCCAGGAAATCTAATGCAAAAAAAAAAAAAAGGGTCAATATGAATCAGTCACAGGACAGTGAAACCGGGGGCAACAACGGCAACAACAGCAGCAACCCAAGATGCAACTTACAAAGCTGGGTGACATTGACCATGCGGCGCACATTGGGCCGCTGTAGAATCTCGCGCTCCTCGGCCGTCAAGCCACGAGCCGTGTTAAACCTCTTGGCTATGATGGGACGTTCCCCCTTGGTGTCGTACATCTGCTGGCGAGAGAGCGCGGCATGGCTGTGGTGGGGGTGGCGGTCTTGGTCCTGGGCGGCGAGACGAGGCACAGGCGGCGCATTTCCATCGTGAGCCTGGGCCTGGGCTGGGGCGTGTCGCTTGCGTGGTGAGCCAGGCGAGGCTCTCCCCTTTTCCACCCTCTGTGCCCTTTCCGCCTTTTCTACCTTTTCTACCTTTTCCGGCTTTGGCACCTTTTTTTGCACGACGCTGCCATCGAGGGGCTGGGCGGCGGGCTCCTCCTCCCCTCCCTCCTCCTGCAACTGCTGCTGCTGCTGCTTCTCCAGAGACTGAAGAGTCAGAGGCTGAGGCGTCCGGGGCTGAGGCGTCCGAGACTGAGACTGAGACTGAGGCGGGGGCTGCACAGCTTTTCTGCTGCCGTTGGTGTTGCCGGCGTTGCTGGTGCCGTTGGCCTTGCTGGGCGAGGGCGAAAGCGGAGCGATGACGCTCTGCGGGCGCGGCGTCAGCCTGACGGGAGCGTCAAAACCGCCGCTGGAACTCGAGCTGAGGTTGGAGCTCACGTTGGAGCTCACGTTGGAGCCCAGGTTGAGGTTCATGGCGGCGTCAAAGGCCGTGGGCAGGTCGTGGGCGCCGGGCGGGTTCGTCTTTTTGCTGGGGCTGCCCAGCGGCGTGTTGAGCGGGTTGATGAAGCTGTTGATGTTCATGGTCGGCGTTATGGGGCGAGGCACGGCGGCTGCGTCTCCAGCCAGCGGCGCCTTGTCCCTGCTGGAGCTGCTGGTGGTGCCGACGCTGGAGCTGCCGGAGAAGAAGGTCGACATGAAGCTGCTGGCCATCTTTTTTTATTTATTATCCACCGCAATGCGTGACGTGGCGGCGGCGGTGGAGAGTGGACTGGACTGGGCTTGCAGGGGGATGAACAAAGCAAGCGAGCTGATCGATCGATTGGCCGGTGGGCGAGCGTCTGCAGTAGCGGAAGACAGGACCAAATCAGGCAAGCAGTAGCAGTAAATGAAATGGTCGCAGTAGTTGGATCGGTGGATGTGCTTTTGCTGCTGCTGCTTTTGCTTCTTGTGCTTCTGGCTGTATGGATGTGCGTATATCGTACAGTATATGCTTTGGGTACGCCTGCAGATGCCACAGAATCGATAATTTGAGAGTTCAAAGTCGGGGAATCAGACTAGAGAAAACAAGAGATGCAAAGAAAGAAAGAAAGAAAGAAAGAATGAAGCAACGAATAGAAGGCCGCAGTCAGACTGCCACTACTCGCAGGAGTCAATGCCGGCAGCACAGGTGCACTGGGAGAAACGAAAATCGATGCCGTCACGTCACTGTAGAATAGAAGGGGAAGGAAGACCGTAGATAGAGCCAGCTAGAAGTGAGTGAAGTGAGAAGAGGCAGATTCAGGTGACGAGACGCCGATGCAAAACAAAACAAGCTGCCCTTTTTTCTTTTTTTTTAGGTAGCACTGCAGACGGATGGACAGCTGGAGCTTCGACGTGATTGACTGATTGATCGATTGCTTCGCCAGTCAACCAATCTCTTGGGCTTCGGGATCGCTTCGTCAAGGCTGTCATTCGCTGCCTCTTGCAAGCAGGAAAAAAAAAAAGCGACATGGGGCTCGCCTTTTGGGTAAGTGGGATGTTGGAGCCAGCCGGCGATTGGATCCAAAGTCAACATGGTTGCAGCGGCAACAGGCATTGTCGAGGGCGGGTGGGGGCGCTGAGGCTGCTGAAGAGCCCGCTAAGCTCGCAGCAAAGGAGCCCACATGCGCGCCAACAGCCCTTCCACAGGGCATGCTAGCCCAGAAAATTGCAGCGCTATCGGTGCTAGCAGCGACAAGCGCCATCGGCGGCAGAGCGTGCCAGCGCTCTGATTTGTGCCCTGTAGCGCCCCCCCTGTGGCTCCCGCTATGGGGGAACTGAGGGGCGCTGCAGCGATGACCTCAGCAGCGGGGGTGGTCTCAGCTCTTGGGGAGCTTGCAGTGGTATCAGCACTTTACAGTTTTTTTTTTTTTTTTCTGCCCCCAATTCTTTGTTGGATACGAAAGTTTTTTTTTTTTTTTTTTTCCTTGTGTCAAATGTCTCAATCTGGATTCCTTGCAGATGATGTTCCGAGCCCTGCATGAGGATTAGCGTCACTTGATTTTGTCTGGGCTGAAGGGGCTCATTTCCATGACAACAAGAGGCATTGATGCTAATTACAGTTTATTGCAGCTGTGCGCGCACACACACCCACACAACAGCGGTGTCACGATAAACAAAGGGAGGTTTGTCAAATCATAGGAAGAAGCAATAGCATTGCTAGCAACAGCAGAGCAAATGGCCGGATGCGGAAGTGTGGCAGGCTCTGTTTTGGTTGGAATCTTGAGCTTTTGTACAACCTACGGCTTATCCAGTATTACATACATGCATCCGACACCCTTACCACTATGCAAGCTATGCATGTAAGATGGGGTTTCTCCATCAAAACAAACAAACAAACAAACAAACAAACAAACAAACAAATTCATGCCTCGAGGCGGGTGTTGCCATGAAGGCATATTACTGTATAAACGGTTGCTACTAGGACACTGCCTAGGTTCGTCGCTATAATCTCGACTGTCACTGCGTCAGTCGCTTGGCTCACCTGAGCAAGAGCATCTGCTGCTGAAAAGGCTTGTTTCACTGCAACTCGTTGTGAATAGTATTCCGCCTATACTGGATAGGCACTCTACTGTAGACACATGACTACTCAACTACTGGCGCTCACAATGAAAGGCGCTCACAGTCAGAGCGCCCTCGGCTCTCCTCGTTTGATAAAGCATCAAAGGGGCCGTCATCAATTGCCACTAGTTGCGTAAACAAAGCACTCGACACGCCAATCGGTGATGAGATGGAGACCTCACTCACGTACGGTCTTTGAGCGGTACGCACCAGTAAAGGCGGAGGCTTGGCCTATGCCCTTCTCCCGTTCTGTTGCGTAGATGCGGCTCTGGCGATGATGTCTTTCATCAGCAGATAGTCACTGCCAAGTAAACATTCATATTCGTTATGAGGGCCGCGCATGCCTACACTATCCGCTCACTGATTTCATGCTAATAGACAATGTCATCATCACCTCTGCTTGCTTGCTTGCTTGCTTGCTTGAGTAGTCCAGCTCAGCGGTGGCAAAGGCAAAATTCACTCGGCCAGCATGGATCTCTCAAGCCATGGTCAAAACTCAGTCTTGGAAAACCTAAAAGAAATGCAGTACATGGTGCAAAGACTGCAGATAATCCAAATCCTCCAGGAGCAGCGCATCATGCAATTGGGGCGCCAACTTGAGTCGTATCGCGAACGACGAGCCGAGTTTGCTCAGTTCTCACGTCTGCCCCCAGAACTGAGGCGTCAGATATGGGCGTTGGCTATTCCTCCACAGGTTTTCCGACCATTCCGTTACCTCGAGCCCTCCTATCTGGAGTGGAAAAGCCTCCCTCCGCCAACAATTTCTCGAGTCTGCCGAGAAGCTCGACACGTTGCATATCAGCAGGGCGCATTATACCGCCATGAGTTTCTCGCCCCCATCTTCTGGACCTGGTTCAGTGGACAGAGAGACATATTAGATCTTTCTGCTTACTGCATGTCGGAAAATGGGTTCATTCCCTTGCAGACGAGTCTTCTTCGAGAGGCAAAGGCAATCATACTAGATGTGGGCCTCGTCAGTGATCCGTTGATAGCCGGGTTGAATAGCAAGTCCAGCCATCTTGGTAAAGTTGATACCATCTATCTCACGGTGGGAAATCCATCTCAGGTGGAAAAGCGGTCGTGGCATCCGCACGCAGTAGCCCGGCTATTCAGAGGCCAGTCTTTTGCTCTAGTGGATATAGAAGACGGCCAAGAGCTTGAGCGTCTCGAGCAAATACTTCAAATGAGCGGCAGTGATGAGGTCAACTTGATGAACTGGTGGCACAGAGACGCCATCACCAGGCTCCAGGACCAGATTCGGCCTCCGGCTGACAAGATGAAGGCCTGGAGAGACGCCAAACAGCTCCTCTTGCAAGGATGGATATCGCACCATTATCCAACAACTTTGCCATTGCCTGAGAGCTTTTTTGACGAAAACGGTGTGATTAGGGTACAAGAGGTCAGGATGGCGTATCCGCAGATACCCAAAGTCCAGCTGGTGCATGCCTTTGAACTAATACCCGTCTCTCGGTTTGCAAAATGGCGTATGCTTGAAGACATCAGAGGTTGAACCACGTGCGTGTAGAAACTGAAATTGTGAGCTCACGGAAACAAGTACATACTATGTATATAAGCAGGTAGCAGCCAAGAGCCCAATTAAAGCACACCGTTTGCAAAGTACATAAAACACTATGTACTCTGCATCAATCGAATGATTCTGACGGTTGGAGCTCGGAGTGCGTCGGCGTTGCCCCAAACCGGCCAATCATGTCCCCAGCTCTGATCTTATCAATCAATCTCTCTTCCGTCACATGCCGACGCCATCCCGCAATCACTTGATCAGAGCAAAACGACCAGGGGACCTCCCCCACGTTTTAATGAGCCGGGCCGCTCTTCTTTCATCTCGTACTCCTCACCGACGGCAATTGCCATCAGAACCGTGATACCGGTAGGCCGCCCGTGCTTCCAAAAGGGAACCTCTTTGATCAGCCGCGATGCCAGCTCCAATTCAACTGTGTAAATAGCTAACCACGTCATATAGGTGCATAGAATTCGAAGCTCTTCTGTTATTCCAATCGTCTCACCCACTTTCCATCTCCTTGCACACCATGAAGTTCCTTAGCGTCATCACCGGCCTCACCGGCTGTGCTACCGCCGTTGAACTCACCGCTCCTCTATTCGGTGACATCGACGGCGGCTTCGCCTCTCGCATTCCAACCAGCTACGAGTCCGCCGTTCTGGGCCGCCGCATCCTAGCTTTGACAAAGCTCGGCACCCTGTCATCGACTTTCCCCAAGTCCAAGTCTTCGTCGTCCAATAGAGACGCTGACGCGACGTGGAATCGACCCGAGGGCCTCGATGGCCTGCCGATTGGTCAGATGGAATACATTGCTGATTGCGAAGACCAAGGGCACCCGACATTGCTGGCCATCAAGATTTCCACCAGCTACAGAAACGCCCAGGCGGGGTCCAACCTTACGCTGTCCGTGCAATGGACTCCGCCATACCCGCCCGCCAGGCGCATTCCGCTGCTGTCTCGTCTGCTTTCATATTTCCCGTACATCAGTGACAAGTACGATGCAGCAGACGATTCGTCGTCGTCGTCGTCGTCGTCGTCTCCCCCGGACACGGTGCCCTACTCTGCGGCCAATCTGCCTCGATTCTCGCTCATTGGCTACCTGGAGCCCATCAATCCCGATCTCAAAGAGTCTCTCCGGCTCGCCTACTGCTACACGTCCAAGCACCCCGACGCCAAGTACTGGCTGCCGGGCAACAAGATTCACACCAGCGAATGGGCCAGGCTGGTGGTCACACAGGTGTACTGGATTGGCGGCTTCGGCGACCGTGCGTACATTGGATGGATCCCCATCGAGGAGTGGAACAAGGTAACCAAGGAGGAGTGGGAGCAGGTCCAGCTGCCCGGCGAGAAGAAGGGCTGGAGCGAGTGGAGCCTGGCCGATGAGGCTGATGAGCTTTGAGGCGGATGAGCTTTGAATGGTTTGGTTCGATTTGATTTGATTCGATTTGATTTGCGTGACCTGTTTATTATGGCGAAGAGATGACAAGCGCTCCAAATTTGTATGACCAGTGTAACCGACGATGTGATGTGGCGATATATTAGTCTAGCTGTGCCAAACGATGCTACGTTTTACAGTTTCATGTTTACTTTTCTTTTTTCTTTTTTTTTTTTTTTTCTTTTTTCCGGCTTGGCTGCTTCCACACTCTAGGGTTATTACTACCAATATTACAATCATTATTTTCTAAACCACAATTAGCTATAGCTGAGATATTTCTTTTTTTCCCCAGAGCTGGTGTTATCACTGGGGCATCAAAGTATTTCATTCACCCATCATAACCCATCAAGTCTATACGAGAAACAGAATACATAACCCGTCTTCCATTTCAAGTTGTGAGGAGGGAGTGAAAAAAAAAAAAAAAAAAAAAAAAAAGGAAATGAGTGAAATAGGTAGGGATGCCCAAGCATTTCGTGTGACGATGCGGATGCCTGAAACAAGCGGTGCGTTGGGCTTCGGCTTATACGCACGGCTCGCATCAGGCACATCCATACAGCATATTCTATTATCCAGATGGATATTGTTGTTGTCTCGCCATTCACCCGGCCCGGAAGGGCCTTGATCCGATGCATTGCGCCCTGGCGAATTTCATGCAGGCCGGGTATTTATTCTATTCGCACACGTGCAAGTACATGTATAAAAGAGACCAGCGATTGGAGCCTTATAGAGACGGCACAGAAATGGTGCAGCAGCACAGCCCGGAGGCTTAGATGAATCCCGATGCTAGCAAGGCCGGGGGATCAGATCATGCAATTGACAGGGAGCAAGAGAGGCATGTTTCTGATTTTTGCTTTCTCTTCTCTTTGTCGAGGGTTTTAAGCAGGAGTACGGAGTAGGTATACCAGTTTTGCGAAGAGCTCAACTGCTGGTACTCTGCCGGGTAAGCAAATCTGCCTTAGTACAGATCGAGTATTTAGTGTACATACATGCGCAGTGTACATTCTCGTAGGGCTCATACTAGGCATATTGGGGTGCCTTTACTAAAGTGTTTATCAATACTGTATCATTGCCAGAGAAAAAAAAAAAAAAAAAAAAAAAAAAAAAAAAAACTGTCAAGGGGAGATGGATATAGCGTTGATATTCAGGATTTTTGCCCAACTCGTGCATGTGCGGCGGAGCTCGGGATCAAATATTACAACATGAAAGTACAATATATATAGCCCATATCTTTGTGCCAGCCTATCATCGCTCTGCTCAGTTGCTGACTCTGGGTACTATCAGACGGAAAGGAGGTTTAATGCACCTTTATCTTCAACTACATATCGCATCTTACTTGTCCAATAGTCGTTGCCGAGAATCATGCTTCTGCAGGAGGGTAGCTGCACGTATAACGCTCCCTACGCTGAGCAATAGTAATGCACCTCGTGAGCATAGCTTCGTATACAGAGAGTATGGATCAAGACAGTGTCTTGTCTCAACCTCGTCTCCTGCCTCAAAGAGTGGGCTAGATTGCAGATCTGGCTGTCCGATACGAGGCCCGGCTCTTCCTTTGCTCGGTGCTACAGTATCTCTGCAGTAGCATCGAAAATATCGAATAGCCGAGCCTGGTTGGTTGGTTTCGGTTTACATACATGTACTGTACGGTAATCTTGAGCGGACTCCCCCGGGTTGTGGCCCCGAGACAGACGGACGATAAAGGCAGAATTAAGCAGCCGGGGGGATCCACCAGGAACAGGCCCGTTTGCTGCTCGCTTACTTGGTTGGACACTTGCAGCAATAATGGCAGCGTGCGGCAAATAATGGGCTCGAAGATGGCATGGGCAACTAGGCATCCTCACTTCCAGTCATTATCAACGGCACTCAGCAAGGCAAGAAAAGGATGCCAAGCTGCTCCACCGCCTCGAAACCCCGCTGGGGGCAAGTTTGGGGCTCACAGTGAGGCTATCAAATAGCAGTCGGAGCCCGTAGTATTGACTAATTACCATTGGTGATGGATAGCACGTAGTAGTAGTACGGAGTACGTAGCATCATCATCAGCAGCAGCAGCAACGCCTATTGTGAGATGATGCAACGGCGCCACATGCGCATATCACGATGCTAATGACGCCTACAACTGGCACTACTGCATGGGGAATATGGATGATGTATGGAGCCAGTCGAGAGCTTGTTAGTTGTAGTAGTAGTGCTATTCTGGTTGTACGAATAGTAAGTAGTGGTATTAGGTATTGCCTATACTGCATGGGGGAGCTTCGTTTCGGAAGAAAGTCTCCAGCATGTCTGGTACCTGACCTACATACATAGAGATCCAGTACATGGCCCGGCCAGGTTTATCTCGGTCAGTTTCTCAGCGCCTGTTGGGCTCTCTGCCAGTCTGCATCCGCGTGGCTGCATGCACATGCGGGCAAGGCACGTCGAATGATATGCGCTCTTTAAACTGTGGTGGCGTGCCCCTCACGCACAAACGGAGAGACGGGTAGCAGTAGAGGATCAATAGCATCGAATCAAGTATGACGGACGAGAGCCATACACACAGTGCTGAGCTTTTGCTGCGTGCCTTGAATTGAATGTTGTATGTGCATTCTGCTGCACTCCGCATAGACAGACAGACAGACAGACAGACAGACAGACAGACAGACAGACAGACAGACAGACAGACAGAATGGACAGCAGCCTCGTCAGGTGGCGGATTCGGTTTGTCCGGTTCTCTGTGGTCATGTTTGCTTCATCCTTCCGAGTGGTTGAGACTGACTAATGGGCTTGTTGACGGTTTATTCTCGGTCTTTGGAAATAGCAAAGGCGAGGCTTTCGTAATGGGAACCGGGTAAAATACTAGACAAAAGCCACCCCTTGCCGACCCTATGGCGATAAACGCCGAACCACAGCAAACGCGTTGATCCCAAGTAGAGTCATGAGTCGTGCAAAATTTGGAGTTTGTTCACCAGCATCGTGACCTTCTTTTTGCCTCCCTTTTTCGTGTCTTGTACGGCAGCAAGTGCGTAACATGCCATGGCCCTGTATGATACGTTAGCACCGCAACTATCAATCATCTGAGGGGAAATCTTGGAGATGGCTGGCTTGCTGCAACGGGGTGGCCGCAGCAAGCCACATCGCAACATGCTGTACTCTATGTCACGGTTGGCAGATGGATTACCTAAGGATTAGCCGCCACAGACAGTGCAGAAGTCCATGTCCCTACGGAGCAAGCGGCTGGCCAAGGGCTAGCGCTGCATTTAGTGCGCCGATAGCCTCCAAGGCCCTGAAATGCAATCAACACAGGCGGCTCGATATGGCACATCGCGCTCAATGCGCCGTCCGAAAGAGGAAGCACTGCACGCCCCCTCCATACCAGGCTGTTGAGGGTGATATTCGAAGGCTTCGATAGACTCGGCCCCCCTTTGCGCCTAATCATGCAATGCAAAGCTGGGCCTGGGGTTCCTTCGCCGTGGATACTTTGCCAGCGGCTGAATTAGCGGCTCGTAGCTTCAATGTTGTTTGCTCTGCCACCTCATCTCGCGGCCATGCGTGTGGCTGCGAGCTAGCAATTTGGGGCAGCACTTATACCTTGTCGCGGCCAGTAATATCACCTGCACCACGGCCTCTTATCGCTGACAGTGCTTCTGCTAGGTAGCACTACCTAGTAAGCTCAAGCATCGTTACCTGTGGCTTTGTGCCTGTGCTCCAACTGGGCGTACATGGACCTTTCTCCGCATTCTCTTGCCTGCAAGGCGTAAAGGCCGGAGATGCACCTCTCGCGATGCCCACGAAAAGACACAAGAAGGAGGAGAAGGAGGAGAAGGAGAAGAAGAGAGAGAGAGTGTGTGAAAAAAGATGGAGATTAATACACGCTTGAGGGAATCGTATGTAGATGCATGCAAAGATAGCATCATCATCTGTGTGCATGTCACGGACCAAAAAGCGCCGAATATCCCATCATGGATCCCATTACAAAATGATCCGCCCGTAGCGCAGCGCACATTGACAGTGCCTTACAGTGTCTTACAGCGCATGCCAGGCCGCAATTCACAGGCGCTAGCCCTCCTTCCAGTGGTGGCCCGCACCGCCCTTTTTTCTACTCAACTCGCGCCCGCAGATCGATCGCTTCGTGTTTATATCCATCTTTCTCTACTTGTTATTCTTCCTTAATTATCTTGAGAGGAACGCTCAGCCAGCCTTCCCGCTTAGACACTCCCCAATTTTTGACTCCTTGTCACACCACCGGTGGCGGCCCAAGCAACAGGTACAGGCAGATCCGTCCCCTACCGCTCAGCGCTGTACGGTGTCCAGGGTGCTGATAGGTACGGACCGCCCTCTATCCGTGCGCGCTACCTGCTAGGTACCTCCTACCTAGTAGTGGCAGCAGTACCTACAGGCACAGGCGCAGGTGCAGGTACATGCACCCTGTGCCTTGGCCGGAAAAGCCAAAAAATAGCCGTCAGCTTCGCTCTGGCAGCCACAGCCCGGCCATCATCCATCTCCTTCATCCCATTTGGGGGACTCCCGTCATCGTGAGGATTGTTCCGTCTTCCTCTGCCTCCTCTGCCGCGATCCATTGCATCCTCTCCTCTTCGCCGTCTCCTCCAAAAAGGCACGCAGGTCAATCGTCCTTGCGGGCTCCCTTGTCGCAATCTGCAATCTGCAGTGCCCGTCTGTTGCAACGCCTGGGGCTGGGGGCTGATATTCGGGTGCAGCGGGAAAATACAAACTCCAGTCCCTTCTGCCGGCCACCGGTTGACGCTTTCGTGCCATTTTGTCGGGGGCCCAAATCAACGTCCACCCATCTTTGCTCGTCCACGCTGGCTGGAGCATCAGTTGCATCCTCTCCAGCCTCTTCCTTGCGGCGTTTGGGCCATCAATACTCCTCCTTTGCCGCTTCCGAGACCCGAATAGCATCTGGCCAAGCTGCGGCCGACTTCCATCACTATCGCTTGCTAGCACCTAGCACCTAGCGCCTGGCACCTGGTCGACGCTTCGAACGGGTACCTTCGTCCAAACCTCCAACTCACTTATCCACATCTTATATAGCCGGCAGCGCAACGGGATGGCGCCTCACCTCCCGTCTGAGAGATGACCTCCAGGACCCCCATCGGCGTCCACCCGCGACCGCCGCAGCGAACCATCAGCAGTTCGACGCTGCCGCCGGCTCAGCGGCCTCCGCCTCAACGCGCTCTGTCGCAGCAGCTGTTTCCCTCGTCGCCCGTGCGCAAGGACTCGGCCCTCAGCGATGCCTCGAGCGACTCCATCGATCATGCCCAAGCCCAAATGCATGGCCAGGGCACAAACCAGGCCCAGAACCATGGCCGCCTCGTAACCACGCCTCGAAGAGCCGGTTCTCGACTGCGCCTCGAGCTGTCCAACATCGACCAAGCCATGCTGTCGGCGACGGCATCAGCGACGGCATCAGCTCCCGTGTCCGCTGCTTCGTCGCCCCAAAGCCATACCACGTCGCGTGTGCCGTCCATGGCCGACGCAGGAGATGTTGGCGACTCGAGTCCAACGCCCACCCGGGCTTCAGCCGCCGACCTCGACCACGACAACCACCCTTTACCCATGCCCAAACGACGCCTGCCGGCATCGCAGACGTACTCAAAACTATCCAAACGATTAGAACCTCCCCCACGGCCCACACCAACCTTCAAGAAAGACGGTCGCCCGAAGCCATGGACTGTTGAGGTTCCCAAAGATGCTCCGCGCTATCCTCCTGCCGAGAAGCGCCCAGGCGCAACGGGCGGCGATCCCTTCAGCCGGGGGCTCTATTCTGGATATGCCGACTTCTTTCCCTGGCACGGCACCAATAATATCAAGCACCACGAGGACGACTGGAGCTACGAGGCGATCCAAAAAGGCACCTGGGACCGTGGCAGCCAGAACGAGACGGGCACCGCGAGAATGACCATATCTCCGGCTATCAAGCAAAAGACTGGGCTGGGTGCTCTATCTACCATATTTATGGGTATTCTTAACCAGCGCAGACATCGTGGCCACGTTACGGCCCCATCGACTTTTAAACCTCCCCCTCGAGTGACCTTGACCGATACAAAGAGAGAAGTATGGATGAGAGATTTGGCCAATCCTGCCATCTCTCTTCGTCGACTTAGCAGGACTATTCCCCACGGTATTCGCGGCCGAACACTCCTCGATCAGTGCCTGAATAAAAGCGTCCCTACCGAAAGAGCCGTTTGGCTAGCTAAATGCGTTGGCGCCAACGAGATTCGTGCCTTCAAAAGAAAGGGAGCTCCAGGTGGTGGTGCTTTTGCCATTGCCGGCGAGTTCAAGTGGGTCAGAGACTGGACAGTCTTTGTGGAACAGTTTATTGAATCCGTCACTTTTTCGTTTGGCGAGCCAGACTGGAAGGCCAAGGTGACTTATGCTATACGACTGGCTACAAGTTTTTACGCCGAGCAACTCCTCGACCGAGACCACTATCTTGACTGGATTACATCTGGCTTGGAGCACAGCTCCCAGTCCAAACTTCCCATGTGGATTCTGATTGCTCAGATCTGCTGGGCCGACATCCTACGCTCGCGAAAGTATGGGCGCCGTCTTGTTTATGCCTTGCTCGACCACCTCAATACTGTAAGTCAGCCACATACTCTTTTTCCCTTTCTTTCTCGATGTTGCTACCACCTCATTTGAAGGGGGGGGGGGGGGGAAAGGCGTGCTGCCGTCCGTCAAGGTGCTTAACTCTGACAACATCTAAAATCACAGATCTATATCCATCCCGACAAAGATATTCTCATTCAACTATCGAGCCAGCTTTCCACCTTGCTAGCCTCACTTGTCAGAGATAAATCAGACAGCTTTATTGACCCAAGCCTTTGGCCAAAGTATAGAGACGCCCTGGAAGCCTTCCTACCGCGAGATGACAAAGCGGGCCGGGACGCATATCATCATATCAATGCTCGAAATAGCCAGGTAGCCATTACTAGCAATACCTCGCCACTGGCTGGGCGGCCACAGTTGGTACGGCTCCTAGACGCAACCCTGCTCAGCCAAATCGGGCGCGATCTGCCCCAGAAATGCTGGGCCACCGGAGACGACAAGACCGATATTGTAAAGACCACCGTGGACTGGGCAACGTCCTTTTATCGCCCTGGGTTAGCAAGGGTCTACATTGCGGCCAACCTGATCAAGGTCTGGGCGTCGCTGAGGATCGATGTCACTGGTGCAATCCTTGAGCACATGGACACTATACCCGCGGAGGACGAGGGCCGGAAGCAGATGACGTACCATCTTGTTGCAGAGCTGGTTCGGACGGGGCAGTTCTCAGTTACTCAGTATATCAAGTGGCTCATGGCTCGCGGCGGCTGCAGCCATCCCTCTGAAGTAGACTCTGACGAGGCTCCCTGCACCACCAGATTGCTAGTCCACCTCCCTGTGCATTACCTAACAGAAGATCAGAAGGATGACCGAAGCAGTCTGCTTAGGCGAGCAGCCAGCTATTCCGTCGTCGAGGAAGCAAACGACATCCACAACGCCCTAATGTGCGTCAGCCACACCCTGGGCTTGCCTTTGCAGGACGACGAGATGTCTGGCAGGAAGCCCATCCCGTTGCGAAAGCTTCTCCCAATGATCATCAACAGCTCAAGGGCTTTGCGATGCGCCGTGGGCGTCCACCTGCGTGAAAGCGTGATGAGGCTCAATAAATCTGTCCAAGCCATGTCGCAGCGCCTATTTTCTGCCATCCGCACCATTCTCGAGGCTACGCAAGACTTTTATGCCCTTTGCGAAATACTCAAATTTTGCTCCAGGACCACCAATATCGAAGTCCTTGCGTCCTGCGTTGACACATTGAACTTGAATCTACAAGTTTTTTACGCTCAAGGCACTGCCGAGCGCTTGTTCACCGTCTTCTTCGAGCGGCTCAAGGCTATTAATCAAGAGCAGGGCCTTGTGTCTCGCCCGCTGCTTGCATCTCTATGCTCTCTCTCCCGGCGGATGCCCAGTCGCCAAGATCTCTCCAAATACCTGGCTCACGAACTTACCCAGAGTGACCGCAACAATGCCACCGACGCCTGCTCACCGATTTCCGATAATAACATGGTCAACCCGCTGTCAGGGGCTGATGGCGAGGTCTCAGAACAGATTGAGAAACTTTTGGCAAGCGGGAATAGCATCGATCACCCGACCATGAATCGCCTGTTTGCATACATCATACGCAGACTTGAACTGGGCTGGACTAAGATGGATGATAACCGGAGGATCCATGCCTCCCTTCTTACTCGCCTCCGTTTATTCGATGCTCAGCACTTTGATAAGCTCATGTCCGACTGGGTTGGGCGAGTTCGGCTGATGAAGAAGCGAGAACGGCTACATGCCGTCTTTCCTCTCTTGATAATTACTGACGCTTTGCCCATTTCTTTCCTCTTTGGGCCTACAAGCTTGATTCAAGCTCCTGCGCCCCAGGGAGACGCTGATTCGGCAGCGGCGGCAGCAGCGCCACTACTGAACCTGATATCTCCCGGAGCAGCAACTTTCCTCCAAGAACTGCTGCACTTGATCCTATCGAAACTACCGGATGACACAGATCTCAGCCAGGAAGAAGTATATCGCTTTGGTATCTACCAACAGTCTATACATTTCAGTCATCACAAAGGCCTGCTTTCGCTCATACGCCACGCCATCATTGAATATGCTGAACTTCGGGCTGGAGATGGCAATGCAAAATTACCGCTTGACGACGCCACATATCGAAGCAATTTACTCGACGCTTTGCAGCTCCTAGTCGTTTTGCACACCGCGGATGTTACAGAAGCTTTTAGCGTAAAAAGTATCCCTCCAGGAGGCTTCCGTCTGGTTCACGACATCATTAGCAATCTCTTCAAGCAATCCGGGACCGAGGATGGGTCGTCGTTGGCTACGCCTTATGACGAAATCTTACGCCAGACAAACGAGCTTACCATGCCATTTTGCCAGATTAAACTCAATATGGATCTTTCTGTTTCGCCACCTCGTCAGACCGAGAGTGAAGACGCTCCCCAGAGCGTTTCGCAATACGATCTATTTGCCCAGGCTATGGACCGTGCAATTGGGGCCCAGAACGTTATGTGGACGACTATGCTTCCATGCCTAAGTAAAGACATTTCTCGCCACTTGCAAAGTCAGGCCCGCCAGCGATTTTTAGCTCTTGTCCCGGCATCGTCGCAATTGAAGGATCCTCTTGGAAACCTTCAGGGCGCTCTCTCAAGCAATAACAATCTATACCTTGCCGAGAAGCTCCTTGGCGTTATCGAGGCCATCGTTGTAGGCCAGCAGCCGCCGGCTACAGCTCAGCTTACCATGGCTCTGGCCAACAAGCTGTCCGATCTCGTTGACTTGGTCGTTGCACCAAGGGCTGCCGAAGATAAGAAAGAGGGGGTGCTAACATCCGTCATTGAGCACTGGATACCGATGCTGCTCAGATTCGTGCTCTTACACAGCGTGTCTCAGGAGCCCTTGAGTGCCTCTGTGATGACCACCTCTGTCCAGGGAAAGCTGCTTATGCCCCCCCATCACGAGGCAAGGGCGCATACTGTTCTGACTCTATGCCGCCTGCTGCTTGGACTCGAGGCGCTCCCAAGCCAGGTGGCTGGAGGCGGGCTGTTGCAGCAAGTGTTTGACGTCGCCGCAGTATTGGCAGATGGCTTGCCAGACGACCTGCGCCTCCACTGCGCCAAGTCTGTCCTTGTCGTGCCTGGTATGATGCCAAGCTTGCACACATCTTCGGACTCTCGCCTATATTACATCTTTAGCATTCCACCACCTACTGCTATGGACGGCATGATGCTCGCGCACAGGGAGAAGGCAGCGGTGCCTCACAGCTCCGCATCCAGAGGCATGGGTGCAATGTACGGTATTCGGCCCTTGCCGCACGAGAGGCTCTCCCCATATGTCATTCGACGATGGGAAATGCTTAGCGAGCCCACTCCAAACGTCGGTGTGAATGATACAAGCTTGAACCTAAGTCTCTTTGAAGCCATCAGGATACACTAAACATGCGAATATGCCCGTATCGTCACAAAAGAAGCTTCTTCAACGTTTCTTCTTATATTATATGCCTTTTTCTTCTCTTTATTTATACATATTATTGGTTTTTTCTATTCTTTTTTTCTTTTTCTTTTTTGGGTTACGTTTTGGTTTGTTCTCTTTCAGCATCATATTCATCTCATCATTACGAAGCACCACTCAGCGCGCATAATGGCTACGTTCATGATCAAGGCTATCACTTGGCAGAAGAAGGAAGATAAAGGGGGGGGGGGGGACTCCAGACCCCCGTGCCTATAGGATTGCACATTTCTCCCAGGGCGTGCCTTTCTTCCCCACTCCGCATGTTGTTTTCTTTTTTTCTCCTTTTTTGTTTTTGTTTTATATCCTATTCTTCATGCGTTGTTTAAAGATGCGAGTATCATACCAGACTTCGGAAAAGAAGAAATACCCATAATTGCTATGACTCATGTGACGGCTGGTAGCGAGAGAAAGGGCATGAAAGAAAAGGAAGAATGGAGGAAATTGGATATCTGCACTGGAGTCTTAACAATGCATATGAGAGGAAGTGGAGGAGATACCTATAAAGGGATACTTGAGAGGAGTTGTGTGTTTATGGAAATTATGGCATTTTTTTGCCTTTTCCTTTTTCTTGTTATTTTTTCTTTTGTGCTTTTCTTCTCCTCTTTCTGCTTTTGTTATTTGCCTATTTTTGTATTTTGCTTTTGTCAGGCTAGTTAGAGAGGGCTTTTCCGATACCTTGTTTTTTTTCTGTCCTCGTTGGAGAAGCCAGAAAAACAGGACTTCATCATATAAAAAGAGGGACAGACAAAAGAGGTTATGGTTAATGGGAGGCTTTTCAAGATTGATGTAGAGGAGGCGCATTTCAAAATCATAGTCAAATCTTTTCACCCGTTTCTTTTTTCTTTTTTCTTTTTACTAGGGGCTGGAGTTTTCTGTTCCTGCATGGCATGGGATATGGGGAGAGGGCTATCGAAGCGGGCTTGACTCCCTTTTTTTCCGTCTTTTTCTTTTCTTTTTATGTTTGGGTACATTTTCTTTTTTTAATTTTTTCCCCCGGTAGGATACTTTTACTCAATTGAATGACTTTCAACTCATATTCTTATACAATTGCTCTACTTTCTTGTGGTATGCAGAGTACCTATGTGTCGTTTGCTATGATAATAACTGAGAGAATAAAACGCCCAGAGAAAAGAAAGGGTCAGAGTCAGTAGGCAACATTACATTCTATTAGATTTGACTCGAATGTAGTAAATCGACTAATATCTGTGAGGAGACAGAGAGACAAGAAAAGGTAAAAAGAAATAAGCAAGTCAATAGGGAAGCGCCATGCAAAAGACATGAAAAGAGACAGATATAGAGAGATAAAGGGAGGGACATATTGGACAGAGAAATAACGGAGGTTCTTAGATATCAACATACGGGCTGGTACCAAAAGAAAGAAAAAGAGAAAAAAAAAAGAGGAAGAAGACAAAGCTAGGTAATCAATCAATCCTCATCGAAAATCTGGTACGTGTTTACCAGGATTGTGTCAATGACCTTGATCTGCCAGCCGGCATCTGTAATGGCGGTGCTGGGATCGGTGCCCATGAGGGTGGGGCCGAGAATGACGGCCAGGTTGTGAGAGTTCATGCGGTTAATGTGAGAGTTGTCGATGACGCGGTGCAGGTGGAGCATGAGGGCGCGGAGGGTGGCGTAGTTGGGGTCGGGCAGGCTGTTGATGATGGCGTGAAGGTTGTCTCGGCGGACGATTTCATCTTCGTGTTCTAGGGAAGAGGTCAGTACAATATTAGAGAAAATAAGGGGGCGACTAGAGAAAAGGTAGGCAGTAGAGGGATCAACGTACTCGCTGCGTTGATAAAGCTGCTGTGGTGCTCTGTAGTGAACAGCGGATCAGGCAGATCCCGGAAGAATTGCTTCAACAGGCCCGTAACACTGTTGACATCGTGGAAAAAGTTCTCCGGGTTTCTAAAGTCAAGTGCTTGTGCTTGAGATTCTGTGCAAGAGAGTATTTAGTTGGCATGAAAACTATCTTGATGGCTCGAGCAAGGATAGACATGTCATGGACATACCTGAATCAAACATGGCTTTTAGTCGGTTAATGTGGTTCATGGAACCGGACTGGCGGTAGATTCCTTCTACGCCCAATCCAAACAAGTCGACAGCTTGGATGCACTGATACACAACCATGGGCACAGCAAGGCCGTCTCGCTCATACAAGCGGCCCAGATGAACGCCAAACACAGGCTTTGAGCCCGCAGAGGTGTTGAGGGCAGGCGGACCGCTGTATGCTGGGGGAGCACTTGGCCCAGGAGGCTGATAGGGAAGTCCCAGCTGAGGAGGTGAAGAGGTTTTCTCAGATGGACCCTCGCTCTCTTGGAAGGCAAGCGCTCCAAGCTGCGGCGGACCGGCGAGCGCAGGACCACCATTGGGGAAGCGAGGGCCTCCTCCTGATGCTGGGCCCACTGAACCGTACTGGGGCTGGGGGCTGACAGGAGAATTCAACATGTTGCCTTGGCTAAAGGCACGGCTGTGGTTCGATTGATGGAATGATTGCGGAGGCTCTGTGCTGATGGGAGTAGAAGTAGCTGCCGGTCCCTGTGAGCCCGGAGCGCCTGCTGAAGGGCCGTTGAAGTTGCTGGGGCCTGTCCTTGAGGCCACCGAGAAAGACTGCGGGCTTTGCTGGTATCCGCCTGGGGGAGGAGCCTGGCTGACAGAAGGCTTCGAAGCATGAGATGCAGGTGGTAAGGATGAGTGGCCCATGGAGCCGGGCTGAGGACCGAGAACCTATAAATTGCAAAAGAAGCAAATAAGAATGAATGTCAGTATGAGAGAGATCCAGATAAGGAGTCGGGGGTTCCAATCAGGTGAGTCGGGGGAGGTGAAAACGCACCGGATTGCGCTCGTATTTGATCTCGCCGGTATTTGGTTGAACCTTGGAGTGGAATCCGGCCACGAACTCATCCAAGTCCTTGTTGATGTTGATGGACGCGACGGCGAATCTCATGCTTCGGGGCTGGTTGGGGCCAATGGAAGTGCTGTTTCTAAACGGACTGATGACAAGACCATTGCCAAGCAGTAGGTTCTCATTATTCAAGGCTATCGAGCGTTTAGCAGTTAGTAATTGGCAGGCAAAACTCTTGACTTGCAAAAGGAAGTCTGTTTGCCCAGTCCTGCTACTTACCAAACTTTTGCATCTGCATCCCAACAGCAGAGTCTATCTCGCGGATAGACTCCTGCAGCGACTTGACAAGCTCAGGTCGAGTTGTATTCTGCAGCTGGGCCTTCTCCGTCTGCAGACTGTTGACAGCGCTGTGATACATCTGATCTGCAGCCTGGACCTTTTTCAGGAGCTCTTCTTCTTGCTGGGCCGCGGACTTGTGTGCCTTGAATGCGCCCAAGACTTTGCCGCCACCAGGTCTGCTCTCGCCTGTCCTGGCGCGATCATATTCTTCAGCTAGAGAATCGTATTTCGCCTTGCTCTTGCGCATTGCGACCTCGAGATCGACGACCTTTTGCTCGGCGGCTAGGCCGGTGGCTTTCCAGGATTTGCGGTTACGCTCAGCAGTGCTAGCCGCCTCGAGCAGCTCCTCGTTCATCTGCAGGAGCGTGGCAGCAAAGTGAATGCCGTTATCGGCCATGCGCTCGTGGATATGGACCATTTCCTCGTACACTTGGGCAAACGAGCCTCCGCGGTGTTCGGGTCGTCGAATGTTATCTTGGGTGGCGCGCGCCAGCTTCTTGAGGGTCTGAGCATTGTCTTCTTCAAGGCCGGCTCGTTTTTTGAGAAAAGTGCCAAACTCCTAAGTAACTACCATCAGCTTCTTATCCGGCTTTCTTGTCTCAGCCACATGGTGTCAGAGCTGCAGCTAACAGCATGGAGTAACGCCGGCTGCCATGTGAAAAAAGGACCCCCGTTTATATATGTATGTAGGACAAATTGGCTCACCTTTGCAGAGGCTATGCTCTGTTTCAAGCGCTGCAGCAGTGAAGGAATACCTTGCTATCGAGGGAAATCAGCATCCACATCAACAACAGTAGCGGCGCCAGCATCGGCATTACGCGTGCGCATTTTCGCTTGGAGAAGGAGAACCTCATACCTCGGACGCCAACACCTCGTCGACCAGCTTCAGCACGGATGGATCAGTTGCAGGCAGAGCGGGAGCCTCGTCTGGCGCAGCCGTGCCATCGCCAGGTCTCGCATCAGTTGAAGTGCCTTCGTGCGCGGCAGCATCGCCGGAAGCTCGCCGGAGCTGCGTAGGGTCGTCTAGTGTAATGGATCCTGAAAAGTCTCGGCGATGCTGCAGAGGCGATGACTGCGGCATCTGAAGTGCCAGCGACGGCACCGGCGAGTCAATGGGCGAGCGAAAGTCGGTCATTGTTATATGCGGTTTTCGCCTCTGAGAGAGGCTTGAGCTGTGGTTTTATTATCGGCAGGGGAGAGGGCTCGAGTGGCAGCAGTCGATGACGAGGCTCTGCTACTTCGTACGGTCCACTATTATTAGATCGCGGGAGCAAAAACAAAGATGCGCCGCAGCGGTTGGCGTTGGAGTGACCTGTCCAGAAGTCGACTACGAGTAAGCCAGATGCAGGAACAATGTGGAATGGAGCGAGCTATGCCGGGCTAGAAGAGCTGCGAATAAGGAAGAGGCAGGGGAGGGGAAGCTCACCAAGCCCTACAAGGGAGGCGCCTTTGGATGGCGAGCAATTTCTCAAGTAGCCCGAAGGATTGCTTTGCGACTGGCAAGCTCCGCAGTGCCTCGGCTGGAGCTTTATATCTCTGTCGCTGTGATTGTGACGTGTCTCGGGGTGGCAATCCGCGCGAAAACTGCGGCAATCAAAGTCGTTCAGTCCAGTGCGAGCATTGGAGGACGCAGCATCAATGTCGTCACCACCAAAATGAAACAAGCAGAAAAGAAGAATGCAGACGCAGCAAGGCGAGGGGCTGGGACCACCTTGTGAGCGCGCGGCAGGTTAACGGGCATAAACCAATCCGGTGGGCGAAGCGGACGGGAGGGATCGCGGGAGAAGCGACGAGACTGCAAGCTTATTGCCGGAATGCAATTGCTGCTACTGCAGGCTGAAGTGGGTGGCTGAGGCTGGCGAGAGGCGAGCATAAAATGGGGATGATGAAGACATGGAGATGGAGATTTGGGGGAGCAGGCTGGGACTAAGAGGCAAAAAGATGGGGGGATGTTTTGGGGGGTTTTGGTGGCATGTTCGGCCCTGTCCAGCGGCTCTTCAGTGGCTGCTTCGGGGGGGTTGGTTCCCGCTAGCAATGGGCGATGCGGCCGGATCGAGTACCTACGGGGTATATAACCCTGCAGTCCGTCATCGCGGGGGTACCTGGCGACTACATATTCCCAATGGCCGCCTCAGCCTCGAGGCCACCTCAGCCTGTCCGCCGAGTCTCGTCGCGTATACGAGCAGTTGGAAATAATCTCATGGTGCACGCAGGTTTCCGGATATCCACTCGAGTGCCTGGTTTCCCATCTTTTTCGTCTTTCTTTTCGAGCTGCTGACGCGTCTCTCTTGCCTCTGCGGGACCAGATTCACACACACTTCGTATTTGTGCATACCATACTATACATACTGCATACTACTATTTACTACTATTTACTACTATTTACTACCACTAATACCTGCCTAGGCATGCAACTTACAGCCAGTGAAGAGAGGTAAATATCAGTAGATTGAAGCTTAAGATTGTTCAAGCTTGCTCTGAAACTGGTGGCTCTTGGCGGTTTTTAGCGGCTCATCTTTAACATGGGCGCAGAAAGATGTCCACCGGTTCAGGCAACTGAAAGTCTTTCGAGATGAAACAAGTCAACACAAGTCAACACAAGTCAACAAACATGGCTTCACAAATAAATATCTACAACTCTTTGGGCTCTTCATCATCAGCCCCAGTCAACGCGTATTAGTTTAGTTCTTAATACTCCCTAGTTCCGTTCGAAGCGTTCAAGCGTTCCTCCAACTACGCCCAGTATTTACATATACTAGTACATGGAAGCGACACTAAGGTCTTGGTTGTGAAGTGCGAGCCACGCATGTTTTAAGCCAATGAGATTGGCTAGTTGAAATCAACCACTAACATGAGGCAAATGTTGTGGTCATCATAGCAGTCTAGACCTGGTACCTTTGGCGGTTTACGTTGTAGCTGTCGCGTTATTTCAACCACTCTTTACGTGTATCTCGTCGTAGAGTTATCATCAGATGTCATTACATCGTTGCAGTTTGATGACATAGCATGGGCGAATATACCAAGAGGTATAGATGATCTCATCCTGATGAGATTCAGCATGCAGGAAAATGGAAAATAGATTATGCTCGTGGCGGACGCATAACCTATGCAATGATAACCAGACAACAGGTCTCTTAATGGTGTAGTACATCAAGGCATGATAGCCTGGACCATAATGCTAACGAAGCCCACATATATCCTCATAGCAACTGTCCAGCTTTATTTCATCGACTTTTCATCGATCCATTAGTCAGTCCGTCACTATCAGCCAATAAGCCAATCATCGAGTTGAAGAGCTATTCCATGTCTGGACCACAAAAAAAAGAAGCTTTGTATCTTTTTTTATGAGAATGAGCCTAGGTATTTCCGACTAGGTAGTATAAAGCCCTGCCGGTTGTCGCTATTTGACACCATCGTTTCATGCCGTCGTCAAAAAGAGGCCGTAATGTCCAGATGGAACACACCCAAAGAAAATGACCCGTACCCGTTCACGCCAATGAGAACCACTGCCAACTTCCTTTTCTCTCCCCTTCCCTTCCAGCATTCGACATTTATCGCAGGCGTCTGGCCTCACGCTCGGACTCGAGGAGGCAGAGGATGTCGTCCTCACGGACTAAATAGCACCAGATCAGTTAGCCCAACATGTCGACGGTCAGCAGTTTTGTTGATGCATTTGAGCTCAAACATACCGGGACCCTTGACGTTTCGGATGATGGAACGGGTCTGGTCGTCCATGAACTCGACACGGACCTGGGTGACACCACCACGAGAGCCTGTAGAGGGCTTCTTGTTAGCAATTTCCGTTATTTGATGGTGCTCCATGAACCCCCTCTCAGCCAGTTTTGCGCGTCGACGCTGCGGTTTCGGTTGTCTAGTTCGATCCATGCCTCCCTACCCTTTTTCCCTCTCCCAATTTCTTTTCCAGATTATAGCAGTTAAAAAAAAAACTTTTTCCTCCTCTTCATCATCCACCCAATCCCAACAGCAGGGGCGACAACAGATCGTAGCAGCAGTGACGACGGCAGACTGGCGACAGAGAGTCCACGAGAGCGACAGCAACGAGTCTCATCATACCGGTACGGCCGAGCACTCGGGTCACCTTGACGAGCTTGACGGGAGCCTTGGAGCTAGATTCCATCTTGATTGATGTGTGTCTTTGTGGTGAAGGAGAAGAACGAGAGCGATGCGAATCGTAGGAGTCCGTGTGGGTAGCAGAAAAGGCGTATTTTTTCTCCTTCGGCTGTAATTTTGTGCTATTCGGCAGGGTTTTTTTTCCTCTCCAATGACCCAGTTCGGTGCGCCGCGCATGTGGGGTTATCGCGATAAGATCACGTGCGATAACCAAAGCCCCAAAGCCGCCGTCTTCATCGCACGTCAAGGCTTATGTAATTGCAATTGACGGAGAAAATGGATTTGCCGCCTTCCGGATCTACAGAGCCAACCTTTTCGTTGGTGTTTGTCAAATCAAATCCGTGTGCCAAAGGTTGTGTCGACAAGGGTCCAGGAGATCTCCACTTCACCTCCAAATACATACAGTACGCCTACGGAGTACTAGCCTACTATACAGCTTTGATGGGTAGAGATGTATTAATAGAGGGTTTCTCAACTGAGACCGAGGTTGAAACAGAGGCTTCAAAAAGAAAATATCATACGACAAAGTCACCAGCTTCATCTACGCCCGAGGAGAGCTTTGTCTCATCCATCGCTTCGCCGCCTCATATACGGACGAAAAGGTCCGCTCAGCCTCAACAATAACGTCCAGCCACACAGAATGACATTTTGTCTCAGACACATTTCCAAAAGAGCAACTTGTGCCGGCTTACAAAGGATGTATATATCCTGATGTGCGGTTACTCAAACGGCTTATTTCGGAGTTACGAGTTGCAACAAGCGAGAGAAGGGGGTATTCCTTCGTGAGACCACCATCTCAGTCGAAAACCAGGACGCGAAACCCTCGAGGCGGAAAGATGGCCGAGAAGACACGCAAACGTATCATGTGGCTGCCTTTGAAGCCGGCCCAATGAAGAGGGGTAAAGGGCTGAACTATAGCATAAACCGGCCGGGTTTTCAGCTAACAGGGTCATCAACAATGGTTGCTTTTTTTCTTTTGCTTCATTCCCCCGAGGCAGCTTTTGTCTACGCCCACTCCATCATCATCACCGAAAACTTTTAATACGCCAAAATGGCCGGGCGTAGATTTGGTGTAAGTACCGGTACTTGGTCCTTCATGGATGGCCCTTTTCATTTCTTTTTCTCAGACTATTGATACTTGGTATGAGACGACACATGCTCCACGCGAGCAAAGAGGAAGAGATCGCCTTGCTTCTCAGTTGGCAGAGTATCTTGTCCTACGGATAGCGTATGTGTAACATGTAAATGCAGTGTTCGTTGCGTCTATCAAACTCCATGGGCGAGGGAAACGAGAGTAAACGGAATACAAATTTCCAAGTTACATTCTCCTACGGAGTACTTCCAAGGCCTTTTCTTTCTTTCTTTTCTTGTGCCGATGTGCCTGTTTGAAGGCCAGAATAAGGAAAATGGAAAGTAAGGCTTTTGATATCCTTTCTGGCTACCGATTGCTACACTTGGTAACTAATCAATAGTCTAGTATCTCGCATTAAATACAGTGAGAAAGGCATTGCTGAGACTATAGCGATGGAGCTATTTGGGTTATCGTCATCTATTGTTGGCCAATCTCTACATATAAGCGTCATCACACACAGGTAAAGACCATTCTCATCTACTACATGTTTGGAGCATTGCCACAACCATGCCAAATCTGCCACAAGAAGACTCAGATACTTAAAATAACCTACAACAAATCACAAAACATAGCCCATCCTGTGTCGCCACAATAAACCGACCAGGCATGATGTCTTCCCGACCAAGGTGCAGTAACATAATCCTCAATATGAATTACCAAGTGACAGAAATAGCCTACTACGCCAAGGTAGCCAAGCCGTCTCATCGCGAGTTCCCCAGACAGTCAAATCTCTATCCCAGATCTTTGTGGGTAGCCATCCTTAGCGTCACACCCTCCCAAACTCGGAACGCCATAGAGTGACACTACAGCTATGTAGTGCTTCATGCAAAGCGCAGCATTCGAGTTAGTGGTGTATACCTACCAATATGGCATTCATCACCGAAAATAAGCCAGGGAGGCTTTCCGGTCGTGCAAACAAGGCACGGGGCTTTTAAAACTCGGCTCTCGCCCACCACCGCATCAAGGGGAGACGAATTTCGGATGAGTGGTGGGTGGTGGGTGGTAGGGCAAATATCCCAACTGAATATCCTAGCTGAACGAGATCTATAGGCCGACTGATGTCTTGCCCGCCGGGAAAGCTGAGGCAAGGGTCAACCCGGATCTACAGCCTTGTTATCCCAAGATCCTGGAAGAATTTGGCCGAGCCCACCCGGCAGCTACTACGATGCTTTGAAAGGGACAGCTAATACTAGCATTGAGTGATGCACATGAAGGCCATTTCACCGTAGCATTGATGCTACGGTCAAATGAGACACAGTTGTCACATTACGTTAATCTCTGTCTATAGCAGCAAGCGTAAGTCAAGCTAGTCCAAGGCAGCCAGACTGTCCGGCAGGTTGAGTCTCTGTCGCTATGCGTCTCTCTGTCTCTACTCACTCCCCCTTAATGCTTGACTATCTCTCTCAACTCTACGAAATCAACCCATATTGGTCACAAGGATACAATCACTAAGCCTTTTCGATTTTTGATATGCATTATTTATATTAATCTTGACAACAGTTAAACACAGCTATGTAATACTATCTACTAATTGCAAATGCAATGCGTGTGACACAACAATCTTTGAATCCACCCCGGCTTCGGCCTTGACCATGGCCTAGCAATAATGACCCAAATAAAAAAAATCAACCATAACTTTTTAATTCATACCCTTTTGCTTTTCAGGGTGCACACGCCCTTTTAGCTGGTATCATAACAATCATCCGTTGAAGTGCAGCAGCGAGGCCCTTGAGCTCGCGTCGGTAAACACGATATTAAAAAGAGACAAAAGTTCAACACGTGAAAATGTGAGAGGCGAATAGTAGATGTAATGAAATGCAATCCTACCCGCTTGCTCGCTTGCTTCATTTTTCTTTTCTTTTTTCCTTTTTCTTCATTTTCTTTTTGCGTCTGTTGTTAGAGGACGGTTTCTGTCACTCCTTCAACGAGCCAAAATGCCCATAAAATGCTGATAGGGGTACGAGATAGGGGAATCGCACAGTATTAATAATTATAAAGAAGGTAAAGAAGGGGGAGATAGGAAAGAAGGCGTTCCTCAATTACACCATTTTGTAATTGAGCAGCGAGCAGCGTGAGATATAGAAGGGAAGTAAATAAACAGGATTATACGTGGCTAATATTGAAAAATAAGCGTACTCGCATTAAAAAAAAGAAAAATAAGGATCGTGTCGACAATCGAATCGGATAAACGAGAAGAGGAAAAGTGGTGATTAAACGAGATACTCAAGGGGCGAGAGAAGAGAAAAATGAAGCAAGGCTACAAGAGACATAAAGTCTCGGCCAGAGAAGAGAATGGATAAAGAGAATGCAGAAGGTGACAGTCGTCCAGGGTATTATGTCTGTAAACATTAAGGTTGTCGTTACTCGGACGAGTAAGTCCGTGATAATTCTGCCAGCAGCTCCAAAGCCGAAAGAATGAGGACTTTGTAATGCTACTTATCGCCGCGGCGGGCCCTAAAGGCCCTATCTTCGGGCCATTTTGGAATTGAAACACGGCGGCAGGCCTGCTTAGGGTTCTGCCTTTCAAGCTCTCTGCACCGTACCTCAATGGCGAGTACCCATCGGGCCTGTACGCGGCGCTGGCGAGCTGCGAAGACTTCATTGAAATGAGTCTCCTCCCGAAGAAACTCGGCTTCCATCTTGTCAAGCACTTCCTGCCTCTTATCCATGAAAGTCTCGAGCTCGTTTTCTTGTTTGATGCGGTAGTCTTCTTGCTGCCTGGCCTGTCGCTCCCTCATGACATTGATCTTGCCTGAGCGGATCTGGTCCATGGTGTCTCGTATATGGTAGTGGTGGCCAAGCTCTCGGAGGTCTTTCTCGGTAACAGTCCTGGCCGGCGCCTGCGAGTTCGGGTTTCTTCCAAGGCCGTTGCAGTAGCCTTCCATGTGTTTGATACGAAAGCCAATGCTTTCTTCATATTGGTTCAGTTGCTCTTGAAGCTCCATCTCAGCCTTAAGGTGACGGACTTCCATTTGAGTCAACGTCTTCTCGTGTCTCTCTTGGATTGCTTCCTCTTGTAGTTCGTACTTTTCCTCCAAGGTAGCCTCTTGCATCAGGTGGCGCGTCTGCAGAGCATCTTTGGTTCGAAACTTGTACTCTATAAAACGATGCAGCTCTTTCTGCTGCTCCTGTCCGAGCTGTTGAATAGACAGGTTAGGGCGTAGCTTCAGTTCATTAATAGAAGACAGAGTTGCTGCGATCCGCCGCCGTTGCATTTCATCTTCAAAACTGCAAAGGTTGGGACATCCGGTTATGGGATCCCAAATACCCATACACACTGAACAGAATTGGGCCTTGCACAGGCAAGTCATGAGTTGGGATGTCTCGCTCGCCCCAACCAGACTTCTACACTCGTAGCATCGCCTCCAGATCTCCTTGTCATTCTGCTGCTGCTGCTTTTTCTTGAGCAAAACCAGCTCCCAGTCCAGAGGGCAATTTTCGCCGAGGCCATGGGCAGTGTCTTTGCATATGGCACACATACGGCCATGACATTTGACGCACGTGAGATCAAGTGGGTGCCTGGGATCGTACCCATCTTGGGGCGGAATAAAGTGGCCACAGGCTGGGTCTGGACAAAACATTTGCTCGTCAGCCGGGGTATTGAGCTTGACAACGGCCAGCAAAAAGGTATCCTGGTCATCTTGGTTCAGAATTGCCCTGATCAGTGAAGGCGTAAGTGGCGAGGAGCAGCAGCTTGGTGGCATGAGGGATTCATCCTCGACGGCTTGCTTGATCATATTTTTCACGCAATCAATGCAGTGGATGTGACCACACTTGAGCTTGTGAAGGGCATTGGATTTTTCGGCAAAGCTCTCTCGACAGGTAGCACACAGACTGTATGAAATAATACACGTAAGACGTCAGCTAATACATCCACATATATATGGGATAATAGGAATATGGGAAATGGAGGAGAGTAGTGTAGTCAATTTGCGCAAATTAAAAAAAGAAAGGGGGGAGGGAGAGGGAGAGGGAGAGAAAAGACCTACATCTTGACTTCAACAACAGGCGGTGGTGACGGCGCCGGTTGGATAACCTTCTTCTTCTTCCTGCCAAATAAACGTTCTTTGATGGCTTGAAAACTACTCTTCTTAGAACTTGCGCTGGCCATGCTCTTGGGAGAGGGTATGAACACCCTTTGGGGAGAGAAGTTATAGATTGGGAGTGGATCTTTGGCTGGTTTATCGCCATTGCTACCAGAATCGATGGTAGAGATATAGCGTTCATAGTGGGCAAAAGTTAGGCTCGATGTCGAACTTCTCCTTTCTCCTCCTTCGGAATCAAATAGAGGGCTTGGGGGGCAAATGGCAGAAGATTGAGTCGATACACCGGTTCCATTTGTCTTGTTGGTTATATTAGAAAAAGAACGGTCCTGTGGAGTTCCAATCGAAGAGTCCGACCAGCTGCTGGTGGGGGGGCATTGGCTGGCCAAAGATGGCAGAGTAGCGGTGATGCCAACGGCGCTCGCTCTTTCCAAGAGCTCTTCGTCAGCCTGCGCTTCGGACTGGCCCAAAGGTAACTGTAACACCTCTTTGAAGTACTCTGTGTCGTTTAGCTCGATGACAGTGACGGACTCGGTCTTTTGTCCTGCTGGAAGGTCAGGAGCCGGTGCGGTGGGCGATACGGGGACAGACAACGGGTCCATAATGGCACCCGATGTTGTCTGTGGAGTGGGGACGAAGACGTGCTATGGGATGATGGAGATCAAAAAAAAAAAAACAGATTCAAAGCCGGCTGATGAATAGCTCGAGAGGAGGATGAATGATTATGAAGGGAAAGGAAAAGAGAAAGAAGATATGTTGGTGGACGAGAGAAATGTGAAGAGAGCCGGGGTATAATAAAGAGAAAAAAAAAAGCAGGTGCTTTTGATACAGGGGTCTTTCTTCAGGACACGGACAATGGGGCCTGGGCCCAGTTATGCATATATACATGTACATACATACGCTCAGAGGGTATGTGAGTACCTCCCAGCTAATGTACAATGACCTACTGCCTTGCAGGGAGTGTACCAGTACGGTCAGTAGTGGTCGTGTTCTCGCTGTCCAACAAAGAACTGCATATTAGTAGCACGTATACTGTCAGGTAGGCAAATAGCACGGATGGGCATCATGTACTCGTACTACTCGCACACGCCCAGCGTCTATCCTGGCAGTTCGCCGACCTACTCTGACCTTCTGTGCGAGTGGTAGGCAGGCGAGGCCGTATGAATCCGTACACGCACATACGGCCATGGCTGATGGCTGTTGGTCCCTACCTTGTCCCCGGTAGCAGCAGCCCAGAAGTGTCTGTACGAGGGCGAGATGGGATGGGGGGATAGTCCCGGGCCGCCAGAGATTGATGGATGGGGGTGGGTATTGGAGCTGTCGAGAGACAGGCGACTTAGATGCGGTCCTGGTTCCCGATTGGGTAGTGGGGACTGGACAAATCTTGGGTGGGCTCGGGAGTGAGATTGGAGAGGGCAGGGATTGAGAGCCCTGTGATGCAATTGCCAGCTGTCAGTGGGCACGCTTGACTCTTGAACTGGAGCTTGGTGGAGGACTTTGGGGGATGCCAGCGGGTTTCCTGGCGGCAGAATAGGACCAAGGCACGCAGAGCACCGTGCTGATGTATGCGACTGTTTCCGCCATCGGAAACGAAGCCCACAATAGAGGCTTACCTCCACTTTTAGCTGATAATTTTTTGTGAAGATATGTTGGCCTGCCTACTACTAAGCGATACTATCCGTCAAGACGATGGGGAATGGCGCCGATCTTGGAGGTACCCTGTAGAGATATCCTTGCCATCAGATCCGGATTCTCTTTTCACAAAGACTTGGAGATTATAGCGGTTGGTTGGAGAAGACGAAGAAAACGAGGTCAAGTAATGGTATTTACTTAACCTAGTCCACAACTTAATTTTAGAAGCGAAAGTTTCTTGCCCAAATGCCCCTGCCAAATCAGCAGCACACAGGCAAAATCTAAGACATGTCTCGGGCTTTCAGGAGGGCAGGATAGTAGCACAAGAGCAAAAGTAAGTTTACAAGGGAAATGAGACGTGAATCGGTGTAAGAAGGGATGAGAAAAGAAAAAAAAAAAAAACGGTAAATGGAAAGGAAAAGAAAAGACAAGAAAGAAAGAAAAGACATCTGAGGGATTCGAAAAAAGGGGTGGCAATACAAGGCAGAAGGATGGCATCGGACGAGGGTGGAAAGGTTGGAGAAGCAGAGACTACTAATGTACAAGTATGTAATGAAAGGTAGTAAATACTGGTAGGCTTAGAATGTCATGGCCAACAGCAGAATGGCAAGTAAATAGTAGAGGGGGCAAAGTATTGTTATTTGTCTCGACTGATAACTTTTGCTCCATTATTTCGCTCGATTCCCCTTGATTCCACCTTGTTTTCTTTACTGTTGAATGGCCAGACACACGCACACGCACACACACACACACACACACACACAAGCAGGATAGGATCGGGGACAAGGCATCGCCACCATCTCCGGCCTGTTCATCCGACTGAGTTGGGTCTCGAGCTGGACCCTGTGCTGTAGCTGATGCTTGTCGACGCTGATCTCCATCTCCAAATAGGCGCTACTAGCGCCTGTGATTGTTTGTGATTTCTGAGTTATTGGCCGATGAGATGGTTGTTGGCGCGAGCGCCAGGGAGGGGCGTGAGCCCGGGAATCCTACAATCCAAGTGTATCGTACATACAGACAGATATTAGTCCATAGGTCCATATACAGCCAAGTGTGGTTGATGCGCAATGAGGGCAGAGTAAAAATAAACACAAGATTAAATTCGTGCAGCCACCCTCAAGCAAATGGCGCCGCCACCGATGCTTGCTTGACCACTCCAGAGGCCTGGAGACCCGTCGAATCGAATCAAGCCTAAGCCCTTTTGCTTTTGGTGGCGCCGTACCACTGAGATCGAGGCTCCAGCCGATGATATCGCCAGTAGTATTGCTTCAAACCTAGTCCTACCACCTACCTCGGTATACTGCAACTAGGTAGGTAATTTCTATAGCAGATCCTGAGTGGTTGTACATACATAGTGTGGTGGTGGTGTGTACACGATTTTTGATGCGTGTGCTGGCGAGTACAAAGCCGAGCACAGCCAATGCGGTAGCACCCCGTAGCATTTTGGCGCAAAGGGCGCCTTGGCGGGCCCCAATAGGTACCTAACGGCGATAGTGGTGCCATGTACCTGTCACGTCAGTGTAAGGCCTGCCTGCCTGCCTTTTGCCCTCAGAGTCGCGACTGCCTCTGGCACAAAATCATATAGGCAGGTGTTTATTTCGCAGCTGGATTTCAATTCCGCTCTGCTCCCACAACACCACGATTAGGCTCGTTGATTTGGAATCGTATCTCATCCCCGCCATCGATGCCATGCCGCAGCTGCTTACGGAGCGCTCTGCTCCGGATCAATCTGCCTTCGCAAGCTCAGTAGCCCGGCTACTCGGTTCTCCCTTCATCTCTCCCTCGCGCTCCACCACTCCTGTTTGCTCCATCCGTTATGGCGTCCCAACTTGACCCAGGCCCTTCAACCAGCCACCCACTCTGGACGCCTCTTGGACCCTCTCGGCTGCTCCAGGCTGCTCTCCGGCTGGCTGGATGAATTGTGCGGGTGGCTCTTGTCCCTCATGATCCATTCAATACCGTCTCACAAAGCTCAGTTGTGGATGACAGGCGCGAGTACATACGATCAAAGGCTAATATCCTCCCTGGCGTGGCAAGGCATCCGTCCCGGTGGCTACATCTCCCATGTCCAGCCGGGGCCATCACGGCAGATTCCGGCCAACCATTGGCGGCTCTTTTCTTTTCTCTTGAACTTTGATTTTTCAAGGGCGTGTACAGCACGGGGGACCTCGCTTGGAGGCAACACTGCTTCTGCGACTGCTACTGCTACTGCTACTGCTAGTATCTGGTTGGACTGTGCAGACTTGAGACACCTTTGTCGACTCATCGTATGCATTGGCCGCTACGCCAACGCCAACGCCGCCATCAGCGATGTCGAGCCGACCCCCTGCCGTCCAAATCTGGCCTGTGGCTTTGAGCACGTCCGTCAGATCGCCTATCGCCGCAGTTCGTCGCTACTCTCCATGCTTGACGAGGCGGATCGTCAAACAGCCTGTATGCAAGTCAAACGTCGTTATTGGCGTCGCCCTCTTGCCCTGCATGCCACTCGTCACATTTGCTCTCAATCCCTCGCTCCAAAGAGGCCCTCCCCCATTGAAATTGCTTGGAGAAGCCAATATGTGAGGACACGATCACCTGGGCCATTGGGGCTATACGACTCACCCGGCAGCTCCCCAAGAAAACAACCTCCTAAAAGGACACGAAATTGCTATGAATTTTGGGGCCTCTGGATGCACAGCAGCCCAAATCTAATAATATCATCCACCACTTTGGGTGCCATCATCTAAGCAGATGGCCGCCGCAGCCGCTAAAACACTTACAAGGGAAGACAAGCTAGCGGTGATAGGACCACAGATCCATCACGCGCCCGGGCTTTACAGACGTCAAAATAAAAGCAAGCCGCTTGTTGACGCTTATGGCTTCGGGCTAGTCAAGGCCATCGATCCCAGGCTTCAAGCACCTAGTATTAGTGGCGCTACGTTGCGAAGAATCTGCGGACGTACACACATTACACATCTCTCTCTCTCCAGCCGCTGTACGATAACCGTACATACTCGTACGAGTGCTCGGCCAATATTCCGTCCTTGCTCGTCCTACCGCCCACAGGCCGCCCTATCCGTCTTTTGTACAGCAAACTACAAGGTGCCAACCCCGTATTACGGAGCGCGTGTGGAGTCGGTTGGTCTTGCTAGAAGAGCAAGCCTTTTATCATTCACCGCACCGTAACCGACAAAGCAGGCAATAGAGGAAAGCCGGGAAAAAAAAACATAGGCCAAAAAAGCAAAATCAAACATTGCTGCAAGCGAGTACAAGTCTATGCATATGCATGGAGAAAACCAATCGCCCGCACGATGGTTCATGTGTTTGTGATACACGGCAGCAAGATGCCCGAAAGATGAACGCAGCTTGACCTCACTCCCACCGCCCCAACTGCAAGCTGGTCACTACGCCGCGGACTAGCGGTGCGGGATCTAATTTACCATCCGCGCCAAAAGCCTCTTGAGTAGCGCTACTTCCAGCAGTACTTGCGCAGGCCAAGATCGTCCGGCAGTCTGTGATCAACCGATGGCGGACGGGTGAGCACTCAGACCAGCCCCCCCTACGAGAGCAACCCAGCCAACAAGCCAACCAGTAGCCGCATAGAGCTAGGTGTTGGTAGCTTTTGGCCCTGCCAGCTTACATACTTCATACCTGTTGAGATAAACAGCTCTCTGGCCACCTAGCATTAGGCCATCGACGCCGCTAAACAAATCCTCCTAGTGACTTGCTTGTCTCTGATTTCGCCTTATTGGAGCCTGAACTAGTCTGAATTAGCAGACACACATTTCTTCTTTTCCGCAGACAGAAAAGCTGAAAAAGATGGATAGGGCTAGGGTCTTTCCGGTGGGCTTCATCGACAGATCAGTGGGGGGTTTGGTGTTGTCGCGCCCTTGCCGGCTGAATGCTTCGCGCTGGACGAAGTAGCTTATTTATGGTGTATGTGCCTTGGAGAATAGAAAAGAACAAGGGCGAGATCAACACGATGGAAAGGGGAAAGAGGCGCGCCCATCAAGTCCAACGCCAGGGGTTTCCTAATGGGCTTCTCCTGGCTTATCACAGCCGCTGTCGCTTTGAGCGGTGAATAGGATTTTGAGTCAGTGGCGAGTCTACTCAAGGTCACAGAGCACTCGGATTTTCATGGCGCGCATGCTCCAAATCTTTTCCAGCCACAAAATCATCTGCTTATCAATGCCACTTTGTTTGGTGTTACCAGGAGCCCGGATTACTCTGACGCCTGGACGTGAACATGCGAGATATGTCTTAGACTTAGCCGCAAGGAGAGGCATCTAAGCGCCAGCTTTGTTGGTTGATTGTCAAGTCTCCTGGACATCATACGATCCATTCTAATGGCCTGCTGTGAAGCAGAGCCTTGTCGTCACTCACCGAAGCAAAACGAAATTTGTGACGCCATCACTGGTGATTTCGAGCTACGAGAATGAAAATACGCCGAGACATGGACCTCTAGTGTCATTTGATTCCCGGTTTGCATCACCGAAAAGCGTTCAGCTGAAATCAGAGCACCCCGAGACAGGCCGGTTGAACTCAACAACCTGGTTGGACTCAGCAGACCGGTTCAGCCTGGGGCTGACCGGAGCCTCCAGGCTCACTGCCTTGCTTGCTTGAAGCTACCCGAAGGCGTGCCAACTTGTGGCCAAACTACTGGCTGAAGTACAGAAGCAACCCAAGAAATTATTGAAAGTATACTCAACTTGTGGTGGTGAAACAAGCCAATTCATTTTGTTTGCGGAATATCACTCGCAACGCTACCTAAGTACGTGTAAAGCTACAACATGGTTGTAGATGCCTCTAAATGGCAGAGCTACAATATCAAGAAGCGGTAATGAAGAAGCAGTACCCTTCAGCAAAAATATTGCAGCTTGGGCCTACTAAAACTCAAAGATGTAAGAGGTGAGGGTAGAAAAAAATGGGTTGCGGTCTCTCTGCTCTAATTTCCGCATATGAGTTTCAATGAGTTACTGCTCTCTTCACTGTTTTATGTTTTCCATTTTTTTTCCCCCTTGGAAAAGTATGCCTGATGTTTCAACCACAGGAGTACGATGACAGATGTCAGAGCAGCCAATAACTTTCCAGCACTTTTCAGTAACAATAAGCTCTTTCAATTGATGGTATCAACAGGTCGACCCGACTGTTTCCTGAATCTAGAACCATCCACCAGCGATTAAGTGAGGAAAAAGCTAATGTCCACCACTGTTTCAATTCACCAGCGCAATTGATGAAGACCAAATTAGCCGCAATGCCTTTGAGCATACTGTTTTCACATTTTATTGTCCAAGTACCCAGGAAGATGGATGAAACAAGAAAGCAGTTGCTGGGGCACAACAGGATTTGCTGCTCTAGTCAAATAGGCAATGACTATGTTGACAAGATGGGCTCTTGGAAAAAATACGTCTTTGGCGCCTGTCAAAGTATTGACTTGAAAATGATGTCAACATCTCCAGTCAGAAATCGCCTTTCCGGAAACTTTGAAAGAAAAGATAAAAGAGCCAAAGGCTGAAGATATATTATGCAAATCTTATTCTGCCAATGCAAGTCCATTTGAGATTCCAGTTAGCTTCTGATTGTGACCTATCCTCTCCATCCTCTTCTCGAGTGTAATTGGATCGTTAGTCTGTTATGTTCAAAACTGGATCCAAGAAGATTTACAAACATAGCTTTTGATGGCTATACCGGTCTACCTCTGCTAAATTCACAATTCTATCGGGCCACTATCCTTACTGTGTTCTCGTTACAATTCTTCTCATAGGCTTTATTAGCCTTCCATTTTTACACCACATATCATTCTGCAACAAAGTTTTCTGTTAAGACCGGCCCAGATAGCTTCGAATCAATAAGCAATCTCGTTTAGTGAAGAATTGATATCAAGGCGCAAATTGACTCGGGATGGAGATGAAAGGGAAGACCACGTTGGAGCACGTATCACACAACATACAAGTCAATCGTCGGATGGCAAATCCGCCTTATCCTAAGTGATCTATACTTGGCGACGGCATCTGTCGATAACGATTCAAAGACGTTGCACAGCGGAGAATTCCACATACGAGAAATCTATACAGTTAATTGGAATGATGACCTACGACTCAGTGTTTCCTACGGCATTATTTATGCTCCAACTTTTTTTTTTTTTTTTTTTTTGCGAAATGAAGAGCTACCTTTTCAAGGCTTCGTCAGGCCAACTTCTAATTCTAATACAAGGGACCTAGAATAATGAGATCCTAATGCGATATTAGGGGAGACGTTTCTTCGATTCGCGTTTGAGTTTTCAAACGATCCGGCACAAGTTATTCCCCCTCGAGATAGATAGGCGCCTTTTGTCCGCAAGTCAGCACGCGGTTTTATTCATTAAAGATGACGACCTCAACAAATCTTGCCAGACAGTACAATGAGGAACCAACAAAGAATATCAAAATGTTTACAAAGAGAAAAGTGACGCAGGCTGCCAAGCAGGAGAGCATATGCGACTCTGTCGAGGTGAGGCCGCTAGAAACCTGTTTCGCTACTTTGTTTCACCAAGGTCTACCAAAAAGGCTATTTACCTTTTGCTGAGCTTCTTTGCTTTCTACTACTTCCTGCTTCTTTCACCACTACTCACATAACGAGAAAAGTTTTACATCTTTTGGGATCAAGGGGCTTGAAGAAGGCAATCGGAGGGACTCGATCTCGCCGCGGTGATGGCAACCATTCAAAAGAGCCTCCATCCATCCAGAAGTCAAGTGTCATTACCAAAGGCGCCAGTTAGTACATTCAATGCAATAAGCGTCAGCAGGAGCAGCAAAGGATTGGGGGCCTTCGCATACGTACACGAATGTCGATATCTTGCAGAGTTCTTCGCAAATCTCAAAAGTCCCACAGTGTTTCAGGTCTAGCACGCTGAAATAATCTGATTTCAGGTGGGTGACTTGACGATGTCGGTAGCTTCTTGCTCCATGAATGCCTGTTGACCTTTCCGCCAATGCAGCCGCCTATCAGTTACTCAGGGAAGCAGAGAATAATCTCTCAAATGGAATGGAGCAATTCGTTCAGACAAAATAAATTAATACTAGGGCACTATGTGATATGGTGGAGTAAACTAAGACAAGTCAAGACGTTGTACGGGTATATGTAGGTAAATACGACCATGGCCGGGATGATATCCGTCCCAAAGCATGATCGCACTTAATCTTCGAAAATCAAATACAACATATAGATGCGTAAGAATCCATCAAAAACGCCTCAAAGAAAGGCATCACCCATTCTTTTCGCTAACCCTTTTTTTTTTCAAGAGACAAAAGAAACAAAGAAGAAGAAGAGTAAAGAAGGGGGGAAAGGAAGGAAGAAGAAATAAGCTTCTTCCTCTCACTTATACAGTGTTGCCACGCCAGTCATCAGCCGTCCTCTCAGCAATCTGCTGCTGTCTTCGTCGTGCTTCGCCGGCCAGTTCTCTCATTAAAGGCTCGATAATTCCAAGGCCACTTACATCGTCGCTTCTGCTCATCGTGTCACTCCATTCGCTGTCATCAGACATCAATTTCTCTCCAATAAGCCCTGCCGCAATCCGGCCTCGAGACAAGCTAGCTCTCCTTGCCGCCGCCTTGTTGCGTTTGGTGCTGCGAGCTTTGCGCTCTGCGCCTGCTCCGCTAACCTCATCGTCTGAAGCCCAGCCTCGACCCTCCACATCTGCAAAGTTATTGTTGTTGAATGATGGATTGATAGTCTTGATGTTACGGCTCATATCATCCAATACGGGCACCAAAGCCCGCAGCCAGACGTCACCATTGCGCTCCAGGCGGCGTATGCGACGCTCCACGTCTCGGAGGCGATTCTCGTGGTAAGATTCGTAGAGTCGTAAGATTTGCTTGTCCATCATATTACGCTTATGTTCCAGATACAATTCGCTGTCAATGTCGCGAGAAAGCCGCATCTGGCTTGGTGAAGAGACAGTTGGCGTGGAGACAGGAGTCTCTTCGGGCAATCCCGGTGAGGGCTGAAGATCGACGACGACGACAATAGGGCAGAGCGTGTTGATGGGAGATGCCTTTTGAGGGCCTTTCCCTTCCTCTTGCTCGTCTGCATTGGCGCTCTCTACCTCTTCGCCTTTCTGCTTATTCTCAGATTGCTGTCGTTGCTGTTGTTCCTTTAGCAACTTTGCATTTCGTACGGCTTCCATATCTCTCCTCTTCTTGTCTCGAACTTTATCGCGACGGCTCTGTATTGAGCCCGCTGTTGAGGGACGAGAAGGTGTCTCCTTGCTAACTGATAACATTGACTGAGCAGACACGGCCTTTCGAACGGCACGCTTGCTGCCCACTGAAGAGCCATCTGTGGATTCTTCAGTGATGGGAGAAGGAAATCCAATGCCCGGCTTGTACTGCTGCTTGTTTCTAGCCTCGCTCTTTGGAGGAGGGGATGGTAGTGGTTTTTTATTATATCCATCGCGAAGGTTCTCTTCATCTTTGATTAAACTCAGCAGGCCGTCAATGGATGCCGAATGTGCTGGATGGTGATGCTTTTGACTGGCGGCAATCATCATGCTCGTTGCTTTCGCTGATCGCTGCTGAGGGTTCGGCCTTCTTGGGGGAGTCGGGTGAAGCCCCTGTGGCAGAGTGGTGGGCTTTGGGAATATGCTAAAGTAGTGAGGCTGCTTGCTTTTGGTGCTGGCCACCGTAGATGCTTCTGTAGAGTAGCCCGTAGACTGGCTATTGGATCGTCGGTGGCTGCTTTGGGTGTGGTTACTCTTTTCGCCCAAGCTTGATGCTGATATGATAGATTGCTGGGACAGAACACTGGAGCGATGTGAAGGAAGAGCTCTGGCTAATCCTTCCGGTGTCTCTGTTGTGATTGGATGATAGACAGTGATGGTGCCATTCTCTTCAGAGTATGTCTGGACCGCAAAGTTTCGTGGGAGAGTACTATACGCGGACTTTACCCCTCCCGACTTGGCACCAGTATGATTCTTCACATTCGTATCGTCTTGTGCTTTCGAATCGGCTGCAAAAGGCATGGCGTCGAGAGGGATCGAGATGGCAATGTGTCTGTGTCCACCGCTCGTGATGCCTGACACGGCAGAGTCTGGCAGTTGGATGTTCACTGGCGGCCTAGGAACGGATTTGCTTCGTCTCTTGATGCTCATGAATTTAGACCATTTTGATTCTCGCTCTTTATCTTCTCCATAAGCAAAGGGAACCGACATGAAGTTGTCCGATGGTGGCTCATTGGACTTGAAAAATTCTGCCAAGCTCATGGTGTTGTCTTGCTTGCCAAGATCATCATCGTCCAAATCGTCGTCATCTTCGATGTACGTGCTCTTCGAGACCTTTGGCCTCATCATTGGTGGTTCGATCATGGAAGCTCTCTTGTCTTCCCTTTTGCGATCCAAGAGATTGATTCCGGTGCTATACCGACGAAAGACGACAGGATTAGAAGCAAGCGGTGATGGAGGTGGTTTTTGGTCCCCCACCCAGGGTGTTAGAAATGTTGCCTCAACACTGGCCATTTTCGTCGCTTCTTGAATAGACTGGGCTAGTGGACGAATTCTCGTGTCAACAGCCAACTGCACACACTCAGAGCACTGGCGAAGGTGGCAACGCCCTTGCGTGCTCAAATCACGCCACTAGTTCTCAGTGCCTCCCTGGCCAGGGACGTTGATCGTTGATAGGATACCTGAGAGTGCGTCTGGTAGCTATGAACACTGCCAAGCTAAGCTTGCATATTACAGTGTATACGGCAGTAAGAAGCACCAGGGCCGAGCTGTGAACTGCGTGGGCTCTCTCGCCCTCGATAGGGCAGATGTATGTCTCAGTCGACGACTAGGGGAAGCAAGAAGTGTGCCTGTGTGCGCCTTTGGATGGTGGGAGGCGAGATAGACACGGGCTAAAACAGGCAAAGATAGCAAGAAATAAAAAAAAGGAAAGGGAATAAAAACCAAAAAATAGCGAATGGGAAGTCCAGCTATGTCTAGCAGCAAGCGGGTCTAGATGTATCTGTGAATGAATAGAGTATAGTGGTTGAAAAAGCTGGTTTAGATATAAAACGAAGGGAGGGTAACGACGATGGAGAAAAAGCAACGCTCGGGTGGCAGGTATGAGCTGAACACGAGAAAGAAAAGAAAAGAAAGGCGGGAAAAAATGGAAAAAGGAAGAGTAGTGAAAGGGAGAAAGAAGGTGTTGACCTGCAGCTCACCAAGCCGGAGGAGGTGAAGATAGTGAAGAACCGCAGCCCTGAAGATCATTTTCCACGGCCATCATCAAAGCCAGTGTCTTTAATAACATGGGTCTCTCCTTAAACATCGGGTCACCTTTGATGAGGAGGCCCTCAACCGTCCTAGCACCCTGGCCACTGCCTAGCAGCACCCCCGGACCCCCGGCTCTTGAGAACGTACAGAAGCGAGCCATCAAGGGCGAGGGCCTCCAATGGGACAGCGGGTATCTCCAGAGCCAATTTAGCTCGCAGGGTGGCCCCGTTTTGGTGGCGTATTCCGCCATGAGAGCCCATTGGCCGTGTCGGTTATAGTATGTATGAGCTCTGCCGTAGCTCTTCCAGCCAGTGCTGAAGACTAGCGACGCGATGGCTTGGACGGCCTTGAAAGCGGCTGTATTCATCAGCATGGCTGGTCATGGCCCAAGCTGTGAGCGAAGTACCAGGCTCCAGCAGAGCGATCACATCTCGTGTCCCTCTTCCCCCCCGCATAATTGCACTAGCTCGCGCATTGATTGTTTGAATCTTCAGAATGATTATCATCCCCAAAAGGGCCGCCGTCCCGATTATCTACGGCAGAAGCGTTTGCCAACCCTGTCTTCACACGTGTGCGGTTGCAATGCCCGTCATCTGCCGGTTCTCGACTGAGAGCCAAACGACGAGCCGAGATGAACCAAGCAGCGATGATGACAATGATGGGTGGGTTGCAGGGATCTGGGGCTCCAGCTCGCTGATTGCCGTGGAGTCTCTGTCCTCTGTCAGTCGTTTTCGACATGGGTTCGTAATTATAGACCACTGTCTTGGTGCTTTCTGCATGCACAAGTAGGGAGCAGCGAGCGTGCCCTTGAGCAAGGCACTCCGAAGGGATGCATCCAAGGCGTCTTTTCAACGGCACACTGCAGCACCACCACAGCTGAGCTGAACAGGCTCGATGCATTTGCTAATCTAGCATCCAACACCATTGCTCGTATTAGCTCTAGCGAGCCGCCGTTGCATCATCCTTTGGCGAGGAGAGCGCAAGCCAGGCTCGCCCGCTAATCCTGCAACCAGCAGTAATAATCGTACACCGGCACTCATACGGCAGCGACCTGGATTTGAATGCAAGGGGACGCGGAGCTGCAGGCGAAATTATCCACCCTGGGCACAAGTGGCTCCTCCATGCCTTCTTTGGGAGCCTTCGAAATGTCCGCTGGCCATGCCCTTCCCTGCTCCCTGCCTGCACTTCATTTTGGTTTTTTTTTTTCGGTAACGAGAAGAGGGGAGACTTGCATCCCGGATTGCCGTTGGACCGTTGAGCTGACAAACGGTAAACAGACCAGGAGTAGTAACAGAAGGAAGAATGCCGGCGAGAGGCCAAGCAAATGCCTGGTCAAGATAGAGAGAGGGAAGGAGAAAAGGGAGATATTTTGATGTCATTGACAGTGGCCCCGGAGCATCTTAGGTAGTCGCCCCCCAGAGTTAAGCAGGTAGTTACAGTTGCAGCAGTGCTGTAAGGCAAGTGCTCAACTCCTCACTACGCGGCCCGTGGTTGCTACTTCCTCCACTGCCAAACAGCAGCAGCTTCTCTTCCGCACCGCTGCTCATCTGGCGCTCTTCTTCTTCTTCTCTCTTCCACTTCACAGCGCCCATCATTCAACCAAGTTATGCCAGGCTGCCAAAATCAAACACGCTCCGAAGCACATCGTCATAGACAAGAAGAGAAAGAGAGAGTCATGTACGTCTTCATCCCTCATCTACCAGTGTACTGATCTGCACATCCTTATTAACTGGTTCCACTAAAACAGAGACAGCTTCACGCACTAGCAACGCTAGATTCGAATTCGCAATGCCGGTTGTCATCATGAACTCGCGCGGCCACAACGGCCTGTACTGCGACCCTGAAGTGGCGGGTAAGTCTTGAGTCCTACTGCTACTGTAGAATATGTTTCTCCCTGAGGTAATGTCATACTCACACATGATAGAAAAATTGCGCCAATTCCGTATGGATATCCTGGCTCTCTGCGGCGGCAAGCCGACGCCAGGAACCTTCCTCTTGCTCCTGCTGCTTACTCCCAGGCCCCCTAAGCCTATCCCGCCAAATAGCTCCAAAGATCAGGTCGTTTACTGGGTCTTCCCTACCGGTCGCCCTAGTCGCCGCCAGAGAGAGGTCGCTGACCATCTTAGGCCAGGATTTAAGAAGGTCTAGCTTGCAGACTAATTGCTCAGCTGGCTACTGACTTGAGAGGGAAAAAACGAGTCTCGCCAGCGAGCGACTCGGTCAATCTGCACCCAGCAGAGAAGACAATGGTATCTGCATGATAATGAGTTATGAGATATGGGAATGGGATATAATGAATTCATGGTTTATGACCTAGCTCGTCTAGTTAGTCGGATTTGAACCAATTGACGTTTCTACCAACTTCGCACGAAGACCGAATGATTTCTTTTGCCTGAACATGCCTTCTCTGCACCCCACCGACGAATGTGATGGTGGTCTTTGAACAAATTGGTGCGACTAGAGAGTATTCCCACGTCCATTGCCAAACTTGGAATTTCAGTTTATATTCGATCCAAAGAAGCCTCAATCGCCATAGATAGGCAGCCTTTAAGATGATCAATTTTTTTTCTTGGAATATTAATCATTTCAGAACATTCACATCGTCTCTATTGTATCTAAAATCAAGTAGTCCCTGTCTTCTTAATTCTCAAAGGCTCGGCGTCATAGCCTATCGAAGCCTTATCCAAGATTGGCCGTTTTCAAATAGGTGCACGCCATAGACTATATAATGACTGCATCCCGTAGCCCTATGCTTTTAAAACTCCTCAGATGCAAATCATATGCTGTCATACCGTCGCCTTCACTTAGTCCTGTCTAATAAAGCGCCCGAAAAAAGAAAAGAAAAAAAAGACATGTCTTGCCCACCAGTGTGTAGCCGTTTTTTGAGAATGAAATGACAATCGTAAGCTTGCCTTATTTCGTCTTCAGTTTTTCCTTAGCCCTCTTTCTATATAACCCCGTATTGGCTCTCTCTCAGCCACATTCCTCGTCATTAATCGTAGATCTTTCTTCCCCGAGATGAAACATCCGGTTGTTGGTGAAGCGCCTTCTAAAGTGGCCGGCGAAGCAGTTATCAAGATATCGGAGACTCGAGTGAATAGTCGAGGCTGCATTGTAAAAAACTGCTCTGGCTTGCAAGTACTGCCTCACCAGCCCATTCGACATGCTGAAGGGTGTATTTGCCATCGCTCTCACGTCTTCTGTCGTCTGATTTACCTGATATAAATCTAGCTTTGTTCTTCCATTAGTTCATGCTGGTATCTAAATACTTGTGCACTCCATTCTTACAATTGAAAAATTGGCCCAAGACAGCGTTTTGTGCCTCTTTTCTCGCTTTTCCACAGTGTTGTTTCTCCCAAATTGAGAACACAAAGAAATTAAAAGCAAATAAGATAATAATAACAAGCAAATATGTCGATAGAGCAACTTGAGGCAGCGCGGCTGAGCATATAGCTCTCGATAAAGCGAGACGCCCACCACTTCAGGGGTCAGCCAGATGCCCTGTTGTTGATTTGAATTTCAGCGGTGGATGATCTATTATCCATCTAGCAAAGGTTTTTCTGCGCCGAACAATATCCCTTCTATGAGCTCTTTCAAAGGACTAAAAAAATGAAGAAAATGAAAAAGGAGAGAAAAATAAAAAGAGCAGGCGAAAAGAAGACAGCATTCAGAGGCAAGATGCGCCCATCAGCGCCGTTTTGGAAGGAACGGATTCGGCTTCTTCTTCTTTCGCGGGGCATGGGGCGCTTGTGGATTGGCCTGCACCATGATCAGTAAAAAAAAGACGAGCCGGCAATACATCTCTCCCGCTTCAGCTAATACTTACCTGGTTGCCACTTGCTGCCGCAGGACCAGCTGGTGGACTCGGTCTCGATACCGGTGGAGGTGCAGAATTGATAACCGGAGGAGGTCGTTCGGGGGGCACCATTCCCAGCAGAGACATGGCAGAAGGATCAGTTGGGGGTTTAATCGGTCTGGGCCTCTGGCCAAATTTGCCCATAAGGCTTCCAGGTCGTGAAGTGTCGCTCGCAATCTGTTCATGTGTCAGCTCGATCTGCTGTTTCACCAACCACTATGTATACCCGGTATCTCTTCTTACCTTCTTTGTTACGGTCTGGTTCGGTTCGGGGGAGTCCAGGGGCCGCTTCTTTCCATCTGCAGGGGCCGACTTCCCTGAAGTGTGAATGACTGGCGGTCCACTCGAGCGCGGGACGACAGTATTTATGCTAGTTGGTGCTGTCACATGTGAGATTCCATTGTTGCTACCGGCACTGGGGGTCGCATCTCTCATGGCAATATCCATCTGCTGAGGTAGAGGTCGGGGAGAGTTAGCCAGGCTTGGAGCAGCGGAGCTTCGGCCAGATGACGACACGTATGCGTCCGCCTTCGCCTTTTCCAGTGGGCGGCGGAACATGGAGAGAATATCACCCTTTGTATAGCGGTCTCGTTCTTGTGCGTCTTCGATCAATTTGCGCCAGAACTCTCCCTGAACGAGAGCTCGTGAATCACCCAGGATCCACAGCGACGATTTGGCTCGCGTCAAACCGACATTCATACGGCGGATATCCGTCATGAAACCAATACCGCCCGTGGAACTAGCTCGGACACAGGAGAAGATAATAATTTCGCATTCTCGTCCTTGGAAAGCGTCTGTGGTATTGAACTCAATGATATCCGTAATGCTCTCGCCGTAGCGAGCCTGGAACCGAGATCGCAGCTCGTAGAGTTGCGCCTTATAAGGAGTAATGATGCCAATCTTTCTTGTCAGGTCGCAGTCGTTGTAGTCTCTGCTGAACCGTTCGTACATTTGCAGAGCCACTTCGAGCTCTCTTGTATTGACAAGAGATTGGCCCTTTCGGCCCTTTTCTTGCACACCCTCAACGTCGAAGAATCGGTATGGCGCAAACAGAGCGTCTTTATGCCATGGAGCCTGGCGAAGCTGCAGCATGTCTTGGCCGTCATGGAGCTGAGACTCGTAGAACTCTCTGCTAGGAAAGTTGCTGATCTCGGGGTGCATTCGGTATTGCATGTCGAGCAAATGAACAGACTTTGGATGGTTCTGCTGCATCCGCACAAACAAACTCTGGTCGTAGCCAAAACGAGCCGCAGACTGCGACAAGACTGTAGGTGGCAATTGCTTGGGATCACCAACCAGAATGCATTTGCAGCATCCGTACTTTAGTGGAATCAAGGCGCTCAGCTCCACGCACTGCGCTGCCTCGTCGATGATGACCGTCTCAAACTCGACATCAAGGTTGCGGAACATCTCGTGCCCGCTTCCGCTGAGAGTAGCACAGAGAACGTGAGCAGAGTTGAGAATCTCTTGCTGGATCTGCCGGCGACGCAGCTCCATCTCACGAGCTATAGAGTTGCCACTGTCCTTGTTGGCATCAATCTGTTTTCCGATTTGCATCTGCTTTCGTTTCAGCTCATCAAACTGTCTAGACAGAGAATTGTGCAATGTTCGATCGTCGTTGTTGCGAGACTCCTCCAGTCGTGGCCTGAGCTGCGCGAGCTGTTCTTTCAACTCAGCGGCCTCCTCGTGAAGCTTGTCTCTGTCCGCCTTTGCTTTATCTTTGGTCGTATCACCTTCAAGACGAGTCTTGACCAGCTCATCGAGTGTGACATCTTTGACTGCGGCATTGATGGCCTCGCTTCTTCCCAAACGAAGAACGTTGATATTTCTACTTTTGCCACTAGTCGTCTTGATACCGCTCTTCAATCGAAGCACCAACTCATCTACAGCGGCGTTACTCGGAGCGCAAACAAGTAGTTTCTTGGGTCGGGCTTGACTGCCTCCGGGAGCACCACCGGGCCTCATGGGAACGCCAAGAGGGACCCCGACTGCGGCAGCAGGAGCTTGTGCGAGCTGTTCAGACAGTAACGCACCAACCATGGCTACGATGGTCTTGGTTTTTCCCGTACCGGGGGGACTATAATATAAGAAGAGAAGGCAGTTAGCGCATGCATGCTAGAAATAGAGGAGGGAAAAGCAAACAGCCCAAAAAAAAAAGTCGTTATACTCTTACCCCTGGATCAAAGTGAAACCATCATTTTCTTGTGCGCCAAGTACGGCGAGGGCTTGTCCCTGATTCAATGCCCAGTTTCCCATGTAGTTGGATACGCGCTCTTCTCCGTAGCGAAGGATCGGCGATGGTTCTGCCTTTAGGATCTCATCCATAAGATCATAATATTGCAAACTCTCCAGGGCGGCATACTCTCTTTCTATGGTCGCCATGTTTGTGATTTTTACGCCATGCACAGTGGCACCAGGAGTCAGGATGGGGGAGAGAGGGTTACTACGTGACGCTACGCGATATGTTACCTCAACGGTGTCCTTTTTGTAAGTAATACGATGGACACGGGCTAGACAGTGCTTGGCCGACTCAAATACAAGAGGAGTCTCCGCCTCAGAGACAAGCAGTATGTCGCCTTCGAAGACACCACGTTCCCGATACTGGAGGATAGGCATTGTAAAGGTCACTTCAAGATAGCTGTCCACACTTGCGCGGCTAGCAATTTTCATGCCAAACGGCTGCGCAGTTACCTCGTCTTTGGAGGTGACAAATGAACGCCAGGCTTCAGACGCCAGCAGGGGGAAGAAAGTTTCCTGGTACGACCGCGGATCGGAGTATTTGGTTGCAACTTCCGAGGCTTTTGGTCCATTAGGGGGGTCGTTCCCAGCGTGGAAAATATCCCACGCGAGAACAGTATTATGAAGCCGATCCATGGGAGGTATCAGCCGAGCTCTCATCTCTTTAACGGAGCGCTGCTGCCTGACCTTCTTGACGGGCTGCCGTAGCTTGTCCCGCAGAGCCTGTTGACGACGCTTTTCAGCATCGGTCAGGGATTTTGCGCCTCCAGTGCTCAAGGCAGCCAGCTGATTGTCGGCATCCGAATCGTCACTACCAGCATCGGACTCTTCATCAGAGCTGTTGACCATGATTTCGCTTCGTGAATGATCTTTGCCAGTGATTCCAAGGCCCTGCAGGCCAGAGCCTTCGCCTTTGACAAACTCCCCACGAAGGGCCCGGGCTCGCGCAATAGCCTCCGCATCTCGCCTAGCCTTTTCAAGCTTCTCCCTCTGTCTGCTCTCCTTTAGTGCTGAGATTGCCTTTTGGTCAGGAACCTTGGCCGCCGCCTTGGCCCTAGCCTGCCGGGCTTCGATCTGTTTAAGGAGCGGGCTATCGACTGATTTGCTCAGCTCCAACACATCATCTCGGTTAGACCAAGCAGCCCTGGACGTAGCCGTAGTAGTCGCAGAAGCAGTCGCAGGTGCGGATTTTGACCAGGCATCGAGCTTGCTTTGCTTCTTAGCCTTGTCAGTTAGCGCACGCTCTTGACGCTGCTGAGCACTCATCTCTTGCTGATAGGCCTGAATCTCTTCATCCGTTTGGCCCAGCGCTTGGAGAAGCTCTGCACGCTGTTGATCGGTCAAGTTTGTGGATCGCACGTATTTTCCTGGGGTCGCCGTTGGCAGACAAGCATCAGTAATGAGCTTCCGCGAGGCTGAGTTGATTTCGAGAGCATTTTCCTGGAGTCGTTTGAGGATCTTACAAAGAACGCGAACGGTAACGTCAACGAGCCACCGATCCTTGAGTCTAATCATGTTTTCCATTCCGCGAAAGTTGTCCTTTGCCGGGGCCAGAATCCTGGCCATCATGTCCTTTTCGCTTCGGCCAAGCGCCGTCGCGGAGGTAAGCAAACCATCCTCAGCAATGAGAGCTTCAGCAAGCTCCATGATTTCTCGGCAGAACTCGGTCATGATGCTGTTGGGGATGTAAAAAGACCATGCTTCAATATTGAGACATGCCTTGGAGACAAATCGCCACTGCTCATTCCACCACCGCAGAACAGTGGCGGCCGACTTGGGGTCCAGAGTCCTGACACGGAGCACTCCCGACGACGGATCTGCGAGACCTCTCAGAACATCTCTGCTCATATTCAGGAGTGGTTTGATTGGGCCCCATGGATAGGGAGGTCGAAGGACGCGCTCCAAAGACCAGACAATGGAGGCAAGCGTCTGGTCTGGATGATGCTGTGTCATCTGCTCTAGGGCACCGCTTCGGGAGAGCTCCCCAGTCCAGCTCTTTAAAACTTCGGCGGAGGCCTCTGCAAGATCTGAGTTTTCATGCACAGACAAGGCAGTGGTGACCTGGAAAGGTACTCGATCGGTATACAACTCGTTCAAGTCAGTAACATCAAGCTCGGAGATCCGGCCGAAGATCCTAGCAAGTACATCTGCCGTATCACCAAGAGCCTTGTTAAACGTTTGGCCAGACGCATCCAGTTTATTATCAGTCTTGCGCGGTCTGATTTGCTCCACAGGCACAAGCGGTGCCAGCGATGCAAAAATATCCTTTGCGACGGCGACTTGGCCGGATGATGTATCAAACATCTCCAAGGCGCCTTCCCAGAATGCCTTGGAATCTCTGATGATGGCCGTTTGCAGCGGTTTGTTAGCATGTACGGCATGATACTCTTCGGAGAGGAGCTTCATATCCAGCTTCATGGCGGCACTCATCATTTCCCTGGCGGCATCGGCTACTTTAAACGTAGTCCAGCCTTCAATCTCTCCATTTCGTCCAGATGCTTTCATGTTTGATAGTATGAGGCTGAGGTGCTTAACAACAAGGCTCGAAGCAGCACTGGCGTAGAGATGAGTGCTCCCAGATGCAATTTGGGTCTCTGGGTCAAGAAACGATTTCATGGTAAAAGTCAGCGCGTCAAAGCCGGCGCGGACACAAGCAGCTTGGCCAGGTTCGCCGATGCTAGAGTCCTTTGCCAAAATTTCGAAGAGAGTGTGCATCAAGACCTCGCAAGCATCGTATCTGCGGTCGCGGCCGAGGGACTGGAGCCAAGGCTGGATCCAAGAAGTAGGAAACGGTGTGAATTGGGTCGCAGAATCTACAACAGACCAGCAGTCTTCGAGGGATTGCCGCAGAAGAGTCTTGTAGACGGGGCTGCCAAAGACCAGATCTGCAATGACATTGGGCCGAGCGTCGCCAACGACGTCCCAAAACGCTTTCGGTGATTTCTTCAACAAGCCACTAAGAACTTTGATAGTGACGACCAGCACACCTTCGGACCGGCAGAATTGAATGTGTCGAAATAGCAAGTCGTAGATGTTGAAGTTCCCCGACGGAGCTTCCAGGCTGCGGAGACGGCTCAGAATAATCTCATTGTTGAGCGTCCTGAGGATAGTCTCAAAACCATGCCAGAAGCGCTCAATCTCGAGATAGATATCGCCACTAGCCTGGGATGGATCCCATTTACTGATATAGTCCACAGAGCTGATCAGACCATCATTCACGGCCCAATCGAACTGTTCTTCCGTCATGCCAGCGCTTTCAATGTTTTTCCAGTTTTCTGCCGCCCACCTACGGCGGTCATCATTCTTCTGGTCAAACAAGAAGAAAGTCATTCCAGGCAGCGGATCCTTAGTTCCGAGCTTGAGGTAGCTCTTGCCCTGCAAGCGCATGAAAACGTAGTGGAACACGGCTCGTTGCTCTGTGTTTGCCAAATATGGCACGCAGCATAGGGCCTCGTAGACGGCAATGTGAACTTCGGTGAGGTGTTCGCCGAATTGTGACTTTTTGAATACCGTGCCTGATACTTCAATCTTCTCGATAAATTGTTTCGCCCAGGTCAGGTTTTGACCGATTCGGTTCACGTCGAGGTTGGTAAGTAAGTCTCGGATTTGTGCAACGGCATCTTCGTTCCATCGCCTGGATCAAAGGATGTTAGCAAGTGGGCTACCTTTGTTGAGAATGTGACGGGAAATCATTACTCTGAAAACATCTGCAGATGGTGCTTGCGCTTCATATGCCAATTGAGGACACATTCGGGGCAGTACTTGAGACAGTTCTCAAGCCGCAAAGTGAAATCTTGCAGCCATTTACCAGCTTCCTCTTTGTCGAAGCCAAAGATCAGACTGTTCCAATAGGTGATCTCGATGCGCTCCTTGCTCTTTTGGATCCGGGAATTCTTCTCTTCGGTCGAAATCCGGGAGTCGGGATCATCAAGGTTCTTGTAGTTCTCGTCGTCTTCATCACTGATGCGCGGGCAGAGGAGATGGACCTCTGCGGGGATTTGCTGGAATTCTTCGTACCATTTCCCCAGCACCTCGTTGATGTCTGCCATGGTATATCAGAGCTACCTAGCTAGGCAGAAGCCCATCGCTAGAAGTCTCATCCAACGGGGAGAAGCGAAATGCTGCCAAGGTGAGCACGGGATTTTTTCTGCCAGACGTAGAAGCACGAGAGGTCAGCAAGGGCCGGCGGGATATGGAAGAGCGGTGATATGCACAGAGAGAAGGAGAAGAAAGAATGCGACACTTGAAAGAAAAGGCGGAGAAAGACGCAATGGGAAAAAGAAAGGCGCACAAGAAGAGAGTGATGTGAAGTGCAAAGGCAAGAGAGAGATCGCGAACTAAGGACAAAAGATATTGTGGGGAAAGGGTACAAGCGCGGCAGTATATTATGCACACGCCCAGTGTGATGCGTCTTATTAGACCAATGTTTCTCGGGGCCAAGGAGCAAGTACTGTACCTATATACATGAGCTTATACGTGCCTGCAAAACACCGCTTGGGACCTCAGAAGAGAACACGCCCAATAGCCTTTTTGTATATTTGGCTACGCAAAGGCGGATATGCAGAGCCTGATGTGGAGGGAAACAGAGGCGTCGCACTATCAGCAGGTGTGTTATCGTTATCTAAAGAGCGCCTGTAGTCGCATGTAAGGTACGGAGCGCGGTGGCGGGTGTCGAACGCGTGAAGAGGGCCAGCATGCGCAGGCCAGGGTTTAAATGGGCGAAGAAGAGGCCTGTGCATCAGATCGGTTAGCGACCACAGGCGCCACCGAGGGTCACTGGAGGCGCTGAAGACCGACTGCATCTGCAGTAGCAATCGCGCCGCCAAAAGTAATTTCCAAGGTGCAAACGCAAACATCTATCACTGGTATTGCAATCGTTCATCGCAATATATAGCGACAACAATCTAATGAAGCTTTGGCATCTATGGACCTCAGTGCCTTGTCTACTAATCTATGCCGTACCGCAGGAACAAGTAAGCATAGTCAATGTTTTTTCTCATCCACACCCGAGCAAGAGTGCTGTTTGCATCCTCTTAAGTTTCCGCGAGCTCTCTGGCAGCTACCCTGTAAGCACGCACTTGGCTCCTTGTTTGCTGTTATACTCGATGGCTGCGTAATAAAAATAGATTCTATATGGACTATTTTTGCTGGCAGGGTTATATCTACAAATTGGTCTACATTAGCTATCTGGTATAGGCAGATTTTGTATGGTGCATAATCGTTATCTCCTGAAGATTAGGCACCTCCCAAGGCTGTCTGCAGGGCGCCAGCTGCTGTGTAGCGCCCAAAGCCCCCTAAGCCAGGTGTTTGTTTGCTGCCTATTACTGCGTGCAGCCAACTCTTGATGGGAGCTCACTTACTGGTCACATCACTCCGGGCTCTCTTCAACCTGAGTTCACATTTTCGGATGATCAGATTTTTTTCCTTTTAGGCAATGACGACGAGAAAATCTTCTCGGTATTTTCTGATTCTCTTTCTCTCTCACCATGAGCTTGCCTCTCGCCCTCGTCGCTGTACCTATATCTAACCTTGAGCTGATAAACAGCCTCTCTTTGCTTCGTCTCGCCCCCTTTCAGGTTATTATTTTTGTGTTTCTTATTTCTTTGAATTAATTGCAGTTCTTCCTTCTCTTCTAAAATGACGTCTTGGTTGACCATAATCGACTCTCTAAAAGATGACGAAGTGCAATTTCTCACATCGCGTACTGCGGCTGCACGAGGCAGGTCAAGAGCGTCGTCTTCAGTCACACTTGGTCGAGAAAGCGATGATGATGAAGAAGAACTAGAGGTAGGGGAACCAGCGGAATTGTTCGATGAAGAAGTCATTGACCTCACTGGACACGATCTGGAAATTGGCGCCTATAGTCTGCTTCGCGAAGGCGAACTCCCCCTAGAGAGGTATCGCGAACCTTCATCGGGTACTACATTGGCTTGTGGGGATTTCATAGAGGTTCGAGATGTTCAGCTCGGAGCCTACGAGATCGATTTTGTCCGAATCCAGATCATTGCTCGCGGTCGAAATGGCGACTGCAATATTCGCGGTGTCCCCTTTGTGCGGACCAGGAAGCTACAAGGAAAACTGCAAAGAAAGGTCAACGAGATATGCATGATACGCCACGTTTGGAGGCAAAATGATGGAAAAGAGCTATCAGCAATCCCTGTCAGTGTACCTTCTCCCTCGATTGTCAAAAGAAGAGACGTCATCTTCACCAACACGATATACCCAGAGCACTGCTGCACTGGAAGCCTTGCTCTCAGCGGAGATCTGCAGCAGCGGCGAGCTGAGCTAAATGGCAGCCTTGTATGCCGATGGAAGTTTACGATATACTTCACTATGAATAGCCAAAGTCGAGCCACAAGACCAGAAGAAGAAGTTCTTGAGCGCGTCCAGCTAGACGAAGTACCAACGCCCAAGTATCGCGTGTCCGACGAGACTCTTTGCAACCGATGGCGCGGTGGACGTATCAAGGGAGGATCGTGGCCACAGAATGCAACAAAAATCATTGACCTGGAAAGCCAGCCTTTATGCACCGGCACAAACCCTAACGTACAAAGTAGAAGGATAGGACAGAAGTATACCCTTTTTGATTCCTTCTCTGGGGCAGGGGGAGTATCTCGCGGCGCTCAGAGCGCTGGATTCAAGGTCCAATATGCCGTGGATAAGTGGGCTGATGTCTAGGAGACATATCAGACAAACTTTCGCGATACGGAGCTGTTTCGAATGCCCATTGACGATTTCATCCTGGCCACGAAAGATAGGCTGATGCGAGCGGATGTACTGCACCTGTCTCCGCCTTGCCAATACTTTTCACCGGCTCACACGCACCAGTCTGTACACGACGACGCGAATATTTTTGCCCTGTTTGGAAGCCTTCAGCTAATTGACAAGCTGCGGCCTCGACTCGTTACTCTCGAACAAACGTTTGGAATAACTCATGAACGTCACCGCCAGTATCTGAGAGCCTTGATTGGATGCTACACCCAACATGGATATTCCGTGAGATGGAAAGTAGTTCGGCTTTGTAACTGGGGCTTGGCTCAAGATCGGAAGCGTTTAATCATTCTTGCAGCTGCCCCAGGAGAGAAGCTGCCCCCTTTTCCTGACGCTACGCACTCCGAGGACGGAGTTGGCGGCCTGAAGCCTTACACAACCATTCGAAAAGCGATTAGTTCTATCCGGGTCGGCGACGATTTGCATAACCTCGATAATGTGAAGTATTTTCAGCCGCGCCGGCCGCCGCTTGACGCAGACGGTCTAGCAGGCACAATCACAACCGGGGGGAACGACGTATACTACCCTGACGGAACAAGAGACTTTACAATTCGCGAGTATGCCTGCATTCAGGGATTTCCGAAATATCATAAATTCTTGGGGACGAAAACATGCATTAGGAGGCAGATTGGCAATGCGTTTCCCTCCAATACAGTCCAGATGCTGTATAAGCATCTAGAGGAGTGGCTTCTGAAGCAGGACGGAATGACGCGGTACCAGCCGGTGGCTGATAGTGTGATGATTGTTGACGACTCTGACAACGATGAATCTGACGATTCTTTCCGATGGCAAACGTCATCGGTAGCATATTCGTCTCCCGAGATGGATGAAGATGTCATGGAAATTGTCAACCTGCCCGATCAACCTCGATATATTCACCGAAGAGACAGTTGCGTCATCGATCTCACATGAGCTGGAGATATTCTCTCGGCTATATTTGCGTCTATTTGTTTCTTTCTTGGTCTGGAATAATACTGAGCTTAGTCACTAGCTATATACTTTTGATCATTTAATTTCTACACGGGTATGGTATTTGTGCTATGCACCATTTACCTTGAAGTCAGGGTGATGCATGAGACCTGCTTGATACATCTTTTACATTGACGATGGAAACTTCAGGGGAAGAAAACCGGGAGGTGGGTTAATGATGGCAGAGCCCAAAAGTTTTGTTGGATTGGAGAAAACTGTACAATACCATATATGTTGTAGAGAAGGGTGGGTGGTCAGGCTCTTCTGCTGCAGGATAAATATAAAGTGATTATAATTGTATCCATATGCACTGCAATTTATCAAAAATTACCAACTAATACTGATGATTGTCGTGGGTGCAACTTCTTCTCGCCTTATATATTTGTATATGTTGGTATTTACATAAAGTATCCTCACCATCAGCCTCAGATATTCGATTTGTACCGAGTTTAATGCAGTATCTGGCTTTATCAACCTTCCTATCGCTATCTACGAAGTACCTAGTAGGTACTGGTTATCGAATTTACTGGCTCCAGCGGTTGGCAGAATTACTCGGACAGATGCCTGGGGCTGCAACGTAACTGACCGCCCCCCAAGCTTCAACTCTGAATCACGCATGCCGTCTGAGCGGCCACCCGTTTTCCTATCTCGTGTCCATTCGTTCATTTTTTTTTTTTCACATTTCTACCTCCTACCTACTGGTACTGATACTTACTATCCATCTGGTGTCTATTTTCGAGCGAGAAAATCAGCTGACAGAAAGCACGGTGAGCAGCTACATCTGCCATCTTTCTCTTCGCTGGGCCTCCTTCTCTGTCCTTCTTTCTCGACCTTCTACCTTCTTCCTTCTGTAACGCCTTCATTTTCCCACTTTGCAAGAGTCTTGAATTGATCAACAATCTTCATTCCTTTTTCTTTTGTTTTGACTTGTTCATGTATCATCTCCAGCAGCAGCGCATAGTGTTCGACATCACCCTACTTTTCCCGCATATCTCTTTTGTTTGAAGTACTCTCAACTTCTTTCTTCGGCCCTCTCTTGTGCTCCTGCAGGCGCAGCGTTTACATATTCTCTGACACGTGAAATAGATCCAGCACCTGGCAAAGAATTACACGGTCGTTGCGCCCGATATCTTGAACTTCTTGTAGCCTATCTTTGATCTGACCTTTGTGGTGTTTCTTCGGCAGGATTCACTCCTTCGCCTGCTCCTTCGTTGCTGATTTGGTTCAGATCAGCCATTTGCCACTGCTTGTCGTGGCCCCTCTTCAATATGGTCGTCAAAACTCCAAGCGAAGCCGTGGTAGGCCCTGTGAAGGTGAGCCCGCCTTCTCCAAACATGGTTGACTACCTAACTTAGCAATGGATGATACTAATGGCAAATCCCAGAGCGGGCAGCAGATGGAAATACCCCTTGTCAAGTTCCATTCCCAAGACGAATTCGCCAATCGGCTAGAGAGAGGCACTCTAATTGAGATGCACAATGAAATATCCCGATTAAAGAAGCTCAACGATCGTGGCGAAAGCTACTCGGCGTGGATAGTCGCCCCCATTCCCGGATGCCAGACTTCATTTTCGACATCCTGGTTGGTGTTGGCCAAGAGCCCGCCTTCGTCGACAAACATGGCATTCCCTACTGTGGCAGATAGATTCCATATTGACGTCAACGCAAGCATCGTGTTGCCGCAGGGTATCTATACCCTCTACAACCTTCCCGCGACCCGAGTCCCAAACCCTTATGAAGATGTCACTGAATGCGAGGGAAAGGCGATCCAAAAGCTTGCTGCTTTCAAGGTAGATGTTCCACGCTGCCAGACCACCGAAGACGGCGAACAAGTTCAGCTAGACTTGATGTCACATCTCAAAGTTGCTGATGATGTGGGGGACTTCTCCGGCATCACGCTAGATGAGACCAGCCAGAAAAACATTTCCATTCGTTGGGAGATCACCAGTCAGACGTTTGAAGCTGAGCTCGAAGCCCTCTATGCTTTCATCACTCCAAAACGATACAAAGATCAAAGCGGACCTAGTTACAAAGCCAGGCTTGCCTTCGGCATGATCCAGCAGTTTTGCACAGCAGACCTCGAGATATCGAACCTCCTGAGCAAATACCCCCCGCTTGCGAACCCGACCAAAACTGCCTACCAAATCTCTCCAGTTTTCTTGGAGAAATATGCCAAATTCAACCAGGATCACGTAGCTGCCTACGCCGGACTTGGTCACATCAAGAATGGCATTTACTTTGTCAACGGATGCCCTGGAGCCGGTAAGACGGAGTGGAACATGGTCATTTCGGGGCTTATCCAGTCACATCACTCGCCAGCTAAGAAGCGAGTCCGCCATCCAATTCTCTTTCTTGTTGATATCAACCAGACCGTCTCGGATGCTGCTGACAGATATCATTGCCTTTGCAAGGCAGCAGGTCTCGATATTCGAATAATACGAATGCACGGTTGGCCATATGAGATGCGCCATTCCGAGAGATTGAATCAAACTGGCAGCCAGGGCAAGACAAGCAGGCTTGCCGATGACGATGCTACTACCGACTTCACTAAGAGCTTCTTGACCACAGTCGGCTTTAGTCACCACGCCAAATTGGAGAGGGATCCTAGGCGTGCTCCCAACCTCGACGAGGCCGCTTGGGAATATTATGAAAAACATAAGCATGACAGTTACCCAGGCTTAACAAATTTCCTTGGCCGCATTGACGAAGGCGACGTGCTAGACAGCGAAGACTGGAGGTCGCTGCGTGGCTCCGTTACCAGATTGTATCGCCAGGTTTTGGCTGCGGCCGATTTTGTTGCCACAACCCCTGTAGCGGCTTCTGGTAGTTTCGCTAAATATTTTCACCCTGAGATTGTCTTTGTTGATGAGGCACCGCATGCGCGAGAATTAACGACTCTCATACCGTTGGCTTATTTTGACCCCGTGGCCTGGATCTTCACTGGCGACGTGAAGCAGACGCGTCCCTTTGTCGACAGCTGTATCAGCGAGAGAAAGGCTCTGGAGAAGGGACTGAAATTCAACCCATATGCCGAACAGCTGCGACTCAGTACGATGGCACGGGCGGCGGCCGCAAGTGCCCTGGACCAGAAGCTGCTAGTCAATAATCGGGCATACGGCAATCTGCATCGCCTTCCATCGGAAATGTTTTATGACGGCGAGATGAGCTCGGGACACGAGAAAGAGAAGCGGTATCCGCCGAGTACCATGCATCTGAAGAAATATTTGGAGAAGATCTCGGGATGCCGGAACATGGAAGAGAACCGGTTGGTGGTGAGCTTTGCAGAGAGCTCTGAAGAGATTCACCGTAACAGCTTTTGGAATCCCATGCAGCATGCCTGGGTAGTTGAGCAGGTGAAGTGCCTGCTAGATGATGCTGAGTTTCAGAGTCTCTCCGGAGAGCCTGGAACAATCATGATCCAAACACCATACAGCACTGCTTATCGCCAATACTTGGGAGAAATAAAGCTGTGGCTTCCCGAGTGGCAGGGTCGTGTTCAAGTGTTGACGGTCGACAAGGCACAAGGAAATCAAGCAGATGTTGTATTTCTTGACATGGTACGGACATCATCTGTGGGATTCATGGACGACCCCCAAAGACTCAATGTGGCCATTACCCGTGCCAGGCAAGCGGAGGTTATTATCATGCATGTCCGCATGAATTATCGGCAGGCCAAGGGATGCCAGCGTACAAAGTTCACAACGCAGCTTTGGGGCGATGCGCATAAGCACAGGCGTCTATATTATCTGCGATGACGGATGGAAGTAGTATGGTATCCTACTACTATTACTAGAATGTGTGTATGTGTGTGTTTTGTGTGTGTGTGTGTGTGAGAGAGAGAGAGAGAGAGAGAAAAGGGAGAGTTGAGATGATGATGAACGGGGAGCGAGATTATGACAGTCGACTGCATGGAAATTATGATTACAGATGATGAATGAGTCTATGGAATACTAGAGAACTAGGAGTGTTATGGACTGTATTTACAAAACCAGAAAGGAAAAAGGGAATTTCCATTGTATAAACGGAGTTGGAGGACTGTGAATAAAGCCAATTGGGTTAAGGGGTGGGCAATGGAGGCACCAACAAGCTGTTTAGCTGTATCATACGAGATCATTTAAGGTGTAGACGTATTAAAGGAGAGTATTGTTTCTATGCACGTTCTTGACCATAATGGCTGCCTGCATGCAGTGTGATTAGGAGGTATGGGCAAAAAAAAATTAGAGGCCTCGCGCAATCGCAATCTTTGCTTCACAGCCTCTTTTTGGCGTGTTTCGCACCGCGGCGCTTCTCGTCTTCTTTCCGCTACAGAAGAGTTGTTACCTTCTGTCGTGTCCCCAGTGGAGCAGATAAGCGAACTGCTAGGACGGAGTAGGTATAATGAATGCTAATATTCTCCTGAATTACGGGGATCTTGCGGGTGCAATTATGATTATATACGAAGAGAGCGCCGCGTCCTCCTTTGTTTGTGAATGGCGAAGGGGGATTCGGGCCTGGACTCTGGACTTGCGGGCTGATCCATGGCCCGCGCACCGGATTGAGACACAATATTCGAGCCAGCCTCTTTTGTCGCACGGGCATGGTCCGTTATAACCGTTTTGACGCTCTCCACCGGCGGGTTGGCTGTGCCCGTTGATGCAACTGTACAGTCCTCTACGGGAATAAAGAGACGATTCTACAGCATAGCGCCCCGTACTACCTATGTACAGCCACCATTGTTGATGTTTATCTTGATGTTTATTTTCTCTGATCTGAATGTTCAATTGTTTTGGAACTGCTGTTCGTTTCGCATGTGCGAGTAGCTGGTTGGCAGTCTGTCAGCATGTAAAGATGTCAAAACACCCCGTATTTCCTTATTTATATATTTCTTTCTTTTCCACTTATACATCCACTGCACCCCATATTAGCCATCCACTAGCAGTAGTTAGCAGTAGTACATACGAGTATTCGCTCCTGTCTCCATCTTTGCTGCATGAAGAAAGCAAAAACGGCGATTCGGACTCCGCTCCGTGAACCAAGCTCTTGCGGTGGAGCCCAGCCACGTGTGAGAAGAAGCTCCAGTGCGTGTCAAAATCCTGCCGGCATGTGGTCTAAAAACTTGCTTTATTGGCATGTTGCGCTGAAAAGCGATGGACTGGCTGACAGTTTAGTTCCCGTGGTCTTGTTTTCGCTCCGGCATACGTGGTAATGATGAGAATTACAAGCATCGCCGCTGTATCTGTCTGTGTACGGAGTCGATCCGAGGTCTGTAGATGTGAAGAGCCAACACAAGATGGGGGCCGAAGCTGCTGGCGGGCTGCATGATCCGGCTTGGCAGAAATGGCAGGGCTTATTTGGTTGCAGTAGTAGTGCAACCTCTGCTGCTGGAGCGCTATTACTCCTAGAGGTAAGGTACTGATACAGAGTCCAGAGTCCAGTGTTAGGCATTAGAGTGGAAGCTACTAACTCATGAGGTATTGAACCTAGGCACTGGTACCTGTATGTACTGGAAGCTGCTACAGCGCTGATATAACTAACCCGTTAGGTGGGTGCTATAGTTGAGTTGTATGAGAGATATCGTGCACGACACAATATGCTCAATTACGTACGAAATACAACTTTGCTACCGTGAATCTCCCTCTACTAGTTGGATTCAAGCGGCTCAGTTGTCGGTACAATTGCCCAGGCCTAGGACGTTTGATCCATGCGTCGGACCGCGGAAGGATTCTGTTGATGGCGGCGAATCAGTTGTTTGCCGGGACTGACGGGCGGGCTTGAATGAGACGGCAGAAAATAGAAGCCGAGCTGGACATTCACATTCACATTCACATTCACATTCACATCCACATTCACACATGTGCCAGCACTTACTTGTCTTGTGCGCCCTGCTTGTGCGCCCTGCTTGCTTGGGTGGGTGCGTGTTGTGTTTGAAGCGCTGCAGCTTCGACCCCGGGCTTCGCTGTTGGCCGCACCAGGTGTTGCAACAAGCGCCGACACAGGCTCGTCGGCACCCGTCAGACCAGGCCAGCAGCGAAATTCGCACGCACCACGCATCGGCAGAGCGGGAGTAGCGTCGAGCTAGGGAGTGCAAGTTCTGACCACTAGCCCAATCTGACCTTGACAGCACGCGACGATCGACTTGTACATACGCAGATGGAAAACGCTTCTCTGAGATGAGGTTGCGGCTGGGCCAATTGATTCCATCTCTGCGTCAATTGCCTCTTCTCCGCTGGACACGCTGTGAAATCGCCCCCTGGTTGGCGTTTCTGGGGTGGTTGATGGATGGTGGGCTGCGGGAGCTTCGTAGGCACTCGCGTAGATGCCGGATTCACCAAGTCTAGTACTACTACTAATGGGTACATAGTAGCAGTGGGCAGTGCTTCGTGTACCGCGTACATGCACCCGTCAGGCCGTCAACCATGACCGTTTACGGCTACTGGCCGGTGGGAATGCGCCCGACTGCGCGTACTTGCGCCGTCCCAAGCGCTGCCGCACCGCTTTCCAGACTGCTCAGCCCTGTGTCCACCGGCCCGTGGCAAGCTGTTTTGGCGAGAGAGAGCGAAGGAAGGGCCCTGCTGACCACTGCAGACTACAAAGCCTCAGCGCTCTGCCGACTTCCATTCTTGCCTTGCATTACCCTGTCCTCTCACTCATCTGCTAGTGTTAACCATCTCGCAGCCTCTCTTGTCTCCTCCTCCATCATCATGAGATAGAACGACGGCCGCTCGGACAAAGGAACCGCTGCCACCTACGAACCCCTGCACGCAGGAGAGACACCCGTCTCTTTTTTCCGGGCCGTGGGCGGCCTCCCACTCTACGTCGAGATCCAAAGAGCCTTCGATCGATGCGACTCTCGGGCAGCGACGAGGCCATGGCCTTGTCCGGCTCCTTCACCGCGAACGCTGCATCAACCGACTCGGCATCAACCGGCAACCAAGTACGGGCCGCGGGCGCTGCAGCGAGCCATGGCTTGGCGAGGAGCTTGGAGACGCTGCGCCGGCTGGCGATTGGGACGATGGGTGTGGATGCGACTGGGAGTGCAGCGATTGGAAACGGCAACGCAAACGCCAACGGCAGTGGGCATGTGCATCACCAGCAGTCCAGGGGCATCCACGCCAGGCTGAATGTCCAGAAGCGACACCTGGGCGGCGGCGCAATCGCAGGCATCACCGTCGGCGTCGTCGTTGCCGTTGCCCTGCTGGCCATCTGCCTGTACCCGTGTCTGGTCTACCTCAAGCGCCGCCACAGAGGCAGAGGCACGTCGCACGCAGCGTTCGATGCCGAGGCGGCCATTGCTGCTGCTGCTAGCAACGCTTCCAACGGCGCAAGCAGCCCCCCCAAGCGCCTCTCGTCGAGCGACTCGTACAAGCACAAGGGGGAGTTGACGCGCGGAGGAAGCACCGACAACGACTGGAGAGCTGCCGCCGACCACAATGGATATCCTCTCCCTCTCAATGCGGCATATCTGCAGCCCGGCGACCCTGGCTTCGCCGACAATGCCCTTGGTGCAGAGTACAGAGTCAAGGCCGAGCCATTTCTGCCGCTGGGACTGGATGATGGCGAGTTTGCACCGCGGATATCGGCCGATCACCAGCCCGGCGTGCTCAAGGGCACCAGCGCCGACTACTACAGCCCTGATATCCCATCCGAGGCCTTTGGCATGGTCACACAGCCTGACCCTCCGCTCGATTCACCCATCCAGCCTTCCTCTTCTCGTTCCAGCTCATTTCGCTACAACATGAAGCAAATGTTCCGCCGCAAGAGCGGCAGGGACGCAACGCTGGATTCTGCATTTTCACAAGCAACCATCACCGAGCTGCCAGCTGACGGAGCAATTCCGCTGCAGACCAACATCACCGCCGGTGACCGGGTTGAATCTCCCGTTAGCCTCTCTGCTGCGTCTCTACCCCTCTCCCGCGCCTCTTCTCCTTCCCACCAGCCTGGTGTCGGAACGGAAGCTGAAGCCGAGCCAAGCCTGGGACCGGTCAGCCCTCCCGTGAGCAATGCGGCTGAAGGGGCTTCCAAAACGACGCCCCCAGAGTCGCCTCACTTGTCGTCATACCAGCAGTTCCGAAAGTCTCCCTCGCCTCCTGTCGCCGCTCCTGGAACTGTAAATCCCATGGACATTATGCCCGCCTCCACGGAAGCCGAGGTATGGCACAGGACGGAGCATCAGCTCTACGAGGCCTTCCATAAGCCGTCGCCAAGTGACCCCGCCAATGACACGGCCATGCCCTCTCCCTCCCCGACACCCCCTGAAACGCAAGCTCAGCCAACATTTACAGTACAAACCCCTGGTTCGACAAGTCGTACCGAGTTTGTCCCCGACTCAACTATTATTAATAACAACAGCAGCAACAACGGCAACAACAACAACTACAACAACAACTACAACAACAACTACAACAACAACATCAACAACAACACCAACAACGATAAAACCATCAACCACAACAGCAGTAATAACCAGCAGCAGCTCGATAGTGGCGATGTCGTTATGCTAGATGCAGCCACTCTTCCTCCGACCCACGACCACAGCTTGACGGCTCCAGACGGCCGGCATCCCAGCTACCCCTCCGATCAGTCCACCCCACTCCCCGGCCCTGCCTTTACCGATGTTTCATCCCAGAACACGCCCTCGACTCAGCTGGACACTCCCTCTCCGCAGTCCGTAGGAAGTTCTGATTTCCGCCATAGTGCGTCGCCACAATCGGGAGCCGGCAGCCACTCTCCCAGGACCGGCGTCTACCGATGTGAAGAGCCCGGCTGCAACCAAACCTTTGACCAGCCACACAAGCTAAAGTATGCTCAGACCTCCAGATGTTTTTTTTTGACCTGTTCCTTGACCATATTTTACTGCCTTTTATGGCCTCTTGTTGTAGATGGTACTAACTCTCTTGTTTCAGACATCACCAGCGATATCATAGCAAAGACCACAAGTGCCCATACCCAGGCTGTGGCAAGGGCTTTGGTACCAAGACTCATCTTCAAAGACACATTAATGACAGGCACGAGAAGAAGAAGAAATTCCACTGCTCTGTCACCGGTTGTGATTATTCTAGAGCAGGTGGCAAAGCATTCCCCAGAAAAGACAACTGGAAGAGACACATGATCAAGATCCACAACATTGAGCAGCAATCACTTCCGGAGCCTGTTGAAGTCGACATGGATGTAGACGGGTCATGACCAAAGCCTTCCCCTCGTCCTTAAAAAAAGTAGGAGACGGGGGGAGAGTAAACGAACCATGGAGACGTCCTCTAATAGGAAAAAAAAAAGATACCCTTCCCCTCCCCTTTTACACTATTCGATTGTTACAAACCTTGGCAACGCTTCCTCTATGCCTTTTGGTTGGTAACATGTTCTTCTTCTACTTCGTCTTTCGTTTCTAGCGATATTGGCCATTTCCTCACCCATCACAGAGTAGAGGACCTGACCAGGGAAAGGGGATATTTATGTGAGCTTCAGCAAGCGCTTGGATATTTTGCGAGATTCGCGAGGCGTTTTTTTTTTTAATCAACTTTAGTATTTTGTTTATTATACAAATAACCCTACTCCCCCCTCTCCCTTTGCTTATCATACTGGGGGAGAAGAGAATCAAACCAAACATTTTGGAAACGGGTCAAAGCGAGAGGTTTTTTTTCTCCTTGCTTTTTATCATATTTATGTTATTTAGGCAGGGGACAAACAGTACGCAATGGGTATATATATATAACATGAGCGGATAACCCCTTAAAACAATAAAATAAGCCAAGAAGCCGCTGATATGCTGCAATATTCTTTCTTTCTTGTTTCTTTCTTTCTTTCTTTCTTTTTTTTTTAATTTCCTTTTTTTTTCTCCTTTTTTCCTCCTTTGTCCCTGGTATTCCTTAGCTCAGCTCCTTGATTAGCTTTTTTACCAATTTCCTCTGCTCGTCTGCGCCGAGGGACTTTTGGTCGGTTTCTTGTATGGCTCTGCCGACCACGATGATGGTCTTGGTGCTATCACTGTCCACCCATAGCCGGCCGTTTCTGCCAGTCGCCGTCTCAAACTGAAGGCCGGCGTCGGCAAGCTCATCCAGAACCACGACCTTGCCCTGCTGCGCCTTCTTGGGCATCATCAGGAGGCGGGCCATGCCCACTGACACTGTGAATAGCATGCCTCCCACCAGCGGTCCGAGACCATCTGCCTTGCCTGTAGAGGCCGAGACACACTCGAGCTCGGCGTCCATGTGCTTGTTGGCCAGAGTGACGCGGGCGTATACCAAGGCCCCGGGCGCCAAGATGGGGCGCGTCTTTTTGGTGGCTGATTCGAATGAGAGCTGGGGGAGGAGAGCGGGAGCGGTGTAGTCGGAGAGGCTGACAAAGTAGACTTCTGAAGCAGACTTGTTGATGGTGCCGATGACGAGCTCGCCAACTCGCGGGATGTACTGTTCGTAGAGCTGTTGTTAGCCAATTGAAGCCGTGGAATGAGCCGTCTTATCGGGAAGTAGTGTGTGGCAAGCTTACTCTGCCGTTGGATGTCTCTACTCGGATTGCATTCTTCTGTCTGTCTGTCACCAGCTGGCCTGCCAGCGTTGGGAGAAGATCGCTCGGAGGGACATGGCGCAGGCCAGGACCTAGACGGACGGGCTTCTTGGGATGTGAGGGGATGAGGGAAGGGTCAATGTGATCGCCCGGCAGGACAAAGACGGGTTCTGAAGACATTTTTCTTGCAACAGCCGCAGCAGAAGATGCGCCAACAATCAATGAAGCGAATGAATGGCTGCTGATGGTGACGGCGATAACTCTGTCGCTTCAGCCTTGCGCGCGCGTCTTTCTCTGAATTAACCGATTTTTTTCTGGAGCTTTGCATGTGAGCACAGCTGATTGGCAGGATAAGAGATAAGATAGTGGAGGGGCATCTGCTTGATTGGCTCTAATACCACTCCATGGCGTTGTTTTAGCCTCTTGGCGGATTCGAACTGCGTTTGGCTGGCTTTTGCTTGAATTTTTTTTTTTTTGGGGAGGAAAAAAAAAAAAAAAAAAAATAGCCCCTCCACTAAGACCGACTACCAATCCAATCCGCTACTCTCTCTCTCGTCTTTAACGCCTCTTTTCTTTTGCTTTTAGGATTGAAGACGCATCAACAATCCAACAGCCCGTCTTTCTTTTTCTCCCTATTTCCGCTTCTTTTTATCCTTTCCCCCCTAAACTTCACAAACTCCTTTCCCAATGTCTGAGAGCAACGGCGTCAAGTCCGTGGTCGAGCCCGGCGAGCGAGTCGCTATCGGCATCACCTTTGGCAACTCCAACAGTTCCATTGCCTTCACTGTCGACGACAAGGCCGAGGTCATTGCCAACGAGGACGGTGGTATGTTTTTATGTTTTCTTTTTTCCCTTTTTTTCTTTCTTTTTCCTTGAATGGATGGATATAGGCGGGAGTTGTGGCGCTTCATGGCGGAGTGGCCTCCCATACGCCATGACCCAGTATCTGGCCGTTTCTCTCTCTCTCTCTCTCTCTCTTGCTCTTTGACTGACATGTTTTTTTCTTCTTTTTCTTTTTTGGGTACAGACCGACAGATTCCCACCACTCTCTCCTACGTCGATGGCGATGAGTACTACGGCACTCAGGCCAAGGCCTTCCTGGTCCGCAACCCGACCAACACCGTTGCCTACTTCAAAGACTTCCTAGGCCAAGAGTATGTCATGCCAACTACCTACACTTTCTATTGAGACCGAGTCGAGGAACAAGAAGAGGAATACGAGGGGAGGGAGAAGAAGAAGAAGAAGAAGAAGAAGAAGAAGAAGAAGAAGAAGAAGAAAAAGAAAAATCTTTGTACTGACGAAAATGCTGCTGCTAGATTCAAGTCAATCGACCCCACACACTGCCACGCTGCTGCCCACCCTCAAGACGTCTCTGGCACCGTCTCCTTCACCGTCAAGGACAAGGCCGGCGACGAGGCCGAGGCTTCCACCATCTCAGTTTCCGAGGCTGCCACCCGATACCTGCGCCGCCTCGTCGGCTCTGCCTCCGACTACCTGGGCAAGAAGGTCACTTCCGCCGTCATCACCGTCCCCACCAACTTCACCGAGAAGCAGCGCGAGGCCCTGATCAAGGCCGCCAACGACGCCGACCTCGAGGTTCTGCAGCTCATCTCCGACCCCGTTGCCGCCGTCCTGGCCTACGATGCCCGCCCCGAGGCCAAGGTCGAGGACAAGATTGTTGTTGTTGCCGACCTCGGTGGCACCCGCTCCGACGTCGCCGTTGTTGCCTCAAGAGGCGGCATCTACACCATCCTCGCCACCGCCCACGACTACGAGTTCTCCGGCGTCCACCTGGACGAGGCCCTGATGGACTACTTCGCCAAGGAGTTCATCAAGAAGCACAACGTCGACCCTCGATCAAACGCAAAGAGCCTGGCCAAGCTCCGACAAGAGTCCGAGGCCACCAAGAAGGCCCTGAGCTTGGGCACCAACGCCCAGTTCAGCGTCGAGAGCTTGGCTGACGGCTTCGACTTCTCCGCCACCCTCAACCGCACCCGATACGAAATGGTTTCCCGCAAGATCTTTGAGGGCTTCAACCGCCTGGTCGAGAGCGTTATCAAGAAGGCCGAGCTGGACGTCCTCGACGTCGACGAGGTCATCATGTGCGGCGGTACCTCCCACACCCCCCGCATCGCCACCAACTTCCAGTCCATCTTCCCCGAGTCGACCAAGATCCTCGCCCCTGCCACCAGCGCCACCGCCATCAACCCCTCTGACCTGCAGGCCCGCGGTGCCGCTCTCCAGGCGTCCCTGATCCAGGAGTACGAGGCCGCCGACATCGAGCAGTCCACCCACCCTGCCGTCACCACCGTCAAGCACATCTCCAACGCCATTGGTGTCGTCACCAAGAACGCCGACGGCGAGGACGTCTTCACCCCCATCATGCAGGCCGAGACCGCCGTCCCCGCCCGCCGCACCGTCCACATCGCCGCCACTGGCGATGTCCTGATCAAGGTTGTCGAGGGCGGCACCCACATCAAGGTCACCAAGCCCGAGCCCAAGGCCAAGGAGGACAAGGAAGAGAACGAGGACGAGGACGACTCTGACTTTGACGATGATGAGGAAGAGGAGGAGAAGCGCGAAAAGGTTTGGAAGATTGGCGAGGCCCTTGCCGAGGCTGCCATCAAGGGTGTTGGCAAGGATGGCAAGGTTGAGGTTACCATCAACGTTGCTGCGGATCTCAGCGTGACTGTGACTGCTAGAGAAGTTGGCGGAAAGGGTGGTGTCCGGGGTAACATTCAGGCTCCTTAAATGGAGAAAAATGATTGTTGAGAAGAGAGAGAAAAGAGGAAATATAATCGGGAAAAAAAGGGGGAAAGGCAAGCATTTTAGCATATATATGTGTGTGGTAGAAGCGTTGTCACAATGAACGAATGGGATGATGGCAGGGGAGGGCAAAATATCTTTTTGATTTTTATATAGATCTTTATGAGGTGAAAAAGAGGGCTTTGCTTTTGAGGCCCTTATTAGGGAAATAGAACAGAAATATGACCGATCCGTATTCTGGCTTCAGTGTAGGGGGGATAGAGAAAAAGAAGAGTTTCACCGTCAAGAGTGGCGAGCATTTCTCAACAAACATGGAAATATGTTTTATCTCTATTCATGGATGGATTGTAAGGCTGTATATGCGCATTACAGCCCCATTTCAGTGTGATGGCGAAAACGCCGATGAGTACCCAGTAGCACTAATTACAATCGTAAGAATATACATGAATCCTTGAGGAAGAGAAATTATAAGCCTGAAAAGATAGGGACTTGGAAGTGAAACAAGAAGAAACGTATCAAAAGACAATTCGCCTCGCAAGCTAGGGGGGGAAAGAGAAGAAAAGCAAAGACAAAAGAAAAAAAAAAAGAAAAGGAAAAAAAAAAAAGAAAAATGCAGTTCCCATCTTTTGAATAATTCACGCAGACACCATCCCAGGTAAACTCCACGCTACCAAATCATCCCTCACGTCCGACTCCCGAATCTCCTTTGTCCGCTTCATGTGATCCCTCTCGCGCTCGCTGCTGCCCATTGTCGGCGCCGCGCTGACGAGGCTGCCGACGCTCCTTGTGCTGAGCATGTCGTCGTCTCGCGAGGGCGTCTCCCTGCCGTCCTCGCGGAGGATGCGCACGCCCTTCCTAAGGCGGTTGAACCCGCCGCCGGTGACGGTTGAGACGCTCTTATCGCTCGAGCCGCTGGGTGTGCGGTGATGGTGGGGGCGTGGGCTGCTGGGGGGGTTATAGGAGTTGTTGCTGCCGCGGCGGAAGTGGTTTGACGAGCCGGAGTGGTTGCGGCGGTGGTTCATGCCCATGCGGCGGAATTCGTTGGGCCGGAGGGTGCCATCCTCTTCATAGTCGTCATCTTCAGAATCTGGGCTGGTGGCGCTTCTGTGCTTTGTTCTCCAGCCGTTCCCACCGGCGAAAATGTCCTCGATGCACTCATCGGTATGGAGTTCAGAGGGCTGCCGAGTCCAGGAAGCTGCGAGAGTTCGACGATATAAATCTTGGACCTCAGCAACATCTCTATTCTTAGATAAATTTGGCAGAGCTGTGGGAGGAGATCAGTATCAGCATTAGTATCAGCATCAGTATCAGTGTCTGCATCGGCATCGGCATCGGCATCGGCATGGTGCGTGACAGTGTGACGGCGCAGACTCGGCAGAAAGATCGACTTACGTCCTAGAACTTCATCTTCATTCTGTTCTGGAGCCATGAAACCCGCAATTCCCCCAAACACTGGGGCCGTCTTCAATGGTGGCGCAATAAAGCTGCGTTCACCGTCCACTTGGATGAGCAGGATACTAATCTTGAGGGTGCTGTTGACTTTGCTGTCCTGCATGAGATACCTGCGGACGATGCCCTCTTCAGCATCTCTTTGGACTTCGTCGGACAATTTCAAGTCGTTGGCACTCGTTGGGCTCCCTGAGCTATTCGTTCGTTTTCTAGTCGAAGGCAAAGCATTTATCTCTCTCAAAAACGTTTCGCTCTCCTCAACATATTCAGCCAGGTTGAGCTTGATGTGGCCGAGTGAAATCTTCTCTGTGAGAGCAAATTCTTGGACAATTTCGAACTCTATTAGACACTCATTGAGGCTGTTGCTCTTGTCGACGGACATGCGAACGCCTGTTATTACTTTGTTGAAGCTGTATTCCACCCGATGATTGGCGATGGCCGCCTTGGGCGTGCGACCGCGATGGTCGGCATGCATAGAATGCGGTAGATGCCATTTGATGAATGAAGTTCCAGAAACAAGAGGTACGTTGTTTAAATCATAAATCTAGTAGTCGAGCGGAAGCGCAAGCGTTAGATGAACAGTCAAACCACATACGCGTAATTGAAAAGAATACGTCTCATCTACGTATCGTAAGTCGTAGCAGTAGTGGCTCACCTTTAGATGAAGTTCAAATTTGGGCTAAATATAGCAGAGCAGTGTTAGTGGTACGGTACGTTTCATTGATACAAGGTAAGGGTGAGCGCCGAGATGGCCACCGAATCGCCTCACCTTGCGCCCCTTGCCGACTGAGGGGAAAAAAGAAGGCATGTTAGTCGTCAAATTCTCACGTGTAAGCACAACAACAACAACAAGTCTATCACAAACAAGTCTTTCGGATATGCCGGGAAGAGAGACAAATTTCACCAGGCTAGCTCACTTGAGCTGAAGAAAGACATGAGCAGAGAGAAGCAGAGCAAAACAAAAAGCACCGACAAGAATAATAACAGACAAGGTGGAAGGGAAAAAGAGAGAAGAGCCGCAGCAGTAGGGGCCACGTCCGCTGAAAAGGCTGAAGGAAGCAGAGCATGCGGCGCACCCACGCATGCATGACAGGCCGCCGTGCCCAGTCGGCCCGTGATAGTTCACCACATAACAAAACGGGAGAGATTCATTGGCTTACTCAGGGTAGCCATTGCAGGCTAATAGAAACCAAGCACCAATGCCGGCAAGGCCTAGGCCGTTTCACTAGTATGACTTGGTTTGATGCTGCAGAATATGATACTGCAGGCGATGAGTTTAAAAAAAAAAATGGGAACTGGAATTGAAGCTCCGACGCTACTGTAATAGTGGTAGCAACACGAACCGGTAAGGACTAGCCGGCGAGGATGGATTCCGGCGACTTTTTGATGCTGGAGCGTGGGGGGTGATGAGATGAGATAAGACGGGACGAGACGAGACGAGACGAGACGAACTTGGCCGGAACAGGTTGTCGAGAATGCGGAGCCAAGGATGGTGGGCGAGCGCGGAATGGCGGACTGGCTCTCTCGCTTTCGGGGCCTGAACTATCGCAGCGGCCTGGCGTTGGAATGCGGACGTTGCATCGCCATTCGGGCTGGCTGCGAGGTCTGGAGGCGCGTGCTGCGAGCCCCTATTGCGAGATGAGATGTGAGACAGATGAGCTGCATGCTATCGTGGGCGTGCCATGGATACGCGTACCTTTTCAGGGATGAAAAAAGAGCTCTATAAATATGAACCCGGCCCTACCGATTCGTATTTGCGGACGGTGGTAGCGTCGTTTGTCCGACAAGGGGTGTGGCAGTTCCGATATTGCCACCTTGGCGAGACGGTGGTGATGATTTCGAAGGGAAAGTCAAGAAAGAAAATGAAGAGACAGAGAGAGAGAAAAGCGTAGTTTGGATGAAAGTTTGCCTTTAGAGAGTTCAGGGCGTCAAAAGCTGTAGAGACTTGAAATATGATTGACTTCGGCAGACTCGGCAGCGCATCCGTGCAATGGCTACTATCATATGGATCTCCAGATTGATTATTGGGGTCGTTGGAAAGGTGGAGAAGAAAAGTGTGGGCAGCAAATCCGGCCATTGGTCTTGCAGCAGTGGTGGGATTCAGGCATGTGCTGTGCCGAATTATAGAGCTGTCGTTGCTTCTTTAGCACGTGGGAAGCGGCCACTGTAGGCGGTAGACTCGCTGACAGACAGCCAAGGCGGAGCCCGATACGGGGCACGGCAGCCTATATTGCAGCTCCAACAGCCCAAAGCAGCGATTACTAGGTACTTACGATGCAATTGCTCTCACTCTCATGCCTTGCCGCTGTATCAATGAGCGGCCAATGGCGCGTTGTTCCAGCGCCGAATAGGGGAGAATATTGCTGTGCCTTGGGTAATCCAGCGTCTTGGGAGACTGAGGGCCTGATGGAAGCCTCCCATTGGTGATGTCATGGCGCACAACATCCCATCAGTGCCGTCAACGCCGCCAAACCAATCAATGGAGGCTGCTGTAATGCACTTCCTTCAGTGGGTCGCGCGCATGGCCGACAGCTAAAGCAGCTCATCCACCGGGGCGCTTATCGATAAGCCATTCCACCCCAGAAAGTTTCCAAACCAGAGTCGCCATCACCGCACCAAGCCTGCATTCAAGAGCGCAATTGGGCTCTTCCAAAGCTCTCCAGCCCGCCATTAAAATGGCCGCCCCCCATTCGACAGGAGGGCAATCTGGCCCAGCCTCCAAAAAGCGCGGCCCCCCAGCTCCCGGAGGCCGTAGCGACGCCTTCCTCCAGAAGCGCGCCAAGGTCTACGCTGCACGAAATATCCCAGCTCAGCCTGCCGATGCCGCGCTCAAGGATGGCGAGCTGGATTTGGTGGCCTTTGTGGCCGCTCACGAGTTTGAGATCCGCGCTCTCGAGCAGAGCATGGCCGCGTCCAAGGCTGTGAGGAGCAGCAGGGCGTTCCAGCAGGTGCCCCGCGGCTTGAGAAGACGGACAGCGAGTCACAACCCCAAGCGAGTGCCACGGAGACTGCGGGCAAGGGCGAGGAAAGAGATGCACGAAGATAATACGCCCCTGGTCGAGTCTCGAAAGAGGAAACCAACAACGACGAGAGCAAGGATACGAGCTCAGACAGCCAAGAGACTACGGATACTCGCAGCGCGGAAGAGAAAGAAGAAGGAAAAGAAGAGCAGCGAGGCTTCCGCCAAAGCTAATACCCAGGGCTCCAACGAAACCACCAAAGATGCTGGCGTCGTGGGGAGGAAACCAAGGCCCAAGATTCGAAGAAACGCGCTCAACGAGCCTCCCAAGCCACCCGCAAAATTCAGGAAGCGCCAGATTGACAAAACATGGCTCCCCACCCATCGATGGCACGCAAAGAGGGCTCGAATGACGGAACCCAAAGAGCCTCTGTGGCGCTTTGCAATCCCCTTGACACCAAACGAGAAGATTTACCGGCCAACCCACAGAGCGCAGGGAGAACGAGGCACCATGGTTTGGGACATGACTTATATGAGTACTATTGGCTTATACGGAAACTACGCCGGCTTGGTGAGAGTCCTCCAAAAGGTCGGGGTCACGCATGACTCCTGCTGGAACGATAAGGGAAGAAGATGGAGACAGGGTACCCGGGCCTGGACTGGCGTCTTGAGCAGAGAGAGAGCTGGAGTCCAACGGCCAATGTGCCAATCTACCGTGATTTGGGACCCCGAATCAAAACAAAGTGTCGACGCAGGAGACGAAGCAGGAAGAGAACCAGAACAAGGCAGAGATGAGAAAAAGATCCAGAGGCGGGTCTTTATCAGGGTTCACCCTTCAGCTTTTCTGGAGCTATTCAATGAGCTGCTGCGCTTGACAAAGATGGAGAACCCTCGGCTGTACATTGAAGATCTTCGCTTCGAAATCGGAAGCATAGAACTCTCTGGTCCCGCATCCACAGAGGCATTGCTGTCTGTCCTGTCGGCGTATCCTTCGGGGTCAAACTCAAAGAACAAACATGCCGAGCTATTCGAATCATTAAAGGGGCTAACGAATCCAGCGGCTCTACCAAACAACTCAGTATTAAACTTTACCATCCAGGATCCTCGATTACGATACCCGCCGCGGAAGATGGAATTTCCAGAGACTGAACAGGCTCAGATGCATCTTCTAGAGACAATCGCCAGCTGGCCGGCTGAAAAAAATCTACAGCCATCACTCTTATTCGACCGAAATGTCCGCCACAGAGCCTCATGTTTGCCATCACAAAAGTCCATCAACAGGCGAAGGAGTAAAGTTACCCCTGGCGTGCTTCTGAAGCCAACAGTTCTAGACCCTGCCATCCCAATCACTCTCATCGCATCTCGTTCCGCAGTCGGCACACAAGCACAGGGAACATGGACTCTGCTTGCTCCCTGGAAATGTATCCTTCCTCTGTGGTACAGCATCGTCCACTGTCCGCTCGTCTCGGGCGGCAACCCGCGGTTCGCAGGCCTGAACGAGACGATGCAAGTTGCCTTTGAGCGCAGCCTCCCGTGGTTCCCGGCCGACTTCCTCGGCACGGATGCCGGCGCAGAGTGGGAGCTTGAGCGGAGGCGAATACGCAAGAGAGACTGGGCGAAACGCCCCAAGAGCAAGAGGGTTGAGTGGGCATCCCTTAGTTTGGGCGCTGGGCGACAGGGGGAGATAGGTGACGGACATGCTTGCGATTTTGAATTCCTGTTTGGTCTTGGACAGCAGCAGCATCAGGTTCATATCAAAAACTCAAAGCCCCCGCCAGATGGCCATGATTCGGGAGAGGCAATGGACGTCGACCGAGCAGACCCGGAGCCAGCGACTGTCAAGAAGAAGGGTGTTGGCGTCGACGAATTGCCATATCTCAAGCTGTTGACGAGCATCTCCAAGGCCACATTCAACAGTCTCGTCTCATCGCCTGCGGTCGCACCTTCGCCGCTTCCCCCAAATCCAATCGTCTGCGTCCGGATCTCGCTTCTTTCACGAGGCGTTGTTGGCTCATGCGCGAGAATCTACCGCCTCCCTGCTGTGCCTACTCCCATACCACCATCTTCCGAAATCGAAGTTCCCTCAAGCATACCACCAGAATCACGCTCTCTTCCATCCAATCTCCGTTCGCAGTGGCTTTCTCGCATCCCCTCATCTTCATCCACCAGCTCATCATCCTCTGCAAAGTCAAGCCACCACCAGCAGCAGCAGCGGCAGTCGTCTTCGCGTTCTCAGTCCCAACAGACAGACATGGAAGTACGAAAGCGCCTTCTAGCACAGGAGCTTCTCGCTCCGCCGCCAGACTTGGAAACCATCTCGCTGTCGCCCAACCAGTTCGACATTGGAGGGCACCCGCTCGTGCCCGATGCGGAAGATCTCATCGGCTTCGTCAGCACGGGCTCATTTTCTCTTGCCAACGGGCGAGGGGCCGCCATTGGCAGCATAGCTGTGGAGAAGGTGTTGCCGGATGTCAAGGCGAACCCAAAGGAGGGGAGACTGTGTATCGTGAGGAATGCGGGCGAAAATGTCGGCTGGATTGCAAGATGGGATGTCGTTTAGCGTACTTTTTAGATAGAAGCCTGGGTTTTTTTTTGTATTGTGTTGCTATCGATGAGCACTTGGTTTCATGAGATGATGATGATTGCTCTCTTGCAACATGGGGTAATAGAGCTGCAGCTAGCCTGGTATCAGTAAGCGCCGTTTCGACTAAAACGGCCGCCTAGTCGAAGATCTCCGGGATGCAGCTGCAACTAGCATCAATATGACGATTTAATAACTAAGCTAGAGTCAGTATTGGGACCCCGTGAAAGGCGCCGTTGACAGAACCGCACAAATTCTGGGGTATAAATATCCAACGGCTCTACCGAAGTAAGAACAAAAAGAAAGAAATCTTTCATAAACTCCATCGTGGGCAATCACTTGGTTTATGTCATATTAGCTGCACCACCATACTACCAGCTAGCCTCATTACTATTATCACGCTTGCCTCAGCTTCACGCGAAAAGACAAGAGCCCAAGGGAAAATGGCTTCTTCAAGCGAGAAACCCGAAACAATCACAGGCGGCTGTCTCTGCGGATCGATTCGCTACATTGCGACTTTCCCACCAGACCACGATTTTACCGACAGCGTGAGTTTAAAATCTCTCTCTCTCTCTCTCTCTCTCTATTATCCTCTTCCTAAATCCAAAGCGTGAAAAACACCATCCAAGGTTTTGTTTGATATTGAAATTGACATAAATGATAACCACAACCCCAGTCAACAACATGCCAATGCGAGCAATGCCGCAAAAACACCGGGTCTCTCATCTTCCACTCCCACAAGCTCCCCAAGTCCGCCGTCGAGTTCACGTCCAAGTCGACGCTCAAGCTCTACTCGGCCACGCCACACTTTGAGCGCGGGTTCTGCAGCAACTGCGGGGGCCTCCTCTTCTGGCAGAGGGACCACGGCGAGGACATCTGCCTCACGGTTGGGTGCTTCGACAGGCCTGTTTTGGAAAAGTACGGGCCCCTGTTGACGTCGGCGAAGAGGCACTTGTTTTGCGAGAGGGAGATTCCTGGCGTCACCGATCATCTACAGGGGGACAAGTATCCAGGTGATTGTGATTGAGCTGTATCTATGTTTGAATAAATAAATTTTGTATTGTAACTACCTGGTGTAACTCATGTGTATCCCGTAGCATGTTAATTATGCCGAAAAAAGAAAAAGAAAAGGCAGCCGCTGATACATAAGAATAGTCTGCTGAAATAATAAAGAGAGAAAAGAATAGGAATAAAAAAAAAAGAAGCATCATTCTCGCTGGTGGTATCAAGCGCAGTTGGCTTATTCCGACGTTGTTAAAAGAAGAAAAAAAAGCCCATATAACCAAGGATTAAAACTCCAGTCGGGTGTGATATTAGAACACACACACACACACACATACACACTCATAAAAACCCATCAGTTCTCCCTTTTTTGTCTTCCGTACATGGTGACGATAAATTCCCATCCCAAACAAGTTGGCCAGTCAGAGACATGTCTAGTCTTCTTCACTAATCTCGCTTTCATCATCGTTGTTGTTATTATAGTAGTAGCCGCTGTTGTTGTTGTTGCCATTGTCCTGGTCGTTGTTATCCAGTTGATCAAAAGCATTTTCCAGCTCTTGTTCCAAGTCGTACTCGAAATCACCGCCAGCCTCTGCCTCGCCAGCCTCTTCGGCCTCTTCAGCTTCCTCCTCTTCCTCTTGGTCAACATCCATGGGTTCTGACTGAGCTTGGCTACCATTCTTGACTGGACTGGGAAGCTTGAATGCCGCCTCGGTATCCTCGTCCATAGCCTCCTCGTCTTCTTCCACTTCGGATTCACGCTGATCCATGAAATCATCGAAGCGACGAGCAATGGGAAAGGCGGGCGAGAAATGGTGAGTCGGCCGGGAGGGTGCTTCTGCACCCGGATATTCAATGAGGAGATCATCATCGTCGTCTTCTTCTTCTTCTTCTTCGTCATCATCTTGGTCTCTCTTCTTTCGGGTCTCTTCCGGCTTTGGTGGTTCTGGCACAGGCAGCGCAAGCTCAATCTTTTTGGGCAGAGGCTTCTTTTCAAACTTGCCACCTGATAGCCTCTTCTCCATATTCTTCATCTCGTGAATTTTTCTCTCGACAGCGCTCTTCTCGACCATCTTCTTCGCCGTCGGCTTATTCTCAGCCGACTTATCGGTCGGCTTCTTGTCTATTGATTTCTTCTCCAGCAACTTCTTCTCTAACAAGAGCTTCTTCTCCATTGGCTTCTTCTCTTTCTCCAATGGCTTCTTCTCCTTGTCAGAAGCGAGCTTCTTGTCCACGAGCTTCTTCTCGACGGGAGGAGGTTTCTTCTCGACGAATATCTTGTCGGCATGCTTCTTTTCTCCCAGCTTCTTTTCCAACGGCTTCTTCTTCTGCATTTCCTTGGTCTGTACCGTGATGCTCTTGTCATCGGCCTTTGCCGACGACTTCAGCTTATCCTTGCTTGAAGCACTCTTCTGGTCTGCCGCCTTTTGCGATTGGCCACTTCCCAAGTGAGGGTGTCGCCGGCGCAAATCATCGGGATTGCTGTTTCCAGGAGTGCGCGTGAGGTTCATGTTGAATGTCGAGTCGACCTTGTCGAGGATGAAGGCCTTGCGCTCGGGGTCGAAGTAGAGCACATAGTCGCCATCGTCGGTGGAGCGCGTTCCGGCAAATCCAACTGTTCCTTCGGCACTGGAGAAGTTCAAGTCATACGAGCTCGTCTTGCCGGGGATGGAAGGCTTCAAGCGTGCGTCGGATGGCGGGAAGGCAGGCTTGTGATTATCTGTTTAGCAGAAGCCGATTCGTTAGCAACTCGCTGTTATTGTGTTTGTCCTCTCGGACGGGATACCGCAAGATGCGAAGACGACGACGACGACGACGACTACTACTACTACTACTACTACTACTTACAGCGAATGCCAGTAAAGATCTCGTTGGAGGGTTTGCCCAGCAGCCCAACGCCCAGAATCACGGGATAGTTGCCCTTCATTGTCGGGTCGATCAGATCAGCCATGGTGGGCGAGTGACCCGCACCGAGCGAGCGGTAAATGGCCGGAGCAGGTGACGCAAGAAACGGTTCTCGGGCTTGGTCGGTCTAAGTCTTTTTGCTTCGATTTGGTCGGTATTTGGTTGTGAAGACAGAACCTGTCCGGCAACAAACAACCAAGGACTCGGGCACGGCGGCAGTGGTTTGTTATGGCGATGGCGAAGATGACGATGGGGAGGATGGGGAGCAGGGCCAAGACCGAGACTTGGAGAGCGACAAGGGTTCGCAGCAACAAGACAAGGGGCGCACAGACTTTGGAGGCGTTCTCCTTCCGCAGCAGGTAGCCTCGCGCCCAGCGGGGGCTTCCGTAAGCTTGAAGCAGTTGAGGCGAATACTTTATTAAATGGCGCCCTCTGTTTGCCCGCAGTTGCACTGTATGTACCTGTTGTAGAGGGATATGAGAAGCTACTAAGTACTAGGTAGCTACTAGTAGCGATTATTTACCTAAGTAGCTCATATTAATACATAGTAGGTATGAGCTAGGATACTAGTAGATGGAGTAGGTGTACTGTGATGATTACAGGCAGTCTTTATCGTTGCTATTGGTTTGGCAACAAAGCAACTGTCCAAAGACCTCATTCCATTATGTGGGCATGTACAAACACTTCGTTGTTCTACAGAAGAAGCCTGGTCACACGAGAAGAGGGGATAAAGGGACTGTCGGAAATCCCGAGCCTCAGCTCGTCACTCATGCCTTACAAAGCCCCCATCAGCTAGCCTCTACGATACAGTGTCGTGAATCGCAAATTACAAATTGCAAAGTCAAAAATCATATGCATCGAGTGCTCATGGATTGATGATCAACGTACCCGAGAAGTATAAAGAAAACTTCAGTGGGACAGACAAAGACTTTCCTCCTCCAAAGTGTATTTACGCAGACCACAAAGAGACCAAGGTTCGTCACGAAGGCGCGTTAGCCTCGTACAGTACTAGAACATTCCCATCTCTATGCGTAAAACCTAGCGAGGAGTGATTTACTTTATTTTACAAGTTCGTCCCAATCGTTTATGCAAAAATTGGAAGTCAAGCCTTGTCCTTTCCAAGCATGCAAAGAGGTCAACGTTATACAAGGACCGTTCTGCTCGTAGCGCTTCGCAAACGCTCTGCTGTTGGGGGAAAGCGAGTGGAATTAACACAAGTTGGCGGGCGCCAAAGGGAAAATCAAAGAGATTCCAATTGACCTGTTGGGGGATACGAGGTGGCTGAAGTAATGCCCGCTGGTGGGCACAAGTTTAAGAGAAACTGACGAAGCAAATGCCCACAAACACTTGTGAACTACAGCACGGCTATCACTGTTGACCATTTGATTGAAAATGCAAATCTCCATAATGACAGGGTTGTCTGCTCTGCGTCAATCATGTACAGTAGAGCGGCTGCATGTCACAGGCTGAGTGTTCCAAACTTGTGGCCCACTGTAGCTTATCCTACCCACTTCGGCCTTGTCATCACAGCCACTACCACTACCTCGTAGCCTCGACTCTCCATCGTACCTATTCTTTGTGTGTGTGTTCAATACCTCAGCTCTTCTCTCTCTGCATGCGTGTCTTGTCTCGCCTTCTACCTCTTGGCTTCTATTACTAGGCCTTCGTATTATCTCACTTAGTCACGCATTCTCCAGCCTTTCCTGCGCCTCCACCCCAATCTGCGCGGATTCCGTCCAGAGCTCGATCCAGCTGGCGATCCCCTAGTCAGAGACGCCACAGCCTCTCCTTCATTGCGACTCCTCAGGCCAAACTGCCATCTCGCCTCTCACATCGCCTCTTCTCTCCCCCAATCTTTGTTGTTTCCTCCTCCATACGGCAGCCATGCTTGTCTCCCTGACCGTCGGTAAGGTCGACGCAGGAGTCACAGTGCTGCTGACCCCAGACAAACGCCTGGTATGTCTCGCATGCAACCTGGCCTGTTTTTTTTTTTTTTTGTTTTTTGGAAGTGGACTAGCATGTCCATTCTAACTCTCTCGCCTCTCAAAATTACTATACATTGCTATAACTAACCAATTGATTGCTATTTTCGCGCAAATATAGATTGAGTTCCCGTCCATCCTGCTGCCTCCCAATATCTCCTCCGGTAGTATCGTGGACATCACCGTTGGCCGCAACACCACAAAGGAAGCCGCTGCCGAAGACCAGTTTCGCTCTCTCCAAGACCGCATCTTCCAGTCCTTTGGCGCCTCCGAGCCAGCTGCGCCAATCCTGCGCTGCCGCAATGCGACGCAGACTTCCGTTGTCCTGGAATGGGACCCTATCGAGCTCGCTACCGCCGACTTGATATCTCTGAGCCTGTACCGCAATGGGCAAAAGGCCGGCAACATCCCGCGGCCGCTGGAGATGCACAGCACCAAGATCAGCGGCTTGGCCGTCGACACCGAGTACAGCTTCCACCTGGTTCTGCGGACAAGCGCCGGCACGCGAGCAAGCGAAAAGGTGGTCGTACGAACCCACAAGATGACGGATCTGAGTGGAATCACCATCACAACGGGCATCTTGCCGGCCGCGACGAGAGAGAGCCTGACCCGAGCGGTGGAGCGAATCGGGGCCAAGATTGTCGACGGCGTTCGCATCGACACGACGCACTTTGTCACCACAGAAGGCAGAGGAACGGCCTGGGAGAAGGCTGTGGAGAACAACATCCCCGTGGTGCGGCCCGAATGGGTGACGGCCTGCGAGCAGAATGGCAGAATCTTTGGCGTGACCAAGTTCTATCTTGACGTTATGCGGCCAGGACCCCCCAGCGACGACCAGCTGCCTCCTCCTCCGGCAAAGGACCTGCCTCCCAAGGACCTGCCGCGACGACCATCGCCGCAAGAGCAAGAAGCAGCTGGCAAGAAGTCTCCAGAGAGCAGGTCTCCCCCGACGGGACCAGCACCACCAGCAACACCTCCCAACGGGAAGAAGAGCCCAGAGAGTGGAGCCGAGGCTGGATCCCAGGCACCCGCAGACGCAGAAAACGAGTCCGATGCCCAGGAAGAACAAGAAGAAGGCGAAGCAGCAGAGCCAAAGGCCAAATCCACAGAGCAGAAAGCGAGGACCAACGATCAGGCCGAGCAAAAGGTCCGTCTAGAAGACGTACAGGGACAACTGCGACCCGGCGGTTCGCAAACAGCCATAGTGGAAGAAGTTGCTGAGGGCGAGGAGGAAGACGAAGACGAGGACGAAAACAAGCCAGCATCGCCGCCAGACGGAGCCTCATTCCAAGAAGTGGAGCTGTAGATGTACATGTGTGTATGCTAAGCGTATGCCCCCTATCCTATCTGACAGCCCTATCCAACTCGGTCCAATTTACATTGTGTAATTAATATCCTATGCGCTGCACGTTTTCTTTTACGAAAAGAGAGAGAGAGAGAGAGAGAGAGAAGAAAGAAGCAGAATAGAGGAGATCTATGATTGATGTTTTTTTGTTGTTTGTTTTTACAATGGAGAAAAGGGCTCTACGGGCAGGCAAGAGGGAAAAGACAAAATCGTGGCGTGTGCGATTCGTTTACCAGAAATACCTTGTTTTAATTTGAGTTGAGTGCGGTTTACAAAGAGCTATCGTCCAATAAATCAAGCATGGAAACATATTAGTAGTAGTCGAGTAGCACATAAACCAAGCTCAAGGGAGAACTTCAGTTCCCTTCCAGTCCCAGCATCTTCCCCTATCACTCACTCCAAGCCCACAAACCACATCTACAAGTTTCTCAGCTGCATATTCAGCGCTAAACAGCTTCTCCTTGGGCACGCCGCCCCAATAGTCCTTGCTCAAATCCGTCTTGACCGTGCCGGGGTGATACGCCACCGCCATTGCATTATCGCCTGCCCTGTTGCGCAGATGTATATCAAGGCTCTTGGTGAAGCTGTTGACGGCAGCCTTGCTCGCGCGGTATGAGAACCATCCGCCAGAGCGGTTGTCAGTAGTAGATCCCACCCTTGCCGACATGTTCAGCCAAGTAGCGTGCCGAGGCAGACGCAATGATGTTGCCTCTTCCTCAGCTTCGTCCTCATCATCTTGATCCTCCCTCTCCTCGTCTTCTTCGTCATCTTCATCTTCATTATAGTCATAGCCGTTGTAGCCCGGCATCGCCGTCGCCTTCCTAGGCAAGAATCCGAAAAAGTGCTTTGCCATGAGCAATTGTCCCACAGCATTGATTCGAAATGAGTCCAAAGTAGCCTTTGCATCAACCTGCGCCAGAGACTTTTCTGGATTCAATAGCACTCCCGGGAGGACGCAGGCAAGATGCAAGTGATGCGATTTCTTGGGAAACAGATTCTCTGCCTCTTTGGCGGCAGATTCAATGGTGGATTCATCAGCCACGTCGCATCGGACGACAGAGAGGCGCTTTGATAGCTTGTCCTGCAGCTGTGATGACGATGGAGACGGCGAAGACGAAGATGAGAATGATGACGACGATGAAGAAAAGACATCTTTGAGGATTGCGGCCTTGGCAGCTGCCAGGTCGGAATGACGCGTCGTCGCAAGAATCGGGATGGACGAGCGAGATGTGTTTCGCAGGAGATGGCAGGTGAGGGCATGGCCGATGCCTCTGCTAGAGGGGCAAATGAAGATCCAAGGCGTTGAAGACATTGGCGTTGCAAGGCCGATGGATTCGTATAGCTTACGATACTTGCACTTCAATTTAGTTATTGATTGAACCTTGATGGGAAAATACGAGAGGTTTGAACTTCGCTGCGTATAAGCGTGGCCTCTTGCAGGGGAGCCCGCCACATTGCATCATCGAAGAAGGCATAGCGGCATCCCCAGTTTATTGAGTTGGCTGTGAAGAACAAAACCATTTTGATGGTGCAAGTGGAAAGTTGCTGCATAAAATCGTAAATATACACCAGTCTGAGAAATCGGCAAAGATGGGAGAAGGTGTAATTTGTAAGACATTCATTCATAGTGTAAGAGCAGCATAAAGCGGGAGTACTACGCGGTGTAAGTCAGACCAAGGTAGGACCTATACCTCGAGCGCATTGCATAAACAATTCCCCTTACCAAATACATACATGCATGGAAACAGTGTGATAGAAGTGATTAAGCGACAAGGATTACTGGAAATGTTTGCCGACCGGTATTATTGAAAAAGAAAAGGCTGCGCGCTAAGACTATCGTGACTCTGGACGAGGCGAGACGAGGCAAACACTCTTACATTTCGCCTTTGACTGTTCGTAGTAGTGAGTATAAATCAATCCATTAGCATATAGAATCTGTATGGATAGAGATTGCCTCGCCTTGGAAGATGATTGATTGGTCGTGGACGGTGGTGACTGCAGTTGTGGCTGCATAAAAGATTGCTTTGCCTCTCACTATCATCTCGCCCCCGTCTTCAGCCGCTGGGTTCCTTACCACACAAGAGGTAAATCAAGCCAGCAAAAGCCCAGCGGCTCATTTTCTCCATTATTTTTTTTTTTTTTTTCAACATTGTCCCTACAAATATTGACAGACACCGTCATAAAGATGAATTCGAACATGACTCGAAACAAGTGGGATGAGCCTCCCATACTCTGCCCTCGCGAGCTCAAAGGACTGCTTCGCGCAATGCAAGGCGTGGATAGCCATCGTCTAGACACCCAAGGACGCAATTTCATGCACCTCGTAGTTACCGGAGCCACGGATGGTCGTGCGGCGAGGCTCATTCCATTTCTCGTCATGGCTGGCGTGAACATTAACCAGAAGGACGAGAATGGAGTGAACGCCTCTATATGTCGCCGCGGCCAGAAACACCGTTTTCTTGGACCACGCCAATTTTTCTGCCGTCGAAGCATTGCTCGCCTGTGGTGCCGATCCGGGGCTGTGCGAAAGGAAAGAGATGGGTTGGACTCTCTTCCATCAGCCGCTCCGGCCGTCTGGCAATGATGGCAAAGACATGACAAAGGCTCGCGAGAGGGCGCTGAGACGACCATCAGGATGGACACTGGGCCTTGACTCGCACACGAGCAATCCGGACTTGGACTGTTCGGGACCACTCCTCGTCAACGATGCGACTCCGCTGTTTTTTGCGGCAGCCCATGCCCAAGACAAAAGTATCATCCATTGCTTGCTGGTCAACGGCGCCGATCCCAACAAGCCAGTACGAAACAAGGAAAACATGGCCTGCAAGAAGGAGAAGGTTGAAACGATGCTCGGTGCTCTTTTCCGCCATTGGTGGCATACTCCAGGCCGCATCCGCTCAGCCTCGTGGGAAGTCGCCAGACCCATCATCGAGGACCTTTTGTCCTTTGGCGCCATCCTGGATGCCGTCGATGAAGAGCCATCTGCGCTTGAATAAGCTTACTGGTTCCCCACAGTGCCGGATGCTTGGGGATCACGACCTCTTGATTCTCCTACTGGGGAAAGCACAGCGCCGCAATATCTCGTACGAACATCTGCAAAAGGTCAGTGTTGGTGTTTGCCGCCGCCTCTGGAGCGCCGCAAACCGGGACTTCGAGATACCTTCGCACAATTACATGGAAGCTCATGCAATTTCGCCAAGAGATTTATCTCAATGGTGACGTCAGTTCAGAAGATGGAGATGGAGATGGAAAAGATGATGACGATCATATATGGCCATAATAAGCGCGTTTGTGTTTGAGGAGCTACATATTTAGCCGCGGGTTTGGTAATGCATGGATGGGCAACGCGAAGTGTTTTACTATTTTTAGTTTTTGATTTTCTCTTGAAATTAAGAATGGCAGGCAAGGCAATAGTAATAGCAATCGATTCGACCTATTTTTCTTCTTCTCTGCGTAGCGAAAATGAGACACTCATCACAAACCTGGCACAATTTCCTAGTCCCAAAGCAAGCACTCCCAGCAGTCCTAATAAAGGCGCTGTTTCAGGGCTGAAGGTCAAGCAAATTTGAAATACATAAAAAAAATTGTAAAATTATACTGTACATAAAAAGTGCACAACTAACTCTTTTTCGCATTCTGTGTGCACTTTTTAGATTGTCGATTTCGTCGGTTTGCAGTTGGCGCGGAGGCAAGGGTCAGGCAACTCAGAGAAGAGGGGCAGAGAAGAGAATTGATTGGTGGGACTTTGTGTCCTTTCCTTATCCAAAAAGGCAAAAAGAAGGAGCAAAACAAGATAATCGAGTTGCTTCTGATATGTCGGTGTCGTAAGCAGCTGTAACACAAAAAGCATATCATTAATGATACTGCTAATGCTATTATTAAGACGGCAGTTGGTGGTGGTGTTGCGCGCGTAGCACAAGCTTGATATTGGGTGGCAGCCACTACCCACTCGCTGCGGCTTTCACCTTCTGTGGCTGCGCGGCAAACGTTGCGGCCCGAGGTGGGTGGGGGGCTAGGGTGGGTCCACACCATCGCACTTGCCATGGGCTTAAAGGTGGTGCAGCAAGTGCGGCTGCCCTCCCCCGAATTCTCCGGGCCTTGACGACATGCGGTGCCTCTCAAGTGTTCAGGCCACGGATTTAGGCACAATAGTAGATGCCTAGTATGCAGTGAGAGGTCTCGGAGAGGGTAGCATCACTTGGGCATCAAGATGGCTGGATTAATAATAATTTGTCTTCTATATCCGCGGCTTCCAGTTTTAACGAGTGCAATAGGAAAGGTGTCTATTAATGCTCCAACTGGAAAATCATCACATGCCATTTCGCTTCCCTACATCCAACCTGCTCCACCTAACCAGATAACAACAGACAAAAAAGATGAAATAAAAAAGTAAATAAATTCAAAGAAAAAAGAAAAACAAAAGGAGGGGAATCCAAAATCCATCGCTTAACCATGCCCTGCTCTTACAATATGCCCACCAAAATCCTGAATACTACCTTTTGGCGCCGTAAACCCCAACGCTTATTACAAATAAATGATAGGCCGTCAAAAAAGAAAAAAAAAAAAAATGCCGTCACAGAGATCCAGATCCCAACGCCCCATTTCATCCTCTCTAGAAAAAAGCAGAAAATCTTACTCTTCATCATCATCAATCCACTGCCAGATACCTTGGTAGTTCTCGTCGATGTAGTTGCGGATACGCTTATCCTCCTTGTTTTTCTCCTCTCGGTTGATGGGATGCTGCCATCCCCCAAGCTTCACGCCAACATCGTTCTGCAGGACGCTGGCCCACTTGTCTTCTACCAGATACTTGCAGGAAAACTCATACTTTGACTTCCAGTTGTCAATAACACATCGGCTGTGTCCAGCAGGCCCGCTGCATCGATCTGGGTAGAGAGGACAGTCCTCAGCGGTGCGAGGGTGGTGACCCCCGTTCTCTGCCATGGAGAACTTGACAACCTTCCACCAGGAAGCGGCGTTTGATTTGATGAGGAAATGTGCGTCAGCTTCCACAACGTGCCATAGCCAAGCCTTCCACTCGTCGTAGAACAAGTCAAACTTCTTCTGCTTCGTGTGTCGGTGGGCTCGCGGCCGGGAATCGTTCAGAAAGGCAGAGTTCTCGCCGGCCTGGGGGTTCACCAGGTCCACGATCTGACAGTCATAGCGCTCAGCTGTGCAAGGTGTCATTTGCATCAGCACCCCGGACTCCTGCTGCTTATCGGCCTGGGGTTGTGGACCCATAGTAATCAGCGACAGCCTCTTCAAGGCTGGCAGCTCGTTGACCTCGAATAGAGTAGACGCGGGGAAGAACTGGTCCATAATTTCACAGTATCCGCCGTGTTGGATGCGTGACCGATCGAGGCCGATAAATGGCTCGACCGGGGCTTCCATCGGCGCGCCGACATCGAAGATACTGGTTGAGCTCCAGGCTCCGAACATAGTAAAAACATCATGCTCGTAGTTGAGGAAAGGTACATTGAATTTGACCGGGATATCGGTCCCAGATACATTGACCGTGACGTTCCGGGGGGGTTGAAAGTACTTGGACATCCACACTTCGCGAGACTCGCGACAGGCGTGTAGAGGAGCGAAGATGGCATTTTTGCGTGGGTGTGCCACATACTTGACCAGCCAGTCCGGATGATTTGCCTCCATACACTGTTGTCTGGCGAGCGGCTTGGCCTCTTCTTCTTCTCGGCAGTTTGGTCTTTGCTTGCAGATATCTTCGCAATTGGAGCAGGGGACCCAGCCAATGAGGCGATCCGGTTCAGGCACAAGCTTCCATATCTCTATCCTCAGCTCGGCAGGAAGCCGTGGGAAGTAGGCAAACTCTGTAAGAGTAGACATTGTTGGTGATGTGGATGTGGATGTAGATGTGGCGTGTTGTAGTGTCGTGTGCCTGGGCTGTTGTTGGTGTTAGATGCTGTTTTGATATACTTTCAAGTTGCACTCATCAGCCAGGCCACGTACTGCTACTCCAATGTATCAACACGCTCGGGTATATATGAATATATATATATATATAACTGGCTTGATTCAAATGGCAAAGAGAGAAGAGCAGAGTAGGGCGTGAAACTCTTGGGCTCTAGAGATGAAGGGAGAGAAAGAATCACAAGTGGCCACGACAACAGCTTGTTGGTCCAGATGGCCTCCTTATATAACACACAGAGCACAACCCCGCAGTGCTACGCTGCCCGGATTGCATACGCGAGTCGTGCTCGGATGGACCACTACGACGCTTCTTGTTGGTCTGAGATTCGCCCACCAGAGCAAGATTGCGACCTCATGTGCGGTGTCTCCTAAAGCGTTGTCACGCATGATGTGTGGCTGATCGGCTCTCCAATGGGAGCAGGGTGAGTGGCAGCTTCCCGCCAAGATATGTAACTAAACCGTGGCACGACAGAGCAGGAATGACTCCGGTCCACCAGCAGAGGCCGTACGGGTGCATTTTCCAAAGGGGCGTTGGGTGGTGAAATTAATTCGCTTCGAAGCTAAACTCGGCTCCTGGTGCCAAATTCTCTCCAGGCCAGGCAAGGGCAGCTGGGCCAGCCTTAATAGGAGACAGGGACGTCCATCTGGGGGCTGAAGGTGGTCCCGGGGTGCTGCTGCTTTCACGCTGGGCCAATTTCTCACACCGAACGCCGCCAGCATCGATGTGGCTAGAGAGGGCGAGCGCCCGCAGCAGCCCAGCAGTGGGGGGTCTTTATTGCCTTATTGAACGCAAGCAAGCACACGGCGCGGTTGCCCAAGCTGGTAATTATGCAGCCTGCTGCACAAAAGCTGAAGGCGCAAGGCTCGGAGGCTCGGAGGTTTGGGAGTTTGGAGGGTTGGGAGACTTTCAAACTAAACAGCCGCCACATGACCTCATATGCCCACCCAGGCAATGCCAATTCCGAGCAACTTGCTCAAAGCTCGCCGGCAAGGGACGTTTCAAGGCCGCGCTGGTCTCGCCCACGGCTTATTCTCCCGGTATCCAGGTCTCCAGGTCTCCAGGTGGCAATCGGGCTCCCCCATTGCTTACTGCGTCGCGCCCCTCGATTTCGATTGCAACAGCTTTCAGATCCAGATCGCTGACAGCAGTGGTTTAAACTGCATGTAGTAGCACGACGCTAGATACGCGCATCAGCCCTGTCCTTGCCTGCTTCAAGGCTAGGGGAATCTCGACAGCTCTCGCGCTGGCTGCTGTCAGAGTGCCCGGCTCCTCCACAAAAAATATCCACCGGCGAGCTGTCTTGGTGTGGGCGACCCGATTCTACCGAAGCTTACCATCTCCATACCACGACCACCGCACCGGGAAACGGCGCGACGCTACGACCCTTCCGAACATTCGGGTCCCTTGGCGCGTGAGACGCGAGGGGAAGAGAGAAAAGGGAAGAGACCGGCCGCGAGAGAGGTGCTTGTTGGCAGGGTCCAAAGCCGTTTGGTCCTCCTCCTTGCTCGCTTCCTTGCCGCATAGGTCATAGGTACGGTACGGCGCTGTACATACTTGTACAAGGAGATAGGATAGCCCCCTGTCCTCGTGTGTGATGCGTGATTTGAGTAAAACCGACAAAACTGACGCCAATTAGCTCACCCGACGCCGCCTCCCTTGAGCAATTAATTACTGCTTCCAGCTGAAGCTGCATTATACTACAAAAGTAGTATTCTAGAGCTGAAGCTGCCTGAAACTCTCGGCCAGCCTCCATGTCCCAGCTGGGCGAGGCGGCAGTGTTCATGCTCCTCGTGCGAAACTGGTCACTACGGCCCCGATTGAGAAGGCTCTGAAATTACTTCTGGAAGGTATGAGAGGTTCTTGTTCGTGTCAAGGAGTCCCCGAACGCTCATTTGAGTTCGCCGAAAGGGGACTATACCAGGCCTCCTATCTCGCCCCGTCCGCTCTGGCTTCGCTCTTCCCTTGACCGACTTGCAGCAGTTCCCGTGTGCTCGTATGTGTATGTACACTATCGTATCCCACGAACCACTACTTAAACTATCTTCCATCGCTGCCGCCCTTCCTTATCCCACTATTATGCGTCTATCCCCTTCCTTCGCTCCTCCTATCTCCCACTCTTTCTTTCAGCTTGAGTCGGGGTGCGGCCAATCCGGTCTCCTGGTCAGGGAGCAATCCCAGCAGCCTGCGTTTGATATTCTACGCACAAGTACGTACATACGCATTCCTTTTCCTTCGTCCCTGATAGTGCAACAGACGAGATCACCGTTTGCTAACCACTGCTGGGCAGGGTGCCGATAAACTCGTGGCGTTGACTGGCCGACTGTCCTCCCTGAGCTCCGTATTGCTGGATCAGCTGAAATCTTTTCCTGACAGGGTTAAAGGCTACTAGTATTAGCGCTAGCGGCTCCCTTGCCTGGCACCGCATATTGTTCAAATGACAACTCAACAGAGCGCGCCGAGCTCGCTACATGTCTCCAACCGTCTCCAAGCACCCCCGTGCCAGCATCCCGTACTTGTATCTATGCTCTGATGCTCAGTTGACGGCCAGCAGCAATGTCGGCGGATGTGTCTGCTGACAGTGGCGCCAGCAGTGGCGCCACGCAGAAACAAGCTTCCAGAAAGAAGCAAACTCTGCCCTCATGGCTGGATCACTTCAACGGCAACGACCTCAAGACGCTCTTCCGCTGTTCCGTGGCGGCCTGGGTAGCCTCCCTCCTGATATACATTGGGCCGTCGCTGCATAGCATTGGCTCAACCACCTTCTTTGCCGCACTGGTGCTCTTCGTGACGCCACCCGCCGGCATCCTCCTCATCTATCTGCTCGGATCCCTGTCCCTCCTTTTTGGCATGTGCCTTGGCTGGGCCTGGGGCATCGCGACCATGAAGGCGGCGCTGGCTGCTCGTCCCGCATCCGATACCCAAGCACAGCTCCAGGCCCTGCAGCAGGCGGCTGTCGCTCAGGCAAAGAGCACCGGCCAGAATGCAACCGTCATTGGCCAGGAGCTGGTCTACCAGGGCGCGATGCTCGATGCCCGTGTGACGGTGGTGTACTATGTCATGATTCTGGCCTTCATCTACTTCCTGGCCCGCCTTAAAGCCGGCAATATCAAACTGACGTTTCTCCACCTATTCGGTACCATCGTGGCGGATGTCTTTTTGCTAATTGGACCCCTGCTGCCGTCCTTTACGCCGCTTCTGGGGCAGACGTTGGTGAAACCAGGGGCCATTGGCGTCGGTATAGGAGCTGCCTGCTGCCTTATCTTCTTCCCGCAGTCCACCTCCTATGCAGTACTCCGGAAGATGGAGCAGCTCGTGCGGATGCTGGACACCCCACTTGACCTAACTCAGAGGCGCTTTGCAGGCGAGTTGTTGGACTTGGGCCAGCTAAAGGCCACGAGGAATGGCATCGTGGCTCTATATAAGTCGATGGCGCCTGAAATCGCCTTCCTCCCGCTCGATGTCTCCCGCGGACGTTGGAACGCAGAAGACGTCAAGGGCCTAGAAGAATGTATCCGCCAGGCCATGATAGCCGGCGTGTCCTTGCTCGACTTCCACATCACCACCATCGCCGGCCTGCAAAAGGTAGACGAGGCGGGCTTGCAGTACGACAAGCACTCAAGCGACGGTGCGGCGGCCGAAAAGGGAGGGCATGAGATTGGCCAGCGCCATGTCCTGCAATATGCAGAGTTGATGAACGCCTTGCGAACCCCAGAGCAGAGCGAGCTCCGAATCCGGATGACAGAAGCAATGAACGAGACAACCGCTCAGGTGAGACTAGCCTGTTCCGAGTCCATCGCACTCGTCGGGGAGTGCATCCACACGGTGAACACCCGTCGATGGATCCGCCAGCCATCCCAGCAAGAGTTTGACGGGTTGATTGGACGTCTGGAGACAACCCTGGCAGCGTTGCAATCCGCTCGCGACTCCTGTACGACCAATACCACCGAAGCCATTCTGGAGTGCCATTCCGATCTCTTTGATCAGGACGGCCAGCTCAAGGCCCCGGATGGCACCACCTTGCATTCACAATCCCTGCGAGCCATGATGGTGGCCATGGTGTTGGAGGAGCGGATCATTGGCGTAGCATTAGCCACGGAAGCCATGCTGAAGCACGTTTTACATCTAACAACATCACAGACCCGTCACCGTATCTGGCTCCCCTCCCGCATACGCTACGCCTTTGGGTGGCTTGTCAGCGGCAAGGACACCGTCCCTGTCGCCGGTGTTTCTGATGATGGTGTCACAGACGACCCAGACGTGGTTGATGAACAGTCCAAGGCGGTGCGCCAGCGACTTCGGCTCATTCGTGGATACGAGTCCCCTCATCGCGGAACTCGACTTGGCAGAGCCATTGTCGGCACATACCGCTGGATAACCAACCCAGCTGGCATGTACTCGATGCGCATGGTTGTCGTGACGCTGGCCACTGCCATCCCCGCAGCTATTCCCAACTCTGCCGGCTTCTTCTACCGCGAAAAGGGGTTGTGGGCAGTCATTACCGCGCAAACTTGCGTGCTCTTATACATGGCCGATTTTACCTTTTCTCTCATCTCCAGAGCGCTCGGCACGGTGATTGGAGGTCTCTTTGGCCTTGTGGCATGGTATATAGGATCCGGTAGCGGTCCTGGGAACTCATATGGCTTGGCTGCTAGCACTGCTGTGTTTATCGTGATAGCCATGTGGCTGAGGATATTCTTGCCTCTAGCCTATGTTCAGGCAACTGCCATGGGCGGAGTCACAATGATTCTCATTTTGGGCTTCTCTTATGCCTTTGACCACCAACCACAGTTTGGATCTCCAGGCTTAGGTTATCAAGCCTTCTGGAAGCGACTGGTCGACGTCCTCATAGGCTTTGCTGCCGCGACTGTCGTTCAGCTATTCCCCAAGCCGCCATCTGCCACCGAACACGTGTGTAAGACGTTGGCGAACACTATACGAACACTGTCAGACTATTACGCTTTACTTTTGTCTCACTGGAGTCGAACATGTAGAGACGGCCCCATCAGTGCCGCTGCCATAGAGGATCTAACGCTGGAAGTCGCCGAGGTTCTATCATCAGTGACTGGATCGATAGCGCTACTAAAGGCAGACTTTAGTGCTGGTCCATTCGACCAAGCTACCTTGCGCTACGCCCAAGAGCAGTGTCAAAACATGAATCAGGCACTAGGGAGGCTCCTTTATCTATCAGCCACTCTCCCCCAAGTGTTTCAAGAGAGGCTAGTATCCGTTCTCGGCATATTGGATGACGCTGCCATTGGAAATATCATGGCCGTATTGGCAATCGTCGAGCAAGCCCTACGGACTGGGTCCCCTCTCCCTGAACGGCTCCCTGTGCCCCTTCTGCGTACATATTTTGAGTCTCTGTCGGCTGCACAGCGTCAGAATATCGATCTGAACATCTCACTTGTTCGAGACGAGAATTATCGACGCTATTGCGTTGCCGTGGCTTCTTACTTGAAGTTTCTAACTGCTATTGATGATTTAGTCTTGTCCTTGAAGAGAACTCTAGGAGAACGCCATGTGGTTTATCTAAAGGGTGATGAGGTATGATTTAATGATTACGGTGGCCCACTTCCACGGATCTACCAACTACTCAGCCGTCTTGCTATGGATGGAAATTAAAACCGGACGAATTATGAATGGTCTTTTTTTTTCCGAAGAAAGATGGCAAACAATTGCATAACGGCAATTTCGCTTCAGGGAGGATGTTGTTTCGACTGCGTGGTGTCTACAGGGTAAATATTTAAAGAGACTTGCAACTGGACGCTTCTGGTTTACTTCTAGGCGCCTTTGCTCCTAAACTGGCTACCAATATCTACAGCTTGCCTCTGCCGGAATTGCAAACCTTGCCTATATTTCATTTCAGAAATGTGTCCGCGACAGGTGTCTGTCCGTGATTCAAATCGATGTCGCTTACGGAATACAGCATGTAGTCAGAAGTTGATCATCTAAAAAGACGATGCCAACATCGCTCACGAGGTATGAGGCCCGGCTTATGCTGCAGCACGTAATATGCATCGGATCTGGCCCTTCTGGCGGCCCAGCCTCATAAACGCCAGCGGGGAGGAGCTGAAAGCCATGGTTAGCCAATAGATATAAACCTTCAGCCCACACCTACGGAACTGCAGATCCAGATACAGAGGCTAATGAAATTTACGCATCGTCTCTGTCAGCTAGACCAACGCGAATTGAATGCTCATTCAGCGCCCAAGACGCCAAAGTAAGCCGCAGTATGCTTGCTGAGAGTATTTACTCCGTATACCTATTATGCATGACTACTAATATACGAGACGCAAAGTACGCATCAGGTTTGTCGCCACAGCTGTCAGCCATATGTGTGTTTGTGTGCCTGCCTGCGTGTTTTTTTTTTTTTTTCTTTTTTTTTCTTCTTCTTCTTTTCTTTTTCTTCTTTTCTTTTTGTTTGACCCGGTTTAGCCCACACAAGCTGGACGATCATGAAGGGCTGTAATTCGTCCCGTGTCGCTTCTGTGGCTTTTTTTGCCTTTCGGAAGCGGCAGGCAGAGTAATGCCTAGTACAGAGTATAGCCAGTGTAAAACAACGGCTTTTCAGCAAAACTTTCTCAGGACGGCCTCCATGGCTGTAGCCTACTTTGCCATACATGCCGCCAACAAGGAGATGTGAGCACGCTTTGTGCCGCCACGCAGGTTCCCGGCCGGTCCAGCAGCCGACTCTGTGTGGATCTGCCCCATACGATCACCGGAATTCACGATCCGTTGTATCTCCCGAGCGCTGCACTGGCTAAACTGCATGTACGACATAGACTATGGGCGGCATCTACTGTACAAAGCATCCCAGGGAAACTCGTTCGTCTCACTGCTGGACATAGATCTACAATTACCACCACCTCGCCTCGTACGCGAAATGAGTGAGTGATAAACAGCGCTTTGATTCAGACGCGAAAAGTGTTTTGTACAGTAACAGTCAAATAAGCGAGGCACTGCTCAGGATGGGTTGCCCAACACTGCCGTCAGCCTGGAACACAGAGATCGTTAGCTCGGCCATCTGTCTCAACTAATAACCATTGATATTGGACGCCGCGGAAAAGGGAGTCGCATTGAGGATGAAATAAAACGAGCGATGCTCGCCCTTGAACAGAAAGAAAGCATGCCATTTGCTCACTATATTTGGGGAGGAAGTAAGAACGAAAGAAAGTAAGCTTCTTTGTCAGTATCTCCCAAAGCTGGTCGGTCCAATGTGAAGAAGCACCAACAGCTCCACCATTAGTGCTACCAATATGGGCCAAAAAGGGAGCCTTAATCCGTGTTTCAAATGACATCTTATGTTTTATCTGAAGTTATCTACTTCTACTTCTACTTCTACTTTATTACTACTGGGATCAACCAGTAGCCTTCTCATCCGTCGCCATGGGACATGGAACAATCTGAGGGAGGTCCGCATCTTTGACAGGGAATCATGAGCTTGTGGCTTGGAGTAGAGAGGGTCCTTGCAGCCGCACACCTGTGGAGTCTCCGAGCAGTGAGTGCATGTATGGCTCGTCCGCGCAAATACTACACTACACCTTCCAGATATCATCTCCTACCAGCTAGCGCAGCATCTTAAGGCCGGCCAAGGATGCCGTCTGCGATCTAAATGCACGCTGCAAAATCAAATCAAGCCGCTAGACTGTATTGGTGTTAGATGAATGTTGTGGATGGCTCTCCCTATTCTCCCTTCTACCAAGCCTCAGTTTTCTCTGGCGCAGCCTCACCTTAAGACAGACTGGCTGATATACAAGTGAGATCGCTGGGTCCGGGGGGACAAAGACGGACTGCCGCTGCCCCATGTCCACCGGCCGAGTTAACTGGCATCTCACCAGTTCACCTGCTTTATATTACAATGTCGCTGCTTCACCTTCCACAAAGCATATACGACTAATACATGTGGCAATGTTACGATATTATATCACAATTCACATCAAGTTTCAGAAACAAAGTATTGGACTAGTGCTTCCGGCTTCTTGTTCCCCCTGCTCACGAGACTTTCCCTGCAGCCTGGTTGAGCGCCACTCCAATCACGGCAGCAGCCATGCAAAGCAAGGGGGAGAGACTAACAGGCCAAGACCCATCGGACGGCGATCAAGATGGCTGCCATCTGAGAGAAAAGTGAAGGGAGTTGTTTTGACCTGGGGTTCTTATTATGAACATCGGGTGCCCTGCCTTTATCTCGTGTTCCCCCAGATCTCGATGGCACTCTCAATCGTTCACGTCATTCATACTTCAGCGGGAAGAAGAGAGCAGCAACCATGCTTCGAAGATCATCACTCGTCGTCATAGCAGCTGTTGTTACTGCAGCCGCTGCTACTACTCTGTCTTTTAGATCAGACCAGGAGCCTGGTAACGGCACGGAATTGAGTCTTGTTGAGCAGCCCGTCAACACAGAAGCAGAGCCATCTGACTGGATTGCCCTCCCATTGTGCGCTGTAAGTGTGTAATCTGTCCAAACATGACAGTAGCCAATGCCACACAAGCTAACTAGGGTTTACAATTCGATAGCTCAACTGCGTTACCATCGCTTGTTCCAAGCTCGATATATCCTGCATTTGCAAGAATGTGGAGCAGCCATCCCATACTTTATCATGCCTCAAGTCATCATGCAGCTTTTCCGACAGTCTACGTATGCTTTTTTCAACTTTTCTTTCAGGCTTTTCCAAACATTGTTCGCGGGTATAGTTAACATTTCGTCTTAGTTACAATGAGCCTCGCCAAGGACTCGTGCGGTTCCCCAGTACGAGATCGCTCCGGCAGGTTCAAGGTAATGAATTATTCTCTCGGTTTCACAACTCTTACTATCGCTGTTATTCGCTTCGCATCCAAGTTTCTCTTCAGCATCCGACAAGGGTTTGGACCGGATGACTGGGCACTGTTTGCAGCAGCATTTATCGGCATACCTTGCATCGCCTTCAACGTCTGGGGACTCATTGACAATGGGCTGGGCAAAGATATCTGGACGCTAGCTCCAAGTACCATTTCCAAGCTCGCTCAATGGTTTGTGGCGATGGAGGTTTTCTATGTGGTGATTATGACGGTTATCAAAACCAGCCTCATGCTCTTTTACCTCGACTTGTTCACGGGAACCCAATTTCGCAAATTGATATGGGGAACAGTCATCTTACTCGCCGCTTCTTGCGTCAGCTTCGTTATCGGAACCCTTGTGCAGTGTGTTCCATTGGAATTCACCTGGGAGCAGTTTGACGGTAGCGACTCCGCTCAAGGGCAGTGCATCAATGTCAACGCATTCGGATGGGCAAACGCAGCTGTCAACATTGCGATAGATTTCTGGCTCCTTGCGATTCCTCTAATCCAGCTATACAAGCTGGATACACACTGGAAGAGAAAGCTAAGTGCAGCCAGCATGTTCCTGACGGCAGTAATGTATGGCTTCTCTATCTATTTTCTCTCATCTCCACTATAGACGTTCGACTTGCTAACTTTGTTATTATTAGAGCTACGATCATCTCCATTGTCCGACTCCAGTCACTCTTCCACTTTGGCAATTCTGCGAATCCAACATGGGATCATTGGAACGTTGCCTATTGGTCTACCGTCGAAGTCAACGTGAGCATTATCTGCACGTGTCTTCCATCTATACGGCTTATCTTGGCACATTTATTTCCTCGAGTCATCGGTTCAAGTCTTGTTCTGCCTCCAGTGTCCGAAGACTCTTGGATTGGTGAAAAGATCACCAGCCCAAATCCTTTGGACGTGGAATCGCACGAGCTATGCAACAGCAGAAGCATAGACGGAACTTCGAAGACGAGCGTATCTGTACAACATATCGGTGGGATTTTCCAAGACTAACTATGCTTCCTGCTCTTAAGTGGCTGGAAATTACCAAGATGAATATAGCAATGGGATGCATGACAGATGTTTGAAAGAAATTGCGGGTCTCATTTTCAAGGAGATGGAGCCTTAGAGACATCCCTCTCTCGGAGTATAAAATGACAGGACGAGAGAGCCAAACAAAAAAAGTAACAAAAGAGGAAACAAAAAATTGTACTTGTATCAGTCTGGGTCCTGGGAGGGGATCAAGGTAAAAAGAGCAGCCACAGCGGCAATCTCGAGTTAACCGATAAAGATATCGGGAGAGGTTGGATTATACCGCGATTCACTGCTTGGCATTCATGGAAAAGGGTTAGACTTTTTATGTTGTCGTGGTGACAACTTTTGAAAGGACAGGCGTACGTCAAAATGCCTCGTCGCTCCATCTTCTTTTCTTCTTTTCTTCGTCTTCGTTTTCTTCTTCTTTTTATGGCCGCCAACCAGGCTCACAGACTTCTTTGTTCTATATCATTAACTTTTACAGACACGTTCCCATTTATTCTACTGGTCATCGCCGTATCTCAAAGATTGATGTCTAATGCAGCATCGTAACTCCTTGAGGCATCGCTCTACAAATCAACGTGCACATCCCGAAACTGAAAGCTGGCCCGGTGATAACTGTCTCCACTCTCCGAAAGATAATGCAAGGGCGTATAACATCACCAACTAGTGCTCTTGGCCGCATAATGATATCAGACACACAAAAGAGGGTATCACTTGGATAAGAGGGTTCCCGTTTGGGCCGCAACGCAGCACTGCAGCCGAGACACTGAAGGTGGCTACTTCCCGGATGCCGTACCAGGTCATATAGGCAGTATGCGTACATACACATGATGGGATACCCGCAGCTGGGCTGAAGCACAGCAGTTTCACATGCATATTGGAGGTTTCAGCTTGATACTATACAGTATACGCCAAGTGCTACCTATTACTTCTACGTACTACTACTATTCGCATGAGTGCTGCTCTACACTGGGTGGCGGCACAGTCGTCGGAAAATCCATTACTGTGAGAGAGGCCTGAGTGTGTCTCAGATAAGCAGCAGCGCTGCAAGGGAGAATTCCAGCGAGTTGGTTGGTACACGCGGCAGAAGCTCAGCCCAGATATCACAACCTACCCGAGAGCCTGCTCCAAACACGAATAATTAGTACCAGGTAGCAGCAGTTTATGCATTGCGTACATACAGCACAATCCACCTTCGGCCGGCTGTGAACCCCAGGGACATACATCGGTATAGCGACGGATGCCTGACAGCTGAACCGCAGCTCTGGGCTCAGATGCCTCCCCTAATGTAAAATCAAGTGAATCTCAGCCTGATTATAACGGATACATAATGCTGCAGCTACCTTGTACTGCTGCGGCCAATAGAAGTCCGAACCCCCAGGCGCTGCCCCCAGAAGATGTCTGCCCTTGTATATACGAAGTGCTCCATGCGCAAACGCAAAGTAAAACCCCCTTACCTTACACGACTGACTTGGAGCACGTACCGGCTTCCAACGAAGCAACGGCTTAGATAATCGGAAACCGGTCTAGTTCCTGCTTGAGGATGGCCTGAGCCCCAAAAAAGTGGCTTCCCAAGGACGCGCCATCCACGAACCAGGGAAAGCGAAGTGGGCGGCTCTCACGGGTCAGCCGCGATGACATGTTGCCTGTCCTTATTACTGACCTTTTTGGCCTTGCAAGGAACAAGCAGTTTTTATGACCAGCTGCTTGTGCTCTTTTTGTGCATTGGACAGAGCTCGCCGTTTCCAATTGCGCGCCGTGTGTCGACATTGCATCACGTATACGGCTGAGGTACCCGCACCATCGCCAAAACAACGAGACGCTTGGGACGAGCTCAACCTTTGCCAAACGCCACAGAATCCGTTCCTTACAATGACGCCGTGATTTCGTCTTTTCCGCATCTCTCACACATCGTTGGCACATTTGCTTGGCGCTTGCCGACATTCTCTCCATCAAACTTGGAGTTTGGCGCGCCCTTCGTTCTTTTTGCCCTTTTCTCTTCCTATTTCGACGTGGCCCTTTTTTTGCGTCTCCCCTAGCCCAAGAGGCTTGTGAAACACTCCGCAGCTCTAGCCCCGAGCCTACATCACCAGGAGCAAGGCTGAGCCATCGAGAAACCTAAACGGCGGCTGCAAGAAAATCAAATCGGCAGCCAAATGGCCGCGAGTCCATCACCATAATTCTATTATTACCACTTTTATAACCATTAAAACAACAACAAGCGAGCAGTATCAACTCGTTACGATACCCGCCCTCCCGCCTCCTACCATGCCTCGATACCGTCCCGCGACCACGGGATACGAACGCTTAGCGCAGGCAGACCTCAGCGACGACTCCGACACTGACCTCCTCGCCGAATCGACCGCATCTCTCCAGGCCTCGTCTGCGCCTCGATATGCTCCCTCCCGCCCTCGCCCTCGGTCGAGCGTCACCAGCCCCAAACTTGGCCCCTCAAGGCCTAAATTCCGTCGCCGTCTGGGAAGCAATGGCGGCGTCGACATCAAAGCCATCAATGCCCGGCTGGAACGCTGGGCCGAAGAAATCGCGGCCAAGTTCAAGCGCAAGGGCAGGCACAGCATAGGCGAAGAAGAGCGGCTAGAGATTCACCACTCTGTCTTCCAGGCGCCCGAGGGCGTGCGGCCTATATCCGCTGAGGCTCTGGCGGAGGCGCAGCTCAGCGTCATGACTAAAGCTGAGTTTGATGCTGTCATTGAAAGTGTACGGCAGGCAATCCGGCAAGAGGTACATCCCAGCATGATCTCGCAGGGCAGCTCTGGTAGCTACTTTGCCCGTGATCCTGATGGAAAGATTGTTGGTGTTTTCAAGCCCAAAGATGAGGAGCCATACGCAGCAGGCAACCCCAAGTGGAACAAATGGATACATCGAAACCTGTTCCCCTGTTTCTTTGGACGAGCTTGGTAAGTCTAAATCCTAATCCAACACATCCATCCTCCCAAATTTATCAACCAGTGTGTGTATAAGTGGACATGTGATGTACATGATGCTAACTGAATGGCTCTACAAAACATAGTCTTATCCCCAATCTCTCTTACGTTAGCGAAGCGGCAGCCTATGTGCTTGATTGCCAGCTACGAACGCACCTGGTTCCATATACCGATGTAGTATGGTTATCATCAAAATCATTCCACTATCCCTTCTGGGATCGGCGCAGTTTCCACAAGAAGAAGAAGCCTCTCCCTCCCAAGCCCGGTAGTTTTCAAGTCTTCCTCAAGGGCTTCAAAGACGCCAACGTCTTTCTACGAGAGAATCCCTGGCCGGACCAATACTGGGCAGGTTTCCGTTCAAATGATGCTAATCGGCAGAAGAGGAAGCGATGGGCTGATAATTGCCGACCATCTAGTTCTGCTTCTGTGGATGATGCAGGATCTAGCGACGAGGAACACGATGGTCGCGATAATCAAGCCCCGGGAGCCAATAAATTCGTATGGACAGAACAGCTAAAGCAGTCGTTCCGGGAGGAACTAGAGAAGCTTGTTATCCTGGACTATATCATGAGAAACACGGATCGTGGCCTTGATAACTGGATGGTCAAGGTGGACTGGGAGACGAACACAGTATCGCTGGCGTCAGACCCTGTGCAAATTAACATGGAGCCCGTCACAGAGGAAGATGAAGAACAGATTAATGTCCGCCCTATTGGCGCCTCTGAGATGCCGCCCCAGCCCACTCGAGCCTCATACCCTTACAAGCGCCAGAATCCCATGAAGGCGTCCTCTCCCCGCGGGAAAAAAGAGCCGAATATGTCACTCGGTGCTATTGACAATTCGCTCTCGTGGCCCTGGAAGCATCCAGATGCTTGGCGAAGGTTAGTTTACATGCTGCAAAAAAGATAATACTCTTTTTTGAAGGATTGTTGTGGCTAACATTATAATGCAGCTTTCCCTTTGGCTGGCTATTCCTCCCGGTTGATCTCATCGGCAGACCATTCTCACAAAAGACCAGAGATCATTTCCTACCGCTCCTCACTTCCACTGCGTGGTGGAGCGAGACACAAATGGCCCTGAAGAGGGTATTTCAAATGGACGAAGATTTCCAGGAGCGCATGTTTGCCAAGCAGATTGCTGTCATGAAGGGCCAAGCCTGGAACGTTGTAGAGGCTCTCAAGACTCCGGATCACGGCCCACTGGAGCTGACTCGCCGAGCAAAAGTCTGTGTATGGGATGATCTCGTCGATATACCGGTTGCTGTACCAATGAGAATGACTTCGTCAGAGATGCGCCGCAGCACTACTCAGCGACAATCATTGGACGAAGCTGATATCACGGGCTCCATCCCAACGAACAGGGTTCCTGTTGATGATCTTCTTGGTCTTGCCTCAGCGCCGGCAGAAATGCCTCGATCTGGTAGATTTGACACGGCGAGTCCGCCGAATGAATCTCTTCTAGCCCCTGATGAGTCATCCGAAGCTTTTGGCTCTGCCAAACTGTCGGTGGATTCCCAATCCCAATCTAATAGAGGCTATCAAGCCCCAGGCCCTGCCCGCACTCTCAACATGTACGAGCCAGAACGCAGCCAAAATCAGAAGCATCAGCGGCGGTACTCGTATGCCACTCCTGTAACGCGGCAGCACAGCAATAGTATAGCTCAACAGCTGTATGGGGACATTTCGTACCGCGCTGATGACGACGACCTCGAAGGGGACCTCGGCTATGCCACCGCCGAAGGACAGATGAGCCATCAGAGAAAGGTCATTGTGGAGAGGCTGGAAGCAGTCAAAAGCAGGAACCCTGTTTTCACATGGTGTTAGGCGTGGCAGGTCAGCACTAAACTGACTATCCATGCTTTCCGGCGCGTCCTATTACACATTGCATTCTAATACTAGTACTACAACTAGCATCAAGGGTGGGGGACTTGGAAGGGCTTAGATTTGGAATTTATACGAATTGCATTCATGGTGCTGATATGTTATTGGGGCTTTTTTTCGGGCTGGGATTTTTTCTGGAGTATTTTGTACCGGGAGTTGATAATAAGAAGTTCTTTTTAGAAATGATTTGGATCCGCTTTGACGGCACGGAAACTTATTCGATGCTTCATTTACCGTCGGAAAGGTCGATGTATTCGTTCAGTGTGGGCGTGACGTGCTCTCTGATATGTGTTCCTTGTAGCCCGCGGTCGCTTACTGCATTTGTATTCCTAAACACGCAGTCACAGGGCTCTAGGCAGACTGTTACTGGCCATGTAAGGAAGAGGAGCAAAATCTGCATAGCGTAAGACGGAGATGAAAATGTGACCCTAAATCGGGAAAGCGACGGCCTCTTAAACAGCCTGATCATCAACAAAGGCGCGTATCCCTGGAACCGCTGGGTCGTCATCTGATTCGAATAAACGACCGAGAACTTATCAACTTGCTTGCGTCCAAATCCCCAGACAGAGGTCTGACCGCATACAAACAGAGGCGTGTCTGGAGATTAGCTGAAGTCACCACGTTTCCGCCTTCCGCCTCAAGGACGGAAGTAAGCCTAAAGTTTGAATAGACGGTCTAGAAGCTGTTTAATGCTCTCCTCGCATCTCACGGATGTCATATTCTTCTGTACCTCGCGTTCGAAAATCGAATTAGTAGCATATGTTGGCGAGAACTATCAACCAGTGTAATGCTTCCGCCTCGATTCCAAGACTAGGAGATAAATGCCCAGCGCCTTCGTCGCATTGGCTGCTATTAATTAGCACGGAACAAGTCTTGATGGTGATGATAAAGGTTCAACAGGCCCAAGGAGAGCTCTCAGGGCGAGGGAGCCATTTAATAGAAATTGCTTCCTGGAGTACCCAATCCCGACATCATAGCAAGCGATTTCGCCATCCTGGTGAAAAGCATGCTTGACTTCGGCTAAATTCGCGTGCTTGTCGGGAAGATGAACCCATAGCCAGATCAAAAAATGCACGGGTGTCGGACCGCCAGCTTGTCTCCTCCGTACGCTCATGAAACTCCCTCGTCGTTCATGGGCCGGCTGCATTACATGCAGGGCTTCAAGAACACTCCGGATATTTGGCAAATTTAGCCCGGCTTTGACGAACCGCGGCGTATGAGAGCAATGCCAAAACCAAGCCCCAGATACTCGTACGAGTAGACACTAGGTTTCTCGCTCGTTGCTTTTGTAAAGCTACAGTTGAAAAGAAAATCAAGCCAGAAACGCTGTATCCAAGCTGTCGGGACCATTGAACCAGAGTGTCGGGTCAAAAGGGGCTAGGGCAGGGACCCCTGCCACAGTTCCGCTCACGGCTCCATGCATTCGTAACGAAAACTAATGTCAGAAGCGGTCCGCAAGGTTCAGGGGGACGAATCATGGTTTCCATCAGCTCACTTCGTACCTTGAAGTGCTATTGTCAGTACTGGGCCATAGTTTCCTCGCATTTGTTTCTCAACAACATGGGCCCATTTGATCAATAAGCCCAGCCGGGAAGCTAAGCACAATGTGGCACAGCCTTTTAGGAAAACGACTAGCTGATCAAAGTCTTGATTTAGTGGGCAGAGCGGATCAAGAATGGTAACGTTTCCACCGCGGTATTCAGATGATATAGCACTAATACTCTTGCCAATTATCATTTTGAATGATGTTTGTCGACCGCTCTTTTACCCATATATCCTCAGCAGCGGGTGGATACAGAACATGGCAGTGGCCAATAACATAATACTGTTCGTGCACTTGCAAGTCGAAAAGAGGATAGCCAAGTTGCCGCCTTTGTTTTCATAATGCGAAGAATTCGCGTATCTATTATGTCGAAACCTGTCGGCTGCAGCTCATAGCTGATACGTTAAAGATTTCTAACGGAAGCAATCGGCTGACAGGGCCATGCCCAGGCTTCCTTGGAACTCCGTACATCTGCTCAATTCCTTCTCCGGGGCGTTATCAATCTTTTGTCGCGGATTTAAGCAAGGTAGGAACCAGGCATCAGCTGCTAATAATTTAAGCAGCGCCACATCCTTCGGTCCGCGCAGCGCTTGTACGACATGCCCTCCCTGCGGTCCCATAATAAGAGAGCACATGCTGGCCAACGCTTAATTTGAAGATACTACTTGTGTTTGTTTCGCGTGCCCTGAATACGTAACGTCTGCGGATATTCCGGGCCTAGGACGTACAGTACTCGAGCAAAGTAGAGCACACGGCAGAACGGCTAAGGTGGCCACAGTGGGATCAGCAATTAAAAGAACCGCGTTGTCGTATTCATCTCAATCTCACTGTTTCTGAGGGACTAAAAAGTCGCACCACGGCAGCGCCTCCCAGGCACTCCCCTAGAAGTGCTACGAGATCCGAGGGATCCCCGTAGCAGTGCGGCGTCTAGTCGTCGCCGTCCAAACAGCCTGTTGTATCTGCCTACCGTAGCATGGGGGGGCCAGCCCTGGTTGTGTTGAGCCCCTCATACATGCTGAGCTCTCTAGCATTGCAGCGACATCCATTCATTCGGCTTGCTAGCCAGTGCTGGCTCTCAATTTCATGGGATATGCTGTTTAAATGCCGCTTGGAATTCTTATTGCTCTATTGACTCTGGATATCTGCGCAGCCGGCAGCTTTCTCCGCAGCTTTGATTGCCGCGCATCCCTTTATCATCCTGTATATGGAGTAAAGTAAGCCAATAGGCCGGCGGTGGTTTTGTCTCCATGATCCCTTTCCCCTCGGCAGCAATTTGGCGGAACTTCTCCCCCTTCATCGCCAAACGCTAGTGAATGACAACTGTTTGGATGCCAAAGTGAAAGGGAAAAGAGAAGCTTGCTTATCTGGCCAACTCCACACCTGACAACTCGTCTGGCTGGCCCAATTCATATCCACAAGATCTGCAGTCGCTTGAGTAGGTCTCGCGGAACCAAAAGTCCCAGCTTGGGAGCCCAAAAGTCATTGCCAACGTGGCAATGGCATTCGGCGGTTCAGCAATCCCAAAGTTGGCGTGTCATGAGCGGTGAGAGGCTGCTGGTTCATGGGGACGCCGCAGTCATTGCAACGCTCGATAGAGCCTTGCCCGCAGATACATATGCGCGTGGTGACCATTATGGCGAACTCGCCGTCATACCTCAGCTCAAGCCCATCCGCAAGTAATGCTCATGACCGTCATTTTGTGGACCCATGCCGTACAAACGCAAACCCCCTTTCCGAGAGTGCCTCGTGCCTTTGGCGACTGATTCTTCGGCACGCATTGCTGCTAGCACATGCATATGGACGGGTATGTGGGCATGTGCCACCCTACCTCCCCCTGCTCACTCACCAAGCTGTCGGTTTTATCAAGCGGGAGTACGGAATAATACTTGCAACTTTCAACAGACAATAAAAAAAGGCAAGTCATTTCTTTTTCAAACGCTTGTCACTTGTCCCGCTTTTGTCAATCAGTAATAAACATAGGCGCCCTGATGAAACAGGCAGAAATATCATACTTCAGCCAGAAAGTCGAACAACGACATGGTAGGTCTTTTGATTGCTTCCCCCTCCCCGGCCGCTCTTTGCCAGGCAGGCCGGTGAAAGAAGCATTCTGCTGTATGAAAGAGTACATTGCGGTGCTGTTTAGATTGATACCGTACCAACCAACAAAGGCTTCTTACTCGATCGCTGCCTAAGGGATTGGAAAGCTTTTACCCAGTTGAGCCGACGGCATTAGTAGCCACAATCTTGCAGTCCATGGCCAGCTGTAACACATCGTACTCTGTACTTGATTCGAGGTGACGAAGCAGTATCTGCTTCTTTGCGAGCATGCCAGACAGTATTCGGGATAGCGTCGAGAATGGTCCTTGATCCTTGATCCACGATCAACGGCTCACGACCCGCGGCCCAGCAATCCAGAGAGTGAATGGTCCAAGAGTTGGGGCCAGGTGCTTTCCTTCTAGCGATTGCTAGTATCGACTTCTTTGGGGAGGGGAAAGAGGGCTCTAATAGATACGAACAGGCACTGGGGGTACACAAAGCACTGCCACTGCCATGATTATCATAACGGTACGGGCATCACTTGCCTGACGCCTTTAGCTCCGCCAGCAAGGTGTGCACGTCCTCCATATGTTTAGCATAAGCAGTAAAAGGTTAGGGTTTCAGGTACCAGGTACAGATTTGGTTATTCCCTAGTACAGAATGGCGACGGTTGTTGAAGCCTCGTCTATTCTCGGCACGCTAGGGTTATATTTCTGCCCAGCCTAGCCACGAGCATCTAGACTGTCCCATATGCTTGTTGACAGCGGTTCGAAACTGCATCGAGCCGAGACTGCATCAAGCTTACGCAGCGATGATGGCTGTTCCGTTGTGCTGGCACCAACAGGAAAGATCCAGTGGGAATGTCGCAGCTCCAATTCAGGCCTTGTTCGGGGACGTGTTATGTGCATCTCTAGAGTTCTAGACTTCTCAGACAGCTTTCTCCGCACGTCATTGCAGCATGCCAGCTTAACCTTGACGCTTCTGCATTATACCCCTGGCAGGCCTGGGTTCCAAGGATCGAGGTGGCACGAACAGCCGCTGAGCGCTCTCGTGTGATGCTCACGCAGGCAAGATCGGCGTATCCGTTGTGAGAAACGAAATGCGCTTCGGGCTAGTCAATGCAAGCTGATGTTTGTAAACTTGCTCCACTGTTTTCAACGAAGCGGAAAAGACACGCCTTGTTCTCTTTCTAATGGTTAGTTTGGCCACGATAGCAATATGTGTAGGCAGCGTCTCTTTTGGGGCTGGTTACGACACTGTAAGAGGAGCCTTTCTGGTGCAAGAGGGGTTACCTGAACGCCCAGACTGGGGCCACGCTTTTGGGTGCCACATGACTCCTTGAGCCCGAACAGCGTCTCATCAAAGACTGGAACTTAGTGATCGTATCAGTTGAGTCGGCATATATCACCGTACAAAAGTCTCCCCAGTGCTAGACAATCTCTTGTCAACAGCAGCTAGCGCCGTCGTGTCTTCTTTGAGATTATTTCCGTCCAACTCAAAGGAAACAACTTCTTTTTTCCTTGGAAGAAGAAAGGGACAAGAAAAGATCAAAATGGACACAGAGTACGAGGCTCCCAAGACACAGTCGAACTCGAATGGCTTGGCAAGGCCGCTAATACCGTGATAGGGATGGAACCGTCCCCCTTGACGAAACATATACAGAAACAGTCAGCTACCACGGACGTATTTTCCAGCAGCATGCCCTGGCAAAAAGGATATATTTTGCTCCGATCGATGAAGTTTGTTGCTTGTCTCGGAAGCCTCAAATATGTCGCTAGTTTCATATCTCCTGACATTGTGAATAGGAAGAAATAGCGCAATTAGGAGAGATGCACTCTATGCTCCGCACGGTCTTCGATAATAGACTGATATTTCCTCCTGTGAGCCGACCAAAGATGATTCTCGAATGCGGATTTGGTGCAGGAGACTGGTCTGTTGATGTCGCTGAGCAGCACCCAGACGCGGAGGTAGGTATTCACGCCTTGCTATTTCAAGCCCTTCGGTCACTCAGTAGAAGGCTGAGCTTGCATTGCACATATCCGCTCCAGAACAAGTCTTGAGATCAAATACATCCTCGCTTGGTAGTTCATAAAAGCAGCTGCGTCGTTGACAGCGAGAACCTTTGAGAATTATGCACAGCCTCCGACCATAATCGACAGCCTCATGAAATGGAGGATATGCTGAACTAGATTCTGAGGCCACGTCGCCGACCGGGCAGCTTCTGGATTGATGAAGAAAATAAGGAAATGCATGCCGGAGAGAAATACATGCTAACGAAACTCTAGGTCATCGGGTTAGACATTAGTCCGCACATGATCCCAGAAGAGTTGCCTGATAATCTGGACCTTCAAGTCGACGACCTAAACGGAGAGTGAGTGCCTTGGGATCTCACTCTATCAGCTGATAACACGAGAGCACTTGGCTAAGGACGTGAAAATATTATAGCTTCACATTTCCACCCGATCATTTCGACGTCGTACACAGCCAGTTGATGGCAGGCGGGATCCGCGCAAACCGCTGGCAAAGCTATCTGAAAGACATATACCGCGTGCTTCAACCTGGAGGTTGGTGCCAAATGGTCGAAATGTATTTCAACGCTCAATCAGATAACGGAACGCTGTCTCCAGGTAAATTCTAATATCTTTTGACGCAGTACAAGAGAGGTTGTTGTTTGCTGAACGAGCTAGATCACGCGCTTTCGAGATGGTCAAGCGGATATCTTGATGCCATGCATCCTCAAAAGGACCCACGAGCAGCTCTACGCCTCAAAGATTGGATGAAGAATGCAGGCTTCGTCGACATTGAATCACGTCTTCTGACTCTACCCATGTGCCCTTGGCCAAGCGGTATGCCATGCACGACGACATTCGAGGAGAAACAAACAGCCCAAATCTGACATGATGCGTTCTAGATCCCCGCGACCATGACATTGGTACTCTGAATGCAGGTATCGTAAGCCAGCTGCTCTATTCGATGGGTCTATATCCATTCACACAAATGCGAGAGTAAGTTCAGCCGCTATTTCTCCCTTGGAGGGTATCCTCCATATCACATAGACGGAAGAAATAGTGTTGACGTAATCTCGGGGAAAAATAGTATGCCTTTGGAAGATTTTCAGCTCATGGTGGCTCAAGCGAGAAATGAGGCCGCGAATCCTTCGTACAGGGTGCGTAAATACCCAATGCCAGGTATGCTAGCTGAGGGATGACATGGCTGACCAAGAACTCGATATACTGCGCGCAGGCCTATTTTCCATTGTGAGTCAACTTCAAACGACCTTCAAAGGTGAGATGGGAGGCGCTAATAGCTTACCAATAATGTTGCAGATATGTTTTTATCGGACGAAAACCGCTCCGGTGATTGAGAAGCCAGAGCTATAATCACACTGTGCGATTGGCAGGTGAAGAACATATTGGGAAGCTCAGCATGTACGAAGACGGAGGTTTGACCCAGAGCAGATATCTAGAGATAGGTCAGGGCGTCACATGGACAGGGATCCTTGCGGTAGAAGGAACATGAGACAGGCATCTTTGCGCAGAGGGCAGTGGGCTTGGTGGGCAGTTGAACGCCAATCGACAGAGTCAGGATGGACGAAAGCGTGGTATTGGATAACCAGAGCGGCGTGGTGGATGGTGGTCGATTGTGAGAGAAAAATGAAATAGATAAAGGGTGGAAAATGAAGAGAGGTCGAAAGAGAAGGAGACGGACAGCGGTTGAAAGAAGGTTTCGGGGGTAGATCTGGGGAAGGCAGGTGGCGCCTTAGTATCTGGTACTTGCCTCAACAATACGCGTCAGATCGTTCTCCGCACACCGGCAAGTATCGACTACTTCCGAGCAGGTACCTGATATCAGGGGCTAATTTGGCCGGAGTGCCTAAATCACATGCAGTTTGGCTCGAGTTGCTGAGATGGAGGGAATCCTTTTTCGACCTTTGCCCTTGACTTTGCATGAGTTGATTGATAGGTGGGCAGGCCAGGCAGCGGGACAGGCGAGATGAAGGAGCGGCATCATGGCGATGAATACGTGTGATATCTCCGATGACCTATCAGAAAGCGCGCCGGTAGCACTGGATACATACGGATGTGATGCTTGTATCTTACGATCCAGTGTTGGCAGTTATGTGCAGCTTCAAGGTACAAACAGGGGCTTATTTGCGTCCAGTTCTTCTAAGCCTGCAGTGCTGCCGCCGCTTGTCCCCATCTGTGCTGTTGCTAACAATGGGTCCTTTATTGCATAGGACTCTATCAACTTCGGTTTCATACATGCCTCCTCGCATGCCTAGTCAGAGATGATTGGAATGCTTCTGCTTGGGAGTATACGTCCAACGCTGCCGTCTCAGCTCTGCCTTCTTTTTTTTTTTTTTTCCAAGCCAACTTTCCGTTTTCATTATTTAAAATATACAAGAAAAAAAAAAGGACGCGATATCTACCCTATTGCCAATTCAGGGGGGCCCAAAAGAAGCGAAGATATGATGTAGCTCACACGGTAGCAGAGTACTACTACTCCTCCGCGGATGGCGGGCAGCCAAGTCCGGTCACCACTACAAATCCAGCTCCTCTTATCAACCCCTACTTTACCAGGCCATTTTCAGTTTAACCTCGCTACCAGTGCCGCGGAATTCCCTAACCATGAGCGCCTGGGGACGAGTAGGAAGCGAAGCCGCTCCTGGTGAGCAGGCCTAGCGAACGAGCCAAGCAAAGGATCAGGAGCTACAGGCGACAGCTCAAGCTCAATCAACTAGGACGAGTATGTCTGCTTCTGCATCTTCGAATCCACTCTCGTGCGCAGCATTTCCCCTTCGGAGGAGGGGTCGTTAGACCCAAAACATGGCCTTGCTCCGTCCGGTTCGTCTGGATCGTGCTGCTCACTTCTCCTACTCTACTTGTATGAGCACGCGTTCATGCCTAACAAGCCGCATGCAGGCCTATGCAATCAAGCAACGATTAGCACTACTACTCGAACGCGGCATACTTGCGAGTACGAGCTAATAGGGACTAGGCTCTAGACTGCAAGGGGTGGTAGCAGCATACAGTACAAAAAATAGCTCGACTTACACATTTTCCCTCCAGTAGCCGTCAAAAACGAAGAGACCATCTCTCTTGGGCAGGTCGCAGAAAATACAACAGCGATTGATAAGTTGTGGCGGACCACAGATCAGAGACTGCCAACAGTTATGGAGCTGATGACGGCAGGGCGAGTTTCACAAGGTTTGATGGGGGGGATTCTGCAGGCAGCACCAGTATAACTACCATGCAACACAGAGTGCAGGGCCAACATCCTAACCAGGGCTTTATGCAGACGACACGCTGCCCTGTAACGTTATGTATACCCCCAAAGTTGTCAGGGTTACAGAAGGTTTTGATCCAATGGAAACAAGCGTCTGCCTGTGGTCACGGAGCACACCTCAAATCGAGACCGTGCTTCGGCTGAACGCCAATTGAATCTATTCAACTCCTGCCTGAACGCCTCTTACTAGCTAGCATGGCGTTGCATTGGAGACGAATCGAGCGGCAATCGGCTGAAGCCGGTGAGGTTCAAAGCAAGGACACTGTTGCTTGCTGACGGTGATGCACACAGAGATCAGACGCAATCAAAGCCGGAAAATTGGACTCTTGATCTGCGAACAGCTATGGCGAACTCTGTGAATTAAAGACGAGGCTCAACAGGCTCTCTTCTGGTTTACCCGATATCCTCAAGTTTTAGAGAGGAATGGCCTTGAACTAACTTGACTACTAAATGAATACTGAAAGTTAGGTAAATGAACCAGGAAATCAGCCTGAACGGAAATCTGCATTCCTGGTATATTCAATATGCTCGACAACGAATGGGACAGCTCTATAGCCGGCAGCAAGTACTAGGCGGATCGTCCACTAAAGGCATTACTGTCTACGAATTCACATGTTTATCAACCATTTATATGGTATCTGACGGCAACTTGCTGCTTTTGGCAGTCATTCTATCTGCTCAACGCTTATACTCATTTGGTGGTGTTGTGTATATACATCTGGACATTGATTCAGTGCTGGCCGAGGCTGAGCTATCTAGTATGTAGGCTGTGAATTACCCTGTAGATAAGCTAACTTTCCACTTTTAACGCTCCTATTATTTGCCTTCGTATGATAATGGATTCTTCAGGCGAGATTTTTAGACAGATGCAGTAAAGGTAGAGTTAGAATAGATATTTCATTTTGAGCGTTTTTATATTACGGGAAAAAGCGTGCTTTCAACATATCTTTTTAATGGTATAGCTCACCAATAGTCAAATCCAAGCATCAATTACATATTTGGTATTTCAGCTGACCACATGCTCAAGAGAGAGAAAAAAAAAAAAAGAAGAACTTAAAAAAAGGAAAAATTAACTATCTCTCATATATACAATTATCTTTTGGATATACCTTCTCATTATATATTCTTGATGATGATTTCCAATAAGCTATTGAAATTGACTGCTTGTCGTGGCTGCACGAGGCGCACGGACCAACTAGAGCTAGGCGTAGATCCCCTCCAAATTTTAACTAATGCGGCTCAAATTCGAAGCTTCCCCTCCATGGTATGATTATCGCAGCTTCTACCAACAGTTTTCGCAAAGCCTTCCACCCAATCTCGCTTCCTCGCGACTACTTCTCTTGATATTCACTCCAATGGCAGCCTCAAACTCATCAATGCCTCTTCTGGCAGCTCTGCAATGCTCGCGACACGCTCCGCTGCGCCTCTCACGAGCCCAATGCCTGTCCAAACCAGCCTCAGCCTCTCGATTCTACTCGGCAGATGCTGATGCCCCCCCGCCGCTGCTCCAGAAGCTCAAAGGCGAGCTCAAGACCGCCATGCGAGCCAAAGACGCCCCGAGGCTGTCTGTGCTCCGATCCATCATGTCCGCAAACCTCAATGCCTCCAAGACCAGCTCGCCGATCCGCACGGACGTCCAGCTGGTTGCCCTGATCCGCAAGCTGCAGAAGAGCGCGCAGGATGCCGTTGCGGATGCTCAGGCAGCCGGCCGAGACGATCTGGTGGAGAAGGAGAACCAGCAGATATCCATCTTGGACGAGTACGTTGCGGGAAGCGGCGTGCAGAGCCTGGGAGAGGCCGAAATCAAGGCTCTGATCAACGAGGCTATCGAGGCTGCCAAGGGCGCGGGCACAGCTGGCAAGTCTCTCATGGGAGACGTGATGAAGCGAGTCAATGCTGCTTTGGAGGGCAAAGACGTGGACAAGAAGTCAGTTGCAGCACTGGTCAAGGAGCTGACAAGCCAGTAAATCCGCCAATTGGCCTATTCGCCTCTGCGGCATATCATGAGGCATGTGGCACACACATAAAAAACTACCGCTTTTTAGCAGAGTGCAGCGTCTCTCTGCGTGTATCTCTCTCTGTACAATAACGATGAAAACAGCAATGATTAGAATTAAAAGGAGGGGTATTGAAACAACTTGTAAATTACGACGCCATCCACAGACACTCTTCTTTTTGGTTGAAAATGCATGAACATGATAGAAAAAACAACTCAAAAGTTCAGCTGGTGGTAATCTGTCACCATACGACTATTACCAGCACAAAATACCTAGCTAGTACTTGTATACGGGAGATAGAAAAGCGCCCGGTCCGAGAAAAGAAGCTATTTTATACTACCAGCCGGCCGCACGTGGCTTGAATGAAGAATAAAGCAAATCGAGTAAAGGGCGCAGTAGGGAAAACCATGAGTCACACCAAAAGAAAAAAAAAAGACACATATAAACAGACAACAAATTAAATTCTAATACCATCAATTCCGCTTCCTTCTTATTCTAAAATATCTGATATCCTTTTCGCAATCTATCTAGCATCTAATAAACCACACACAATGCCTCGCCAAAACGTCAGCTCCGGTTCCAAGTTCGAAGAGGAAATCGGATACTCCCGAGCCGTCATTGTTGACGACTGGGTCTTTGTGTCGGGAACCACTGGGTGAGAGACGGCGATAATCTTTGAAATATCTCTTTTTTCCTGCCCCCCCAGCTACGAGTTAACAAAATACATCAACCGGCAGATACAACTATGACACCGGCAAGATCTCTGAAGATGTCTACGAACAAACTGAGCAGACAATGGCCAATATCGACAAAGCATTGAGAGAGGCTGGTTCTTCCGTGTCTGAAGTTGTTCGCGTGCGGTATATTCTTCCGAACCGCAACGACTTCCCTTCCATCAAGCCGGTACTGAGAAAATGGTTTGGCGACGTGCGGCCTGCGGCGACAATGGTACAAGCCGAGCTTATGCTTGATGAGATGAAGATTGAAATCGAGGTGACGGCCAAGAAGGGAGCCGGAGCGACGAGCTAGTGATCCGACCTTTGTTGTAGTTACGCGCTCATTCTTTGCCATAGGAAGGCCATAAGCTCAGAATATGCCAGGTAGCCATACTTTAATAAACCAGAGGTGCAACAACTGCTCCTGCAGCAAACGCGCAGCCGATTGTAATCATGCTAGACAGAGACAGCAATGAAATGCCGCTAATGCCATGCCCGGACGTACAGCCACCAGCCATTCGCGCTCCAATAACCATGAGTGCGCCTCCTGCCATTGCCAACAACGGCGGTGCCTCAAACACGGGAGCACTGGCCAGCGAAGGTATAGCCTGGAGCAATCCCCAGGCTCCAGCAGTGACGCCGGCGGCGAATATGATGCTGTTGTATGAAGTCGGTTTGGTATTTGGCTCTGCACCCTTAATCAGCCACCAAAAGTGGTTACCAATCTCTTCATACGCGGTAGAAATGCCTATCATAGACTTTCGTGTGATGATGGAGAATAGCTGGGAGAGACCAATGATTAAACCGCCCGTGGTTCCGAGAATCTTTGCTCCAGGAAACTGGGGAGTATAGGCCGTGGTTGCTGCGAGAATTGAAAGGCAGGCAGCCTCGAAGAGAAGCAAAGTGGCGCCTCTACTCAGACCCAGTTGATCATTCGCAGTCGTAGTTATAGGAGTGACGTTTGCTTTTTCTTTATTCCACTTGACCATCTTTGAAAAGAACCCAGTCCATAAAATGCCGCCTATTATGGCTCCGTTGAGTGCATGAAAGCCGGTATGGACGCCAGCAGCCAGTTGAGGATACAGTGTCCCCGGACAAGAGCCCGACAAGGCCATTCCAGCACCGAGGAGGGCACCGCCGATGATATTGCCGTCATATCTAGAGAAAAGACCTATCGGCGAGGAGCTTCTGGGCTTTAGCTTCACGTAGTCGAAGTGTTCTGCAACAGTGTATATGACTCTTTGTATATTAAAAGTTAGCCTTATGCCCATACACATGGCATACGATGCTATAAATGTTAAAAAAAGGGGGCTTCTGTTGTTGTACTTACGCGCTGCTTGCAGTTGCGGCGAGAAATGCCTGTACCATATGAAAGTTTTCAAACTTCATCTGGGCAACGACAATGGCAGGATTATGGAATGAAGCACCCATGGTGGCAGCTCCAAAAGCTGCACCCGTTAAGAAAGTTGCTGCCATGGTAGAATGATTCTGGGAGTATAATAGCCCAAAGAGACGAAGGAATACGACACACTCTAAGGAGATAGGCGCGGATAGTAAGACGCAAGATGCTAGTTGTCTGAGGACCTGGAGATGTCTACTTAAAATACAAGAATAACATTAATAATGAATAGTAATATATGCAGGGAGGTTCGGCGTCGATACGTAGAGGGCGCCGATAGCATTAGTCGTGGACACCGTTTTAATGATCGTATAATAATAATCCTCGTTCGGGTCATCGGGCACTACTGCGAAGACTCTGGGGTATGGTATGATCTGCACTCGGGCTTCAAACGTCGTCAGCCTCTCACCACAGGCTTACGATGCCTTGCTATATTTCCTCCATGGCTCGTACCAGGCATAAGGACCCTAATCAAGAAGGAAATGGGCTCATATGAAAGAGTCGCCGACAAGTTTTGTTTTAGTGGGCCCCTGCCATTGGCCACCATCGCCGAGACCCCGAAATCGACGGACCGGATGGCTAGAGGCGCAATTCTCGGGGACCATGGCGTGCGTGGCGGTATGGGCGGGATTTATGCTTTTAACGTTCTGACACTCCCGTAGGATATTCCGGATCGAGTGTACTGTGATTGTGCTACACTCGGTCGGGGAGAGCAATGCCCATTTTGTGTAGCTGGGAGTAATGGCAATGCGCCAGCCTCATACAAATAATACTATAGCCCGAAATCTAGTTGAAAGCGAGGATATTTTTGCATCGGTAATGACATTCACAAGTTAACACCAACACCCACTGTGAATGTTTGGAAGAATCTCCGGACAGGGCATACCGGGGATCATCTTGGACACAGCAAGGGAAGTCATTTGGGGTCTGTGCCAATATTGCGAGAACCTCAAGGGTGTGAAGACATTTTAGTCAAGTCGCCGGACATTATATAAGCTTGAGCTGTAGCCTAATAAAAGCAGCGCTTGGTGTATAGTGTTGTTCTCAAGCAAGGAGATTTTGCTCCAGATGCACACTGTGGGCGTTGACTGTTCTCAAACGGCTAAACTAGCTCTGACCAGCGCAAGGCCGGAGATTCTCTCCTAGCGAGCGTCGGTGAACAGCTCAAGCTGAAGATCGGGTGGGTCTCTAGGATGGGTGAAGAAGTTGAAACATGCAGCGGTCATTCTGCGCCTGGTGGTGATTTCGCCTACCATACAGTATATCGGCGAAGCTGTCAAATGACGGTGAAGCGGTGGATGGCGGGCATCGACGTAGAATCTTCTTAGGGATTAGTATTTGCAGACAAAGAAAGAAGTGGAACACACACGGATATACCTTTTTCTTCTTTAATATCCCGGCTGCTCTATGTTCTGTGTAGATGGATTCGTTCATTTAATAGCACTGGCTAGGACTCGAATTCGCCTTGTCGCTTCTTGATTGAATCGTATTTCCCCAGGTCTTCCGCAGGCCAAGGAAATGACATCAAGCATCGGGAAGACGGTTTCATTAGAATAACCGCAAAGCGAATAAAGGCTTCAAAATAGAAACGTTTTCTTCGAAATCAACAACTAGTCTTTAATCCAACCATATCAAAGCCCACGCCAAATACATACCGGGAAGCCTTTCGGCGAGCTCCGATGACGGACTTTAAGGCCGGTCGACCGAGCCGACGTAGAAACCGCGGACTCAACGGCGGACAATGCTCCATCAGGTCGCCGTGCTGGACCTCCGCAACGGATGCGGCGATGGATCAGTCTTGTGCGCCTTGGACCTCTGTACATCCGGCCAGCAGCGTTTAAATAGGCCTGTGATTGTAGATTGGTGTATTGATTTGTTGATGCTAGTTATGGTTTCGCTGATGCAGTGATTTAAGATTGAAGAGCAGGACGACGAAGAGAGTTTGAAATTCAAATGGATAGGGCTTCCAAATGGTAGTAGAGACGCAGTTTGCTGGTCACGATTGCAAAGTGAAGATACGTACCTGCAGGCGCGGATTATCGATTAAGGTATTCCATACTACTACTAGGTAGGTACCTACTCGGACAATCGATAAGATTTTGTATATCGGATACAGTCGTAATCGTATTCAATGGCGGATGTAGCTTTTAAAGCGAAAGCGAGGTGCAGCCAGGAGGGTCGCGTATAGAAGACAGAAATCGTTTTAGAAAATTCCAACAAAAATAGCAGTAACTTGTAACGACCTCAAGCACCACAGGAGCTGATAATTAGAGAGTCGCTCTAAACCTTGAATTATCGGGTAAATGAGAGAAAATAAAACAGAGTGACTTTAAATTGAAAAAAAAAAAAAAAAAAAACCCCTTTTACGAACCGCATGAAAGTACTAAGGTAGTTGAATCTATTGAGGATGTAGACGTTTCCACCTATAACATCGTGATAGGATAGCATCCGCCATTTTGATTCCTAATTCTATACCTACCGATAGTCTCAATCCTATAGGCAAGCCTTCTTAATTCATCAATTTCCGAGCCATCCATCCATCAAATAGAGGTTGATGCGGTCAACCGTTTCGGCCACTTGGCCGGGATTATGTCAGTAGCACCTGTGTCACTCCGCTGTAAATACAGGCCAAGACCGGTTTGGTGTTCCTGGGCAACCATCGGGAGAAGTAAGTGCGACACCACACCAAACCAGCCAATAATTGTAGATGGAACTTCCCGCATGACCCAATTTAAATCAAATTCCAAAAAAAATAAAATAGCATAGGAACACAATGCTCTCTTTGAGATTCCCCCCTCTGGGTGCAGATGACAAATGCCGTCTGCGGACCGCTAGTTGCAGCGTAACCGAGGTCATCACAGCGAATCGTGGCGGGGTTGATGTCATAATAGGCAATTTGCAGCATTTTAAGAGTGAGCCGCCTAGCAGAAAAGGCGGACCGCTTGGCTGCGGTGAGAGAGCATCTGAATAGTCGTGTGTGTGTATAAGAAGAATATAAGTCTGCAAAGACAGGCCGATTGCGTGCCAACCGATATTTTCCCATTTCCCTTGTATCAATTACCATCATTTATTCTCGTCGAAATCAAACACCACCTCCACAATGCCGCGAATTATCACCTTGAAGCAGGTTGAGGGCAAGCCTGGAGAAGTCTACTACCCGTAAGCCTCATCAGCTCTACCGCTCATCCACTCCCCCGTCTGCGAATTTCAAAAGAAAGCGCAGAAAGATCGATCGTAAAGGCTCACATGTATCATTGATTACAGCATCCAAATCAAGGAGGTCCCCAAGCCCACGCCAGGCCCGGGTGAGGTCCTCGTCCGCATCTCCGCCATAGCCCTCAACCACCGAGATCTCTTCATCCGTCGCCACCAGTATCCTGCCATTTCCTTCACCAACCCCATGTTTGCCGATGGCTACGGAACTGTCGTCGAAACTGGACCGGCTGTCACCCGCAAAGACCTCCTTCACAAGGCCGTCCTGCTGACGCCCATGCGGGGGTGGGAATCTGATCCTGCCGGGCCAGAAGACGCTCGTAAGTTTGCCGTCATTGGCAGCAGCAAGCTCACCGATGCTGCAACTGGACAGGACTACGTCGTTGTGCCTGAAGATGAGGTGGTTCTCGCGCCAGAGCACCTCACGCCCGGCGAAGGTGCCGCGCTGCCCCTCGTGGGACTTACAGGATGGAGAGCCCTGGTGACCAAGAGCAACGCGGCTTTCCCCGGGAGCAACATCCTCGTCACGGGCATCGGCGGCGGTGTCGCACTGTCAGTGTTGCAGTTCGCCGTCGCCTTTGGAAGCAACGTCTACGTCACCTCCGGCGACCCGGAAAAGCTTGAGCGGGCAAAGGCTCTGGGTGCAAAGGGAGGCGTCAACTACAAGTCCGAGACGTGGGAGAAGGATCTGGCTGCCATGTTGCCAAAAGATCGACCTTATCTCGACGCCATTATCGATGGTGCTGGGGGACCAATCATCAAAAAGACAATCCGCATCTTGAAGCCCGGAGCGGTCATCTCCCAATACGGCATGACGGTGTCTCCCAAGATGGATTGGCTGATGCAAGCTGTGCTCGCTCATGTGGAGCTCAAGGGTGTTACAATGGGATCAAAGAAGGAGTTTAGGGACATGGTGGCGTTTGTCAAGGAGAAGAAGATCAGACCAGTGATTAGCAAGACGATCAAGGGTTTGGGTGATCTCGAGGCCATCAACAAGTTATTTGAGGAGATGGAACACGGAAGGCAGTTTGGCAAGCTGGTGATTGAGGTTGACTCCGAAGCATCCTCTCCAAGACTGTAAGGATGACTGGGAAAGGAAATGGACATGAAGAGATGGACATGACTCTGGCACTGGCAAACATGTCAATAATAGTGAAAAGGGAAAAGAAGAAGAAGAGCAAGCGAAGATTGAACACTTTGTATTATCGAGGGATTTCGCCGACTTTGATAAACAAAGTAACCCCTGTATAGGCACTAGTAGGCAGGCACTTATAGCCACTTGTTTTGTATATAATACACGCATATCTGAAAGCAACAACTTGACGTCGAAATCAATTTTTAAAAAAAAAAATCCATTTCAAATGTCCTCTGGATATTATTTATTTATTTGTGCAAGTCGGTAGATTAACAGATAAAAACAAACGCTCCTAACCGTCCACAACACCCGGCGCAATCCAATCGCCACCCTACTCAGAAGTCTTCTTCCGCTTCTTTTTGGGTCTGTCTTCTTCCGGAGGTACGAATTCCGCTGCTCGCTGCTTCGCCCGCTCCTCCTTGGCCTCCTTCTGCTTCTCCCTGCGCTCGGTGAGCACGGCCCTGTCCTTGGCCTCCTTGCTGAGGAAGTACTCGCCGCTCTCAATCTGCTTGTCAACCTTGCTCTTCTCCGGCGCGGGCGGGAATGGCGTGTAGACCTTCTTGGTCTTGTCTGTGACCTTGAGGGGCACCCGTCGCTTGCTCAGCGTCTTCTTCTTGAAGTTTGGCAGGAAGCGGTCCCAGCTCTCGTTGGCCAGCTCGGGGTCCTTGGCCAGCTCACGCTTGATCATGAGCTCTTTGATGTGATAGATGGGGTGGATGTTGTTCATGCAGTCTTCGACGACTCTGCGAAGCTCCTTGAGGCCCTTGTACGGCCCCATGGCCGATACTGTGTTTCCGTGGACGAGGATGTACGTCTCCGTCAGCAGCTCGAGCGCCTTGAGCGTAGAGCCGCTGGGGCCCAGTATCCGCTGGCGCCGCTTGACGAATCGCTCCTTATTCCGCACCAGGTTCCGGATCTTGATGATGTCGCACGCCACGCCGTCTTCCAGGATCTTGACGGCCTGAGGAGCCGGCACGCTTCGCGCCAGCAGCTTGATGAGGTCACGCGCGTTCAGGATGGCGGCGGGATCAAACGTCTTTCGCGTCGTCTTGACCGTCATGGAACCCTCGACGAGATCCAGCGTGCAGGCAATGCCGTGCTTCTCCAGCGCCTTGGTGATCAGCGGCCAGGCCTCCTTCAGGTAGACTTCGCGGTATTTGGGGAAGAGCGTGACAAAGGACGATTCTTCGGTGAATGTGCCGCCGACATTGTCCTTTGCCGTAAAGGCCTCGACCTTCCACTTGTCGATATCGTCGGTATCCCAGGGCTTGTCTTTTTTATGTGTCGACGGCATTGTGCTCGTCCGTCAAAAGAATGGAATCGGGAGAGTTGTAGATGATTCGAGACGGTTTGTATGGATTCGGTTAATCTGGTTCCGATGAGCGATGCCTCTGTCTTCTCCTTTCCTCTTTTCTCTTTTATTGCTTTTGTTTTTGTGATCTTTTGCAATGATATGGTAGTGAGATTCTCCAGATAGGCTCTGCGGCCAAAAATTTTGGGTGCTTGCATTGAAATCTGCCATGGGGAGCTATCGATAAGATAAGAACAATAAGTGGACCGCGCTACAACTGTCTGGTACTAGCCAATCGCGAGGCACTAACCCCGCCTGGTCACTAGCGCCAACTGCTCCCATGGGTGCAGCTGCAAGTTGCTCCAAGATTTCAGACGCCCAAAAATCTCCATCAGAGTCGCGAGATCGATATTGCGCATCGCCTCAATCCTCCGCAAAGCAACGCCAACCATGTCCAAAGCAGCAAAGGGCGCCGCGGGCGGGGTCGACACCATCGTCAAGCTGATTGTGGGAGCCGGCCAGGCCAGTCCCAGCCCTCCAGTTGGTCCTGCGCTGGGTAGCAAGGGTGTCAAGTCTATGGACTTTTGCAAGGTTTGTAGATTCCCTGCGTTGCCATAAGATATATATATATTTCTATGTATATATATAATGCACAAGGGTTGCATTATAGACAACAAGCACAGACCCAGAGACTAACGGTCGTTCTAGGAATTCAATGCCAGAACTGCAAACATCATCCCCGGAACGCCCATGCCATGCCGAGTCACCGTTCGCCCAGATCGGTCCTTTACCTTTGATCTCAGAACACCTCAGACATCCTGGCTGCTGCTCAACGCTGTGGGAGCGCCGGTGGGCAAGAAGGGAAACCGAAAAGGCGTCAGCAAGCCTGGACACGAGACGGTTGGCACCATTAGCTTGAAGCACGTCTACGAAATTGCCAAGATTAAGCAGTCAGAACTTCGCCTCTCTGGACTGTCGCTGGAAGGCTTATGCCGGTCCATCATTTTCCAGTGCAAATCAATAGGAATCAATGTGGTGGCTTAACGAAGTAATGATACCAACCAAAGAGAAAGAAAGACAAAAGAAAAAAAAAATTGAATAAAAGAGGTGTTCTGGTCATGGTTTTGTGATCTCAGCATGCATCAAAAAATGAGCTGACTGAGATGGTGTACAACATACTACGGAGATACGAAAGATGTACGATCAAGTTTCGAAAAGATATACATATTATAGACATGGACATTTTCCACCCCTTATTATTTGAGGTTTTCCTTTTCCTTTTCCTTTTCCTTTTCTTTTTCACCCATTCGCTTATTCATCCTCTTCATCCTCCATCATTTTCCACTTTGCCGTTCATTATCGCGTTTCAGCAGGCGCCCGGATTTAATCTTGGTAAGCATTGGTGCCTGGAGCCGATTGAGACATTTCCGCCGGAGTAGCACCCAATAAATTACAGCCTCACTCACAAGGACCGAATCGAGAGGACGCCATTCGCCAGAGAAGCTTATTTTCAGCCACAGGATTGCAATCCTCGCCCAGGTGGCCTTCAAACATGGTGCCCTCTTGGAAGCCAACCCTGCCATCTCCTGCAAGTGTGCCTTAAAAATCACGTACGAAACACTCGGGCAGGGAGGGAAAATACCCTATTGGCCATGGCACATTCGCTTCCGTCTGCGATTCGTGGAGAGCCATGAGGCGCTGCAAGGTTTAGTGTGTCTGTTGGCTGGAAACAATCATCACGAGGCTGTAGGCCTCCAGGTGGTGCTGAAACCTAAAAATGCTGCGCTTCCCCTCATGGCGGCTCCTATGTATTGCATGTCTGCCTAGCCAACTTTGCAAGTGAACACATTCCTGCATAAATCACCACTTCGGGACCAGCCTTTCTCTCGGAACCAGCTAGCGCATCGCCAGCTGTCGCCTTCGAAATCTGCCTGGCATATGACAAACAATAAGGCGACGAACAAGCAAATCAAGAGAAAAGAATAAACAATGCCATCCCTGGCTTGCACGTGCGGCCGCCGCTTCAACAATGAGGAAGCTCTGCGAGACCATAGAAGCTCTGTGGCGCGGTATATCTGCAGCCAGTGCAATAAGTGCCTCCGCAACCTCAATGGTTTTATGAAACATAGGGCCTCCTCCTTTCCGGCTTGTGGACAAATCCGACTAAAGGACATGAACTGGTTCTGCACCGATTGCAACGCAAAATTTGATGATCGGGATGCCCTGCGCCAGCATTCTACTTCAGCCGGGCACGCCGTTGAGTTTCGTTGCTGTGACTGCAATAAGAACTTCAAAAATGCGCCAGCTTTGAACCAACACCTACGGGATAAGGTCCACAAGAAGAAGCCACCACAGCGTAAGGCGCAGCATCACTGTAAAGACTGTGATCGTTCATTTGGCAGCGCTCGCGCCTTGGAACAGCATCTGCATTCAACAATCCATCATCCGATTAGCAATTTGACCTGCATGGCGGGTAAGATATGCGGCGTGGAATGCAAGGCTCGTTTCAGCAGCCCCTCAGCTATGATTGCTCACATGGAGAATGGCACTTGCCGGTCGGGCATAAACCGGCAGAAGCTCAACAGGTTGATACTTGTGCAAGACACCGATCATCTCATTACCAGTTCCAGCGGAATCTTTGAGTATTCGGGCTGGGCCAGCCTGGAAAACGATGAAGGATCAGCAACTTGCTCTGGATTCATGACACCAAGCACAGAATCAGATGAAGGGGTGCTTTTGACCCCGAGCAGCAGCCAACTTGATTTTGGTAGCCTTGTGGAAAGACAACTGACAAGACGTTCACCCTCCGGGTTCGAAACTGACTCCACAGCAAGTGACAGCACAGAGCTATCCAAGCCAAAGTTTTTCTTCTGTCCTCTTTGCCCCGATACTAAACGCCCATTCTTGACACGCTCGGGCCTGGAAATGCACATGAGCTCCGCTGCTCATACCCCCAAGATGTTTCACTGTCCCTCAATCCTCTTCTCAGGAAAATCTGGAAAAGCCCAACCGACTATGAGGAATTTTTCGACGATTAGCGGGCTCGTAGCACACATTGAGAGCGGCGTCTGCCATGGCGGAAAAGCAGGCTTGCGAACCGTGATGGAGCATATGGAAGAAAGGCTGGAGGAGATGGGCATGTCATTCAAGCTGCTGAGCCTATGAGGCGGTGTTCTCTGGCCATGAGGCGGTACTTTTCCTTTGTCTCTCCCTTTTCATTGTGTTGCTTATTTAGAATTGCTTGATGACCAACGACACCTTTAGGAAAGCTATCTATTTGAGTTCTCTAGGATGCCTTGATTGCTTGATAGTTAACGGCGGCTTCAGGGGGTACCTTAGCTATTATACTTGGAGTTGATATGGATTTGTTGGATATAGTTTTAACTGGTTTGATGTTGATGAATTACAGACTCGAGTGAGTCTCTCTTTGGATTCCAGACAATTTTACTCAATCTTATGACCTCGGCCAATTACACTGTACTATTTGCATATATCAACATATGGGCAGACTTTCTAGCTAGAGTGGAACAACCATTTCATCCATTCTGGTGCTGTTGACGTGATTCTGTTTAATACCATTCTCGAACAACGGTTGAACAGCTATAGAGCCTTACAGTTGAAAGGGGAAGATGGGCAGACTTAATTCATTGAACCATGAAACTGCGTCCAGCATTTGAGACAACGTGCCCCACTCGGAGTCGTCAACTTTATTGATCAGCATCCGGCCACGGCAATATAAATAGAACATAGAGGAGCAGTCGTTTTTTTTGTGGGCAACTTGTGGACCGATATGTCACCCGGCAATTCAAACATGTCCCTGCGTTTGGGTGAACTCATGCTGCGGGGGGCTGACGTGCAAGACTTGCTATCACCTGTTGCATACGTTTTGAACATCCAACCAGCTAGGAGAAACAACGGCGATATAGGACCCGTTGTTAGTCACAGATCTCGAGAGTGGGCGAGTATTTGCCACATGCTGGCTGCTGATCCCGGCCTGGCATTCGATAACACCTATGCAAGCTGGCCAGAAGAGCATGAACCACGTTCCATGTTGGGCGATGAAGCTCCGTTACAGTATGTGATTTGCTTGCTTGTTACTATTCGGAGAAGAGCGAATTACATGGTGCCAAAGAGGCTCGTGCGTTCTGTAACGGAAACTAGAGCTGTCACCGCATAACGGAAGCGACGCTACCTATTCCATTGATGGCAACTTTCTGTTGGGCTCGCCAAGGATTCAGCTCGAAGTTGGGCTGGACTAATGCATAGAATTTTTTTTTCCTTCCATTTTCGCCTTCGTGTGCTCGTCTACACACAAGGAAGTGTGGGTGGCAAAAGAAGATACGGCGATCCCGACAACTTACAGTGTGTACATATGTACAATTGGGCTTGGCAGATGGAGAACTGGAACTGATTGCTTTTCCAATGGGCTGAAATTCAGACGCATTTCGGGAAATGATTTGTGCAAAGAGAAGAAGAAAAAAAAATAAGTGATACAGTAAGGACTTGCTTGATTTGGGAGTAGTAGTTTCATTCCCCGACTTGGCTTCCTTTCTTGTCCCTTGACAAGCCGAGAATAACGTTTCTCTCCGAGTGGGGGCCTCAATCTAAGTGGGATCTCAAATAATCGGGAGAGGCAGATGCTATTATGTACATAGTAGTATAGTAGTGCTAAGTACCTACTAGACTAGTAGCAGCACAAAGCAGAGCCGAAAGTCGGCCATGGCTACTGCAAACAGCCAGGATTCGCAGCTTGGCTTGCCGCTTCGGAAGTGAGACCCAGCCACGATAGAGGCCATCGCCGCCAGATGAGAGCGTTGGAGGCAAGATTGCAGAATACGAGCGGGTTTAACATGTACCGGTACATAGATAATCAATATGTAGGTACGAAGCCGCGCAGGTGCGAGCTGGTAATTTTACCCCGTACTACGAAATTCAATACAAACCTGCAATATTACGCCGCAGCACATATCACCGCATATCACCGCATGTAGGCACTGCCACTACTAGGTACTGCTATTTGTTGACAGTACCTTTCCCTCATCCCCTGTTGCGGCTCTCGTTTGTGCCTGGAAAGGGCACTAATACGGGCCGACTTTGAGCGGTTTGCTTGCATCTGGATCTGTGCTACCATCCATGTCCCGAATGGCTGGTCCTCATGACCCCCCTTCTTGCTTATGCTGACTGGACAGATACCTGGATGAATGAGGCTAGCCGAGGCGATGGGAACTGCTTGTTACAAGCAAGATGCCGGCAAGCCTGTCCAAGCTCGTCCCCCAGCAGCAGCTCGACATGGCACAGGAGCATGATTGAGTCATCCATTGGACCGGATGATGAACGGAGAGCGTCGAGGATGAGACTGAGATGTCAAGCATGCAGGTACTGCTACTAGTAAGGTAGTTAGTGAACCATGCAGATGCAGATGCAGAGAGAGATGTAGAGAGAGACACATCATCACCACCATCGTAATCATTTAATCCTCCTCATCGCTAGAAGAGCTCCCCCCGGTGGATGAGGCACTTTGCTGGCAAGCTTGGAATGCACCAGCTGGCCCCAAGTACTGCTTGTATCCGCCAATCACGGCAGCACTCCGCTGTGCTATATCCGTCTATCCATGGGCAGGTGTCACTGATAGGACGCAAGACGCGGGACACTGGCTAGGCGTGGGTGGGTAAGACTCCATAGCAAGGCACTAGTAAAAGCCTCGATTTGCCCTGGACAGGCAGCACAAAGCCCACGGAGCAGCAGCTCCACGGAGAAATAGCTCAAAGTTGCGTTGTGTATATGCATCTATGCCCACGGCAGATGGATATCGAGGCAAGTTTGCCAGCCGTTGCCGAGGCATTTGATGATTATGCCGGTGCCTAGTACAGCATACAGCATACATGCAGTCAGTTTGAGTCGAGTACTGCATACAAGTACTACTAAACTGGTGACCCAGAAGCAACAGCCAGCCATGCAGTACTGTGGACAAACTCGCGATAACACCGCATCAGCAGAGCTACAGCTATACATACATACTAGGCCAGGTAGTGTAGGATCTGCAGGAATGGGCAAGCCAGCTGCTCATCGCTTTTTGTGGCGTGCTGGATGGCGCCTGGACTTATTCCGCAACTCCCGAGAAAAGCGCTTTATCCGATAGATTGACGCAGCATTCGGGGCTGGCTGGGGAATTTTTCTAGATTGCGCCTCGAAGCGCCGTTCGATGCGGCGGGAGTTGAGCTTCTCGTTCTCGCGCCTTGTACCCCAAAGTACCCTCCAGCGCCCTTGGTATCCCGGGCGTCTGCTAGGCAGGCCGCGCCCAGCGCCAGATACCGCCGCGGCAGGTCTCTTGGGGTCGGCGCCGCTGTATTTGCAGCGCATCTTGCGGGCCGCGGCGGTACCTCCAGCGAGGGGGAAGCGGTACGGGGCGCTGGGGTTCCTGTGGCTCTCTGGGCGGATCTGGTGCGTGCAGCACTGTAGCAGAGCAGCCCGCTATTATTCCCCTCTCCGCCCAGCAACAGAGACAGCGGCCTGGCCAAGGGGCGAAGCGGTACAAGGAGAGTACATGGAGCTTTCACGGCGGGATGACAGCTGCGGACAAGGCAATGCGGAAGCGTTTGTCGCTTTTGGGGTGCTGCACAATCTCCCCAAGTAGCAAATTGGTACGATCGATTATACATTCATCCATTGCTTTACCTACTAAGTTACTACTATAGTGCTTGTAGTAGCAGTACATCTGCTAGCAGCTACTAGTAGGTAGCTGAAGCCGAGAGACACAGAACGTCAGAATGCGGCAATCCCAAGAGAGGGTACCTGGCGGTACATGCTCGCGATTGGGACGCCGTGGGAGGACGAGCTGCAAAAGCATGTGACCGGATTTGGCAGTAGGTACCGGCTACCTGTGACGTGGTGTATCGCTGGTAGTGCAGCCAAGGTTCCTTGAAGACGCAGATGGAGATGCAGAGAGACGAACCGAGAGAGAGAGAGAGAGAGAGAGAGAGAGAGAGAGAGAGAGAGAGAGACACGCAAATTGATGCCCAGTGAGCAGCGTCTTATCCAATATATCTAACATACCATGTACTCCGTATGTGTGTGTAGTACCCAATTCTTAAGCAGCAGCAGCGGAGTTGTCTTTGGACTTGCCCCCCCCCCCCCTGCAAAGCCCTGTAATAAACCAATGTGCCCTGCAGCCAGCATCTACAGCGCAGCGCAGCGACTCCCGAGGGTACGCAACCCGCGCCTCTGTCGCTCTGTACCGGTACCTCGTCCGAGCCCCACCATCGGCCGTCCAACCCATCCATCCCGATTGTGCTCAATTTCATTCTATCGTTCGCGCAAACCGAACCAGAGAAAAAAAAAAAGCGGTCGCCTTTCCGCTCTCGCGCTGGCCACCGGCTTTGCGCTGCCGCTACCTTCGCCCCGGCCCTCTCAAAACTTCGCTCCCCCAAGATTCCGATTCCTGGTCCTGGTCTTGGTCTTGATCCTGGTTTTGGTTCTGGTTCTGGCTCTGGCTCTGGTTCTGGTTCCTCTGGGAGGGTCTTGGTTGCCGCGCCTCTGCCATCTTCTTCTTGCTTCTTCAATCTCCATCGGGAATCCAGTCTTGCTCCATGGCGTCGTCTGCGACCTCAAAGGCCGCTGGTGGTGAGTGTCTCCCCTACGGGCCCGTCCGGCGCATCCGCCTGGTTGCTGCCGGAGTCTGGCGCTACGAGACATGCTTTTGCTGCTTATTCCAGCGATGATGACACAAACAATGCAAAGTGTGCTGACCTCTGTGCGTGTCTTCAAGCCGGCGCAGATGCTGCTGCCGCCCAGGCGCCGTCGCCGGCTCAGGGCGATATCTCGAGCTCCAGCAAACATCGCGAAGCCCCCGCCGCCGCCGTTCGCTTCTCCTCTGCCGTCGAGGAGATTGAGCCGCAAACACCTGCTGCACCCGCCGCAGCTTCAGCTTCAGCTTCGCCATCGGCTTCAGCAGCACCGCCAGCAGCGGATCCGGCCTCGTCCAAGCCTGCTTCCGTCAACGAGTCCTTGACGGCCACCACAAACACCTCAGATCGCTTCGACACCTTCAACGAGGTGGCTGCCGACCAGATCAAGGCCTTCCAGAAGTCGCTCCAAGGACTGCCCTTGCAGGAGCGCCGCATGAGCACTTTTGGATTCGAGGCCTTTTCCCTTCCTGCATCACGGGTAAGAGCTCCATCCGCCATGACCACGATCCATCCCCTCCCATTGTCCTGTTTCAAGGATAGGCACTGTAGTATCTCGGACTCTGGCCTACTCTGCTTGCCTGTGTTTGCTTGCTTGCTACTCTATCCCTTGTTACTCTTCCCTCCTCCTACTCCTACTCCTATGACCCCTTACAACCAACCCCCCTCCCCTTTTCACAAACAACTATACAGCCTCATTTTTTTTTTGTGTTTCTCACCACCGTTTATTTCCATCATCCTCTAGCTCCGCAAAGATATCCCCGTCATTGGTTTGCACCCACCATGCCAGCCGATGATGTATCCAGTCACAAGCGCTCCGAATGTTTTCATCCCCGAATCATCGCCTCACGCCTCCGGCCACCCGAAGCCCAGCTTGATGCCCGTCATCATGCCCTGCATATCCTCTCCTTCTCAGTTCCCACCCCGCTCAGCTGCTAACCCACGCACCCCTGGCCAGGTTGCTTCCCGCGACGATGCCTCCAATGACTCTACCAGATTGCCCACGCCAAACTCGTCCGGATGGCAGTCTCCTCACGGAAGTCCTCGGCTTTCGGCCCTGGCCTCTCCTCCGCTCACGCCTGCCGGCTCAGATCCCGACAAGAGGTTAAATAAGGACACCGGTGCCGCCGGTACTCCCGGTACCTCCATCAGCGATTCACATCACATTATAACTCCGCAGCCTTCGAGCCCTACCGCCGACAAGGCGCCTTCTTCCACCACTGGTGCTGCTGATCGGAAAGCAGCCCTCGCCCACCGGCCTGTTTCTTCGTCTGACCACGCCATGTCCAGGGCCTCATCGTCCACCGACGATCATCGCCCAGAGTCTCGAGGGCTCCACAGAAAGGACTTCTTCTCTGTCGGGCCCAGCTCCGTCCCCGTGTCCCGTGAATCCAGCCCGTCCAGGAGCTCAGCCGCACACTACTACTCCAAGCCAATGGCTCAGCACAGTGACGCCAACGATCCGTATGCAAAGGGCCGTCGCCCCCCTCAGCAGCAGCACCCCACCCGTCACTCAGTCGACCCACGATTCATCTTCTCCATCTCCAGGAAGAAGAAGGACCGAAATGGCCCATCGCCCACCTCGTCAAAGGCAAGCGTCGGCGTGTACGGCCAGTCCAGGCAGAGCGACGATTCTGGATCGACTGACGGTGTCCACGGACATGCGGCTGCGGGCTCCATGTCCGACCTGAAGCGCTTCTTCCGAAAGTCAGGCCACCACAAGAAGCGGGACCATTCGCCGTCATCCATCAAGTCATCGTCCAAATCCAGTCAGGCCAGCCGCTCCAGCCAACAGCTGCCCTTTGGCGACGACCATGGCTTGACCTCCAAGTATGGCAAACTCGGCAAGGTGCTGGGCTCTGGTGCTGGAGGTTCCGTTCGGCTCATGCGTCGGACCGAAGACGGCACTGTTTTCGCCGTAAAGGAATTCAGGGCCCGACACACCTATGAGACGGAGAGGGAGTACAACAAGAAGGTGACGGCCGAGTTCTGCGTGGGATCAACCCTCCACCACGGCAACGTCATCGAGACCCTGGACATCCTGCAGGAGAAGGGGCGCTGGTTTGAGGTCATGGAATATGCGCCCTTTGACCTCTTCGCCATTGTCATGACTGGCAGGATGTCGCGGGAGGAGATTCGATGCAGCTTCCTGCAGATCCTCAACGGTGTCACCTACCTGCACAGCATGGGTCTCGCCCATCGAGACTTGAAGCTCGACAATGTCGTCGTTAGCGAAAAGGGCATCATGAAGATTATCGATTTTGGTAGTGCCCATGTCTTCAAGTATCCTTTTGAAAGCGGATCCGTTCCCGCCAAGGGTAAGTTTTCCATATATGAATTTCTCAAGACTACTACACCTAGTCCATGTTCGCTCCATACTAATAATCAATATAGGCATTGTTGGTTCCGACCCGTATTTGGCGCCTGAGGTTTACGATTCCAAGGAGTACAACGCCGAAGAAGTCGACATTTGGTCGCTTGCCATCATCTTCTGCTGCATGACTTTGCGCCGCTTCCCCTGGAAGATTCCCCGCATGACGGACAATTCGTACAAGCTGTTCGCAGCCAGCCCGACTCCTGGCCACGACCCCGGCAAACTGCTGCGCCCCAAATCCACCAACGACCTGTCATCTGTGGCTGCTCGAGAATTTTTGCCCGATGACGATGCCAAGTCTCAACGCGGCGGCGGGCACAAGAGGCAGGATTCGGATTCCCCCTCTGCTACAGGCACCGACCTGCCACAGCTTCCAATCCCGGGCGTCAGCGTGCCCGACAGGTCGAAAGAAGTCGTTCGAGGACCCTGGAGGATTCTCCGGCTGCTCCCCCGCGAAAGCCGCCACATCATCCATCGCATGCTGGACATCAACCCCAAGTCTCGAGCCAGAATGGGCGAGATTTTGGAGGAGCCATGGATTGCCGATACCGTCATTTGCCAACAGGTCGACGGCGGTGAAGTCATCCCAGCCTGCGACCACAAACATGTTCTGGAGCCTCCCAACTCTCAGCCGCCTCCCCCGAAAAAGGTCTAAGCCGAGGTGCTAGTTTCCTGGACAAAGCAAAACTTATTCGTTATCATTCTCATCATTTTTTTTTTTTTTCCAATTCGCCTCATTCTACGACTCTCTCTTTATGCATCTTATCTCATACCATCTCTAACTCACATCTCTCTTTTCTATATACGTTTGTTGGGCGTTTTTCACTGTTTTATTGGCTTTGCATCATGGGAAGAAATTGCACAATACCAAATATTTTTTTTTCTTTTTAAAAAAAGAGCGAAAGGGGACTACGACTCAGAGAAAATGGGGAGATGTCATTGCTAGGAGGCCTCGACTGGTTGCGGGTGTGTATGCGTGTATGGCAGGAAGTGCGCCATGTGTTTGAGTGTGTCGAACGGTTTTGTTTAAACAGCAGATCAAACCTAACCTCAGGGTTACTTATTTCTATTTTTACATAGTGACATACTATTTACTCTTTACATAGTTGACGGGCATTTAGGAGACGGATTTCGGCGGTGGCAGGCGATTAGGGAGGGGAGGACATAGACGGCGTCAAAATGTTGGTGATTTACAAAGGCCAATGTATCTGGACATAATCAATAACACGAAATCTTTTCATGAAACTGTAATTCTCTTTTAAAATGTATTCTCCATCTACAATGCATACTATATCAATCGAGATGCTACCTACCTACTAGTAGTAACACTGTAGTAATCGAAGCAGTCCATCAATGAGCAGTTTTTAGCTGCTGAGGGGCATTTTCATTTTCTTCCATATTTGGGTTAGCATGGCGGGGTTGTGTTAGTACCTGCTATGTACATGGCATTAGCACCGCCGAAGCTCCCTTGAAGCTATCACGGAGACTGTTTGGCTTCGGAAGAGGGGAAATCCCGGGCCGACAAAAAAAATTGTCCACTAGCAGTTGCTGGATTCTGGAAGCCGTTAGAAGGGAAAGAAGCAGCCGAGCTGCCGATCTGAACCGCTTCTGCAGCCTTTTTTTCTTTCCTCTCTCTCTCTCTCTCTATCTATTTCTCTCCACATCCAACCTCGTTCGTGATAGCATCAATCGCACTCCATCCTTCACAATGGTACGAACTATCCCCCCTTCATCCCATGGAAACGGTGCAACTTTGATAAACTCTCCCCAAAACAACCCCACTCTGGCTCTCTCTCGGTTGAAGTTATATATATATGTCAGCTATGCTGATATATCCATAACAAGCCATTGCCGGGATCGCTGCCATTGCCTCTGCTCTGAGGGCAATTTGAATCTAGAGAACAGGGAATAGTCAAACAGTGCGCTAATGTAAACCTACAGTCTACCGTCCGCTCCATCCGTGCTCTCGCTCCCCTCCTGGACCGCGTGCTGGTCCAGCGCGTCAAGGCCGAGACCAAGACCGCCAGCGGCATCTTCCTGCCCGAGTCCAGCGTCGAGAAGCTCAACGAGGCCAAGGTCCTTGCTGTTGGACCCGGCGGCCTGGACCGTGATGGCAAGCGTATCGCCATGAGCGTTGCTGTTGGCGACCGAGTGCTGATTCCCCAGGTATGGATATCATGTGATGGCCGGGGAAAGAGAAGAGGAATGGCGGAGATGATGATACGAGGAACTCGACAAAGCTGACATGAAAATCTCCTAGTTCGGTGGCTCTCCCATCAAGTCTGGCGACGAAGAGTACCACCTGTTCCGTGACAGCGAGTAAGTGACATCATGCTGTAGTGGACGATGATGACACAAAAGATACTAACAAACAACTCAGAATCCTTGCCAAGATCAACGAGTAAAAAAGCAGAGAGCAAAATCAAAGCATAATAAAAGCGATAAAATACCCGACGTCATGACGAGTGTACTATAATTTGTACCATATGAAAAAAAAAAAAATTCTAAATGATTCTAAATTTATAAAACTTCCAGTCCTTGAAAGACTTTGGCCTTGAAGCAAAGAAAAGGACACGGTAATTCATTAAGATGGGCGAAAGGAAAAGGAGATGAAACTCTGCATAGACTGGAAACAGTTTGGTGCTCTGAGTGGTGTGAAGTTTTTCTGATGGGAGCTACCAGCTGTGTCTTTTTTTTTTTTTTTTTTTTTTTGGATATGAAATCTCTCCTCAAATAACGTTTGACCATTGCCTATGTCTTTTCTTTTCTTCTTTTTTCCTCTTCTCTTTCCATACCTGTGGCTCTCACAATGATACGGTTGCGATTTGATGCTAATGAGTGATGGATTTGTGGATTCGTCGTAGTGCTTCTACACAACCGAGGGATGTATGGCCCTTTGGCCCCATCGTATACGAGCTTACGAGTCCTCATCGGCCTCAGGATAAGGTATAAGGTTGCCGTTAACGTGGAACGCCACAGCGCCGCATTTTCTCCCAATTCAACAAATTCATACGGCGGTACCTCTTTGACCCCTAAGCCCCGTCTTATACTTCGGAAGCAAGCGTCAATTCTGCTGAAGCTCAAGTCGTACACGCCCTCTCAACACATTCTTTGATTAGTATTGCAGGCCTGAACAGACAAATAAAGGATAGGAAGCTTAGCTACAAGCAAAATTCTTCGTTTCATTACACGATACAGCCCTTTAGAGGTTGCTGCATGTGATGTTGGCAAAGATAATCTTCTCTTTGTCCTTCTTCCCTTTGAGCCTCTTTGGATAACATTGGCAAATATAACATTGGCAAATATAAGCGAAGGGTAGAAACTCTGGCGGCGCGAGCTGGGCCACTCCGCGTATAAAGTGTGCAAGCGGGCGAGAAAAGTGGCTGCGCAATCTACTATTATTAGTAGAGATTCGGCAAGTGCCGACCATAGGACTAGAGAGCTACTCGCCCATCGGGTCTTATAGGAAGACAAACCAAGTAGGTCTAACAAGTTGGGCGGAAGGTTATATAGAGTTATATAATATGGATCGGCTTACACTTTCGCCATAGATATGTTGGGATATGCTACTGGGGGTTCACCTCTCTAGCTCACCCACCCACTCGCCATTTTGTTTTTCTCACGAGACTCAAATTACTCTCCAACTTTTCACCATTGTTAACATCTTCTCTTCATCATGAGGGCCTATGCTAGTGCTGGGCTCCTAATGCTGGGCTTCACCGCTTTGGCGAATGCCCATACTACCTTCACTACTCTCTACATCGATCGCAAGAATCAAGGAGATGGCACTTGTGTTCGTATGCCGTACGATGGAGAGACAGCCACCTTCCCTATACACCCTGTTACCTCTGGTGACATGGCTTGTGGTAAGCCAAGCCCCCTTCTGATGTCCATCCAGCCAGATGCCGATTTTTGACCTACAATATCGATAGGCCGCAATGGCACCGAGCCGGTTGCGTTTATCTGCCCTGCAAAGAAAGGGTCACTGCTCACCTTTGAATTCCGCCTTTGGCCTGATGCTCAGAAGCCAGGCAGCATTGATCCGGGCCACCTGGGTCCCTGCGCCGTCTATCTGAAGAAGATTGACAACATGTTGACTGACAGCGCCTCGGGTGATGGGTGGTTCAAGATATGGGAAGACGGCTACAACGCGGAGACGCAAAAGTGGTGCGTTGACACACTCGTGGAGAACAACGGTCTGCTGTCTGTAAATCTTCCTCAGGGGCTGCCGTCGGGATACTATCTCGTCCGGCCCGAGATTCTGGCTTTGCACTGGGCCGCTCATCGAAACGATCCGCAGTTCTACCTGGGCTGCGCCCAAATCTTTCTCGACAGCAACATCCACGGCCCACTGGAAGTCCCCAAGGAGCATTTTGCCACCATCCCTGGATATGTAGACCTCGACACGCCAGGCCTCACGTTTGACATCTACCAGAAAGACATGCCGCCGTACCCTATGCCTGGCCCAAAGGTATTTACCCCCAACAGCTCGCAGTCAGAGGCCAACACGAATCCCAATGAAAAACCCATGGTCCAGACCGTCGGTCTCGTTCCCTCAGACTGCCTGCTCAAGAGCGCCAACTGGTGCGGCAAGCCCCTCGCGCCGTACTCGGACAGTCCTTCGTGCTGGAGGGCCGTCAACGACTGCTTCGCGCAGAGTAAAGAGTGCAAGAAGAGCTCGCCGCCGGTTGGCCTGCGCAACTGCGACCTTTGGAGCGCGTACTGCGAGTCGATCAACCAACTGTGCACACAGAATGTGTTCCAGGGGCCGCCGGCCTTTGCTGCGCAGGAAGTGGTTGTGCCGCCGCCGGGCGAACTGCCGGCGATGTGGAACAATGTGTTTGAGAAGAAGGAGGGTTGAGACTGTTGATGCCATAATTAGAGTCTCACTCTTTCGTCTTTGATTTTTGGTGGTTTGGATTTACGTTGTCCTATAAGGCATTAGCACTATAAGGAGAGGGAGTTGACGGAATCTTTATTAATGATTAATGGCTTTTCTCTGTCCCCCCCCCCCCCCCCTCTCTAGGCTAGGTCTTGCAATGACGGTAAAGGTCGATGCATAAGATTGTCACTTTGTTTTCGTTCAAGATAGTCTTAGTGATAGGATGAGCTTGAATTATTATTATTATTACTATACCTAGTATCTATCCATGTATAGACGTACAATCCTCACATCACACTACTAGGTGGTCGTAACTAGTAGTAGTAGCCACCAACTTCATTGTCGTCAGCCGGACAGGATTAACCGCCACTCCGGCATGCAGCCATGACACCATCTCAGTACGGAAACAGGCACGGAGCGTGTGATGACGTCTTCCCCGGAGCTAAATCAACGGGCCAACCCAGAAGAAGAAACGAAATAGAAGATTAAAATGAGGCGTGTCATTGATTATAGTTTAACAGGCAAGGCAGCAATTTCTGGCGAAAATGGCCGTCTTGTAATAAGGTGCTGGACCGCTAGGACTACCGTCTTAAAGAGACCGCCCCTCATCCGCAGCGGCCAGGGTCCAGGCTAGCCGTCATGTACGATCAAGGAGTTCAAGTTTCAACGGTAAGGGGGGAAACAATGCAGGTCGTTCTCTCCATTTTAATACCCGTAGGTAGATGAAAATACACATGTGAAATTCTTAAAATCTTACTTGCTAGTAGTAGTAGTACCTGCGAGTATAAGAAAATCGCCTGCCGATTATTATGATTAGTTCATGGCCAAGACCATGTATCGCTGTGACTCGCTGCTGGAATGAAGGGCACGTCGCCTGCCTACAGTGGGTGATGAACTCCCACGGATGCCTACAGAGCTCAGAATCTAGCTGCCGAGATGAATCGTGTTGGATACAAGATGTACGGAGTACATGGGAGTCTATTATTATTAAAGACTCCAAAAACTCACGCAAACGCGTTTCGGATAGACACAAGGTCAATGATAAGAGCTGCATATCTGCATCTTCCAGCGGCCTCAGCTACCCACCGCCAGCGCTCTTTTAGTGGACTCATCCCACTAAGCATCAGCCCAGCTCCAGCGGCTGCCCCGGCGCCAACGGCCCCCCGAAAGCCCGCTGGCCGCCCCCTTGCCCCGTCCCAGCGACTGCAGGTACCTCGCACGCCCTTTTGTGCGCGCCGCGGTACTTGTGCAGGTTTTACGTATGCAGACGTGCAGCCATCTCGGCCAAGTGTCCCGACCGCCTTCCCAGCTGTCCAGATTCCCCAGAACCTCGATTCTGCAACCATCTTCACCGACGACAGGCCTGAAGAATTTCTCTCCCCTTTTCTTTCGATCGCCAGATTTTGTTCTTCTCTCTCTCGCTCAATTGCGCCTGCGCGTTGCTCGTCTCTCAGCGTCCAGCATCTCTTCGGCCTCATCAAGTCCCGGATCAGATCATCCCTCCTTGCTGGCTCTCCACCGGCATCACCACCTTTAACCGCCACTCCAACACCGCCTGGACGCCGAAGCCTCTGCTTTGACCCGGATCCATCGCCATCTGGTGCACGACGACGAGAAGCGGCTGATTGCTCTTGCGGCTCTTTGTTCGTTCTTCGCGAAACTCGATCCTTTTCCTCCACTTCGCCGCGTTTCGCACTCCCCGCCACTTCGGCCTCGACTCGAACCGCTCTTCGCAACCAAAAAACCCCTTAATCGAGGCTCTACCGTTTGCTCAAAATGCCTGCCCCTAGCAATCGCAATTACGATTTCCTGGTACGGACTTTGCTTCCTTGATTATTTTCCTCCCTCCCCTTACGCATATGCCTCCCAAACATAGTCGAGCGTGAAGAGGCGTTTGTTGGCGATGCTGCAAATCCGACTGCGGGATAACAAGATGCTAACCAGGCCTGTCCTCAACAGATCAAGCTTCTGCTGATTGGCGACTCTGGTGTCGGAAAGTCATGCTGTCTGCTGCGATTCAGTGAAGACTCCTTCACACCGTCCTTCATCACCACCATCGGCATCGACTTCAAGATTCGGACGATTGAGCTGGACGGTAAGCGGGTCAAGCTGCAGATCTGGGATACCGCCGGCCAGGAGCGATTCCGAACCATCACCACTGCCTACTACCGCGGTGCCATGGGCATCCTGCTCGTCTACGACGTCACCGACGAGCGATCATTTGCCAGTACGTTGAACAAGCACCAAAATGAATCCCCCCCTCCCCCCCTTCTCCCCACATGACTCTCACCGCCCTTGTACCCTCTACTCGTCTTCTTGCTCTCAGTCCATCTATCCCTCCATTTGTATTTTCCGGCTACTCGACAGTCTACGAAATCCGTTTTCCGAGCATTTTCGTCAAGTGGATGCCCTGATTCGTTTGGTGCGATACTCGGGGAGCTTGGACGATTTTCTCAGCCCTCATCTTTTCTCCAAAGCCGAATCAATCTAGATCGTTGGCTGACACGCGTTTCACTTGTTATAGACATTCGCACTTGGTTCCAAAACGTAGAGCAGCACGCCACCGAGGGCGTCAACAAGATTTTAATCGGCAACAAGTGCGATTGGGAAGATAAGCGAGTCGTGTCCACTGAGCAGGGTCAGGCGCTGGCGGACGAGCTCGGCATTCCCTTCCTCGAAGTCTCGGCCAAGAGCAACATCAACATCGACCAGGCCTTCTACAGCCTCGCTGCCGATATCAAGAAGCGCCTCATCGACAACCAAAAGACCGACGCTGGCGTCTCATCAGGCGTCAAGGTTGGAGAGCAGAGCGACAACAGCGGCAGCAAGTGCTGCTAAAATAAAACAAAAAACACAGACTAAAAAAAAGTAAAAAAAAAAAGAGTTAAAAATAGGAGGATTGACAAGTCATGCACAGCACGCACAGACATACCAGGCATAACGTTGATTTGAGAGTGTATTTGACGTATGATATAATGGAGACGGCAGAGCAACGCGATCAAGATATACGAGCTGTTATGAGGCCTGCAGTTCACTATTTACCAACTGCAAGCCAGTAATGACATTTCGGACATGAGGGTCATGAGAGTTTCCTTGTTTTTCTTTTATTAATTCATTTTAAAACTCCCAAAGCCACTCGGCGAACTTTGAAAAATCCGCCTCACAAACCTAACCCAACTTTAGAGAGAGAGCTATAATGGTTTCGGAGTTTCTGCGGTCTTCCTTTTTCTTTTCCCACTTACCCTTGCCTTTGCCCTTTTTCCCTTTGTGCTTTTTTTGCTTCGCTAATCTTTGTCTCTTTTTTTTTTTTTTTTTCTCCCTTCTTTTCTTCATTAATTTGGGTTTTAATATACAAAAAAAAACTATTACTGCTACTGTGCCCCTGACTGTTTTTCATGTAACGGCTAAGCCGTGCTGCTGTATTTCGCTTGGGAGTCTGGCATAATACGGCAAAGATACAAAGAGCGAATGAGATAGACTGAAAGTGACGAGTGTCACAATAGAGAGAAAGGGATGGAAGAGGAAGAAAGAGGAAGATGTGGGCGACATGAATGAGAGAGACCAGTTGTGTGTGTGTGTGTGTGTGTGTGTGTGTGTGTGTGTGTGTGATTTTGTAAACTTTGGGTTACGCTCAAGAGGAACACTGAACGAATTAAAGCATGTATGCGATAATAAAGACAATTAGGATGATGATTGCGATTATGATGGGAGATGAGATAAAGATGGCTAAAGCTACCAGTTTATTATTGATGCATAAACTATATATCTGGCTGGTTGCGGCCGCAGCGTCCTCAGCGCTCTGTTGTTCCAGCTCTGTTGAAAGCGCCTCGCCTCTGCCCCATCGGTGCATGCCAGCACGAACCGGCCCTTGAGCTTTTCCTCTGTATCGCGATCGTTGAGCTTAAATGATGGGCTCGGCTGCTTGTTGGATGCTGTTTCATGGTCCTCGCCCTCCTCATCTTCATCAACATCCCTTTTACTTGTGCCTCTTGTTCTTGTTGGAGCTTGCTCCGGACTGTTCATCTTGAGAGGCTGAGGCGCCGATATTGGCCACCTTAGTCCTCTGCTTTCTCCATCTTGACGAATGAATTGATGCAGCTCCCCAGCGCTCAGAGTAGGCGGGTAGACCTCCAGCATCAACACGTGCGGCACTTCGCCGAATCCGAGGTTCTCGACCATGCCGGCTAAACGCTTCGCCCACGGCCGCGCAAGGGTAACTTTTCTGCGCTGAACCGGAAGAGTTTCCAGAGAACCAGGGGCAATGGTAAACGAGTTTGCCAAGTCGACTACGCTCTCTGTGCTGCTGGGCAAGTCAGAAGAAGAAACGATTGCATCACTGATGGTTTCAGTAACTGCTGCTGTTGTTGATGATGATGATGATGCTGCTGCTGCTGCTGAAGGAGAAGTAAGAGACACTTTGAGAGCCGCCGGGACGCTGCTTTCCCAAAGGCCACTTGCAGACCGCAGCTTGAAGCCGTTGAGTTTATGCAGCCGGACGAGCCTATCACGGTACGATGCGGCAGCCTGTGCCGAGCCAAAGGTGAGTAGGTAACGGCCAAGTGGTTCGAAGGAATCTGGAGTGCGTTGCATTTGGACTATAGAAAGCAAGGTTTAGTTAGCGATAATCAATCAAAAGAAGCCTTGTGGCTGCCCGGTTTCTTTCTAACGCTACCTTTCTTGATCACGCTCTGCCAATTAGACAAGTCGTTGGGCGCAATCCGATAAAAGTCGGCTGCGTTGAGATTGGACGACAGGCCGTCGATGACGAGCATCACCAGTGACGAGTCCTTTGTGCCCTGTGGATTCTGGACATTGCGCCGCGGGGCGAAGATGCTGGCGGGCCTTGGAATGGCGAGGGCAGCGTTTATCGCGCTGTCGTTGCCGTCTGCTCGTCTTTGGGCTCTTTCTCTTCGCTGAAGCTGTGGCCAGTAGTCTCCGCCGCTCTTTGAATCTCCACCTCCGTCTCCATCCCCATGTTCGTCTCTGTCGCTTTTGCTAGTAGTTGTGCGAGGTCGTCGAGGCCGCCGATCTACGCGGGGCGCATTACTGCTCGATTCGAGCCTCGTTCGATAATGGGGGGTTTGGCCTTCAGCCGTAGAACGACGAGAAGCTGTGCGCTGACGATTCGTTTCGAAGCCATCTTCGTCTTTTCCCCCGTCGCCATTGCTATTCGTGCCGAAGCGTCTGCAAGGGCAGAGAATCTGGCGAGAAGAGCCGCACAGATTAGCGAGCGTCGCTGTCGCCCGAGGAGTCCATCGAGGGCTGATCATCCGGACTGGTGGCCGGCAAGAGGCCACATTGAGCTCGAGCTCTTTGCCCTGCTAAAGAGAGAGAGAAAGGGAGAAAAGAGAGTGGTGAAGAAATAGGTAGAAGAGGGGGCCTTTTTTTCTTCTTTCTTTTGGTGTTTTAGGACATGACGTCGGGCAAGGTCCAGGATAGTCTGTCAACCTTCAACTGCTAGTGCACGACAGGTAGTGGGTACATTGATTGATTTCATTGATTGCTTCAAATGGGCGTACAGAGGCTTAGAGATCCCGCATTATCGCAGAAACATGACTTACTATTTTTTTATATTTCTATATATGTTGTAAGTGAACTGAACTCGAAATCTTTTTTGTTCTACTATAGACCAAGAGTGCAATTTCAATTGGCGAAAACTTTGATTTTCTTACAACCTACAAGTACACTCTACACCCGAAACTGCGAGCTAGTACACGATAGGTATTGCAGCTACTAAAATGGAAAATTCTTAGAAGGGTCCTTCCATATTTCAAGCAGCCCACTCGTACCTCCCGAATCTCATGTAAATCCTCGTGCCTGGCAACTTCATTAATTTCTTCAAGCCCCTCTTCTTCTTCTTTCCTTCTTCTTTCTCTCTTCATCACCATCTTTGTTTTTCTCTTTCTCCTAATTCATAACATACACAGACACATACAAAAAAAAAAAAAAAAAAAAAAAGGATGCTAAAAAAAAGCATCGACGCCAAAGTGCGTCCTCTTTCAAACGTCAGTCTTGAAAGGGCCAGTCTTCTGGGCGCCGCTCGTATCTACGTCAGCAAAGACTCTCTCATCGCACTCACAGGAGGCCTTGACAGCGGTCGACCGTGTATTGTCGAGAGTCTGCAAACAGGTGATGCCTCTAGCAACGCTTCTGACGGAGAGACTAGCAAAAAACGACGCGAAGCCTCACTATGGGCTCTCCCGGAAAAGAACGTCAGTGCCAATGTTGTGATGATGACGAGGGCGTTTCAGGAGGCCACGGGATTCAAACTGGGAGATGTAGTGAGGATCTCGCTCGCAGAGCCCGCCGTGGTGCCTGACGCAGAAGAAGTTGTTGTCCAAGATGCTACCAGTGAGGCGGATCAGCAGAAGGACACGGCTGCAGATTCAAAACACCCCCCCTCTTGGGAGTTTTCCATCAGCGTGTCTCTCGATCGTGCGGAACAAGTGTTTCCCGGTATGACTCTCGAAGGCGTCAATATCAACAAGCTGCGTCGAACGTTCAAAGTCATCTCCGTCAATGGACAGTCTCACAATCTAGCTCGCTTCAAAATCACCTCGTCTTCAGTACGGATTCTTCAGCCTGGAGAGGACAAAGAAGCTGCCGAAGATGCACAAGTAGCTTCTGAAACATCCGGCCCATTGGTTGTTACTGGAGTCCCGGGTTTGTCCACTCAAATCAACACCATCAACCAGTTTCTGAGAGGCTTTGGCCGGCCATTCTGGGTTCCCAACGAGCGCGAGTCTTGCGGCTTCGTCATTCATGGAGGCCATGGCACCGGCAAAACTTTTATTCTCCAGCGCATTGCCGCTACCAACTGGGGTCGCGTTCACTGGATCAAGCCCTCAGACAAGTTGTCATCCATCCGGGAGACGTTTAAGCAGGCGCAGTCTCAACAGCCAAGTCTCCTTTTCATTGACGGCCTCGAGGATATTCTCGCCAAAGACCGTTCCAACCGCGACTCTGTCATCGAAGCTCTCGGCGAAGAACTCGATAACCTCTCTGCGGCGGCTTCTGCCTCCAATGCTCTGCCTCGTGTAGTAGTCATTGCCACATGCCAGGATTATCTAGCTGACGTACCGGCTAAGCTTCAGAAACGCTCGCGTTTCCGTGAGAACATTGCTCTGCCTATCCCCCGAGCAACGGAGCGCCTCGAGATATTACGCTTCTTCAACCCGCCGTTAAGAGCTGAGGAGAAGGAGTCGTGCCTAATCAGCTTGGCATCAAAGACACACGCATATAATGGAGACGATCTTGCCAATCTAGTTTTGAACGCCAAGAAAATCCTCGGAAACAGATTAGACGAGGAAGCTGTTGTCGACGCCGTTGTCGAGGGTGTTAACAACGTTGATATCAATGGCGCAGAAGAACCAGCTTCTCAGGCAAAACAGCCACAACAACACTTTCTTACTTCACAAGACATGGAGCAAGCCCTTCGCATCACTCGCCCCACAGCCATGCACGACATAAACTTGAAGCCACCCACCATTCACTGGCAGGACGTCGGCGGTCAAGAATCCCTCAAGAAAGTCCTCTCTCGCATGATCAAAAACACAAAGGTAGGCTTTTATACAATTTTATTCCTCTATTTGGTGAATCTTGTGACATTGACCAACATGGTTAGGATACCAACCCATCTTCTCGCCATGTCCTCCGTCAACCCCCTAAAGGCCTCCTCCTCTACGGACCTCCTGGCTGCTCCAAGACTCTCTCTGCTCAAGCTATGGCTACTGAGTCTTCTTTCAACTTCTTTGCCGTCAAGGGTGCTGAGCTGCTCAACATGTACGTTGGTGAATCTGAGCGTGCCGTCCGTACGCTTTTTGAACGTGCCCGTGCTGCTGCCCCTTCCATTATCTTCTTTGATGAAATAGATTCTATTGGTGGCAGTCGAACAGGGGGCAACGGAGCCGCCGCCGCCAGGAGCTCTGGCTCTGTAAACATGCTCACAACTCTCCTCACTGAGATGGATGGCTTCGAGTCCCTCACTGGCGTCCTAGTCCTGGCTGCTACAAACCGCCCTGAAGCTATGGATCCAGCTCTGCTTCGTCCCGGACGTTTTGATCAAATCCTCTACGTTGGACCCCCTGATCTCTCTGCCAGAGAAGCCGTCTTTGGCGTGCATCTGCGCGGCCTCGCCCTCGCATCGGACGTGGAAATCCCCGAGTTGGCGCGTATCACAGACGGTTATTCAGGAGCCGAAATTAAAGCTATATGCAACGAGGCTGGGCTGGCGGTGCTCGACAGATGTGATGAAGATGAGACAGGCACTGAGAAGATGGAAATCAGAATGGCGGATTTGGTGGCCGCAGTTGAAAAGACACCAAGAAACATTACAGCTATGATGATTTCGGGCTACGATATATGGTCCAGACAATTTAAACGACTATGAAATGATGATGATCTATTACTTGGAGAAAAAAAGATATAGAACCAATACAACAAAACAGGAGGAAAGAAAGGTAAGTTGGGAAAGGAACACTTGGGGATATACAGATACAGCGGCAGGTATGAATGACCATTTCAAAAGATTTACTACCATCTTGGATACCACAAAATACCCAGGCTACGAGCCGGTTCATCAGCAATTACAATCCACAAAAGATTTCACTTTCTGTCCGATTCGCAGCCAATTATGATTCATTTGAAGGCATTGCATTGTCTAAATACCCTTCTCTACCCTCCTCCTCATCAGCGTGATCCTTTGCTTTTGCTTCCATGCTCTCCCCTTTTTAGCTAAGAGGAAAGGCCAAATTACATTTGATAGGTATGTCTGATATATGATACATGTCAAGCATCAGAGAGAAAAAAAAAAAAGAAAAAGCTTGCAAACTCCCGTTTCCTGCACTCCGAGGAAAATCCAGGGGTAACCAAAGCAATAATGTTCCGCTAGCCCCTGAGTCCAATCCATTTGTCCCTGGGACTTTTTTGTATATTTTCTCTTTCTTTCATTTGTGTGTGTGTGTGTGTATCCGCTCTCGTCGTCATCTGACTCACCGCCGCCACTCAATTCTATGCCCATAGGGATGTCGCCGCTGTGGTCGTTTACACCACTCCGCAGCGAATACCATAGGTGATGAATAGGGGGAAAAGTGAAGAAGAAATCATAACGCCGCCTGTTCGCCTGTCCGCCGCCAACCTCCTCATTTGATGAGGTGCCAACCCTTTGATACAGAATAACAATCTGTGCTCTTTACATTGTCATGGCCCAAGAAAATGATGATGAAAAACGATGAAAAAAAAAGATGTTGATGCAACAAATAGAACAAGTGAGAATGAAAAGAAAAGGTGAACAATGGGAATAGAATAATATGAAAGGGGGAATAAAGTGCTATACACCGTTTTCAACAAAAACAAAGAGGCAAGAAAGAATATTCTTTTTTGTTCCATCTTTCTTTGGCTGGGGCGTTTCACAAGTCGTCGTCCGATCGAGAGGGGCCACCTGACTTTAAGGCTGGTGACAGGCTGATTGCAATCTTTCTAGGCGTGACACCGTTTCCGGCCCCGTTTGCAAAGTTCTTACGTCTGCGATTGAGATTCTGCGTGATTGATGAGTTGGATTCTGTAGAGCTGCTGTTGCGTCGTTTGCTGTGCATCAGCTTCCCTAGCTCGTCATCATCGTCCTCGTCTTCCTCTCGCCGGCGTTTTTCGGACAGGCGCTCGGGTGGCGGCACGTTAGGCGAGGCGCTTGATGACCGCGGAGCAAAGTCGGCATCAGCATCAGGATCCTCGCCGTTGTCGTTATCGTCGTTGTCTTTTGACTGGTGATCGGCATCATGTTCTGCGCTCTCTTCCGCATCCTCGTCGTCTTCATCAGAGTCGTAATCCACTAGGGGTTTTGAGGAGGCGCCGCCACTGTCGGATGACCTATCTCCAGAGCTCTGGTCCTCGTTATCATCTTCGGGATCCGAAGAATCCCAATATTCCTCCTCGCGCAGGTCAATCGGCATGTACTCTAGCATTCTAATATGAGCTGGCCTCTTCATCATGTCGTCGTCCGTGTCGGCGAATATGTCCATGTTTGTCGTAAAGCCTTCTGTGTGATCGTATCTCATGATCAAGTCTCGACAAGGCGGAATATGCTCGACGAGAAGCAAGTTATCTCGGTGCTCAGCCACAAGTTGCTTGACCATGTCTCTCAGGTATTCCTTCTTGATAAAGTCGAAGAGCTCAGTGCATGCGGCGCTTACAAGATTGTCGCGCGGCACGGTCTCGACCAAGACTTCAAGGATTGGGCCCAAGACATCATTTGTAATGAGATTCTTGACGTACAGCTCCTCCTGAAGACCAATGATCAAGCGGAAGCATCGAATCGAAACCAGCTGCAGGTACTTGTCACGACATTTGAGGAGCAGGATGATTCGTGCCGCCAAGTTGTGGACAATGAAGAAGTATCTACTAAACCGATGGTGTTGTCGAATGAAAAAGCCGAGCACCTCCACTAAGCCAGAAAACATGGCAGCTTCCTGAACGGTAAAGTCCAGATTAGGACGGCTATCCAGCTCAATGAGAGGCTTGAACAGCTTCACGGCGGAGGTGTCGTAAAAGCGGTTCAGAAAATGTTCATGTTGCGGGTCGACAGACATCTGCAACCGAGCCCTGAAAGCATACTCACTAGTCTGCTGCTTCTGACCGTTGCCGTTGTTGCCGTTGCCGTTCCCGTTGCCATTGCCGTTGCCGTTGCCGTTATTGCCATTGTTGTTTGCAGGCTCGCTGTAGGCGGCGGTGTTTCCATGGTCCAATATGACTCTGAGGGCATCTGAGATTTGAGTCTTGATGCCCAAATCAACCTCGACCAAGAGAAGATCGATCAAACAATCCAATAGCGATGAGGAGCCCTCATGCATCTGCCGGAAAATGGTTTGGCGGATCAGCATTGGGTCGTGCTCAATGATGGAAATCAAGATGTCTGTAGCTCCCACGCGCACAGCCACGTCAACGTGCCTCAATCCATAATAGATGACACGGAGCAGGCCATGGTTGAGGAAGTTGATGTACAGAGACTGCCTGGCAGGGGCCTGCACGGTCTTGGCGATGGCACAGCATTGCTGAATGAATAACACAGCCTCTTTTCGCTTCTTCGTCTCGGGATAATGGGCAGAGAAGATGCCGAAGAGGTTCATGAGAAATCCCGGACTTGACTGCAGATGTTGGACAATTTCGACTTGGTTGAAGAATATGAGGGAGCTGAGCACGGAGAAGGTGGGATCGTCGAGGATTCTGGCCAACACAACGTCTTTGAGGTATTGCAGACGGTAAGTCTGATGGATTTTGCGGCGGACGTTCTCATCATCAATGGGCACGACCTCTTTGAAGCGTCCCTGGTTGCTGAGCCAATGCCGGTGGTTGGCCTTGTGGCTAGGGAAGTCGGGGTCGTATTCCAGAGCGCCGACAACCCCCAGCAGGCATTCATCGGATACGGAATGTTCAATGATGGAGGTGTCGTTGAGCAGGAGAATGGTCTTCATGATGTTACACAGACGGTGCAGGTCAGGAAGGCTTTCCAAATCCTCGGCAATCTCGACCAGGGGAATAAGTTTGTCGATGTAGTCTTCGGCTACGATGAATTTGGTGACGGCTTCACGGCCAGCGGCAGTCGAGCTCATGGATCGAAGGCTCGTCTCGATTTCGGCCAGATTGCCCAGTTCAGCAGCGGGGAGGTTAACGGGGGGGATCGGTTCGATGGCCAGCTCATCGTCGAGATTATCGTCTAGCGCAGGCCCGTCGTTAGCTGCCAGCTTCGGAAGCAAGGATTAGAGTAAGTAGCACATACCTGTGTCAGTCTGCTGATGCTGGAATGTCTGCTGGACGGTGTTGACGAAGCGCCTGGGTGTCGCGATGTAGTTAGCCTCTGCTCGGATACCGTTACTGCTACGAATGACTCTTGACATCTTGAGTGAGGGAGGGCAGCACGTGGCTGGTGATGGATGAAGATGGCGAAGATAAAGAAGAAGAAGAGAGACGCTGGAGATTGGGGAATTGGGAGAGACAAACCATATCATGGCGCATCCCTCGGCCTCCTGGAAGCTCAAGGCCATATCCACGCCACTGCCTGGCTCCTGCCAGACGATGAGCGTTTCTGTTGCGCCTGCATTAGTTGAAAGTCGTCACCGCGAAAGATAAGCCAGATAACGGGGCGCACTTGCCTTGCTGCTTCTGGAATCCATCCTGCTTCTGGATCGTTGTCTCCAGGAGGAGCCGTTCGGGCTGGTCTTCGGATTCTACAATGACTTTGGGATCTTTGTGGCCATCTTCGTTCTATATTACACGCAGGCACGCACACATTAGCCATCAGCAGCGACAAATGACGAGGACAACGACGCAGACGTGGATATCTGTTTGAATGGGACCAATTGCAATGGCTTTACAGTGCCAGAAGGAGTCGACAAAGAGAAAAGGAGAGTGGCGAATCATGGACTGGAGGGAGAATGAAAGAAATGAAGCCCAACAAGGCATCAAACGGCGCATATACGAAGAGGACGAATCAACGATAGTAGAGAGACACAAACACACAAAGAAGAAGAAGAAGAAGAAGAAGAAAAAGGGCAACAGGATGGAAAAGGGCAGCGACAGCAAACAATCGACAAACTTACCGTCGCAAACTTGGCGGTGCAGAAGCCCGTGCCGCGGTCAAACCAGTCGTTATTGCGCAGCTCATAGACCTTGACGCGCTTCTTGTCCTGATGAGGCAACGGCTGTGCCATCATCAAGGACTGGGGATCGTCCCCCGTGACGAGTTGGTCGCCGTAGCCCACCAGATCGGGCGCGAGGTCGAGATGTTGCTGCAGAGACAGCTCCGGCGTCTCGGGATGGTCGAGGATGGTAAGCGCCGCCACGGTGCCGTGCGTTGATGCGCCCCGCGGAGATGGGCGCACGCGAAGCTATTCAGACTGGCAGCGAGCAGCAGTCTTGGCGACTCGGGATTCGGGGCGGGCGAGAGACGACGCTCGGGGATGCAGGTCGTGAGAGTATGGTTTCCTTTGTGTAATTTTTTTGGGGGGCGGGCGGCCTTAGTTTGGTTTGCGGATTGCGGGCGGCTGCGATGTGGCGTTTTGATGTCGGGCGAACGAACTTTTTTCCCTCCTCAGTGCGCCATGCACGACACAATCAAGCGCGACACACAAAAGACGCAGCGCTCGAATGCACCCTTGCTTCTGGATGGCCTCTTGTTTGTTGCTCGGCAGGTCAGGGCGCCGTATCAAAGAGGAGCGACCGGGGCCAGCGGAGGAGACCTCAGGCGGCCTTCTGGGTGACGGAATATGTCGGGAGAAACAGGCGGCGGCGCGACCAGAGGGCGACGGACGCAGCGAGGCCTGGCGAGGATCGAGGATGCGCGCGCGACGCAGCGGACGGCGATGCGTCTGATGTTGGATGACTGGCAGCTCGACAGCGATATGCGTGGGCGGTTGGGCTTGTGCTTGTCGGCACGAGAAATTGGGGATAGTTGGAAGCGGGAAAAGCGCGTGACCACGGGCGGCGTCGTTGATGGCGGCGGTGGAGCAGCGAAAAAAAAAGGCACTGAAACGGCTGCTTTTTAATCTGGAGCCCGGCCTAGCAGCGCAGCTGGCGCCTGCAAAACCGGGGGCCGCTGAGGATTGGATCTCTTGCTGTCGTCCCTTCT